AAAAAATTAAAATAAATGTATTAATAAAATTAATTTATTAAAAAATAAAGTATTATATAAAAATCCCGTTTTACTTTTATAATTAGTTAACTTATATAATAAAACACTTATTATAAATTTTAATTAATTATTATAATAAAATAACTTTTATAATTAAATTATTATTATATTTTAAAAAAATAACTTTTAATTTTATAAATTAATTATTTTATATTATTTAAATATATAAAAAAAAAAAAATAATATTTAATTAATATATTTAATTATAACTTATTTAAACATTTAAAAATTATTAAATTTAAAACTTATTTTTTATTAAACCCGAAACTTATTTTTTATTAAACTTAAAACTTATTCCTTACTAAATTTTACCGAAGTATTAATTACGTAACGTAATAATATTATATATATATAAAAGTTTTTATAATTTATTATTATAAATTTTATTATTATTTATATTTAACTTATAAAAAATTATATTTAATTTATAATTTAAAAAAATAATTAATGTTAATTATAAATTAATATATAAACTTTTATTTAATATATTTTTAATTTCCCCGATCGTAGTTTTAAATTTATTAATAATTATATTATTTAAATTTTTAAAAAGTTATAACGTAATTATATAATTATTAATATTATTATTAATAAAGTATAAAATTATGTTTTTATTTTTATAATAAACGTATAATTAATATTTTAATATATAAAAATAATAATTAAAAAGAAAAATTTACGAAGTAATAAAACGAAATTTAAAATTATTAAATTAAATATTAATATTAATAACATTTACTTTAAATATAATAATATTTACTTTAAAAATAATAATATTAATTTTAAAAATAATAATATTTTTTTTAAAAGTAATAATATTTATTTTAAAAGCGGTAATATTTACCTTAAAAATAATAATATTTTCTTTTAAAGTTATAATATCGGCTTTTAAAAGTATAACGTTAACTTTAAATTTTACCACGTTAATTTTAAATATAATAATTAATATTAAGCGTGTGAATATTACTTTTAATAATATTAATATTTATTTTTATTTTTTAAAAAATAATTACAATTTATTAACCATGGTTAATTACGAGCAAGTTATTACATAACGATAATTTATTTATAATTTAAAATATATATTCCGTTATAATTAAAAAGTTAAGTTAAAATCTTAATTTTATAATATATATAATAAATATAAAATAAAAATTTAAAAAAATAATATTTAAATTAATAACTTAAATGAATAAAGTTTTAAAAAAAATTATTTAAAAAAATATTTTTATAAAAATAAATAATAAAAATTTTACGCGTTATATTATAATAATTATATTTAAATATTTATCCTTATGTTTTTAATTTATAAAAAAAAATAATTTAAGTTTAATATTATTAATATATTTAAAAAAATATATAAAATATATATAAATTTAAAATAATTATTATATAAATAATATTTTCATAATAAAAATAATCTTAAAAATTATTATTAAATAAATTTCCAAGTGTTTAAATTAAAACTTTTTAATATATATATAATAAAAGAAATTTTATATAAATAAAAATTATATCGTTTAAAATTAAATTAAATTAAATTTAAAACCATGTATATAATTATAATTATTATATAAACATTTTTAACTTTTATTTTAAACATCGTGAATAACGTTACGAATTAATAATAATATAATAAAATATATTATTATAAATTAAATTAAACTAAATTAAATAAATTACTTTATATAATGTAAAATTTTTTTTCTTTTTTTTAAAAATAATATAAATTTTATATATTCGTTAAAAATTAAAAAAAATAAATAATTAAATATTAAAATATTTATAATTAATATTATTTATATTATATAGTTTTAATTAATACGCGCGTTATATCGAAAAAAAACTTAACGTTAATTCGAACGCGTTTTAAATTATATTAAAATTTTATTATATATTTAATTAATTTTAACCATTTATAACTTAATTTATTTAACGTTTTAATTTTTCTAATTTAATTTAATCGAAAACGTTTAATTTAAATTATATGTTATTTTTTTTTTTAACTTTTAAACTTTTATTTAATTATAATATTTAAAGTTAAAAACTAATTATTATTTTAATTAATTCGAGTTAATTTTAGCTTAATTTAACTTCGATCGTAAAACCTCGATTTAATCCCTTATTAATTTTAATGTAACTAAGCTTATTTAAAAATACGTTATAAAAATAATTAAATTATTTTAATTATTAAATTTTTAAAAATATTTTAAATGTAAAATAATTAATTAAAAATTTAACATTATAAAAAAATATAAATTTTAAAATTAAATTTAAAAACTTAAATTACGGTATTTAATTTCTTATTTAATGTATATAAAATAATATATATACGTTTTATTAACGTTTTTTTAATCTTATATAACGTAAATAATATTTATATACTTAACTATTTAAACTTAATTTTAAAAATACGGGAGTTTATTAATAAATATTTTAATTAATTAAAAAATACGCATTCGAATTTAAATTACATTATTAAAATAATAAAGTTTTTATAAAAACTTAGTTTTAATTAATTAAAAAAATATTATAATTTTATATTATTAAACACGGTTATAAAAGTTATATATTTATTAAATATTTATTTATTTTATTACTTTTTTTATTATATTTTTATTTATAAAAATTATTTTACATTTAATTAAAAAAAAATTAATAATTAAATATTTATAAAATTAAAATTTAATTTATAAAATTTTTATTAAATTCGTAAAAATTCCGTTAACTTTTAATTTTAAAAATAAAATAAATAAAAAACTTCGTTTATATATATACCGTATTTTTCATAATAAGAATAATTAAAAACTTCTTACGTAATAACGTTATTATTTCCAAGTTTTTTAATTTCGTTTCGTGACTTAAATAATATAAAATAAAATAAATAATAATACGTGTACTTTTAATGTAATTAATTTTTTAATATTTATATTAAATTTAATTTATTTATTAAATAAACATATATATATAATTTTAATATTTAACGGTAAATAATTATTATTTAAAAAAATAAATTATAATATTTATTTATAATAATTTATTTATTAAATAATTATATATTTAAAAATTATTCATTTTATTAAAAAATATTTAAAATTAAAAAAACGTAAATTTAAATTATCATTTAAAAATAAAATCTTAAATGTAAAAAAAATTTATTAAATATTAATTTTTTTTTAAATTAATAATTAAAAGTTTATAAAATCGAAATTAAGCTTATAAAATCCCCGCGAAAATCTTATTTATAATTAATTTTAAAAATAAAATAAATAAAAAACTTTATTTATATATATATCGTATTTTTTATAAAAAAAGTAATTAAAAACTTTTTACGTAATAACGTCGTTATTTTATAATCTTTTAATTCCGCTTCGTAATAAGGTTAATTATTATAATTTTTATTATTATTATTATTATTATTACGAAAAAATTATAAAAATATAAAAAATAATGTTTTTAATAAATTTAAAAAATGGTATTATATATTAATAGTAATATTTTAAAATAATTAAATTTATATTTAACGTAGTTTTTATTAAATAAATATATGTTTAATTTTATTAATAATACCGTTTTTTTTATACTTCTTTTTTTTCACTTTTTAATAAAAAAAATATAACATAAATTATTACGGCGTACGTTTAAAAATATAAATTATTAAATAAATTATAAAAATTTTATATTTAAATATAAAATGTAAAATTTAATTTAACACGTTTAATATATCTTTAATAAAACTTTAAAATAATTATATAAATAACGATCCCCCGGTATTAATATTAATTATTATTATTATTATTATTTTATTTAATAAAAGGAAAAAATTAAATTAAATATATTAAATTAATAAATAACCTTTTTTAAAGATTAAATATTAATCGCGAAAAAAATAATATTAAAAATTTAAATAATAAAAATATAAATAATAATTAATAAAAATTATTTAATTTTTACTTAAATATTATTATATTTATAAGTTTTTTTAAATATTATCGTACTTTATATTTAAATAAAACTTATTATTAAAATGAAATATATTTATTTTAAAATAAATTAAAAATTTAACATAATAAATATTAATTTTTCTTAATTACCCCTTAAAAATTAAATATTTAAAATAAAAAGTTTTATAATTTTAATACTTAATAATATTTATTTAAAAAAGAAAAAAAAATTTAAATATAAATAACTAAATAATTTATTTTCTTTTTAAAAACTTATAATTTTTTTTATAACGAAATAATTAACTTTATTAACGTTAATTTATATTAAACTTTAAATAATTACTTAAATATAACGTTAAAATAAAAAAATTAATTAAATAAGTAAATTATAAAATTTAAATATTAATATAAAATTAAAAAATAAAATAAAAAATAAATAACATATAATATATACTTAATAAAAAGTAAAAATAAATTATGTTTTTCCTTAAATTTAATAAATATTTACTTATATAACTTTCACTTTATTTTTTCCTTTATTAATAAATCGTAAAATTTAATAATAAAAATTAACATTATTTTTTCGTTTTAACTTATTAAATTAAAAACTTTATAAAATAAAAAATATTTTTATTTATAATAAGTATATATTTACTTAAATATTAAAAATATTATCATTAAACATTAACAACGCTTTATAAACCATAAAGCACAGTGTAAGTTCCATATATACTGCTTATTAATACTGTATACATTTCAATACATTAATTGAATTGGCGGGTTGGCGGATACGGGCTTATGGTCCACCCTAGTTACTCTGCAAAGAGTCATAACGCCCGTCATGCAACATCCCGTCTCAATGTTGTACTACAGGCTACAGAACAAACGGCTGCTCGCCGTTTGCCCTCTTAAACTTACTTCTTCACATAATTCTAGAGAAAAGAAAAGAAATACTCTAGAAAATACTCTACGATGGAAAGAAACCCTACCGCAACTATGAAGTGTGCTAACTGGAAAGATGGAGGCAAGATCTGCCCTTCAGAGGGCAAATTCGCTTGTAATGCCTGCAAGTTAGTCGCGGTGAGTACCTACCCAGAGCAGCTCTTCTAGGCTTAGTTTTCAGACCCTAACAATCGATGACTTCAAAGTACTGCGGCCGCGACTGTCAGAGGGAGCATTGGACTGAACACAAGAAACAATGCAAATCATCTTTGAGAAATGAGAATTGGACTCCGGCTTGGGATCTGGAACAGCGGACGCCTCAATGGGCTTCCGAACGGGCAGCATTCAATATGCACAATCCGTTCGGGGAGGGAAAGCATCTTTGGGGCAACACACCTGCGATGGATGTGCTTCGACTACATGACAACGAAGGCCAGGGCCATGACAAGCATCTATCGATATTGTTCGCAGGTATGTGCTCCATGACACGTACTCAATATCATACAAGACCCGCTAACGAAATCTAGCATCCGGTGACCTGAGAAACGTAATAAAGACTGTTCAAAACTACGACGGAGACCTTCACATCACCATGGCTATCAACGACAAGGACTCGGACATTATGATAAGAAATGCCATCCTACTACTTCTGGTGTTAGCTTCTCTTGACGAAGAATCTGAGAAAATTGATATCGAAGGGTTGGCCGAGGCCATGATGCATGTTTGGTACTCTGCCATGCTCACCAAGGATACTCTATCTCTCTTGCAATCGAAGGTAAAGCCACTCATCAGCAAAGTATGCCAGAAAATCTCTTCAAAGACGTCAGGTCTTTATCTGGGACAGCTGTGGCACTTTAAATCGAAGTGTAGTCTTCGTCTGACTCTAAGAGAGAAGGACTGGATCCGAGCTCTAACGTTCCTCGAGGTGCCCAAAGACTTGACGGCAGAAAAAGCACGAGAGATGCGACATGCTATCGTGTTGGCGCCGGAGAGGAAGGATTATCGAGAAAGATGGTACTTCAAGGATGCCTCTCCCTCCATGAGAATCGCGAAGCAGAGATTCCGAGAGGATGGCCTGTTGCTCCCTTTCGGGTATCCGCGTGTTGGTTTCGACTATCCCAACCCGTAAGCTTCCACTAACCCCCCTTCCTCCCTCTCCTTTGATCTTTTGTTTAATACGCAGCAGAACAATATTCCAGGCAGCTCATAACTGGCCGCTAGATGACCAAGCAAACCCGCTAGGTAGTTGGCCTATCGGAGAGGTCAGATCGACACCATGTCAAGCCTCCGAGGACGTATACGGTAGATTATACTTCTATCTCCGCAACGTACTAAGCGCTTTCATCCGGAAAGTCGCTGCTGGAAAAATATACTTCGAGCTGACCGACAACGATGCTAAAGAACTACGAAATCTACGCCACGAGAAATACGACAGAATCGAAGTAAGTATGTTTCTTGTCACCAGTCCTTGATCAAGTAACTGATCAGTTAGGCATCCAATATTTCGGACATGTGTTGGCTCGGGACACCAGAGACTTTAGGGTCACTAGCACCATTACTCAAGCCTCCACAAGTGAACCCTCACGCCACCCTCATAACCGTGTATCTAAACGCAGTCATGGAAATGTCTAAGATGGACGAGGTAAAGGGCAATCAAATGACCGACTACGTGGAAGACGTTCAGCCGTATTTAAAAGAAAGAGTACAGATCCCTCGGCTCCTCAGAAACCCCCAAGGCGCCGAAGTAATTCGCCTTTGGGATGCCCGAGCCCTCGTTATGGACGCGACGGAGTACTTCCGCAAGTTCGTAACATGTCTGTATTCCCTCCTAATCAAGATTTTCTGACAATATATAACTAGATACATGGAAAAACTAGATTTTCCGCAGATCGCACAATGGCTAGGTGTTGCTATGAAAGAGGAGAATACTATCGGAGATCCGTGGCCTACGGCTCTCAAGCTTGCCGCAGGAGAACCTGGCGCGGTGGAAGAGTTTGGCGCGGTTCTAGCTTCGACCTACACGGGAGTTGAGCGATATGTTGAGTGGAAGAGAGTGAGATAGAGAGAAGAAGGAAAGATTTCGAGATATCTCGGCCGCCACTCATACCGGTCAAATCTGGTAAATGATGCCATCACAGAGGAATGATGGATTGGGAAATGGAGATTTTATGTGTGTTTGTTCGTTTGGTATTTACCTAGAATCTAGATAGATATTGATGTATATGTATTCACCTGATTGGATCTTGTTCGAATTCAATGTGACAGCGGCGACTACAGCCCATATCATGCAAAAACAGAAAAAGAAAAAGAAAAAAAAGGAGACAACTCTTTTACCACATACCCAATAACAAATATACAAAAAGAGAAAAAGAAAATGACTTCGACGCAGGCCTGATTCGAACAGACGCCCCCGAAGGGATGTGATAACATATCATGAGATACTCTAGAAATTCTAGTCACACGCATTAGACCACTCTGCCACTGCGCCAGCTATTGGATGTGGATTACCGATGACAAACCCGCTCTTTTAGCCCTCTATATCGTAAGAGAAAACGGCCCCGAATGAGGAAAAGATTTACCGGCGCTTTACTTGATTTAGATAGGGCTTGGACCAGGGCTAGCTGAGCGAGAGATTGGGGTTAATACTGAAGAAGCCAAATGACGCATTTCCTCATACTCGAGTTTACGACTTGAAGAGCTATCACTCTCAGGACAAACATACTATCGAAAACTTGCATCGAGAAGACCAATGTAGTAGAAAAGGGTATTCGAATAATCTCTCTACCAGCCTAGCTAAATACAAAAGAAAGATGCTCGCGCGCATCCAGGTATAGCTATCATTACTAGATTCGGTCATTAATAGTATAGACTCGTCAGTATCGTAAGAGTTTAGTTTAATTTCTTTCTTTCTTTCTTTCCTTTACTCTCCTCCCATTTCCCATTTCCCTCCCCCCTCTCCCCAACATCACCATCACCACCTCCATCTACCGTTTAAACCTCGTCAAAAACCCCAACCTCCAAAACCTCGTCCCCAACCCCTCCTCACGATTCTTCTCCCCCCCTCCCGCTGCAAACTTCTCCCCCTTCCCACCCCCCAAACTCAAACTCCCACTTCGCCCACCCAGCCGTCCCTTCAGCGCCCAAAGCGAATCCGCCTTCCTCAAAAGCGGTATCCTCGAGCGCGGCTTAACATCCACCTCATCGCTCTGCGTCCAATCAACACGATGGTCCGCGGGGTTCCCAGGAACCGCGAGCGTTTCCTCCGACGAGATCTCGTCGATGGGGACCTCGATCGGCACGCCGAGGACCGGGTGCAGGCCCACGGTGAACGTCTGCGTCGTAGACTCGTCTTCGGCAATATTCCCGATCGCGCTGCTGCGCCGCCGCATCTTGACTTGCGTTAGCCCGATGATGCTGTGTCGTCGGAAATGCGGCGCGATGTCTTCGTGGTCTGCGTGCGAGGAGGCGGATATGGGACGCGCGTTGTTTTGGAAGGGGTTTTGGAAGTGTGGTTTGCTGCTGTTGCTGTTGGCGCGCTCTAGGGCGATCTGGCTTTGTTGCTGTGTCGGGTCCGGCGAGGCGCGGTCTTTGGCGTGGTGTTTGAGGCCGGATTGGGAGAGGCTGTGTGAGAGGTTGCGGTCGCGCATGCCGTTTACTGTTGTTGTTCTTTCGAACTGCGCGGCTGCGGATTGGGGAACATGGTGGTAAGTTGGTGGTTGTGGTTGTGTTTGAGCCTGTGTTTGTGATGCTTTGTCTGTTGTTTTTGATGCTGGTGGCGGCTCTGATTTAATTACAGATTTCCGCCGTAGCTTGTCTTGGATCGATTTGGACATCGAACGTCCGGTCTTTGGTTCGGGTGGTTGAATACTGCTCTCCTTCGGAGGCGGAGGCGGATCCGACAACATGGATTTGCGCCTCGTCACCCTCGCCGCGAAACTCGATTCGTTAGGTCCTGGCTTCGTCGATTCTGGTCGACTTATAGGTGTATCGTGGTCTTTGCTCTGCGTTGAAACTGTTCCTACTTCCGCTAACCTTTCTCTTCTTTTCCTCTTCTCTTTCGCCGCTTCTTGTTCAGCGATAACAACGTATAACCGTCGACGTAAATCATCGGGATCGAAGGGCTGCGACTTGTGTCTATGCTGTTTGATGATATTCTGTTTGTATGGATCCGGTTTAACGACACTTTGTCTAGTTGACACGGACTGGTGACGGGCATCCGTAGGACGGCCCATGGTAAATTGCATTATGCTCCCCCTCTTTTTAAGATGCGTAAACTCGACAAGATGAGCCTGTAAGCAGATCTAGATTCTTATGTGTATCAAAGCTCGTAATAATATGGAACGAATGTATAACTCAATATTTTGGAGTTTACTTGATTTGGCAGCTCGTATAAGGTTTCCTTGAGATGTACGTAAGTCGGGTGAGATTATAGGTAGATTCTAGACTCTAGACTCTAGAATTCTACTCTATCCGAAATCTCAACTTGTCATAAATTGGATGTGCCAAATTCTTATCTGCGTATACTGCGTGGCGCGTGGTCTCTCTCACGAGACTCTTGCTTGCTCACAGAGTTTAAGGCCAAGACGGCAGCGATAATCGATGTAAGACAAGATTAGACTAAGTAACTAGGTAGCGGAAAGATCCAGGAAGCATGTGAGGGAGAACCTTTCACGAGCAGCATCTAGGTTTTAAAGAAAGTATGTTACATCGGCTCCGCGAGACGGGCGAGGCGATCCATCTTATACTACAATAGGGAGGTCGACCCTTCTTAAATGAAAATCCGGGGCAAGGCCTGCAGAACGCGCCCATCTCGGGCAAGTGAGTTGAAGGCTTCTTTTTAAGGTAACATGGGTGGTACAGGCCCTACAGGGACCCCGTCAGGACCCGTGAACGGTAGCGAACGGGACTGGTCCGTCACTTGACTATCGGTCTTCGTTAGCCTCAGCTACTTAGTACCGTAATCTAAGAGCTAAAGCTGCACCGAGTATGTAGGTACCTGCTGCTAAAGAAGATGGAGGGAAACACTAACGATTCCCGGCGAGTGCGTGACCTCGGTTCTCTTTGTTGCCCTTAATTTCTACGATACTCCGACCTTCGAGCCTTTCGAGCCTTCGTGGCCCGTGGGTTACGCGGAACCGAAGACGCAGTTCTGGTGTCATAATTTACCCGTCTCTGGATCTGTGATGCAGTGTAACGGTCTCCTGTAGGAGCCATACATAGTAGGAGCCAAAGGAGGCGGTCTGCTGGGATGGCGTAGGTATGGACACATGGTAGGCACGTATTTGAATTTTGAGCAGGAGAAAGCTCTACGGTGGATAGGTAATAATGAACAGTGAACAATGAACAATGAACAAATGCAAATGAGACAGATGGGGGGGCGTGCGAATGGGGTGGGAGGGGACAATGGCGGTTGAATCCTTGTCATCGATCCTGGTCGTACATAAACCCCAGCCTATGTAGCTGATTCTGATCGCATATTGGTTCGTGCCGAATGGCTTATGCACGTACCCTAGTGGCTTTTTCCCCAAGGGGAAGAGAGGAGAATTGAGCCAGTATGGGGTCGGGGAGAGCGCCCTCTCATTCCAAATTCTGCGAAGGTTAGTCCTTAATGTAGGAAGTTGCACGACGTCTTGAATCGGCCTTCTTCCGCCAGAAGGTCTCGGTGTTTTAATCTGCACTTCCCGTACTACTACAGGGTATGGTACGGGATGCCATGCCCCTGGCGGTACGTTCTGGTTGCATCCCATGTACGTATGTACGTACATAGGTAGGTCGATTCTTGATAGCTACCGCATCGACCGTACGACGGCTCGGTCGATGAGAGCGTGCTCATCGAGTTCGGGTGTCGAGATATCATACCCATACCCGGAGACGTTCCAGTCTTGTTCGGCCTAGAGCGCCTATTGATAGGTACAGTGCACTCGTATGCTTGGCTTTCACCAATATTTGCCCACAGTCGGGTCTCGCCAACCGGCAGTTTAGGGTGATACGTCGAATCATACCAACAATCTGCAGGTTAGCGTGCAGAGATCCTGCTGGAGTCCTGCTGGAGACCTGCTAGCGATAAAAGCTATGTAACTCTGCAGAAGGGATACCAATCAATGACCACGACTTCGAAGTAAACTGTAATATTGAGGAGTCTTCGACTTCTTGTCCATTGGCGATTGCGCACTTTGAGGAGAACTTTTACGTTGAGTTAAACACGTAGCTCCTGTAAATACTAGGTAAGCACTCTAACCGTCGATGAGCTAAAGCGAGTGAACCGTGGCGTTCGAGAATCTGGTATTTATATTTTGACGCCAGACATGATGATCAGACGACGCTATCGAATGATAAGTTGGTATTAAGGATGATTTGGTAGGTTGGTAGGATAATTTAAGCAGGGATAAGTTGAAGAGGCTCTCTGTCAGGTCCACGGCCAAGTTTATCCTCACAGATTTGATCCACGGACGCCAACAAACCATACTTTTATTAAGCCGATATCCTTGCTATATGTATGTAGATCCCGTTAGGCATGAGCACGGATGACAATACATCGCGAAGAACATTCCAAGGTTCTAGGGTCGTAGGGACCTAGGGGTTAGCCGCTGACAACTAGATATGACTTATGTTATGTATGTGTGACTATCTCCAAAAGATAGTTCTTACCTAATGCATACTCGAATAGCCAAAGACGCACATTTGTGGGCTTGATTAATACGAAAATGGAGTAATTGCGAGAGGTTCCAAGTTGAGATGGTTATTGTTTGTTCTAGTCAAATTCGACAATTCGACATCGCGTGTATCATCCGCGCTACAAATAGAGCTCGAAGAATGATACACTATCACCAGGTTAGAAACATCGACGGTAGTATCGTACCAGCCGTGGCATGTATAGAATGACAAATTCGGAGTTTTTAAGCATCGTCGATCGACAAACAATCCTTGATCTACGGACCGAGTGTTGAAGAGCCGGGGTTCCGGATGATACCGAACACTGATCTATAATACGAACATCGCAGCAATAAGATTTTAGTCGCTATAATATTGACAGCGAACACAAAGATGATAGCTTAATTCGTAGTCGCATAGCTAAATCAGGAATGATTGTCGGAGGTAGTTCGATATAATAGGAAAGGAAGAGCCTCTTCAGGTAAACGTGGCCCGTGAGAACTTGTCTAGAATATCGCAGTAGGTTTGCAGCCGTGACAAGTGTAAAAGGGCTGGTAATTGACCGAGTCGGCCCTAACTTGAGGAAGAGAAAATTTTCATAGATGATGAAATAACTGTTGCGTTGCGCAGAAATTCAAACAATCGGCCAAATTAAGATTAAGAGAAAGTGACAACATGTTCGGATCAACTCTATTAGAAGGGAAGCTCCATCTCCATATTCAACTACCTTAGTTCCTACTCTCGACAAAAGAAAGAAGGAGCATTCACTGGTAGTTACTGGGCTGTAAAAGTATAATTGTGCTAGAACAGGACAAAAAGTGAAATTGTTAAGCTCTCGATCGGGGAATCGAACCCCGGCCACCTGCGTACTTGTTCAATGACAAGCAGGTATCCTGACCACTAGACCAATCGAGATAAAAGCATCCTGTGAATGCTGATGTCGCTAGGCGGTTGTTGACAAATCGTTTGGAAGTTTAGTATATGTAGCTGGCTGCAATGGGAGCGACAAACCAATGAAAAGCCCCGCTATAGAGTAGCTCATACAACATAGACATTCACATGTGAGGTCTCTCTTGACAGATATTAGCAATATTTCGACTCAAACTCTTTCTTAAAACTTCTAAAATGGTAGGATTCGATATACGAACCTATCGAGAACGATATCTTCTATGGAAATTTATTGAGAATAGAGAAACCATCATAAACCATGATACTGACTGGAAGTATTCTCTACATAGATCTCAGGAGTGGGGTTTAGATCTAACTCCAAATCTCCACAACGGAGATGATCTACTGCCCCTCACCTGGGCACCACCGATAAGATACCTATCATATTCATAGATTATGTTAGAAAGAGAAGCTAGTAACGCCTTCTGGTGAGCAAGTATTCTAGCCTTGTCTTGGGGGTCATGTGCCTGAGTGAAAAGTGAAGAAAGTCTCTCATAGAATAGTTATACCAACTACTTACAGGTAGTAACCAACTCAATCCACTGTAACATTGAACAACCCTTAAACAAATTTAAAATTTCAGTGACCCCGCAATGGCATTTCACTCGCACGACGGCGGCTTGACAAGCCATGCCTCCCACTCCCACGAATTCTCAGCCGCCGAGCATGGCCACTCGCACGAGATCCTCGACGGACCCGGGAGCTTCCTGGGGCGTGAGATGCCCATCGTAGAAGGCCGCAATTGGAACGAGCGCGCCTTCACCATCGGTATAGGAGGGTAAGCTCTACACCCGTACCCCATTAAGAAAGAGACATAAAGAGAGGGCAAGAATAGCCATAACACGCACCATAAAACTAACACCCCCAGCCCCGTCGGCTCCGGCAAAACCGCCCTAATGCTCTCCCTCTGCCTCGCCCTCCGAGAGCACTACTCCCTCGCAGCCGTAACCAACGACATCTTCACGCGCGAAGACGCCGAATTCCTAACACGTCACCGAGCCCTCCCCGCCTCGCGGATCCGGGCCATCGAAACAGGCGGGTGCCCACACGCCGCCGTGCGGGAAGACGTATCCGCGAACCTCGCGGCGCTCGAAGACCTGCACGTAGCCTTCTCGACCGACCTGCTCCTCATCGAATCCGGAGGCGACAACTTGGCTGCAAACTACAGCCGAGAACTCGCGGACTTCATAATCTACGTGATTGACGTGAGCGGCGGGGACAAGATACCGCGGAAGGGGGGCCCGGGGATAACGCAGAGTGATCTGCTGGTGGTGAATAAGACGGATTTAGCGGAAGCCGTGGGGGCGGATTTAGGTGTTATGGAGCGGGATGCGAGGAAGATGCGGGAGGGGGGACCGACGGTGTTCGCGCAGGTGAAGAAGGGGGTTGGGGTTGATCATATTGTGAATTTGATTGTGAGTGCGTGGAAGGCGAGTGGTGCTGAGGAGGTGTGTAAGGCGAGAGGGGGGCCGAAGCCTACGGCTGGGCTAGAGGCGTTGGCGTGATGGGTTACGGTTATAGGTGACTCGTGAGAGGCGAACTTATAAAATATTATGATACCAAGAAATCAAATCTTCACTTAGAGAAACATGTTGCTAAACGGTGGTAGGATCAAAACCATTATCATTTATCTCGTAATAGTCCGAACGATTGTGACGTCCAAAGTCATGTGCCGTGCTCCTCTTGGTCTTTTATAGGTGACCGGAAGCCGACATGCTTATGCTCTATCTATATTTGCATGTCTACTGTATATCCTCACCCATAGACTCGTCTTGCGATACCGAAGCTCCCGCTTCCAAGAGGGGCCCGGTAAAGGGAATGGCGTTCCGCGGCCACACCCTCTTGTAAAGACTAACGCCAACCGCATCTTGCGGGTTGATTCTTCCGTCAAAGTTTGCCTTGAAGTACCCGTGAGTACCAAGTGTCTCTTTGATATATCCAGCTCTACCTCTCTTCGTCCATAACGGCAATGCCTTGAACCATTCTACGTCTTCCCGATTGAAGAACATGTACCGGATGGTAACGACCTTCTTGTGAATATGGTAAGGATGGCCAGTCAAGATGACACGTTTTGCGATGACCCTAGACGTTGAAGGTGCACGAGCGGTGCCTGTTGCTACTAACTGGAGGGGAAGGCCGTTTCCATCTTCCCCGGTTGTCCGTTTGAAGAATAACGTCGGCACAGACCCCCAAGTAATGGGACCCATAAACGTTGCGATGGCAGACTGGCCGGGGTGAAGGTATCGGCAGTATTTATGGACATCGTTCTCGGTGTTGCCGGGAAGCGAAAATAAGGGGTTGATGACGAACCGTCGAGGGCCACATTGAACAATGAGCTCCTCCTTGCCCTTGATAGACTTTTCAAAGTCTTCCTTGTGGGTGATATCGAAGTTCAAAGATGTCTTCTTATTTTCATGTCGTAATAGAGAGAAGAGTGTGATTGGTTGTGAAGGCGTGTATGACTTCTCTAAATCTCTAGGGACGTCTTTAAGGTGAATATGCACCCTTGTGCCAGGGGCGACTCCACCAACGAGGGCTTCTCGCAATGAGCGGTTTCGAGAAGATTGATAATCGGAGATTTGTAATAATCTCGACCACTCATCTGGTTGGAATGGCCGGTCCTCGTCCGTATTCCAAGGGCTTGTCCTCAGGCTCTTCAAGCCTCGATATTTCGCTAGACGCTCCCTAGCAAGAACATTGGGGTGTAATTCAATCTCGTCAGGGAACTCCTTGTCGTCTTCTGCCTCGTCGCGTTTCCTAGAGCGATATGCTTCTAGCTGTGCAGCATCATCGTCCTCGTTTGGTTCAACAAACATCTCTGACTGAGGGTATTCCGACATGGCAGCCTCGGTAGGCTCCCTATGCGCAATACCCTCCATACCGTCTTCCGGTGCTGCAGGTAGGTTCTCGTCTTGCGCGTCCTCCATTTCTTGATCATCTAGCTCTGACTCGGAATCTGAAACATCGTCTAAGAACCAAGCTGCTTGGTAGGACGATGTTCCCTTGGGTAATTTCTTCGGCATAGTATACTCTTCCCGTTCTTCTTCCGAGAAGTAGTGATGATCGTCTAACAAAACACCCTTTTGTTTTATAGGCTCTTCCACATTTCCTTCCATTTCAGCATCATCCATCATAACTTCTTCTGGTGCTAAGTCGGCAAGATCATCTTGATCCTCGTCGGGGATTTCTAGGATATTATCGGTTTCTGACTCCTCTATGATCATCCCGTCGCCTTTCCTGTTCTTAACCAGGAGTGGTGCGGCCGTGATCTTCTCGATTTGAAAGGTTCCCCAGTCTCCAACCTGAACCAGGCGATCAGCCTTCAGCCCCTTTCCCCGAACGACACCAGTTAACACTGTTGATTCATTTTCAGTGGATGGCCACTGGATTCCGTCAACGAGCATCCATGACCGTTGGTCCCTCCAATGGATACCCTTTGGTGTTGTCGTGCAAAGTGACCTCATAAGATTAGAGCATTCTTGTCTTGAGTCGAGGTTATAAATCTTTTCTTGCCCTGGGTGGAAATGTGTCATAAATGAGGCGAGCGACTTGACAACATCAGAGCGGGCCTTTGCGGGTTGAATTGCATCCAAATTTTGTACAGCTGTGAATAGTGTTGACATGCCCTGATTCTCAACACTTCGGATGATAAGCTCGCCTAAAGCGTCAACCTCGACCTCAGAAGAGAGCACGAATACGACGTAATCTGCCACTCTTGCCGCATCCATAGATGCTGTGAGGTCCCTCTTGACCGGTACATATTGCAGCTTTTGCTTGAATCGATCGACGGGTACTCGGAAGCTGGTTTCGGTGACCTCGGATTCGATATCGAGACTTTTGTTTAGACTCTGGATAGCGGTAGTGACATTGACGTCGGCGCACAATGGAACAACTGCAACTATTCTTGGCGCAGAATCTCGGCCAGAGAAAATTGAAGTCTCCTTTTGGTGTTCCTTGTGTTTGGCTAGCTGGCGCTGCTTTGCCTGATTGCGACGGTCGAATTTAGACATGACTTGTTGATGAGGAGTTTTTCGTTGGCCTGTTTCGTTGGGTACTTTGCCTTTGGCTTGGTCTCGCAAAGCGCCTTTGGTGGCTTTCTTAGACTTGAAAGACTTGGGCAAGACTTTCGTAGTCGGCCGGTGAGAATGACTTGCTACTGCTGAAGGCATTTTAACGTCGCCTCCAGCCTTAAATCTAAAAGGTAGAGTCGCCAGGATGTGTAGTGCCGTTACCCCGTTGTTGTTCGTTGGTCGTAATGCCTGTATGATCTTACAGGATCTGCGCCGATGATTCAAGTTGACTCAAATTGATTCAAATTGACGAATTTTTGGAGGGGCAGAGGGGCTTGGAATGCGAATCTTTATCGTAATATTTCCAATGTTTTTTTCCTGTGGTTATCGTTGCTTATCGGAGACAGACCCACCGATAAGATTCTTATCAGCTTATCGTCTCTTTCCTCAGAAATTTTTGGGAAAGTTCGATGTCTCTCGAAAGTTTAGCTTGGCATTCATTGGTCGATCTTACAATATTGAACTTGCAAATTACAAACTTTCAATTCTTTACTTCTTACACGTCGCGCATCGCCCCCTCATGAATAATAGATTCAGGGGCTAAGATGGAGGTCGATACTACACCTGTCGACAAGTCGAGCAAGACGAAATTCGACAATGACGCCCGTGTTGTCAAGCGAACTAGAACGGAACTCGTTTCGAAAGAAGAGCGAGAGAAACGTCGGCGACTAAAGGAGGCGCAACGAGACTACGGGCGAGGGAAAAAAGTCAATGTTAAGGGAATTAAGGATAAGAAACTGCGAAGCAATCTCAAGTCCCTTGAAAACAAATATCAAGAGGCTACGATTAAGGCGAAAGATGCCGAAATACTTCTCGAGAATACCAGCGGTTTCTTAGAGCCCGAACACGAATTGGAACGAACATACAGAGTGCGACAGGATGATATACAGGACGAAGTCTCTGCCGAGTCAGCAAAGAAGCGATTCGAACTGAAACTTGATCAATTTGGACCCTACGTTTTCGAGTATTCGCGAACCGGCCGAGAGTTATTGCTAGGAGGACGTAGAGGTCATGTTGCTACTATGGATTGGCGCGAAGGAAAACTCGGATGCGAACTTCAACTTAGAGAAACCGTCCGAGACGTACAGTGGCTTCATAATAACCAGTTTTTTGCTGTGGCGCAGAAGAAGCACGTTTACATATATGACCGTCAAGGAGTCGAAGTCCATTGTTTGAGGAAACACCAAGAAGTGACCCATATGGAATTCTTACCATACCATTTCCTATTGGCAACTTTGGTGAGTTTTGTTGACTGTACTACGCTTGGCTCAATAATTACTGACCACGAGATTAGGGCATGTCTGGCTTCCTCAAATATCAAGACGTATCTACCGGTCAACTCGTGACAGAAATACCAACAAAACTTGGGGCCCCGGTCTCTCTCGCCCAAAATCCTTACAACGCAGTCTTGCATACTGGACACCAAAATGGGACTGTCACATTGTGGTCTCCGAACTCCCCCGAGCCGTTGGTGAAGCTGTTAGCGCACAAAGGACCTGTCCGATCTTTGGCTATTGATAGAGAAGGTAGATACATGGTATCGGCGGGACAAGACTGTAAGATGGCTGTATGGGATATAAGAATGTTCAAGGAGGTCAACAACTACTTTACGCGCCAGCCGGCCTCATCTATTGCAATATCAGATCGAGGGTTGACTGCAGTAGGGTGGGGAACGAAAACGACCATTTGGAAGGGCCTCTATTCAAAGCATGCAGCCGAGCAGGAAAAGGTCCAAAGTCCGTACATGGCTTGGGGCGGTGAAGGGAAGCGCATCGAACGCGTTCGCTGGTGTCCATTCGAGGATATTCTCGGATTGGGCCATGACGAGGGCTTTTCGTCGATCATTGTACCAGGTGCAGGAGAACCCAACTTTGATGCTCTCGAAGTAAATCCATTCGAGACTGCCAAACAGCGACAAGAAACCGAGGTCAAGTCGCTGCTGAACAAGTTGCAGCCCGAGATGATCGCGTTGGATCCGAACTTTATCGGAAATCTGGATCTACGTTCCGATAAGCAGCGCCAAGCGGAGAAAGATCTCGACGCTAAACCAGTGGATATCGAAACAGAAATTAGAAACAGGGCTCGCGGGAAGAACAGTGCACTACGGAAATACCTGAGAAAGCAGCGAGCCAAGAATATCATCGATGACAAGCGGCTGAAGGTTGAAGAACTCTGGAAGGAACAGCTTCAACAGCGGGAGCAGAAGCAAAAGGAGAAGGAGGTTGAGCTTGGCCCGGCTCTAGCAAGATTCGCTAAGAGAGACTAAGCAGAATATAACACGAGTTTGGGGGTGACCAATCCAACTTTGGGTTGTCGCCTTAATGTGCCATATATTGACTTCTTAGTTGGCGTTTTGATTCTGAAGAGTTGGGTGAAACAAAGGAGAATATCAACGTGGCTTGATGGTAGAGGGACCTATGTTTATACCCATAGTTGTGATGCATTGCTGAAATTCATATCGAATACTTATGTCTACCTCTTGTTGGTTCCTGCGTCGTGTTCAGAGACAACGAAACATGGTGTGACTATAAGACGATTCATTGGAAGACGAGTCCTACTTATCTGAACAGTTTGAATTACGTAGTAACTTGTTATTGATGTTTTTGATTTGTTTCTGATATGCACCTAGGTACGTTTGGTTTCTAGCTTCTATTGTTGAGCTGGCAAACCTGATAATTACATTTACATGAATATTGGCTAACTGAAAACAACTCATATGTGACGGTTGGTCGAGTTGGTGGTGGTTATCGAATAGTTACATTTGTGCATGTGCATTAGCCAGCTGACATCATTTATTCCGTTAAGCTCCCTCCATTGGTGCATGTGCCACTGGCAGAGTGGCGCCTGTCACTGTTTTTTAGAGTTCTTAACAGCTGTTGAATTGAGTTGTCCAATCAGATTATATAAAGGTTCAAGGTTAGTCTTGACTAGGGAGATCCTTGTCGCCTCGAATTGTCATTTCTACACCTACACAACTTATTAATCCCTATTCTTTCCTTGCTTTCGTATTCGAATGATGCTAGGAGATGGCCATCTTTTCCCTTGATTGATAACTTGGAACTTGTACATATTTCGGATCGTTCTTTTAATAGCCTTTTTTCAAACATGAACGGTCATTTTTCGTCTGTCGGCGACAAGCCGACCAAAGCTCAATATGGGCACGGCATTCAAGTTATTGATGAGGATAAGGAGTTCAAGTAAGCTTCCTTGTCTTGCTATAGCTATTCGTCGATCTGACCAACTGTCGCATTGTCCTCGACACCGTTGTCGCTAACCTACGCGCTTTTAGTTCGAACATCAATTCTTACTTACATGCAACCGACGTCGCTGATGCTGGATTCAACTACCACCTAATATCCGTCTTCGGTTCCCAGTCTACTGGCAAATCTACGCTTCTCAACAATCTTTTTGGTACCGAGTTCAATGTAATGTCCGAAAGTGAACGACGTCAAACCACGAAAGGAATATGGATGTCAAAGAACAAAAAGGGGTCTATGGCCGACAACATTCTCGTTATGGACGTAGAGGGTACCGATGGCCGAGAAAGGGGTGAAGACCAGGATTTCGAAAGAAAGAGTGCACTGTTCGCCCTAGCAACTAGTGAAGTGCTTATCGTCAACATCTGGGAGCACCAAGTCGGATTATACCAGGGAGCCAACATGGGTCTATTGAAAACTGTTTTCGAAGTCAATCTCCAACTATTCTTGAAGGATAAACAGTAAGTCTAAAAGGGACCGAGCGGATACCCCGGGCTGAGGACAAGGCTAATGTTGCACATCTAGATCTACGCCCAGATCCCTCCTGTTCTTCGTCATCCGCGACCACATCGGTCACACTCCCCTGTCGAATCTTCGAAACACCCTAATTCAAGATCTCACTAAGATCTGGTCCTCGATCTCTAAGCCCACCGGTCATGAGAAATCGCGTATAGAAGATTACTTCGACTTTGCATTCGCTGCGCTACCCCATAAAATCTTACAACCTGATAAATTCGAAAGCGAGGTCAAAAACTTGGGAGGCAGGTTCGTCGCTGGGAACCGGAACTCTAAGACTCAGTTAGAACATGGCGAACAGGAGCTCGCGGGAGGCGTCTTTTTGCCCGAATACCACCGAAGGATTCCCGCCGACGGTTTCTCTCATTACGCAGAGGGTATCTGGGACCAGATCGTGAACAACAAGGATCTTGATTTGCCAACGCAGCAGGAACTTCTAGCTCAGTTCCGATGTGACGAGATCTCACGAGAAGTTTTAATAACCTTCGACGAAGCAATCAGCCCGTTAGAGGAGCAGCAAGCAGATGCGACCCGTAGCGGTAAACCAATTGTCCTGCCGAATCTCGGTAGCACGGGTAGTGCAACTAGAGAAAAATGCGTCAAGTCCTTTGAAGTACAAGCCAGTCGATACCATAAGAAGGTTTACTCTCTCAAACGAACCGACTTGGAGACCAAGATCGACCAGCGTCTCAAAGCACTGTATCAGGGCCAGCTATCCTCTCTTCATAAAACTGGTGTGACTACGTTCAGCGATGATGTATCCAGCGCCGTGAAAGCGGGTCAGAAGTCCGGCGGCGCCTACGAATTTGCTGAAATTGTGGAAACGGCGAAGGTCAAATCTCTAGAGATATTCAGGAAGGAGGCGCAGGGTCTAGCAATTCCAGACGTGCCATGGACCAACTTTAAACCTCAATATGTCCTCTTTGAGAAGGAGCTCGATCAGGTCAGCTCTCGCTTGCGAAAGGAAGAGATGCGAAGACTGGCGACTCGAGTCGAACGTTGGGTCAAATCTCGTCTAGGAGACTCCGTCGGACTCGAGTTCAACAAGCTAGGATCGGGGCGGGGAGGATCCGGAGCTCCCGAGACCGGCGAAAAGCCAGCTACCGAGAAAGATCTCTGGGATCGTATCTGGAACCTCTTTACATCTATCGTCAAGGATGCCGAGAGTCGGTTCGCAGAAAGAGCCAAGAGTTTTGAAGCAAGCGAGGAAGAGGTCCAGGTCGGATTATGGCGTCTTCGAAGGAAGAGCTGGGTAGCACTCCGAGAGAAAATTGAGGAAGAAGTGATGGAGGGCAACATCCTCCTAAAGCTTCGAGAGAACTTCGAGGATAAGTTCCGCTACGACGAAGCGGGTGTTCCTCGAATATGGCGACCTGCTGATGATATCGAGGGCATCTACACGCGCGCTCGAGAATCAACGCTAACTCTCATTCCGCTCCTTTCCAAGTTTAAACTTCTTACAACTTCCTCTCCACCAGACCTAGAGGAGTTTATTGGCCATCAACCTCCTGGTGTGGAGCCGGAGGATGAGGACGATCTTGCACCGATTGGTGGTATTGACGAAGAAGATGGAAAGAGCTTCGAAGAAGAAGTGACCGTTCTGAGCGAAGCCAAACGTCAAGATCTAGTAGTCCGATTCAAGAAGACTGCCGACGGCGTATATTTGGAGGCCAAACGAAGTGCCATTGGTGGAATTACACAAGTCCCTTTGTATTTCTACGGATTACTATTGGTGTTGGGGTGGAACGAGATTCTAGCTGGTAAGTCCCTTTACACAGTAACCGTCACAACTATTACTGTGCTGTGCTAACTTTCAATAGTCTTACGCAACCCTATTTTGTTCATGTTGCTCATCGTTATGGCTGGCGGTCTCTATATATCATATAGCCTCAACCTCCTAGGCCCCATGATGCAGATGAGCAGTGCGGCGTGGAACCAAGCAATCGACATCGGCAAGGAGCGCCTCCGCGACTTCCTCGCGAATAACGATACCGCTAGGCAAGCTATCGGAATGCGAGGTCGGGACAGCGACTCGATCAGCATGGACACCCTAGACAGCAGGGGCAAGAAGCAGTCGCGAGCAGCCTCAGCCGATGAGGACGATCTTTAGTAGAATTGCGTGTCATTCATAAAAACAATAGGGGGGTAGGATATAGTAGTAAAAGGCACTTCCCATCGGATAATTCCCTAATCAATAGACACTGATTTATAACAAATACCCCATCCAAACACCGTGATCCATGCTCATGCGATAATATCATCCCAACATTTCAGACTTTAACTCAAAAAGCTTCTAGGCCCGCTGGCGTCCCAAACCACGTCCCCAACTCATCTGCCTCTTTATCCTTATCGGCGAAGTAATCCGTAAGCCGACTATTCTCATCATCCTCATCGACCGGCCAGTCGACCTTAACACCCTCCTTCGTCTCTAACATATTCTTCGCCGTCCCCCAGCTAAACCGACACTCCGGCCCCCACCCGAACACGGGGTGCATGTTCCGCCGCAACCACGTCACACACCGCACATCAGACGGATATCCCGACCCCCAGCTCAGCTCCTCCGCCTCCTCTTCGTCCGCGATCGTGTTGCCCTTCTCCGCTAACCCGGCTAACGCTCGCGCTTCATACAGCGTTTCTAACGCGGCGTCCCGCGTTACCTTCGCACACACACTGGCCGCGCTGACGCATGGGTACAGGCTATCCGCCTTCTTCGCCACTGTGATCCGCGTCGTGGGGAACACGCGCGCGAGCTTCGCTTGGTAGGATGCCGGGGGCCCGACGGTGTCGACGTAGATCTCGCGGACGTTGACGCCGCGGTCGAAGACGCCTTGGATCAGGGTTATCGTTGCGTCCAGCGCTTGCGCGTTGAGGTTGTATGGCGCGGCGGTGCTGGGTCGCTGCATGTTGGCTCCGAGGTCCCGGGCTGAGAGGCACGATACGGCCCATCCGCAGGTGGAGTGCAGGTCTGTTGAGGGGGTGCACAGGGTTTGCATTAGGGAGGAGCGGACGGTGGCGGTTAGGACTTTGGAGTCGTCGAAGTGGTGGGTTTCTTTGAGGAGGGTGTCGGAGGAGGTTAGCGGCAGGTAGAAGACTCCGTAGACCATGGGGCCGAGGACCGGGCCGCGGCCGGCTTCGTCGACGCCGAGGACGCAGGGGGTTCCGGCTTGGGGTTTGTCTGTTGTGGATGAGGGGTCTGAGGGGAGGAGGGACGGGGGGACGGGGGAGAAGTGTGTGTATGTTTCGCCGGCGAGGGTGGCGGGCTTGTGGATGGAGGGCGGTACAAAGATGTCGGTTGCTGGGGTTTCGAGGGCTATGTTGCCCTCGTCCATTTCTATATCTTCCATGTTGTTTGAGGAATTGGTGTTGGAAGGGTCGTTGTTTCTGAGTTAAGGATATAATTCAAGTAGCTTAAAGATGCCTGAGTATTCTGTACACCGATACTTGAATATAAACCGAATTATCGAGGCAGAATGTCAAAAATCTAAGTCGAAGCTGTTTCTAGAAAACGCGTGGGTAGCTGCCAAGCGCGTTCTAGTATATACCTAAGTACCGCAGTACCTTAATGTTCGGGAATTTTAGCCAATGGCAAAAGGCGTACGAGAGATCCGCTCCATAAAAACTGGTAGGGTCGTGCAGTCAATCATTGGCAACAACCGGGAAGGCACAAGTGATCGAGAAAGTAAACATCAACGCTATTCCCCGCCCATAATTCTTGGTTTTCTTATTTCCCTATTTACTTTCGCGTTTATCGGATTCGATTTTAGATGCGCCCCTCATCGACATCTACGAAACTTTCCGTATTATCTAATTGTCGCTCGACCAATTGATAAACTATACTGACCCGGATACCGTACCGCTACCGCTAGCAGCCGTCGCTATGCCGCCGAAGCAACAGTCGTCGCAGCGGCGCACCACGCAGTCGCAAAACGAAGCGGTCTACGATTTAGGAAAACAGGGAAGGTATTTACGATACTGCGCTTAGCCGATTTGAATCGAAACTGATGTATAGGTCGTAGGAAAACGGGTCTTACGCTTGCAGAGCGCGAACGCGACGAACATGGCTTTGAAAATGTCGATGCACTATTTTCATCGCCCGAGAAAGACGTCAATAACGTCACGGTCAATGGAATTAATAGACGGGGCCATGACGAGATCGACGAGGAACAGACTATGGAAATCGACGATGGTAAGCCGCGCATGATCTAAAACTTGGCTCCATCCCTGATTTTGCTCACTGATCTCCTATAATAGAATCTCAAATGGGACCAGCTACAATCATGAGGCAGCGTCACAATCGCCCCTCGCTACCACGCGCCAGATCTCCTCTAAAGACACACTTACAGTCACCAGCACGCCAAAATCCGCACCTAGGGCCTACTTCCTCGCCTGCTCGAGGTTCTATCGTCACCGCACCCGAACATAGCGCTTCAAAAACGGTCAACCGAAGACTAGACTTTTCCAAGGGTCCTCAAAGTAGATTGAACCCTCAAGTAAATGGCGCCTCGAAAGTGAACGGCGCGAAAGGCCGGCCTGGAAAACTTACCAATGGTCATTCTCGAACCCAAGATTCTGACGAGGAAGACGATGCTATTTTAAGGGGCAGACGAAACCCACCTCTGGAGGAAGAAGGGGATGAAGAGCAAGACGAAGGCCTGGAGGAGTATATGCAAGGTGTTGATGCTGGCGGCGACTACATGGATTTAGAAGAAGATCAAGACGACGCTCCTATAGAACCCGAGCCAGAGCCGGAGCCTGAAGAAGAGGAACTAGAGCCTACCCCACCGACTAAGAAGCGCAGAGGCCGCAAACCAAAGTCACCTGTTGTTGTACAAGAGGAAGAGGGAGATTCTTCAACAGCGTCTGCGCGAAGTATAGAAGCCGAAGTTCAGCCCGCCAAAAAGCAACGCGGACGTCCGGCGAAGGGAGCACAGTCGAAGAAATCACCAGAACCCGCGGAACAACCTACTAAGCGAAGAAGATCCGAAAGAAATTCAGGGAGCAGCAACGTCGAGGAACAAGGAGAAGAAGAACAGGAGAACAATGTCGAAGAGAGGGAGACAAAGCGCCAACGAAACGACAAGAAAGAGGCTAAGGCTGCTTTGTCGAAGCCAACCGCAACAAAGGAGAAAGGGAAGCCAGGTCGCAAAAGGAAATCATCTGGAATAGGTGTCGACGAACCCGTCGTCCAACGCGGTCCTCCTCTTCCCAAAGGTCGCGGACTCGTCACATTACATCGCGAAGAGGAAGATAACATGCGCACTACACGATCAGGCCGTCACTCTTACCGGCCCATACAATATTGGAAGGGTGAACGTGTCATATACGATGATGCGGGACAGGATATCTTCGAAGACAAGAAACAGCGTTTCGTAATACCAAGCGTAGCAGGCGTCATACGCAAAACCGATAGCTATACCGAACCACGAAAACGTCGTCCCGGACGCCCTTCCAAGGGAGGCGCAAAGAAGGGTCGCCCATCCGTAATAGAAGAGGAAGATGTGGAGCGCGACGACTGGGAGTACGACCCCGGGCGCGTGACCGGCGAATGTATATTCTGGCAGCCGGACCAAGAAGCCCAACCGGATGACGGGGATTTGGTGGTGGCAGAGGAAGAGCTGGCGATATCGGAGGCGGCCATACAGCTCAAGGATATCAAGGACGCGACGTTTCGGTTTGCTAAGACGCTGACGATGCCGTTCTTCGGATCGGGTATCGTGGATATGCCACCCGGGGCGGAAAAGCGGACGAAGAACTCGCGGAAGATGCAGATGGTTTTCTTCGTGCACTCCGGTAGTGTGGAGGTTACGGTCGCGCAGACGGAGTTTAGGATCGGCAAGGGTGGCATGTGGTTCGTTCCTAGAGGTATGTTGATTCTTTATCTTGAAATTATGCTTATTCGGAGATCGGACGGAAGTGCTAACTTGTTTTAATTTTAGGAAACCACTACAGTATATTAAACGACAGCCCCATACCAGCACGAATCTTCTTCGCGCAAGGCTGCGAGATGGCCGCTATGCCGGAAGGCTTCGAAGGGACGCAAGAATAGTCTTCCTTGTCGACCTAGCCTTCAGCGCAGCCATCACATATTTCTCTCTACGTAGTCACGAAATGGAACAAGGAGAGGGATTTCCTATAGAATCGGACGGCATCGCTTACCTGCCTGCTTGTTTGCTTATTACCTCCCGAAATTATAATGTCAAGGAGTCCGGTCGCCCGGGGCGGTTTCGAATCCTGTATGTCTCGGATACCTAAGGCGGCATTGCATCATCGTCATCATCACTGCTTATTCCTTTTTCCGCTCATGCGGGTTCCCGCCGATCACACACACCACACACACCTCCCCCGGCGTCAAAGATTTTTGCTCTTTCCCAGATGGAGTTGAAGGGTGTAGGGATGTATGGATGGGCTTTTTTTCTAGGTGTATCTATTACGCCAGGAGTTGCTTTCCGCCCTATCTAGATTGGTAGGGAACGCTTCTCGCTTGGCTGGCAAGGGTTGAGAGCTTCCTGCTCGAAATTACCTACTGTACGTGGTTGTTGGTCGTTATCTATGATACCAAATTAAAAGTTTTCTTCATTTGCTCAGCTCATACGTTTTTTTCTGCTTCCTGGTGGTTTTTGCTTGCTACGTGTTTTATGCACTTAAGACTAGAGTAGATGTAGATGGGTGACGAGTCCGGACTAAGACTGCTCCGAGTATGAACTCGTCTGTTCGTTGTTGTAAAATGTGATCAAGTCATTGTATACCTGACTCTAGTAATGAGTTTGAGTTGGGTATCGAATTATTACAACCAACCCCCCTCCTGCCTGCCTACCGCCATTTTAACCCACCATCCGTACATATACCTATAAAACAGCCCTCATCACCCCCCCTTTTGCTTTTCCCAACCCCCCAACCCCTTTATCGATTTTTGCTTTTTACAAACCCCATCCATCAAGCCCACTTCCTACCTAGGACCTAGGTACCTACCCTAATACTCCGTCCCCAAAACCTTCTTCAACGCCCCAATCTCCCTCTCAAACCCCTCGATCCGTCTCTGCGCCGCCTCCAACTTACTCAGCAAATACTGCACCCTTGGCCCCGTCTCCCGCGGCTGCTTCGGCAACGCCCCCAATAACGCCAGTTCCCCCTCCACCTTATCGATCGTCTTGCTCTCAACCTTCACGAGCTCGGTCAAAACTGCAAGATCCATCTTCGCGGCCAGCGCCTTGTCCTGCACTAGCTGCCGGAACGCGGCTTGGTACACGGGTTTCCCGGGCATGATGCACCCCGGGCGTCCGTTCGCGCTGCGCACGGTGATGAGTTCCGCGTTCGCGAGACCTTCGAGCGCGGACTCGCCGTCGGGGGCCGTGGTCGAGGACGCGAAGGTGTTGTGCAGCAGGACTTCGTTGTACCGGAGGCCGTCGCTGGCGGTGGTGGCGGAGAGCGATTTCACGAGGTGCCAGGCTTGTTCTACGGACCAGGCGTGCTCGCCGTCGTGGGTGGCTTTGCCGGGGAGCAGGAACATCTTGAGGATCTCGGACGCGGATTGCTCGGTTATTTCTGCGACGGCTTGTTTGGGGCTTTGACCGGCTTTTAGACGACGGGCTAGGGATTCGAGGTCTGTTAGGCGGCCGCCGAGGATGTCGATGCTGGCGTCGAGGTCGGTTAGGTCGGGTTGGATTAGAGGTGACTTTTCGGTGGGTTCGTTTGTGTCTTCCTTTTTAGGCTGGTCGTCGTCGTTGTTGATGTGGCTTAAGATGAAGCGTTTGGAGACGTCAGGGGAGAGATCACCGAGGGCAGCCTGGCGGAAGATGCGGTCGGGTAGGAACTTAGAGAGGGACTTCGAGTAAGAGGTGTCGTTGGTTAGGAATATGACGTGGGCGATGTTAGACTGGACGAGAGCAGCGGCCCATTCGGCAATCTTTTCGTAGACGATGGTGTTAGCGTCGCCTTTGTGGAGGAAGTTGTCGATCACGACGATAGGTCTTCTCTCGGCATGTGCTTCGAGGTAAGCGTCAACAGCGAGTGAAGCATCCGAATCATTCTTGCTGCGGTTGGAAACACCGATTTCTGTAAGGGCGCTGGCAGTTGTCTGTAGGATCTTCTGGATTTGCGATTCCAAGGTCTCGGAGAAACCGGCTTTTACACCAGTCGTACTCTGTACAGCTAGTTCGACCATGCTGCTAACATTATTCGCCCAGGAGAAGATAGGACGGTAACCAACGGAGGCAGCCATGTTCTTGATCGTTGCTGATTCGCCCCTAGCTTCTACGATTTTCTTACAATCGATGACAAGGACATTGCTTCTTCCCTTCAAAGCTTGATCTAGCACTAGTTCTTCCTTGCCAGAACCGCGAGGTCCTTGGACGACAATGAAGGTCCCAGTGGTTTCCAAGAGCCATTTCTGGATCTCATCGATCAAGTCTTTCCGGTGAGTCCAAAGTGCATTCAACCCTGCCTGATCTGCTTTCTCCTTTTTGAGACTCAAGATGTCAAATGTTCGTTGTCGAAGCCATCTGTACACTCTGCTGTTGCTGAGGCGGTATTTTTGAGTGACGTGAGCTTTGACGAAGAATGATCGGATTGGATCGAATATGATAACGGTGAGACCAGTCAGTAGTGCAACTACAACAGGAATAACAATTCTCGGGTGGCTTGATATCCACTCCCAGAACCGATGTGGCTTTGTCCGCTGTTCATAAGACATCTGAAGCTTTGTCCCTAGCTTGCCTCCACCAAGATTTTCCGGTACGATGAAGCCATGCAAGCAATTTCGTGCCATAATGGCATCTCTTACTAGGGCAAAGTCGACATAGGAATATCGTGGAAGGACCTTAGAATCCCACGGCTGTGAACTAATCTCAGCGATCTTACCATATTTACGGAATAAGCTGTACAAGGTCTCTTGTGATAGTTCAACTGCTTGTTCACCGGGAACCTTGGGGACAAACTCAACCCTTAGTCGATCGTTAGGGAATCTATGTAGATCCTCTAGCCACGGGATACCGTGGACCAATCCAGCCTGAACCCCTCTCCAAAGGCTAAAAATTGGCTTCACGGGTTTCTCCTTTAGAGATTTAGTGATAGTTGTTTCGATCTCTTGAACAGATACGTTGGATGGATAGGTGAATTTGACAAATGCACCACCATCCTTCAGACGAGGTAGTATTTCCGTGATCTTGACTGGAGCTGTCTCAGGAATGGCACGCTTGACTAGATTAATTGGATCAAGTAAACCTAGAGACGAGCTTTCAAATCTCTCCATCAATTTGGAGAGATCTTCGTCAGGACCCCTCCATGGCGCTCGTAACAAACCGGAAAGTTTCAGGGGAAACAAATCTGCATGATGTGATCAGCCATTTACTCAAACTTAGAACATGAACATAGGCAATCATAGGCAATCATACTATCGATCCACAGAATAGACTCATTCGGGGCTGCGTCGATATGTCCACTCTTCCCTTCCCCCGTTGTGGTACTTTCCCAAGCTCTCAGTGCTGGGGTCCATCTTAGCTGGTAACGTGGGGTGACGATGGGTCTAGACCTAAGGATTGAGCTTGGAGTTCTCAAGCCAGGCAAGTTCCTGGGGCAGGAACTCGCGAATCGTGAGATCATTGTTCAGTAAATTCAAAGCAGTACCCCATGCTTATAGGTTATAGGATATAGGAAGCAAGAAAAAAAGAATATTTTGAAGATTGCGTAAGGATTTATTGGTATTAGTGCTCGGTTAGCTCTTCTCATTTCCTATAGGCCGATGAGGTCATCGTGGATATTTCGGGTAGCTTTGCGTATTTGAGTAGCCACAATTGGAGGGGAAGAGGGACAACTGTGCCACAAAGGTCAAGCCACACTACATATTTCGCCGGAAAGAGCTTGAAGTCTAAAGTAAGGGAAAAGAGAAAGAGCAATCGACGAGGATATCAAGGTACAACGGGTTATACGAATTCCCCAAAGTATCCTCGATTGTCGAATCCTTGCATATCCGAGGTCACAGTATCAGACCATTTCGTACGTCCGTAAGAGGTTAATCATACCACAATCCGGTCCGTAATCAGCGACTTTGTCATTGGTCAACCGAAAAAACGCATCACCTTCAAGGAAATATATCACGGACCAAATGCTACGATACTGATACCGCACCCCGCGTCGCTGTTAATCCCCCGCATTGATCCCTCCTGCCTTTTCGACCTTCGACTATTCTGAGCCTTTTATCGTTTTATATTCCTCAGAAGTTATTCCCTCGTTTCTGACGAAGGCATCAATTCAATTGCTCGAGTGCCAATATCCATACCTACGAATTCTTCAGCGTTCCAATTGACATACACAACACACAATAAACAAGATGGGTTGGATGTGGTCATCATCGCCATCCCCTCCCTCCAAGGGTCCCAATTCAACCTCAAACCCGTCATCAGAACCTCCCAAACCCTCATCACCGACAAAACAAGCCGAATCCGAGTACAGCGACCCCGAAATCGCCAAGTTCATGGCCCAGCTGCAAGAAGAATTCGGCAGCAAAAGCAAACCCGCCGAGCCCGCTCAACCAGCACCACCCTCCTCCTCATCCGACCCTCCTCCTTCCCAATCCTCCTCATCCCCATCCTCCTCCTCATCATGGTCCAACTACCTCTGGGGCGCCACAAAATCCACCCCCTCCCCCTCCACCTCAACCTCAACCCAACAATGGTCTCCCACCCAACTAGACCCGCTCTCCGAAGCCCTCCTCCCAACCAGCATGTCCTGCCGACAAGCCTTCGACGCCGCCTTCCACTGCAACTCTCTCGGGGGGCAATGGACGTCCGTATACCGGGAAGGCAACGTACGCACGTGTTCGGAGCACTGGGACGACTTCTGGTTCTGCATGCGCGCACGCACGCTCTCTTCTCCGCAAAAAGAGGAAGCGATCCGGGCACATTACAGGAAAAAGGAGTACGCGAAGTACTTTGCGCCGGGACGGCTGTCGAGCACGGATGTGTGGGAGACGCGGACGGAGATGGTGCAGCCGGGGAGCGTGTTTAATGAGACGTTGGAGATGCCGGATGTTAGTGATGATGAGTGGAGGAGGCAGGAGATAGAGCGGCGGAGGTTGGTGAGGGAGAGGTTGGCGGAGGAGGAGGAGGTGTAGAGGATATAATAGGGAGTGTAAGATCGATTGGACTGGACTGGACTGGGTTGGATGTGTTATAATTTGTTACGTTTTATGTACCAGTAATTACAGGCTGTAATACTCATGATGGATGAAACAGTGTATCAAAATACTACACCAACATGGAGTCGTGATAATATACAGATATAAACACCACAGAGACACGAATCCATTTCTATTTCATCTTTTCCGAGTCCATCCCTCCTAGCCTACGAAGGAATCATACACAAGACCATATGACCCTGTAGCACTCAATCAATTATTACAACATATCACAATTATCATATCACAAGAATCAAGACCATACATGTTCGTGAATTAACTTCATTGCTTCGTGTAGGAAGTAGGACTATTCCTGCCTAGAATACATCCATGCAAGTCGTAAAACCGCAACTTTTGCCCTTTATCATTACCAGTAAAAAATCTAGTAGTGCAAACCCATGAGAAATCCGAGACCGCCACTCGGTGCGTCATAACGCCACACCGATGGGAAAACGCCGGGAAGTAACAAAGACAGACAGGTCATTGAAAGGAAACCATTTAGTCAACCTCCTCGACGGTGGGGCCGTCATCCTGGGCAGCACCGGGGCCGCCAGCACCAGGGAAGCCGCCGGGGCCACCGGGTCCGCCGGGCATACCGCCAGGCATGCCACCAGCACCGCCAGCGCCGTAGAACTTCATCATGATGGGGTTGGCGATACCCTCAAGCTCCTTCTGCTTCTCTTCGTACTCCTCGCGAGTAGCTTGCTGGTTCTCGTCGAGCCAAGACACGACCTTGTCAATCTCGGCCTTGAGCTTCTCCTTGTCACCAGCGTCGAGCTTCTCGTCGACCTTGGAGTCGGACATGGTGTTTCGGAGAGAGTAAGCATAGGACTCTAGGCCGTTCTTGGCACCGATACGGCGGCCTTCAGCCTCATCTTCCTCCTTGTACTTCTCAGCCTCCGCGAGCATGCGCTCGATCTCCTCCTTGGACAGGCGGCCCTTGTCGTTGGTGATGACGATCTTGTTGGACTTTCCGGTGCCCTTCTCGACAGCGGAGACGTTCATGATTCCATTGGCATCGAGATCGAAGGTAACCTCGATTTGGGGAACACCACGGGGTGCGGGAGGGATACCAGTGAGCTCGAACTTGCCGAGCAAGCTGTTGTCCTTGGTGCGTTGACGCTCACCCTCGTAGACCTGGATAAGCACACCGGGTTGGTTGTCGGAGAAGGTGGAGAAGACCTCCGACTTCTTGGTAGGGATGGTGGTGTTACGGGGGATGAGCTTGGTCATCATACCACCGGCAGTCTCGATACCGAGAGACAACGCGGCAACATCGAGAAGAAGAATCTCGTTAGTTGACTTCGAACTAGTGTCACCAGACAGGATAGCGGCCTGGACGGCAGCACCGTATGCGACAGCCTCATCGGGGTTGATGGACTTGTTGGGCTCCTTTCCGTTGAAGTAGTCCGTGATGAGCTTCTGCACACGGGGGATACGAGTGGAACCACCGACAAGCACGATCTCATGAACCTGAGACTTGTCAATCTTCGCGTCGGCCAAGACACGGTCCACAGGCTGGATGGTGGATCGGAAGAGGTCCTGGCAAAGCTCTTCGAATCGAGCACGAGTGATCGATGTGTAGAAGTCAATACCCTCGAACAGGGAGTCGATCTCGATAGAGGTCTGGGCAGAAGAAGAAAGAGTACGCTTGGCTCGCTCGCAAGCAGTTCGGAGACGTCGTAGAGCACGAGCGTTGGTGGAGAGATCCTTCTTGTGCTTACGCTTGAACTCGTTGACGAAGTGGTTAACAAGTCGGTTGTCGAAGTCCTCACCACCCAAGTGAGTGTCACCAGCGGTAGACTTGACTTCGAAGATACCCTCCTCGATGGTTAGGAGAGAGACATCGAAGGTACCACCACCGAGATCGAAGATGAGAACGTTGCGCTCGCCCTCAGCCTTCTTGTCAAGGCCGTAGGCGATAGCAGCCGCGGTGGGCTCGTTGATAATTCGAAGAACGTTCATGCCAGAAATGAGACCAGCGTCTTTGGTGGCTTGACGTTGAGAGTCGTTGAAGTAGGCTGGCACAGTGATGACAGCGTTGGTGACGGTGCCACCTAGGTAAGACTCGGCGGTCTCACGCATCTTGGTGAGGACCATAGAGGAGATCTCCTCGGGAGTGAACTGCTTGTTTTCGCCCTTGTATTCAACCTCAATAATGGGCTTTCCGTTCTTCTCGATAACCTTGAAGGGGAAGTGCTTCATGTCTGCTTGCACCTCAGCGTCGCTGAATTTGCGACCAATCAGACGCTTAGCGTCGAAGACGGTGTTGTGGGGGTTCATTGCAACCTGGTTCTTGGCGGCATCACCGATCAGACGCTCGGTATCTGTGAAGGCAACGAACGAGGGAGTGGTTCGGTTACCCTGGTCGTTGGCGATAATCTCGATGCGGTCATCTCGAAAGACACCGACACACGAGTAGGTCGTGCCCAAGTCAATTCCGACTGCGGCAACCATGGTGAAAAAATGTGAAGAAGAATTTGAGATGTCAAAATAATAGAGGTGGGGTAATGCGGTATGTGTAGAGGAAAATGTGTGTGAAGTTGTTTTAAAAACGCAAAAGAATTATGTACCCGGATGGGGGATGGGTATCTCTAGATTTATTATGCGTTTACTCTTCAAGAGAGGAAGGAGAAGATGTTTATGTTTGAGTTTGAAGATGGAAAGAAGAAATTGTTGCTTGGGATTTGACCTGGAGTTTAATACAATTGCAAGTGGAAGCTATGGTGGGGCCAAGGAATCTTCTCGAATTGCTGGAAGACGGTACCCGCTTCTGGTACTTTCCGCCTAACATACAGATAGAAGAGAATAGTACGTTCCTGAATTCACTAGACGATAACATGTCATTTCCAGGTACCTATCCTTCTATTGTACTACCAAATTTCCTACTGAATATACCTTATAAATCAGTAACTTCAAGTTCAAAATGATCAATCACTAATTCTAGACTTTCTCAAGAGTGAAAAGATTCTACCTGTAACAGCTGCAACTGTCTGGTCAGTTCCAAATACCCACATAACCAAGATACATCCATGATTGAAGCCGTACCTACCCCGCCATAATCACCATGTTGACATCACTGCCTTCCACAGGCGGTTGCCCGGTCTATTCAGCCCGCCAAGACCCACCAAAACTTTTAACCTTGTGGACGATTTACAAAATTCAAACGAAAATTACGTAGGTACGTACTTGGATGTACCTCCCTTTGTTCAATTTTTTCCTTCCCATATCCTTCCCTTCTCTTCTTTTCGCCTTCAGGCATGAAAAAAAAATTGGTTGATGAGGCAACTTCCAGCTGTTTCCTCCGACCTTCTGGTTTTTTTTTCTGCCTTGCGGTTGCCTGCCTCTCAACACAATAGTACAAAGCCACAAATGTGTATGGGATTGTTTTGAGTAAGCGCACCCATTCTAGAAGATTCATGAATTCCCCTTGTACTTTTTAACTTCTTACAAGTGCCAAGTGCGTGCTTTCGCATTCAGAGGTACAAGTTTAAAGTACATGCAGTACAGCGGTAGTGCAGTTACTAGAGATGTCACTTTGTGCACTCTCGAATCGATCTAATCAGCCTTATTGTATTCAAATATTTCCTATTTACATCCAAAACCACGAACTCTTCCAATGAAGCCATTCCAAAATTCATTAATGCCTGAATTTCGTATATTTATCGCCCACGTACCATGTAGCTAGCTTAATGCAGGAATCTTAATATCTGCATCTTCCAGGTATTAGTATGTGTGGAGGCATCTTGAAGCTACATGTACGTCACACATCTGAAGGGGGTTAAGCCACAACGACCTTCGGTATATAAGCAACCAATTGCCCCGGAAACGTTGACGTTTTGAATTACCGGCATTCGTGGATGTCTCAAATTCGATAGACGCGGGCAAATCAAAACTAGGACTCATTCGTCGACACCTACAAAGCGACCATCTGGTCCATCTCTGACCCGCCTGGGTTTCGAGTAGATACCAAATCATCAAGTGTGTGTTACATATCTCGATCTGCCTACATATTCATGCATGATTCTCACGAATACCGTGGGCGGGATGTGAACAGCACGTAATCAATATATCGGGGCGAATAATCTGACATCTCGACGAATCTGTATTGTTCTCGGTATGTTACATACAGGCTACCGACAAAGGACCACTAACAGAAGTGCTCGATCTCCTCAGGCTTCGTGTCCCTCGGCCCCAAGTCTGTCTTCAGTACTCGGTTGAATAGCTCTGTCAGCACCTCGAAGCAGATCTTCGTGATGGCCGGGTCATATCGGCCCTTGCTCAGCTCGTCACGGATAAAAGCGTGTTGTGCCCACGCAAACTCGTAGAAGCTGAATACAGTGCCGGCACTTCTCATCTTTTGTCGGATTAAGTCTCGGCCGTCGTCTGGGACGTGGGTGTCCTTGATACCGAAGATCATAGCCACCTCGCCCTTGATTTCTCCGAGCTTATCGATCGTGTGGGTGCTGTTCGCCGGTCCCTCGACCGACTTGTCAGCCGCGGTATACGGGCCGAGCGTACGGCTATGGACATCTGTCGCGAAGTAGGAAACGCCTGCGCTTATCCGCGGGTCCAACTGCAAGATTTATCAGTAAGCAATACGGCATTCGAAAGCGAGGGCCATACGGTAGCTCGTAGAGAGAGATGACCGCCTAGACACATTCCCGTGGTACCTATCCTTCCATTGCAGGTAGGGAGACTGAGGAGGTAATCAACAGTCTTGCGAGAGTCTGCATCATACGATTGGAGGGTCTAACATGCAGTTCTGTCAGCACTCGCTTATTCATTAAAGTTGCATGAATGTTAGCGGTTTCACCTTCGTTATTTTCAACTCGTTTCCTTTGTCAGTGCCTGGAACATCGTAGCCCAAGGCCTCTGGTCCAATGAAGTCATGATACGACGAAGGGGCAGCGACGATGTAGCCATGTCCTGCAATTTGACGCGCAAATCGCGCTACCGGACCAGTCACTGTTCGATACGCTAGTCAGCAGGTTGCATAGGTAGTCATTCGATTTGCTTTATCTGATGTTGAATGCGTCCGTGTGTTAAATGAAGATGGTACCTTGATAGATCTCGCTGAATAGCACAACGCCAGGGAATTTACTGCCAACTCATCAGCAAACCTGTATCGAAATCCCGAACGGGAAGTGAGGGTTAAAGCTATACGCATTAGGGTATTGCGAGATGGTGGGATGGAAAGTGAAAATTCCTGCCCAACGTTAGTGTTAGTGCCTTGAGCTGGGAACTAAGGTCCGGCCGTATGGGGTCTTCATCTCACTCATAGACGTCTCCTTTCCATCTACGGTTGTCGTGACATCGATATGGTCTTCCTTGAGCAACATCTTGACTAGATCTCCTAAGACTGGGTGCAAGATGATGTGATATGTGGAAAGTTTCTATCCTGTCTTCGAGGTGGAACACCAATATCTTAAGATTAAAACCAGCTTAAACCCCGCGCCGGATAATGGAGTTTTAAATGCGGGGGACAAGCTCAAGCTCACCAAGCCACGGTCCCGGCTTCGAATCGGCCTTCTTCACAGATCATAAATCGTAAGATTTCGTTAATTGGAGTATAGCGTGTGTGATCTTCAAGCGATAAAGGCAGGTTTCCTGCAAGAAAGCGACTCTATATACAATTCTGATATCATGTGCTGCGAATATCTTACGATAGATTACTAAGTAGACGCATCATCTCCAAACAACCGTACGAAAGCGGAGGTTGTTGGTATATACAGGCTAAGAAATGAAGGAGTATTGATATAGATTAATTACTATACCAATATTAGGTATGATTCTATTAATCATCACGCCTGGCAAATGCTATGCACCCATTCAGAGGTGGGGAACTTGAGAGCTCTGCAGTAGCAAGTTGACGATACTCAAGAAACCTTCTCCCAGGATGAAGCCCTGGTATTAATATATTAGTTACGATCTCGGGAAACCGATACAAAGGCCGGGTAGTCGGTACTCACTGATGCGACAACGATGAGGGGTGTATCCTCTTTTCGTAGGTGTACCCTCCAGTACCAATTTAGAAGCCCGCCTATTGTCCTTGCCAAGGTGAAGGATGGAACATTGTACATTCCTATTAATATTGTTAGCTATGAGACAAATTCATTACGTATTTCTGAGTGTCCTTACCAACTGCTACAGCGATTCCGCCGGGGATATAAGCGTGCCAGCTCTTTCCAATTGCCTTCGTCCGCAAGGCCGTGAAAAAGGCGAATATGACTGCACCACCGATAGCGAACTCCCTGGCCATATAAGGGAGCCCCTTTCCGGTAACCAACCTCGCGGTGAAGATCCACACAAATCCGGTTGGTACCTGGAACAGATCTCCGGGAACCTCATAAACGGCAGTATACAGTCTATAGATTAGTGCGCTAACGACGGCCCCCACAGTCGCGCCGATGATTTGACCCCAGAACTGTGCTTTAGGTGCTGCTCCTAGTAGATGGCCTGTTTTTAGATCCTGCATTAGATCACCAGCTTGCAATGCGCCAGCTTCAGAGACGGCGCCGGCTACCAAGTTGATGAGGACACTCGACTTGTGGGTCTGTGGAATAATGAGGGCGAAGAAAAGCTGTGCTAGTTTGCTAATTCCGGAAACTGGGTTGAGATCCGTCTCACCCAATGCTCGAACTCCCATAATGCTCAATATCATTGCCATAAAAACAGCTATAACGGTTGCGTATAGGGGAACTAGGTCGCCGAATGTGATATGTATGCTGGCGATGCAAAAGAGAACCGATATAACGAGGCCGATGCTGACAGTCTTATCCCCAACCAATTGATCAGGTGGGGCATCGTCTTCATCCCAAGCTCTTTTGGAACCAATTGGCTCAGTATTGAAGGGATTCCTACGTTCAAGTATTGGGCTTGGAAGGCTATCAATATCCTCAGAGCTTCGTGGTCCAGCCAAGGGTCTCGAATCATCCTCGCTAGCCCGGACAGCTACATAACCAACGGGTTTGCGAGTTAAAAGGCCCTTCAGCCCGTCTTGCTGAAATCGTTGCTTAACCGTCGCAAGAAATGATGGTCCACGTTTAATAATAGGGTTAAAGGCAATATAACCCAGACTGACAACTGCATCTGCTAGCATGATAGCGAGAGATGTCCAGACAATCCAACCCTTGCTGCCAGTTTCCCAATCATTGATCGAACCCGGTGCCCAACCTCGATATTTAGCAAGAGGTGATAGAATCCCCCACCCAACAACAGCCCCAACGAGCATATGTATTGTTGTAGACGGTCCCATAATGATACCTTGACCGACGTATGCGAAACTTGGGTTCAAAGTCCAAAGCCATGTGTCGGCTGCCATGGTTCCGAAGATGGGGAGGTTTCTGAGAACGGGAAAGAAGTAAGTCAATAGAGTGTAGAATCCGGATACCCCGAAAGTGATCAAAAGCAGACGGATATTAGAACGCCAACTATATTGTTTTATTGTCTCAACGCGTGGGGGTTCATCGGTTGGATCGGCGGTCTCATCTTCACCACTTCCTTCGGCTCGTAGAAGTGGTCTACTATCAAGTGCTAAGCTCCCAAACGTTGCAGCCTTTGACGTATCGAGTGCACCACCATTTTGGTTTTGTCCCCTACCATGAAGGACTCCAATTAAGACAGCAGTACTGAATCCACTCGGGAATTTCAGTTGTTCTCTGATAATCACTTGACGTCGCCTAGGGAAGTTAGATATAATTCTAAGACAAGCTCAGAGAATGTTAATAACTTACAAAGGAACGGCGAAGACTACGCCAAAGTAACACAGACCCAGAGACCAAATAATTAGCTTCCACATGCTCAGATGTATCGGCCCTTGTTCCGAGGGTTTCAATAAGTACTCCATAGCCGGAATCTGTATCACAAATCAGACTGGTTAGTTTCACGAACCTCCTTTTAGTAAGTTCCGAATTACTTACCACACCTACAAATCCACAACCGAGAGGCATAATTGCCATGCCACCGGCCACGGACTGGACGAGGACATTTTCTACAGGAGAGAATGGGAAGGACAGACGACGCGATAGAGCCTTGAAGAGTCCGAAACCTAGTAAACTAGAAGGCATGGTCATCATGGAAATCCAACCGGTCTGCAAACCAAAGTACATGTTGCTGAAACATATTCTACAGTGACTAGTCAGTGATTGCTACTTCTAGATGGCTTGGAAACCAAAAGGGAGCTATGGGTTTATTGTTCTGGCTTTCACTGTGAATAGGACTCACATCAGTCCGACAAGCAGACCAGCAGCAACACCTCGGAGTGTGAAATGACGGCCTTCCGGAAGATACTTGACATCGTCTCCGGACTCTTCCTCGGAGGAGGGTGGATACGGAGGAGGGGGGTCCTCAATACTAGCACCTCTGTCGGGAGACATAGTCGCTAGCGGGCGGGATTGGAGCGGCTTGAGGACGGAATGTGATAGGCTGTAAGCTAACAAGAGCTGATAAATCCATCAACCACACCTAGCTATCATCTATATATATAACGGTGCACCCGCGACGTTACTCAGTCCATATTGAGGCTGACGGATTAATGTCAAAGAAGGTGTTGAGCGGATGAAGTTCAAAGGATATCGGCAAGAGTTCAAGGTTGTATTGATAATGGCTGCTGACCAAGCCGGAGATATCAAGAAGCTGCTACCTAAGCCCATAAAGGCTAATACGGAACTCCACATTCCCAATGAATCCAATGAGTCCAATGCCAAGACTTCGCTTGAGTCAAGTACTTGAGTACCTGTGATTGTACCTATCAACTGAATCAACTTCCTTTTCTTTTGATTAAGAGGCGAACCAACATAGGAGTAAATGATAGAAATTTACAAACAACCAATAGAGAATTTCATGACGCAGCCACAGTTGTACCAGATATGAAAAAGGAGGTAACCCGCAGGTAATAAATACAGGGGTGGTTGCATGTGGTTGGCCGTTAATATGACGACATCAAGCGGTATGGCTTATTTCCGTGCAATATGAAGGAGTTGGGATAGAACTTCCGTACTACCTCAAGAATATATTGGCCTTTCCATTTCAGATACTGAACACTTCAAATATGTCATTAATTATAATATTGATACCAAAAAGGTGATGGGGTTGATCTCTCCGAAACATTCAATACAAACAAAAATGGGCAGATCTAAGTGAAGATCTAAGAAAAGAAAATGTTACCGAGTAAGGGGTTTGTCCGGTTTGAACCAATAGAATTGCTAGCCGCTACCCCTCGCAGCTAGTATGTCCAAATGCAGTTAGCGCGGGGTAGAAATCATGTACCAGCCGAACTCGCTCGACATATTTTTTTATTCTTCGCCATCTCCAAGTCTTATATCACCCTTCGAGGGACTTGGAGATCGCTAGAATACTAAACAATTGCCCTCGACCCCATCGACCCCATATACCCTAATCTAATACGATGTCGAACGGAGTAAACGGCCAGACGACAGCCGATGGCTCGTCCGAGTCTCATAATTCCTCGCAACGGTATTTGAGTACCAGAGGCGACGACTACGACGTAAGATTCATACCGATCTGACACCTTGCACTTTGTGTTTTGCAATCTTACCACTCTACCTACTAACCATTCTTACCAGCTTTCCTTCGAGGAAGTTGTGTTGAAAGGTCTAGCAACTGATGGGGGTTTATATATCCCAGAGGAAATCCCCAAGGCAAGCAATTGGGAGAGCTGGAAAGATCTGTCCTTTCCCGACCTCGCCCTCGAAGTCTTGTCTTTGTACATTGCGCCATCTGAGATTCCGCGCGAAGACCTGAAAGGAATCATCGATAGAAGTTATTCTACCTTCCGTGCACCTGAGACCACACCCCTACGACATCTCCACGACAACCTATATCTCCTAGAACTTTTCCACGGTCCTACATTTGCCTTCAAGGACGTCGCTCTACAATTCTTAGGCAACTTATTCGAGTACTTTTTGGTGCGAAAGAATGAGGGAAAGTCGGGTAGTGATCGACATCATCTCACTGTAGTTGGTGCTACAAGTGGTGACACCGGATCAGCGGCCATCTACGGTCTTCGCGGAAAGAAAGATGTATCGGTGTTCATCTTACATCCCAAGGGCAGGGTCAGCCCTATCCAAGAAGCCCAAATGACCACAGTGTTAGATGCCAATGTCCACAACTTGGCTGTTACGGGCACCTTCGACGATTGCCAGGATATTGTGAAAGCCCTATTCGCCGATCCTGATATCAACTCGACCCTCAACCTTGGAGCGGTGAACTCCATTAACTGGGCTAGAATTCTCGCCCAGATAGTTTACTACTTCTACTCTTACTTCTCACTGGTCAAGTCTTCTGGCTTGGCCTTAGGCGAGAAGGTCCGATATGTTGTGCCTAGCGGCAATTTCGGCGATATTCTAGCCGGTTACTTTGCGCACAGGATGGGTCTTCCTGTGGAGAAGTTGGTCGTTGCCACAAACGAAAACGATATCCTTGATCGATTCTGGAAGACCGGAAGATATGAGAAGAAGCCTGCCTTCGGCCAAGAGGCTCAGGGAGGCTTGGAGGTTGACGGTGTAAAAGCGCACGAAGATGGCGTCAAAGAGACCTTGAGTCCTGCCATGGACATTCTTGTCTCGAGTAACTTCGAGAGATTACTCTGGTTCCTAGCCTACGAATTTGCCTCTGTGGCAGGTATGGATGATGAGTGGAACAGAAGACAAGCCGGCCAGGAGGTCTCTTCGTGGATGAAGCAACTGAAGTCGAGCGGTGGTTTCGGTCCGGTCTATCAGGACGTGCACTCTAGTGCCAAACGTGACTTCGAAAGCGAACGGGTGAGTGATTCGCAGACGATTGACACAATCAAGAGTTATTTCAAGAAGATCGACTACGTCTTAGATCCCCACTCGGCAATTGGCGTGGCTGCCTCATTACGGTCACTGGAACGTTCTAAGGCACCACACATCTCGCTCTCGACCGCCCACCCGGCCAAGTTCGCCGGCGCAGTCGAGATGGCTTTGAAGGATGAAGCCGGATTTAACTTCGAGGAGAAAGTGCTCCCGACCGAGTTCCACGGCTTGGAGGCGAAGGAGAAGAGGGTCACTGAGGTCATCAGCGACTGGAAGACGGTTAGAGAGATCGTCAAGAAGCAGGTGGAGGAAGAGTTGAAGGGCGGAGCATAGGACGGCGTTCAACCATTTAATTTTGCATCGGACGCATTCATGGACCATGTGCATTGAATTTTTACGCGCTCATATTTGCACGTAGAATAAATCTATAAATCAATAAATACCCTCTAAATCATCCACGTCAACTTTTGGAAACTTCGTTCAGCCATATCACATATAACGTTATACAACTCTTCGACTTTACAGGATAGGAGAAGCATTACACGACATATTATACCCAGAGCAAATCTGCGGAGATTCAGGCCATTATATATATTTATTACAACCAGATGATATGTACCTAGGTATGTATATATTCCCCGTCATATTCCAACCGAGCCTTATTACATTTCCAATATCCGCTTCACTCCTCCATCAACAACATCTCCCTCGAATCTCTAAGAAGGAAGGTTCTGGACGGGGTAGCTCTGGTCAGGCGAAACGACCTGTCCGTTCACCAGCTGCGTATCCTTGTACTGTAACCCCCAACATTAGCATCTTCAACACACACAGGTAAAGGGAGAATACTCACAGCAGGGTACACAATCAACCCCTTAGCATAATCAATAACGCTCATAGTGGTAAAGCCCTCGCCCTCGCCGAACTGGCCGCTCCAGGTGCTCGTGACGGTGAAGTTGCCGAACTTCTGGGCCTGGCCGATGGCGCGGGAGGCCGGGGCCGAGTCGGTGGCGTTGACGGTGTAGCTGTCGACGCTGGTGGCGCTGACGCCCTCTTCGCCCGTGTTGATGTTGAACGTCCACACGCACGTCTTGTCGCCGTCGTCGCAGGTCCGCTTTAGGGACTCGATCGTCCACTGTGCTGCGTTCGGGGCTGCCATTGAGATTGGGGCTGCGAGGGTCGATGATGCGCACAGGAGGAGGGTCGAGAGGATGGTGCTTGAGAATTGCATCTTGGAGGTGAGGTTGGGGGGATTATTAATTATGTGTGTAGGTATGTAGGTTTGTATGTATTAGGCTATTCACAAAACGAATGACTAGACGGTGGATATGAGAAGTGTGTTCTCAGTGGAGAGGAGCGAAGAGTCTAGAGAGCTGAGTTGGCAGGTTGAGGTCGATGGTGATGGTTCTCTGGGAGAGGCTCCGTATATTTATGTATGCACGACCACTTGTCATGAACCCAGACGAAGAGGCGCGCGTGGTGTATACGATGCACGATATGACACGAGGCAACGCAAATAGCTACTACTCCGCTCTTCTCCTCACCATAATCTCCAACCGACAGACAGCTAGCTAGCTAACCCGTCTGGAATTTCGGAGCTGTCCATTCGTGAACCGCTGTCCCTTTCCATGACATCGCGCGCCTCCCTACATGCCTGCGCCGTCTCAACCAAACCAGCGCAAAGGCCATACTTTCGAACCCCGGCCTCGTATCCAGCAACCCTCTTCTCACCTAAAAAAGAAAGTATTTACTATGAGATCAGATCGAATCGAAGCAGATGTTTACCCGGGCCGCATCAACGACGTTCCATCCGCATCTCGTTACAGTCAGACGGTAGGGAAGAAAGAAGTAAGGCCGGGTTAGGCATGGTCGATCGCGTTTGTTTCGAGATCTCTGATCACGCAGCGACCGGTAGGCGGCAGTTATGGGGGTTTCCGCAGCGGGATCGACAGTGCCAAGCTCGTATTCCACTGCCGCGCCCCTTGCAGATGGTAGGACTCGCTTGAGTCGGTAGGTTGTGTGGAGAAGAAAGGGACGGAATACCAAAGCCGCGTAAGGTCCACACTTGGTTCTTTACTGCTTCTTTCTTTCAACTTCGCTGCGGTTCAAAAGCAACGTTGCTATATCGCCCAGCAAAGCTTTTCGCTGCTTAGTAGAGAGTGGCTACCGGCAAGGTCGGATCGGGTCACTGGCATCGACGCATCGTACTTCTGCGGCGGCTATGCTAGACTTTAGCACGTAGCCGCTTGCCGTTTCGTGACAGGATACGGTAACATCATATGTATGAATCAAATCAATCAATCAATATTCTGTATGTGACCAGTCACTCTTAAAAGGTGCGGGGCTCTGGTTCGTCCATTTGTCGATCTGCTCCCAAATTAGGAAGGTTGTACGTTCGGAGTTAGCATGCAGGTAGCTAGAGGAAACGAATTTGGAGGATGAGGAATGCGTACGATATACACGACCGGGTCAGCCCCAAGACAAATATATTAAGAGTAAGCTTAACTGTCTGAAGTTTCGAGAGATGACATAAATCCCTCTGCTTCTCCAAAATGTAGGCCCAAGCGACGAGACCAATATAACTGTCACGCTCATGACCATCCTACAGTAAGACATACATATACGGCTCCTCGTGTTACCTGTTTTTGCTTTTTTAGACACCGTCCAGCCTGTGGGCGTGATGTGACTCCGAGCTCGAAGGGTTGTATATAAATAAATCGAAGAAATAACTCAAACTCCGGATTGCTCTTCAAGCGATCATATGGTTTAATATCCCGGTCCAAACTTTCATATCCAGGGGTTCAAAACTAAACGAATCAACACCTAGCATATACGAAGAAAGCCTAAGAACATAAAATGACTTCTAGTTGAAAGCAGTATGCGCAAATACATGAATGACATTCTGTCTTAATACACGAATATTGTATCTGGTGTGTTTCTAGATCACGATACCTCTCTTAGCCCAGCCATCTCGGCCTTTCCAGGCCCAGAGGATCATGACTGTTCCAATCCAAATACAAATCGTCATGGCCCAGAATGTGGACGAGTAGCATTGCTTGCCGAAGCAGAATACATCCTCGTCATCGCTTCCTGCCAATGAAGATGAATCTCCTGCGCCGGCTTGGTAGACTGCCGAGTAAATGAGTCCCCACATTGTAGACCCCAGTGCTGGTGTAAGAGCGACGATGCCAAAATTTGTGCCAAAATTCTCTACTCCCCAAATCATGGTGATTATTATAGGCGTTAAGCTGAATACAGCTCCGTACCCAGCTCCAATCGAACCGGAAACAATCCAAAATCGCTCAGCATGCTCTTGTACCACGCCAGAGGCCAGTACAAGCGTACCAATGGAGAGGATAATGGCAGCAGCTGCGAATAAAACAACACGCGATATCGATAGCTTTTGCCTCAGCTCCGGAAGGGTGGTAGGAAATCCCGTTTGGACGTGTTGGGTGTGAGGATTAGGTGATAGTAAGTCGCTTAACGATGCTGCGACTAGACGAGCAACAGTGCTTACCGCGGCCATGATCGAAACATGAGTAGCTGCCGTGGTTTCGCTCGATTTCGTATTCGGGGAATTTAGCGTTCCAATGACAGTACCCATATTGTTGATGAACGATTCGCCCGGACCGATGATGAGCCAGAAACCAACCGCAAACCACCACATCGTGTGATCCGTAAGAAACCTTCGGGTTTCGGCGTTGAGAAGCCAGGCTTTTTTCAACTTGGCATTATCATCTTCCTCGTCGTCATCCCTAGCCGGATCCATGACCCCAGCATCGTCGTCGATAGCATCGATTGTTCCATAATCACGATCGGCTCGGCGACGGAAGACCGCACTTCCCTCGAGGAGCCCGCTCCTCTCAAGCTCCTCTACCGCTTCATCTATGAGGTCGTCTTCGTCTACAACCCGTAAGGAGAAGGTACCAATAAGTCCAATGATGGATAGGATGATACAGAGGAATAGGAAGAAATGAAACACGTTCACATCTCCCCGTCCTCCGCCCGGTTGTGTCTCGTAGAGGATCCGACTACCAATCTGACTGAGAACCATCCCACCAAGGCCGAATGATGCGATAGGAGCGACAAGCATGAGTCCTCTGTATTTCCCCTTGCCAAAGTTCTTCGCGCAGGTCGTAATAGCACCAATATACATGCACGCGGTGCCAACACCAATAGCCACGAAAGCCAATATCATGGGAGAGAATGTAGTCCTACCACTGCCATTACTAACTTCTGCAAGCCCCTTACGATATAAGCCAGATGCCAATCCGTAGCCCCCTCCAAGCAGGACGGAGGACAATAAGGAGAGAGGCCCAGGTCCTACTCGGTCGCACATGTAACCAATCACCGGGACTGGGATATACATGGATATGCTCATAGCGCTAGCTATTCCATTGATTTGAAATTGTGTGTAGTGTAATCGAGATTGGAATAGATGGCCGTAAAGGGAGAAGACGGTGATGGATCCGGCGCAGAGAGCGGAAATGATCGATACTACGAAGGCAAGACCGCGCACAGCACGCGTCTTGCGCCTGATCTTCGCGGTGGATTCATCGCTGATGGAGGTCTGCGAGGAGGATGAGGCTAAAGTCGAGGATGAAGCGGATCGTAGGAGCGGTGCGAAGGACTGATCGGAGTTCGATGGCGTCGACATCGTCGGGAAGGAGAGGCAGCTCGTCTGCCGAGTAACGTCTACTTGTGATACAATGGAATCAGTAATATTAAGGGCTCTCTCTCTATGAAATGATTAAATAAAAGAATGACGGGAGGATGAAGTTTCCCATCTCCTTCCGTGTAGAATAAAGGAAAGAAGTAGGGAGATGGAGAGTTTGGTCATACAATGTCTCGACTCTGACGTGCTCACAGCGGAAGCAACGGCCAGCCTTATCTTATCGCAGGCTCCCTAGATGATGATGATGTACAGACCTCCTGTAATGCAAGATCCAACTGATGGCAGGTCAGCCAATCAAATGATAGGGCAGAATGGAGTTAGAAAACATCGCCCATATGTTAATCTTACTATTTTGCACTGTAATTTAATCTATCCCCGTATTATATAATCTATTTTTTTACCACTTTATTAAAATTAATAAAAAAGTATTATAAGATTAATACTTCGATTACGATCGTTAATGAAGTGTTAACGGTAAATTATATAATTTTAAAATTTAATAAGTATTTTTTATAATAATATTTTTTTATTTTATAAATTTTTTAAATTTTTATAATTAATTATTACGGTATAATAACATAAAAAATTATTTATTAAATCCTCGTACGTGTTCGTATTTAAAAAGTTAATTTTTATTTTCGAATTTATAATTAATATAATAAAAATAATAATTTTTAAAAATAATTATTTAATATATTTAACGTTAATTTATTTATTAATTAAAATATTTTTAATAAAAATTATATACGAAATTTTTTAATCGATAATATTTAATTCGAAAATAATTATATTAATTTTAATTTTAAATAATTTTATAATAATTTTTATTTAAATTATAATTTACGCGGTATATTATAAAAATTTATATACGAAAAAATAAATTTTATTATTAATTATTTATAAGTAAAAAATTAAAATATAAAATAATATATTTATTATATACGATATAAAAAATTAATAAAAAATATAAAAATTAATAAAATTTTTTCGAACGAAATTATTTACCGTTATTTTAACGATTATAACTTTTATTTTCGAAACGAATAATAAAAAAAAAAACTAAATAATAATATTATTATTTAATATATTATTATAATTAAATATAAATAAAAAATTAAATATTAAAATAACGAAAAATAATAATATTATATTATTTTATTTAATAAAATTTATTATTTTTTTTTATTTAATTACGTTAAAAAAATAATACGATTATTAAAAAAACGAAAAAATATTTTTATAATAAATTATATAATAAAAAAATTATTTAAAAAAAAAAAAGTTAAAAAAAAAAACGTTAAATTAAAACGGGAGTTTTAAAGTTAATTTATTACGTTAATATAATTAAATATAATTACATTTCGTTATTTTATTAATATTATATATTATATAATAAAAACGAGAAAATTTCATTAAAAAAATATATTAAAACGTTTTAATATTTTTTTTTTTCGTTTAAAAAATATTTTAATAAATATAATTTTATTATATTAAAAAATGAAAATTTAATATATAAAATTCGTAAAAAAAACTTTATATATAAATAAAAAAAAAAAACGGTATTTAATTTATTTATACGTTATTAATAAACTTTAAATTAAATTTTATTAAATTTATTATTTTTCGCGTTAAAAATTATTTACGTTATTAAATATATAATAACGTTTAAAAATTTAAAAAATTTATTAAAAAAAAATAATATAATTAAAATAAAACGCGTATTAATAAAAATATTAATAATATATTTAAATAATAAAATAATATTAAATTAATTCGTAAATAATAAATAATATATTAAACGTTATTTATTAATAATTTTTATTTTTAATTTATTTTATAATTAAATTTTTTACGATTAAATTAAATTATAATATATTACATAATATTATACTAAATTTTTTAATATTAAAACGAAAAAAATAAATTATATAATACGGGGATAAATTAAATTACAGTGCAAAATAATAAGATTAACATATGGGCAATGTTTTTTAACTCCATTCTGCAGGGGTATATATCCGATATCGCTTTTAGTTTAGCGCAGAGTGGAGCCCCGGCGTCCATTAAAGTGCACATATTTGTACTCTGTACTATACGACGGCAATGATCAAACATAGATATAAGACCATGCCAAATTCGAAGAGCATGTTCAAATGATTGAATTCAGAATAGATACCTAGGGTAGTATCATATACTATTAAATATACCTAGAAGTACTTGGATGCGCACGCTCCAACAGCGAAAAGCTACATCCAACTACAAGAATGGCCCTCGTATGTACACCATGATAGTTGATAGCAACTCGTTACGCTCTTCGAAGCAACAATTACTTCATACCTACTCGAGGATGGGCTCCGGCCTTCCTCGTGTGATAATACTCTTCTACCTTCTCACGGCTGCAAAGCTTGAATTAGATCGGCATATCACCTACGCTATTCTGAATGAATAGATTACAGTTAACTCGAATGTTTTCACCGAACTCAATGTTCCAGCTCATGCAGCAACCCACTTAAAGGTATTGGCGAGGGACATTATGGAGTAACAATTATGGGATAATAGTCGACGAAGCTTTCTCGCGGTTGATTTGGCTGATGGTACTTGAGGGTGGAATGCAACTAGGGCTGGGAGGAGTATTATATCCGACTAGATATCGTGCAAGTTTCCAATAGGAGAACCTGGGAAGGTGCTTAGGAAATGTGATAATATGGTGGCACTAACCTATAAGATTTTCAACGAAATTTGTCACTGCTCGAATCTCTTTAACATTAGAAACATTCCCAGCTGCTGGTCTGGTAATACCTAGTAGTCGTGGTGTTGTTGGTTTAATTGGCACGTGAATGTTGGATCTCAGGGAGTTCCTAGCCTAGACCAAGTAGGTTAGCGCACAGACCATTCAATTAACCCTAGGTACTAGTGTACATCCCCGCCGAAATTTTCGCGAGCCCACACCAAACTTGTAAATTCCATATTGAATTTCGTTTGAGAGCCTCTTTCTTAACTTTTCATTTTCGCGAACGAAATTTCCCACGCTTCATCAACACCCACCAATATTCACGTCGATTGCCAACTGATTTAATCAGGTATGTATATTATGATGAATGCTATTAGAATTGAAGAGAGCGACATTATCTCTGAGACATCAGCGATAATTTAGCAACTCTTCATTTTCAGCATAAATATTCTTATTTTCTCTTACCTCCCCATCTCCATCCTCATCACCATCTAGGCTAACTTGCCCTTCTATCCTACCAGAAACCGCAATCATGGGTATTTCTCGCGACTCCCGCCACAAGCGCTCCGCATCTGGTGCCAAGCGCGCCTTCTACCGTACGTGAATGCCGCATTCGTATCCTTGAGATATACCCCCCCAAAATAGCGAAAGCCCGTATGCAGCCATTGTGTGCAATGATCATACGTTCTGACCTCCTCACCAGGGAAGAAGCGCGCTTTCGAGGCCGGCCGACAAGAGGCCAACACCCGTATCGGACCCAAGCGAATCCACACTGTCCGCACTCGCGGTGGTAACCACAAGTACCGTGCTCTTCGTCTCGACTCCGGTAACTTCGCCTGGGCCTCCGAGGGTACCACCCGCAAAACTCGTGTCATCGTTGTCGCCTACCACCCTTCCAACAACGAGTTGGTCCGAACCAACACTCTCACCAAGTCCGCCGTCGTCCAGATCGATGCTGCTCCCTTCCGTCAATGGTACGAATCCCACTACGGCCAGCCCCTCGGCCGTAGACGCCAGCAAAAATCTGGCAAGGAGGAGGAAGCCGTGAAGAAGAGCAAGGCCGTCGAGCGAAAGCAAGCCGCCCGATATGCTACCAGCGGCAAGGTCGAGAGCGCGTTGGAGAAGCAGTTCGAAGCCGGTCGTCTCTACGCCGTTATTGCCAGCCGACCCGGCCAGAGCGGTCGCTGCGACGGATACATCCTCGAGGGAGAGGAGCTGGCTTTCTACCAGCGCAAGCTACACAAGTAGGCGAATGTGTCGGGGGTGACGGGAGGTTAGGCTTTGTGGCCACTGCAAAATATCATGAGCAATGGCACCGGTGTTTATGGCTGCTCATTTTCGGCATGGAATGGGATAACCTTTACTAGGTTTTGATCAATAAAAGATCTACAAAGACACTTGCAGTGCCTCCTACAACATTAAAAGTTTTACTATGTGATGACATGATGAATTCATTTCTCCTTGCTAAACGTGACTCCCTCCTACGTACCATGTTCTTGAATATCTTCTACGTATGATTGTTAGACCTCCATTTTCCAAGACAACTTAGTTCATTTTCAGTACAGCTTATCCTATGACGAGTTTTATAGTTTGCTGTATACGAGAGAACGACTAGGCCAACATCGAAGTTTGATATTCCACAACCGTACACACCTTAAGCAGTAAAACGCATCCCTACCACGATACACGATACACAACACAACACTCTGGCCATGACAAAATTCTGGTATTCATCGACGATTGATCGAACATGCTAGCTCTGATTCTATACAATGTTCCCTTCCCATCCCCATTCAGGATCTCTTGCGTATCATTTTTTCTTCTTACTAGGTCCTTTTCCGTAATGCTCTCCTTTTGCATGCAATGCACCTTATCTCATCTCATCTCGTCTCGTCTCCGGAATGAGGCTTTACTTCCTAATGCAGGATTTACTATCTCTTCTTCTTCTCCTGATTCTTCATCATCTCTCTATGTTTGGAGTTATACTAGGTACTCCCACCCCCCTTCTTCCCCCTTCGTGTTGTGCTTTGCAAATCTACTTCGGTTTAAAAGCGCCCCTATTAGGTATGTAGGTACCGGCAAGAATAATAAAAAAGAATAAGGAAGACTACCTAGACGGAAATAATCTATTTCAGCTGAACCCGGGCGGGTTGGGTTGATCGTGGGGTTCAGTTATAGTCAACCAAAAAGCGTGGGGATCTATCTCGACGAGCAACGCCATATCTATCTTAATCGGGTAGAGGAAAGGGAGGACCAAGATGTAGTAGAACCTGACTTTATATACCCTAACGTGGCGGTTAAGGATATGATTCCCAATTACTTGCCTACTTGCTTGTCCCTACTTTCTTCGCCCCCTTTGGTGGATGGATGGTTGACTACAATGGGTAGGAGAATTTTGTACAAGAATATGAATATGTCGGAACCTAAAGGCCTTGGTAAGGGCGGGATTAGGGGAAGAGGAATCTCGAGGTTTAGGCAAATTGGCGTTTGAGGTCGGCCCATTTCCTTTGAAGAGTTTCGTGCTGGGAGTTGATCTGTTGAAGGGGGGAAGGTTAGTTGGATGTGTACCAAGGAAATTTGGCGAAAAGATTTGAACATACCTCGGCATATCGCATCTTCGTCTGCACGAGCTCTTCTTCGAGTTCCTGCATCTCCTTTTCGAGTCTAGTGTTCTCCTCGTGGACCTTCTCGTTTCGCTTCATCAGGTCGTCACGCTCAAGTTTCCAGGTACCCTCTATTTCTTCAGGTTGCTTCTCGATGATGTTGTGAAGCTCTTTAACCTGGCCCGTCAAACTCTCGTTCTTGTCTTTGAGTTCCTCATTCTCGATCTTGGTATGAACAAGGTCCGTCGTCACAGTGGCTTGTTCACGATCGCTAGCCTCAAGACGCTCCTCAAGTTTTCGGATCTTAATAACGTAGCTCATGTTTGAGTTCTTCAACGTTTCCAGTTCCTTCTCACGCTCTTTCTCTGCACGGGTCTTTTCTTCCCACTCTGTGGTATACGATTTAAGAAGGTCGGGTGTAATCTTAACTTCACATGCGTCCCGAACCAATTGATCCGCTCGGTAAACTTCTTTATCGATGCTAGAAGAGCTGCTACCGAAGAAGCCATTCTCGAGAATGCTACCGGCACTTGGCGACTGATCAATGTAGGCATCGAATAGCTTGTCTCTGAGGAAACTTGTTAATTGGCCCATGTCGGACATGCCGAGAAGTGCTGCCGCATTCTTCTGCATTAAGACAATACCGAATTTCAAGATAGCCGAAAGGCCCTCCGAGAAGATAAGATCATAAATCCTCAGTACAAGTTGGAGAGGGAATCGATATGCGAAAAGAGTCAAGAACCATTGTGTCGCATATAGGTGAGGTGAGATGCCACGACGGTGTAGATGGCAATACAAGGCCGGCTCGAGGTCCTCTAGTAACCGTTCGAATTGGTACAGATGCATGTGCAAACCTGGCATATCCTGAATGAACAGGTCGCGTAGCTTGTACTGATTCATCAATCGGACTAGTAGGCAGAACGCTTCTTCCTCCGGCATATTGAAGAGGAGCGGCATGATGAGGAAATTCATCCCCTGGGCATAACCAACCGGTTCGTCGTAAAGTGCATAAGCTTTACAGACGCCGAATAGGCCATCTTGCAGACCAGCCGCTGCCGCGTACTTAGAGAAGCTCGTTCGGGCGCCGAGGTCTCTCTTAATGGTCTTCTCAAGCCTGGATAATGCCGCGGCGTCTTCTTTATCCTTCTTCTTCCTTTCTGCAATGGCAAGGGCCTGAGCCTTGAGGACAGCTTCAGATGGTTCAGGCGGTGTAGGCAACTTTTTGTTACTACCTCCAGAGACTTCTGAGTGTACGGATGAGGCAGAAGACGCCACAGCGTCCTTCTCCGAACTCAAGTTACTGTTGCTCAAAACACTCATAGATGTGCTATTGCTATCCCGGTTCTTATCCTTCTCGGAACCTCGAGCTGCCAAACTCTTATACACCCTCTCAAGCTCCTCATTTTTACTTTGGGCAAGTACTTGCCAGACCACACCGCGGATCACATTGGGAATGCCCGTAGCAATCGCTCTGTTAAGCTCCTCCGGATTGGTCCTTGCGACAGCGGCAGGGCCCTCGTAGACGACGGACTGCCACAGGTCCCAGTCAACCTGAGCATCAGCAGTGGTTGAAGGGCCGGCAGATACGCCCGACACGGTGCCGGGGGCCAGACTACTATCCGCATTCGGTGGTAGGGGCGACGCCGGAGGTTGTGCTGCGCTCATTCCATCACTGCTCTCACCAGCTGGGCTCGCTAGTCCTTGGGGTTTATCATCTTCGAGAGAAATGCCTGCCTCCTCCCGCATGCGCACCATCTTAAACCTGTCCTTCAAACTATTTCTTGACAGGCGAGGCCCGCTCTCGCCCTCATTCTCTTCCTCCAGCTTTCCAAGCATCATTTCTGGATTACTGGTTAAGGTGGCTATTGAACTTGCTGTGTTTCTTCGTGGTGAGGTAGAAGCAGTAGCAGGCGGGGATGTTACATCCTTATCCTTGTCTTTATGCGTGGAATTGCGGGATAGCCAGGAGAATGGACCTGTAATCTTCCGAGCTGTCGGCGCAGAAGTGGGGGCAACCCCTGAAGGCGGAACAGCCATGTTCGGACTTGTCTTCGGCGGCGAATCTGAGCTAGAGGGATTAGGAGACCATGGCATTGATGGCAAGGATGCGGCGATATTGCTAAGAGAAAGTTTCTTTGACGGTTGTTTGTGTACGACTATAGGTGGTTGTTCTATACACTTGTTAGTGGTCGTGTCAATTGGCAATGGCAAGCTTGTATGCGAACCTTTCGGCGGCAGAGGTGGCTGCTCTTCAATTTCGTCGCTAAGGTCGACATTGTCTAAAGACACATTCGAGTTGCGCTTAGAGGGAGGTGCCGGTTCCTCATCTGCTATCTTCTCCTTCTCGTTCTCTTTCTCACTCTCTACGTCCTTCTCATCCCCATCCTCTTTCTTTTCCTCTTTCTCTTCTTCTTTCTGCTTCTCTTTTTCGTGAACTACGTCTCCATTTGGCTTCTCCTCGGCCGTCGGTTCCTCTGCCTCTGGTAATTCGGGAGTCTCGCTAATAGCAATGCTACTTGGCCGGGGTGAAAGCTTGCGACTTGTTAGGGATCTTATAGATCCTGTGTCAAGGGCATCTTCAAAGGTGTCCTTTAAACAATTGTAGGTTAGCTTCTTATATCTTGCAATTTAAAAAGTAGGAAAAGGGTGTGACATGTGAAAAAGGAAATGAACGTACTGTGTCCTTGTCCGAAAGGGTCGGCGAGCCATGTGCCTGGGGAGCGGCGTCGGACACATGCTGCTCCTCTGGGCCGGACATATTGACAGCCACCAGGTGGGTGTGAAGCGTTGGATGTTTTATTCGGAGCGTTCCTAGAGTTTATGTTGGGTGTCAAGTCTTCGTAGAGGGTGGATTAACATCTATCGGGTCTAAGAACGCAAGCTATCGGCAATAAGGTATGAGGTATGGGTGGTTCAAGTAGGTGGTTAAGGAGGCAGTAGTAGGGTTCTTAATCAGAATCAAATAGACGAACGCGACGCGATATACTCGAACGGGATAAAGCGTTTGTTTGTCTTAGAAAGAGTTGTACTATGCAGTACTGAATAAGGATCGCAGACCACGAGAAAGAAGGGAAAAAAGGTATTGTAAACGAAGTGAAGAAAAAATAGTGAAAGACGTACGTACTCAGATTCACCGTCTCGTTTGTAAATTGAATCCAACCCTTCCCCCTTCGCCAGAACTGACTAAAAAGTGACTAGGGGATCGTTGTGGATTCTCTTGGGAGTTTCTTGGTGGGAATGGATCTTGAAATCCAATTGTGATGCACGGACCTTAAATCCAGTTAAAGAGCGTTTTAACGCCAAGCATTCCCGCTATTTAGTCCCTTTAGTGCTATGAATGGCATTGAAATGTGCCGTAGCCTGCTGTAGCCAGGTACCTAACCGCTTAGCGTCGCGCTAGAAACCTTTATTTATTACAGCCCATCCTGCCCGTTTATACCGCTGCAGTGCTGCTACGTTGGTTCAGGGGTTCAATGAACATCCCACACCTGTTATCCAGTATCCATGGACATTTGCACTTGTGATAGGTACAAATAAGTAACATAAAAGCATGAGGCACAGAGGCAACTCGCATCAATTCCGGTACTACATAGGTGGCACAACATGCACATAGCTGCAAGATGAAATTGAAGGTCTAGGCCGGCTACAGGAAGATCTATGATCACAATTTTAAACTTGTACACCATCATTATCCCTCCGCCGTAAATGGACAATTATGAGTGACATCACCGCGGGACCTTCAACTATGGTTAGCATATCTATTGGCATGACATGGTCCGAATATCTTATCTAATTCCCAGGTTTCTTTATCGTACTAGATACATAAAGGGCTGTGTAATAAATACCTAGTATTAACGTTATGGACCGATTGTTGTTTCTATAATAAGCACAAAGAGAAGTTGCATGGTTTCATGTGAAAGAAAAGACTCACGTTATCGAGTCGTATTCCAAGCTGGCGGAATATATCTAGAAGCTGCATAGATTTAGAAATCGATTGGCCAGTTATGTCTGAAAGAGAGCGATGCGACCCCTTTCTGCGTGCATTAAGAATGGACCGGTATCTTGAATTTTGACCAACCCCCTTGGCATTTCTATGCACCTGAGAAAATGGTCTTATTTCTCCTAAGAAGTTTTATTGCAACCATCCAGCAGATGCTAACTCTTTCTTATTCCTTCTTTCTTCGATGTTCACAATATTTACCTAAGTATCAAGACAAGATAAAATGATTGTCTAGCCTTATCCCTTTTTATGCACCTACCTATGCGTACCTACCTACCTATCTATCTCTTGACTGACACTAAAGGTACGGACATTCTTTAACAATTAGGTTCAGCTACAAATCCGTTATCCCACCAGCGGCTTTCTTTCACATGGTATTTCCAAATTTTATTTCCAAATTTAACCTTTCGTAAGGCCATTAGCCGACTTTTAGAGAACCTTCAAGTGTTAGCACCCACTAACTGACACCGGTCGGCCGGTTCCTGGCCGGGTCCTACCTACCTGATTATCTGGGGTCATCTGGGATGCCATGTCTTAGTCATGGTCCAATAAGAGACGTAGGTCTCGGTCTCCGACAATATATTTGTATGACATACCTACAATATATGAGGGCGGCTATGATGACGCGCTCTTTATGACGAATGAAGCGGCTTATACGTCATCCACATTTTCACGACGAGCAGAGTATCTCTCATATATACACGGTAATCTAGAAGGAACCATGCGTAGTCCACTGCCCGTATCTTTAACACTTGCCTACCAAAGCTAGCGACAGTGACTCAAAATTTCAACAGCCCCTACAGAAAGATATACCTAATCACTATTGGTTCTACTTCGATAACATCCTCACGCACTCCCGCCCTCATGTGGCCATACATAACATGAGTCCTAACCTAGTGACACTTAGCCTATGAAGTCAGCAATCAAGGTCAGCAGTTTATTCCCCATTCTATATCCATTGTCGCGTGCCTACATCTAGAGCTGAAGGCTCGACTAAGACGAATAAAATACTTCACCAAGACAAAAGAACCATACTTAGATATCTCAGTAGGTAAGAAAACAAAGCCTTACTAGGTTCTGGGATTTGAATACGTTGAAAATAGACCAATAACTTCCAAGTTGTTGACAACTTACACGCGGCAATACGTATCACAGTGGTATAAGATTGGTTTACTCGTAAATATTGTTGTAGCGTGACTGTAGCCAATATTAGGAACTCGTAGCACAACTAGTGTTACCTCCCATGAGACAAACATACTCTCGGGCAACTGAATCCTCGACATTCATGTTGTAGGAAAAGGAATTAGAATAGATTAAAGAAAAGAAAAGGGAAGAAACCTCGTGGGATAGTTCCGTTTAGATATTATGTCTTCGAGTAAAAGACTTTATCCTTGAAGGGGCCCCTAGACTGAGTGCATGAGAAGATCATAAGGGATTTAGATGACTGGAAGCCTGGTATTGAAACAGAAGGCAGTTTCGAGGTTGAATCGGTCACGTTTTGATATATCATATCTTGAGTTATAAAGGGGGGCCTTCCAATCAGAAAGGGGGATGATAAGATTCCTACACGCCTTGGATGCACATAGCATGAGTCAAGGGTTCTATGACTGATGATACCTAGAAAGATTCATTGAACTCGGTGGTATGTTTGAGTCGACCGTAAAGGATAATAATTACCAAGATAAGTATCTGCAAGTATACGTCTTATATTCAGGCTGCCCATGGAGGCTATGACTTGGTAGACGGGTCGTCGATAACAACGTGAGAGCTCTGACAAAATCGTATTTCAGCTCGCTAGGAGCTTCGTTCTTCGCGGTATAGAAGAAAATAGATAGGTAGATGAAGAATTTATCATGTTGTGGACTCCTCGCGTAACAACGCCGTTGACGTCATATCCACCAAGTCCGACAGGACCGAGAATATAGTGGCTGCAATTCTGGCGAGTCTCGGGATAGCATGAAGCCCAAGGCCGGTGGCTGAAATCGTAACTTGTAATGAGCAGGCTGTAGAGTTGATTGCGGAGACCAAAGTCCGGTTGGAAAAGCATTCCTTCTACAGGCCATCGTTGGAGCTATTGTTTGACGGCATAATTTTAGTACAGTACCAATATTTTTATTATCCCATTGTGCAACGGACGTGGGAGGGTTCAATTCAGTATGAATCATAAGAGACAAGCTTCAGCTGCTGTTTTCTATTTTTCTACATTCTTCCCATGAGTTGAACACCAAGCTTAAGAAAGGGTGAGTTAAAACTAGAGGCAGGATTCTACAATGTATGCCTTGCAAATGAGACACTGCTTTCCTACGTATCACACAGCAAGAACCGAGTATAGAAGTCTGTATTATCCCGAAAGAATTTCGTGGATTATACGAAAACGTGGCGTTCGAGTTGGGTAGTTGCGGATCTTGAATTCGTCCGCTGATAAGTCATCCTGCTGATCATCAGGTTTATCTTCGCTAGGCGAATCACCCTAAAGAAGATGCCATGAATTCACAGCTAAATTGAGCCTCACTGTCTGTCAGCATCCCACAGAAGAGTAACCATGTTACGCCGCTTGCCGTGTGAAGATGGGGAATTCATAAACTCCTGGTTTGGGATTGTTCTAGTGGCGTTCTGGGCGTCGACCTTCGTTTGACGAGTATGTATACCTAGGTGTCTGTAGAAATCATGAAGCAACTAGCAAGTTCTACCAACCGTATTATCTATACATACTAATTACAAAACGTTCCTGTTATTTCACATTAGTGTAAATGGCTAAATACTCTCATGAATCTACCTTTGAGGCTGCTTGCGAAGACGGCCGCCTACCAGGAGTTACCCTTGTCGCGGCCGATGTTACGGGCAAGTTCAAGTACAAGAAAGCGTTTAGCAAGTACGCATACGGGGAGGCAATCGCTACGGATAGCGTGATATGGATAGCTTCGTGTACCAAACTCATGTCAACCGTCGCCGTGATGCAGCGAGTTGAACAAGGGAAGATCAGCTTAGACGAGGATGTTGGGAGGATACTCCCGGAACTCAACGACCTCAAGGTCCTGGCCGGATTCGATGGAGAAAGGAAGCTAGAATATGAAGGAAGGTAAGGTAAAATCATTTTAAGGTGAGTAGACCACATCGGCTTGCGTGGTGAAACTCATAGTGACCTTGCTGATATTTTTTCGCAAGACTCCTCCTCACACATAGCTCTGGACTTACTGCACCGATGTTTGATCCCAAACTTCAACAGCTGGCACAATTCAGGGGCCCTCCTGAAAAGCCCCTCGATCCTGTCGTGACTGAGTTTTCTGAGCCTTTAGTTTTTCAGCCTGGAACAAACTGGCAGTATGGTACGGACTTAGCCTAGGCTGGTAAACTCGTTGAACGGATCTCCGACGTTTCTCTCGAAGAGTATATGCGCGTTCATATATGGGGTCCGCTGGACATGCAGCACGTGTCCTTCTATCCTGACTCTATCTCGGAGGTGAAGGCACGTAAAATAGGGATGAGCGGTAAGGATGAAAACGGAAAGCTAGTTCCTATTGACACCATAAGAACGTTCGGCGAAAAGAAAGATATATATGGAGGCGGAGCGGGTTTTGGGTCTGCGAAGAGTTACGTGAAGCTCCTACAGACCCTATGCGCAAACGACGGCAACGCTCTGAAGAAGACAGTGGATGAAATGTTCCGGCCGCAGCCCAGTCCCGAGGCTAATACGGCCTTCAAAACAATGGTTAAGAGCAATGAGTTGTTCTGACGGGTGGGAGCAAACTCGTTCGATATGAACCATTAGATTTTGGATTGGGGTCTTGGCGGGGAGATCGGTACCAGAGATGAAGTTAGTAGGAGAAAGGCTGGGACTTTGTCGTGGGGCGGCTTGCCGAATCTGATCTGGTGGATCGATAGAGAGGCCGGTTTCTGCGGTACTCTCTTCATAAGTGTTATGCTGATGGGTGATGAGCTGGTCAACAAATTGATCGCGGATTTTGAGCTAGCGATCTATGAGCGGTATGAAGAGTTGAAGAAGTAATAGATCGAATAAGTGGTTAAATGAAGCGATAAGTTACAGTCGTATATACTCTACTGTCGAATTTAAATGTATATAATGTCTAAGTATATCAATTAATCCATATTTCCATATATACCAAAGACATTTAACATTTTGGTTATATTTGTATTGTGTGAAGATAATGAGAATGATACTGGATATTAGACTTGTGTATGGGAATACTTAGAATATAGAGTATAACTCTTTCCCTTAAAATAAAACATGCGACCGACAAGAGGGTGGAAGGAAGGTGCACTCTGGATCAATATCGACGTCGGATTATCAAAAAGACAAAAACCCGACAAAAAAAGATGGTACAGAAGGAATTTAACCTCCATATGATGGACTCGCGGGGAATCGAACCCCGGACCACTCCCAGGCGGTTATTAGAACTGAATCTTGCATCTAAAGGTGCTAAGGGAGTATTATACCACTAAACCACAAGCCCGAGTGATTGTTAGAAAATTAATGGTTTGGGGCATCTATATTGCTTGAACGAATGGAAAGTTTAGAAACGAATCGAGAGGATTTAGCTACGGAATCGCCCCGGTTTAGCTTGGAGAAGTGCGGGTGCTTTGGCGCTAATGTCGCCTTCTACACGCTTGGAACTTGGAAACTGACCAGTTAGATTTTAGTACACCTATCACGATGAAAATATTACTTCTAATGTGCAAAACACGATCAGGGGATATTTCAACTCTCTGAGGCTTATTACTAGGTATTTTGTCTTGGGATTCAAGGGCTTAAGTTATGATATTGTAGTGCATTTTGTTGTACAGACAACCTTGGACATCTACTTTAAGACAAGCTTTCTAAAATATCGGTAGCTATTTTGACTCGGACTGTATTTTTTTATAATGAAACTACTAGTTATCTTGTTTTAACAAGAAATGCTAATATATAATTGATATTCATATGATTGTATATATAGGCACATACAATTCTAATATGGAGAATAATTATGTTCATATATCTAGTATTGTGAAGAGAATCATCTACTATATAGATTTGCTTACTCGATAATACCTATGTCACGTACAAGTCGAGTCGACTTGACCTATTCCCCAGGTATGAATCAAGGGCTTAGTCGACAATCTCTGGATATTTCTATACCTAACCCACTCACAAAAGCCTTGGCGATCCGGCTAGGGCTCAATGAGGGCTTGAAGAAGCCCTGGGCAGCAACGGTCTCCATCTGTACGTACATACAAGCACGATACCTGCAGGATTGACCATGACTTGGTTGGACGTTGGGCTGCGATTTTGAATGAAAATTCTGCAGGTATGGATTGCGTGTAATGTGATCGCTTTAGGTACTGACAGCACTGTTTAAGATGAATATCTGGAATCTAAATGGAGGTATTTATAAGTATGTACAATATTCTGTACATTCATAGGGTACTACCTAGTACTATGTAGGTACTAGGTACGTACCTAGGTATAGGTGTTAAAAATCCGTGTTATATAATTCAATGCTTAGGAGCTCGCGTGAAATGTGCTCTTCTAAGCAATCGAAAAGTGTAGATCCGGATTTTGTATTTATAATACAATCACTCTACCTAGTAGTACATGTATATCTTAAGTGCTCGTATTAAGTACTTTACTTACATGCCCTGATGGTGAAAAGAGCTATGCACACATGTAGCCCTGGAGCTTCCTAGATTGAGAATCAGATACCTAGTACTCAGTGGATCTCTAAAACCCAAGGAAATTCAATAGCGTGCAAGTCCCTCGTCACTGGTAGCTACCGTGCCTATTGGCTTTTGCCCCACCTTTGTACTAGTACCTTGAGGCAATCCCACGGCTGCCATTAGTAGTAGCAAGCACCACCACCTTTGCCCCACACCGCAATCATTACGCAAAAGGCAGTGGCCGATCAGCCGCGACCTTTCAAACATCCAAAGCTAATAAACCTACCTATTTTTTCTTTCCTTTTAACACTTCAACACTTCTCAATCCCGACTATTTTACATTCCATCGACGATTAAGTTAAGTAAGTTATCTATTTTTACATGCGGACGACTTTATTCTCTCCGCTTGTAATTAGAGACCAGGCACCCTTGTTGAACTTGGAGATGACGGTATAGCGGCCTGCACCCGCTTGCACCGACCTAATTCCAGCTTCTTAACCAGCCGTACTGGAAATCGTATCTGCCTACTACCTCACATCATCAACCACCCGCCCCTCATCCGCTTCTCGCATATCTACCTACCTTCTAGGACTCAACAAAATAATTTGTTATTCCGCGACCTGTAGTGTGCCTATTCCACTTTTTACATTTCTGACCCGGTTCCCACGGCATCGGAACCTTTCCGGAAAACGAGTCTCGTTTTTTTTTATTTGATACCCGCAAGGCTGACATCCGGAGACGAGGCTTAATCCGACAATTTTACTGGGTTCTACGATAACCCCACCTTGTGTACTAAGGAGCAGCTCGCTATATCATACGAGAGGAGCAGTCCAAGCAATATTGGACGCTCCCCGTGCGACAAGTCGAATTGTCGTCACCGATTACCTGAGCCTTGGTAGTGGAGGGGGAGCTGACTTATTCTTCGCGGCTTTGCCGCACTGGTCTTCAGCATGGGAAAGATAGCGAAGGCCATCCAACCTAAGCACAAGGAGACGCAGGTAAGTCACTATATCATGTGTGATGTTTGTTATATCGATTAGCTCGCTCACTTTTTTTAGTCTCCTTGGCTACAGGAGTTCATCGACAATGCGACCTCCGTACCCTTACCTCTCCTACCGAAGACCCTTGCCACATTCCCTTCGCGATGGCCTTTCCCCAGAGGTGACCTGTATCATTGGATACCATTACTGAATCGATTCGACGATGTCCTAGAATCGTTCTGCTCTACTTATAAATTGAACGAGGGCCCTCAGACTAGAGATATTGGTTGCGACGTCTTGCGATCTAGCTCAGTGGGCGATCAGGAGAAAGCGAATGAGCCGCAGGACTTTTCGGAGTTGGGATATGGCAAGGATGGCGATGTCCAGCTCGTTGTGGCTATTCTGAAGTTCACCCAGATGCTTCTGGACCACTGTGGAAACCGCAGCATGTACGCCAGCAGTTCCCACCTGAATGATCTCCTGAACAGCACCGACTTTACAATCGTCTGTGCTACCTTACGCGTTGGTGCGGAACTGGCTCAGCGTTACCAGGCCTCCGTCAAGCGCATCCACGGGATGACAACCCGACAGTTACACACAACTCTTCTCACGAACCACTATAACATAGATCTGGATCGTGTACAGCAGCTTTCTCAGCCTTTCGTGAAGACGCCTCTCTCGAAGCCGTTAGAGCCTACCCTTCTCTCCACCCCTGCGTCTATCAGTAAGAGTAAAGATAAGTCTTATGGCGGCGGCTCCAAGAACGTGGCCACTATGTATGCGAACGACTTGTGCGCTCTAGCTAAAGCTGACTCTATCGAGAACTCGCGCTGGAATGGGTGGGGCGATGTGAAGCTTACGTATTATCCTACTTCGGATGCTCCGCAGGGATCTGCGCAACAATCTCTACCCGATCGCGGTGCAAACTTAAACGCGCCTTCGACGCCGACTCCTTTGAGGCGAAGTAGCACGTCTGCTGCTTCTCAATCGACCCCCCGTGCGGGCCGCCAAGGAGCGTCGGAGGAGAGCCCGGGTTCGGCCTCTCGATCGCCAGCTGTTGGCCGGGATGAGAGTAGCCCCCCAGGCCAGAAGTCTTTGGAGATATCGCATGCTTCGGTGTCCTCGTCATCAATCTACCAGCTTCTCGCAAGAGCTCCGGCAGACTTGCCAAAAGATGCCAAATACGAACTCTTGAATCGCCTTAGAGTTGCTAAGGCACTCACGGGATCGGTCGAGTCTCGACAACAGGCACTTAAGGCTCGCCTATTAGCTATCCAGAACTTGGCCTATATCCACATAGAACCTACGTTCATCGAGAGGGTGCTTAGGCAAGATAATGACGAACCAAGGCGGTTCCAGCTGGTATACCAGCTTGCCGAACTGATCCACCCTGCTGCTGATGGCGCGGCTGTAGTACCTATTGATCTACAGTCTATCGCTTTCTCATTGTTGGAAGCTATCTCGAATTTCCATCACAAACTGCCTGATGTCTTCTCGGCATTAAATGCGACGGTGAACCATGGAGTGCTGCTTTATGTCATTAGGAAGGCTGTCGCTGAGATGAAGAAGGACGACTCTGGGGAGCAATATAGCGAACAGGACGAATGGCGTGACACCCTCATTTCTCTGACGCTGCATATTACGATGTCGATGGCAAATAATACATCGCGTAGCATGCCGGAGATCATCTCTGCCGGATTACTGGATATTATCGTTGAGATCCTGAACCTTAGGTCCAACATAGCTGAACGCACATACGGCACTTTGGTAGCGTTCTTAGACAGTCTCGTGTACAACGTTCAGAATTCTTTCCAAACATTGATCAATGCCGACGGCCTTGAGGCTGTTACAAACCTAGTTACTCATGAAGTTGAACTCGCAGGGAAGCTTGTTTCGGAGGGCAAGGGAACGCCGGTTACTCACCGTTCTCAGGTTGTTGATTACGAGATACCTTACTGCCAACAGCAAAACCTCAAGCATCTGCTGAAGTTCATTCATCATTTAATGTCAAATGCCTTTGCCTTTGGTGGCAACACTGATCGATTATTGAGGAATCTCGTCGATAAATCCGCTCTGCTTCGCAGCATACGCGAGATCATCGAGAACATGTCCAAGTTTGGCTCCCTGGTGTGGACAAATGCAGTTGTTATTTTGAGTGACTTCCTTAACAACGACCCGACCAGTTTTGCGGCTATCTCTGAAGCCGGATTGGTCCAGAGTTATCTGCAAGCGTTGACGGGTCGCCCGGTACCCACGGCGGCGCTCGGGGGAGTAGACTCAGCCCAGGAAGGGAACCGAGACGATAGTCCTGAGTCGCCTTCGGATGGACCCACACCTGATCTCCTTGAGCCTGATAGTCGCTCACATCCTCCGTTGCAGGAGGAATTGGAGGCGCCTCGCGATGGCCCGCTGGCCCGTGGTATTCTACCCAACTCGGAACCTATCACGATCGTACCGACCGTCTTGAACGCAATTTCCTTGAATAATCTTGGAATGAAGATGGTTGTCGCGTCGCGCGCATTCGATAGCTACTTCGAGATATTCGAGAGCCCCGAGCACGTACGGGTCATGGCAACGGACGACAATGTAGCTCAGAATGTGGGTGGTAATTTTGATGAACTTGCTCGGCATCATCCTTCTCTTAGACCAGCCATAGCGAACGCTGTGTTGGATATGATTGCTAGAGTCGCGCACCTTGCTCGGGTCAAGGCCAGAGATGCTCAATGGGGAGCCAAGCTTCTTGTGAAAGATTCGAATGGCCAAGACGTAATTGCTGATGAAGGATTATTGAGTGAGCCCCGAGTGGCTCCTTCAGATAAAGGAAAAGGCAAGGCTGTCGCTCCAGTCGACGGCGCTGATATTGAGATGATGGATGCAAGCGCACAGCTAATAGAAAGTGCGGAATCGGCAGTAGGCAGCGCTTCGATCGATTCATCTTCCATTACGCCATATATCTATGCACTCTCTAACTTCCTAACTCAATACATCAGCAATAACAACCTGAAGATGAACCTAATCAACAATGGTGGTATAGAGCTACTTCTTGACCTTACTACGTCGCCGAGTCTTCCGCATGACTTCGGTGATTCTGTGGCTTCGCGAAGTATACAGTCAGTTGTCGCCCAGCTGGTCGAGACCTCCCCGATCATTGGATTGCCTTCCTTGTTGAAACGAACTCAAGCCGCCATCGATGTGCTCCAGCCTGTAACCCAATATCGGGATGAAGGATCCTTCTTTGCACCATTCCTCAGCGATGATGCTGTCCCGACAGGGCAACCTGATGATTATTCGAGCCGGCTCTCTCGCGGCACCGAATGGGCGAAAGCGCTCTTAAATACCCAGTCTTTGATTAAGACTCTGTACCAATGCTTTCCCTATTCTCAACGGGCGAACACTGTTAACTTGCATAGCGTCAACGTTTTCGATTATTACAGTCGTCTGATTAAATCCTTGGGCCCCCTGCTGCGTACTGCCGTCTTGGAGGAGGCGGAAATCTCCAACAGTGTACCGGACAACTGGTCGACAAGAAAACAAGGCCAAACTACGGACCAGCAAAGTTCGTCGACAAACGGTGTCACATCGAATGCCGACAACACCGCCGCTGTCCCTGAGCCTGAGGACTCGAGCCTACCGGATGTGTTATCGTCTGCTAATTTATGGCTGGCCGCAGCTACGACAGGCAGCATAGGCGATGGTCCCTCCCAAAGCGAACAATCAGGTCCTCGATATCAGAATTACAGAACTCTTAGACTTCTGTTGCATTCATTGATGCCTGCCACATTTCCGCTTTTCCAGACCGTCGGAAAAGCTCTATTACCTAGAAGGGAACGTGACCAGTACTTAAGAGTACGCCACCTGCAGCTTGCCGAGGACTTGGCGCAGACGATACTGGCGCAATTTGAGCTACCCGATCGAGAAAGGTCTAGTAAGGACTTCCATTACTGGATTATCATATTGCATGCTGTTCATGAAATGTTGGTAAACCGCACAATTGAAAGTAAGTCGTCGCCCTTCCTACTATTCGGTACCAATAATACTAACCTAGATAGCTCGTTCGGATCGGCAGTCCCCAACACAAATCATCGCTCCTGTCTTGATTGCCTTCAAGAAACATGGCGGGTTGGAACTACTCAATACTATGCTGCGCACCTTCAAAGAAGAGATCTGCAAAGAGCATAAAGATGGTGAAGATTCTTCCATGTCACGACTTGCAGTTATCGGTATGAAGAAGATTCTGGATCTATACACCATGGCCGTCAATGGAAAGATCATTACCGATTCCATGAGCCAGATAAACATTCTCCCACGAAACCTGGGCAGCAGCGATCGACGAGCAGATTCACAGGTAGCACCTAACTTGGTGATCGAGCTAAGAATGTCTATACTGCCGGTGATGAGAGAGCTCTGGGACTCACCGTTGGTTGAGAAGGGTTCGGCCCACATACTCGCGAAGATCATTAGTATCCTAAAGTTCATCTCTTTCGCCGATTCCGAAAGCAATGCCTACAGACGAATGGATAAGGTACGTTCCCACCCCCTTTTTAGTTTTTGATAATTTTGTATTTGGTGCTAATCTTTGTAGAATGCCCCTCCTTCATATCTTCAACCTGCGCCACTTCGATTTTCGTGGACAACTGTCGAAGATGACACACGAGAAGTTGTTGGTGAAGCAGCATGTGACGAGGATCTTGCTCACGAAGGCCTCTACAGAGCTAACAACAACCGACATACAGCCGCGGAGTATTGCAAAGCCCATAAATCAGGCCTTGCTGGTACTCGAAATCCTATTCCTGAGGAGGACTCGCCGGAGAATGCAGATGAAGAATCAGCGCCCACAGCCGAGCGTACACAGGCTTCTTCTGGGGACGATGCTATGGTCTTAGATTTCCCCGCTGATCTACCTCCGGGTCTTCTGCTCGAGGAAGATATCCTCGACGAGCTTAGGGAGGCTACGATGTCAAGAGATGCGGCTTCTGGCGATGAAAATGCAGTTACATCTTCAACCACACCTGCACAGGGCCCATCAACTGGAGCTAGCACTGAGACGGACCTTGCGAAGAAGACGGCTGTAGCTAAGGAAGACTTAGATGAGGAGCGGGCCAAATTACGGGTAAATCTTATTGAGAGGTGTCTGGATGTCATAAGAGCACACCCAGACTCCACCTATGAAGTTTCAGAGCTTGTCTCCTCTATCATCCTGCGAACTACGAGTGACGAACCGTCCTCGAGACAAGAGATAGGCGAGACTTTGGCTAATGCTTTAATATCCTTCGTGGGCGACGATATGAAACTCAACGGACGAAGCATTGCAGCTTACGCTCATCTTTTGTCTCTGCTTCTCCAGGAGAAGGCCTTCTTCCGAGCGACCGTCGACATACTCAAGGTGAACGTAACGGATTTCATGAGATTCCTCGAACTTCCAACATCTCAGGCGAGCGAGGAACTTCCACCGTGGATACCATACATTCTACTCGTATTCGAAATTCTCCTCAGTGATGATGAGCAACCGGGAGAAATCAAATGGAAGTTACCATCATCCGAGGACGACCAGATAGAAGAACTCCAGTGGTCACCTAAAGACCTGATTGTTAAAGACGGCAATCGCCAGACGCTTCTCGGCTCAGTGCTAGATATTCTTCCACGTATCGGTAAGGATGAATCACTAGCCGTATCCGTTTTACGCATCTTGGTCATCTTGACTCGAGATCGTTCCATTGCGCGGTTAGTTGGCGAGAAGAAGAATTTGCAACGTTTATTCGTCACCGCTAAGCAGCTATCCGGCGCTGGCTCCGTGCGCCTCAGAGATACTCGGATTACGTCTAATATTCTTACTATATTACGTCATGTCGTCGAGGATGAGGAAGTTATCAAGCAGGTTATGAGGAGTGAAATCAGAGCTTACTTCGCTGGTGGCAGAAACACGGCGCGGCCTCTTGACCCATCTGGATTCACTAGGACATTCTCTCAAATCGCGCTCCGTGATCCGAGATTGTTTGTCGAAGTCTCGAACGAAACAGTAAAGTTGAGTCGATGGACTCCGCCTGAGAGTAACATTGGGCGTGGGCAAACGATAATCCTGAAGGAGCCGAAACCAGACATGCCTAAAGATGACGTGGCACCGGCTGTTCGAGCTACCGAAGATTTGACTATTCAGGATGTCAAGCCGTCTACCGAAGGCGAGGATAAGCATATGACCGACGCCTCCAAGCCTCAAACGCAGGACTCAAAACGGCCCGTAGTTGAAAACCCTGATGGAGTAGTGCATTTCTTGCTTTGCGAACTTTTGAATTACAAAGAGGTCGACGACAAGGAACTACCACCGCCTGCCAAAGATTCTAAGAAGGAAGACGATCAAGAGCCGGCCGATGCAAGCGGTGCCTCTGATAGCGAGAGCACCCCCGCTGATAGCAAGGAAAAGAAAGCCAAGCCCTCATTCAAGGCTGAAGACCACCCGATCTTCATATACCGCTGCTTCCTCCTACACTGTCTTACCGAATTGCTTCAGAGCTATAACCGTACTAAAGTTGAGTTCATTAATTTCAAGAGAAGTGCGCCACTTTTCGCGAACACTCCCATCAAGCCTCGATCAACTGTCTTGAACTATCTTCTCAATGATCTGCTGTTCACAACCCACGTAGAAACTACGTTGGACTCTCTTGTACACAAGAAGAAGTACGCTACGTCCATTCAGACGCAAAATCTCTTGGTCGCTCTTGTGAGCAAAACGGGAGAGAAGCCCATCGACCAGGGTAGAGATAAGTACGACTATGACGATGAGCCTGACTTATTGTTTGTACGAAAGTTCGTGCTGGATACCATCCTAAGGGCTTATAAGGATGCTGCAACCACTAGCGAGCCATTTGATAGCAGATACACCAGGATGCTGGCTCTAGCAGAGGTCATGCATCTCATGATGGGCGAGAAAGATAAGGAACCTCCCGTTCCGTCACGAGGGGGCCAAGATCCCTTTGAGAGATCACAGGCTCAACTCCGGCGCCTTATGTACGAGAAAGGGTACCTCGCGGCCCTCACTGCCTCTATCGCCGACATCGATCTTGCCTTCCCCCCTGTGAAGCGAACCATTAAGTATATTCTTCGCGTACTTCGAATCTTAACCAGTACTGCTATTCACCTGAGCCATTCTAACATCATCCCCAACGTGCCAACCCAAGAGAATATGGACGAAGAAACATTCTCAGGAAGCTCCCTATCTGATATCGACGACGATCGAGAGGAGACACCAGACCTCTACCGGAATTCGGCTCTTGGCATGTTGGAACCTGGCAGAGATAGAGATGGTGACTATTCAGAAGACTCAGACGATGGTAAGAAACACCATCTTTTTTGAACTATTTGTCGAGAGCTATGCTAACATAGGTGTGTAGACGATGACGAGGAGATGTATGATGATGAATACGATGATGACATGGGATACGAATCCGAAGATCGCGAAGAGGATGTCAGCGAAAGAGACGAAGAAGAAGAACTTGAAGGGATGGGTCCCATTGAAGGATTGTCTGGAGACCATGGCGTTATCGAAGTTACTATGGATGATGACGACGACGACATGGATGAGGATGATGATGAGGATGGTAGCGATGAAGACGAACTTGAGTCCGACGACATGGATGACAATGACGACCGCATCGAAATTATCGACGATGAAGGCAATCCACTTGAAGATGACGGAGGCTCAGGTTGGGAAGATGACACAGACGAGGACGAAGAGGATGATGATGGGGAAGAGGTTGATTATGAAGCCGCAGAGCAGGATATCGAAGAAGAAGCCGCTGCCCATCTTGAGGACGTTGCCGCCTTACGGTTCGGAAACATTATGCGTGCGATCGAAGAAGACGAGTTTGAGCCCCCGGATGATCTCCATGGTCGCTACATGGAGGATGACGACGACGATGATGGTAAGTATTGAAATATCGTAGCTTATTTCACAAACTAACTATCGATGTAGAAGACGAAGAGGAAGAGGACGACATGGATGACGAATATGCATACGAGGACGCTTTCCCCAGTAAGTTGATAGTATTCATCAAGTCATTTTTTATTTTATTATAAATGTAAATTTAGAAGTAACTGGAAGCTAACTATTTTATAGATGATGCACCGCCTCGTGATGCTGGGCCATCGAGTCTCGGTTGGGATACTCTTGTGGTTGAACCACATGGAGGCATTCTTGGCCATCATAATCGACAACGACATGGTACCCGCAGTCCTTTCCCCCCAATCCCATTTATGATGGGTTCTCGAGATCCAATCAGCAATTTTGGTGGTACGTACACTGCTTACTTCTCGGGGCTTTCCTATTGATAATCCGTTATTAATATATTCACTAGCTAACATGTATACAGATCCAAGAGGCTTCGGGCGTAACCGGCATGATCAGAGGCCTACCGGTAACGAAGACGGCTTGAATCCTTTGCTCCGTCGGGCTAATGATGCTAGCCGAGACGGTTCTTCTCGTACCTCTAATCTTGGAAACCTTGTTCGTTTAGGATTCCCTGGTGGCTTATTTGGTGGCAGCAATCTCGACAGCCCGATGTCCTTTATTAACGATCTCGTAGCATCCCTCCCTGCTTCATTAAGCCGCAATGGACATGCGTTCCACTTCCAAATCACACAGGGACGAGGTGACGTTCATGACATGCAATTCCCATTCGGCATCCAAATTCGGGAGTCCCGCTCTGAGAATCGCCGGGAGACTTATCAGGAACCTATTCAAGCAACTTCGTTCACGACAGACACGACGGTGGCCCGTTGGACAGAAGAAGTGAAAATGATATTTGGATTGCAACACACAGAAAAGTCGCATCGCCTTATTCCAGCAATCCTCTCGCACCTTGTGCCGCCTGCTATTCAACATGAAAAGGAACTCAAAGCTAAGGAAGCAGAACGCCAACGGCAGCAGGAAGAGGAACGCAAGAAGCGCGAGGAGGAAGAGCGCAAGCTGAGAGAAGCGAAGGAGGCTGAAGAAAAGGCAGCCCAAGAGAAGCGGGAAGCTGAAGAGCGTGAACGAGCCGCCGCCGAATCTGCCGCGCAAACCCAATCAGATACCGCCGCTCATAAAGATGATGAGGGCGATCATATAGAGCCAGAGGCAATGGAGGGTGTAGAGACATCTGACGATGCTGCAGTACCATCAGAAAACGAACAAGTTGGCTCCCAGCCACGCGCCTATACTACTATCAGAGGTGAACAAGTTGACATAACAGAGCTCGGCATTGACCCTGATTATCTGGAAGCGCTACCTGAGGAGTTCAGGGAAGAAGTCATCGCCCAGACAGTTAGCACCCGCCGAGCTCAGGCACGAGAGGCTCCTGGTGGTGCAGGGGAACAGACCGAGGTATTTCAAGAGTTCTTGGATGCTCTCCCTGATGAATTACGCCTGGAAATTGTGCAACAAGAGCGAGCGGAACAGCGAAGGAGGGAACGAGAAGAGATACGGCGAACGACAGCCGCTCCCGGCCAGGCAGCCGAAGCTCAAGACATGGACCCTGCCACTATTCTGATGACATTCCCGCCCGCTCTTCGCGAGCAAGTTCTTATGGACCAAGGCCCGGAACTTATGTCTTCCCTAACGCCTGACCTAGCCGCCCAAACACGCCGCCTTATCCGAGCAAATCCGATAGTCCATCACGAACACCTAGTCTCAAATACCAACCGCAGAACAGAGGGTGCCCCAGCTACTGCACCCGCTGATGGAGATAAACCTCCTCGAAAGACGGTTGTGCAGATGCTAGATAAGCCAGGAGTTTACACTTTGCTTCGCCTGATGTTCATCAACATGAAGGGCGGGTCTCTCGAGACATCTTTGAAATTCCTATTCAAGGACGTCTGCGAGAACCGGCAAACCAGGTTCGAGGTTGTCAGCAATTTACTCAAGATACTTCAAGAGGGATCAACAGATGTTGACGCTGTCGAGCGAAGCTTCGCTGCGCTTTCCATCAAGGCAAAGCAACCCAAGGATATTGACAACAAGGCACAAACCCCCCAAAGCCTGAAGCGCACATTCACGAACATCAGCAACACCAACCCTATCCAGGCAAGCTCAGAGACATCCCCCCTCTTGATCGTCCAACAATGCCTTGATCTGCTCTGTTACCTTGCAGATCAGAATGTTCATGTGCCTTCTCTCTTCCTTACAGAACATGACGGAGTCAGCGCGGCTGCTATCAAGCGAAGTCTCAGCCGCAAAGGAAAGAGCAAAGATATGAAAGCCAACAAGTATGCCATCAATTCATTGTTGGCGCTCCTTGACCGCGATCTTGTCATGGAGAGCTCCTCCATAATGGACAGTCTCTCGCAACTATTGAGTCGAGTCACGGGTCCGCTACTCGCCCTCGATCGTAAACAAAAGGAGGCATCAGAAGCAATCAAGAATCTTGACGCTCAACCCACAAATACGGCAGATCCCGCTGGAACGACTGCGCTTGCAGATCTAAACAACACAGATGCTGCGCAAAGTGGAAGTGCAAACACAGCAGAACAGACGGCTGAGCAGCCTGCTAGTACCCCTACCGAAGCCGCCGAAAACGCGCCCTCCGGCATCTCTGCTGCCGAGGCCGAATCCGTTAAGGCACTAGAAAAGCAAGCAATCATGAAGCGAATCAAACAACTGCATCCACCCATCATTCCGGTCCACAACTTGACTCTCATCATCAAGATCTTCGTGGCTCGTGAATGTAGCTCCAAGACATTTAAGGAGACTCTCTCGACCATTAAAAACCTCTCGGTAATTCCTGGGGCAATGCTGGTCTTTGGCGAAGAGCTCGCTCGCCAAGCCCAGCTCTTAAGCGAAAAGATTGTCGTCCACCTCGATGATTTACTCCCGCACATTCAGAACGCCGCTTCGGGTACGGAAATCCAAGGTGTCGCTCTAGCCAAGTTCTCACCGGGAGCATCCGACCAGAATAAGCTCCTTCGTGTTCTAACAGCCCTCGATCATTTATTCGCCCAGAAGAAATCTGATACGACCGAGGGCTCCGAATCCGATGAGACTACAAAGCAGGACTTGCTCGCTACACTTTACCGTAACACAACCTTCAATGCCTTGTGGGAGAAGCTTAGCGCGTGCCTAAGCGCAATCCGTCAACGCGAGAGCCTCCTGAATGTGGCTACTATTCTTCTCCCTCTGATCGAAGCTTTGATGGTCGTTTGCAAGGATGAGACGCTTACCCAGGGCCAGGCAAGCAAGGACATGGTGCTATCTAGTCCACAGCCCGAGTCGCGTCTGGCCGGTCTATTCTTCACTTTCACCGAGGAGCATCGCAGGATCCTCAACGAACTGGTGCGCAACAACCCGTCGCTTATGAAAGGAACCTTTTCACACCTTGTCAAAAACCCCAAGGTCCTCGAGTTCGATAACAAACGCAATTGGTTCAACCGTAGTGTCCATAACAAGCAACAAGTTAGTCAACGACCTCATCCGATGCTGCAGCTGCAAGTCCGCCGAGAACATGTTTTTCATGATTCGTTCAAGTCACTGTACTTCAAATCTGGTGAGGAGATGAAATTTGGCAAGCTTAGCATTCGGTTCCATGGCGAAGAAGGTGTAGACGCCGGAGGTGTTACCAGGGAGTGGTTCCAGGTACTCGCTCGACAGATGTTCGACGCGAATTATGCCTTATTCGTGCCTGTTTCAAGCGACCGAACGACTTTCCACCCGAATAAACTCAGCGGCATCAACGACGAGCATCTAATGTTCTTCAAGTTTATCGGTCGCGTCATCGGAAAGGCTCTTTATGAAGGTCGTCTACTCGATTGTTACTTCAGTCGCGCCGTATACAAGCGAATCCTCGGCAAGCCAGTCTCCGTCAAGGACATGGAATCTTTTGACCCCGATTACTACAAATCTCTCTCTTGGATGCTGAATAACGACATCACTGATATTATCACTGAGACGTTTTCGGTCGAGGATGACGAATTCGGCCTGACCAAGATCCACGACCTCATCGACAATGGCCGTAACGTGCCCGTTACCGAAGAAAACAAGCATGACTACGTGCGTCTGGTGGTCGAGCACAAGCTCCTCACTTCAGTCAAGGTTCAGATGGAGAACTTCTTGAAAGGTAAGATCAAATAGATAGAATCTCTGTATTTTGCTTGAGCTAATTTATGAACAGGTTTCCATGAAATCATCCCCGCTGAGCTAATATCCATCTTTAACGAGCAGGAGCTAGAACTCCTGATCTCTGGTCTGCCTGACGTTGATATCGATGATTGGAAGAGCAACACCGAGTACCACAACTACTCACCGTCGTCGCCCCAGATTCAGTGGTTCTGGCGAGCGGTACGATCATTTGACAAGGAGGAGCGCGCTAAGCTCCTTCAGTTCGTCACGGGAACCAGCAAAGTTCCATTGAATGGATTCAAAGAACTCGAGGGCATGAATGGTGTCAACCGATTTAACATTCATCGGGACTACGGTAACAAAGACCGTTTACCATCATCCCACACGTGTTTCAACCGTAAGTAAATTCCCGCATGTTATATATTTATATATGATATACCTTACTAATTTCCTCGCAGAGCTCGATCTCCCCGAGTACGAGAGCTACGATGCCCTTCGTCGACAAATTATCAAGGCTATCACAACTGGTAGCGACTACTTCGGGTTTGCGTAAGGGACATAATCGGTCAATTCTCGCGAGAAGAAACCAGCAAAACACTATACCACGTCGTTGATTGTATTGTTTGTACAGCATGGAGAAAATGAGGCGAGGAGGCAGGCGTGCATTTTTCTCTTCCACATCCGGGGATTTTTGACGAGTTTGTGTTTACCTCTAGCATCCGGCAACGAGGCTCTGGCAGGAGAGCTACGTCAACGGAGTGCAGGCCAATGGCGTTAGCTAGCTTTGCTCGACGCTGTTGTCCGACACATAGCATGTGTAGATCAGGGTTTACGCAATAATAATGAGTTATATCATGAATTTTCTATGGGTTATGGTTGTGATAATTGTGCATGGTGTTCTGCTTCGTAGTTTGTATTGTGAGAATGATTTATTGTGACATTAAAACTGTAAATATCTAGTTTTATACTTGTAGCTACGAAGAGGTATAAGTAATCCCTCATATAATACTCAGGTATTGCTATTCAGAAGCAGAATTACGCATATATTCAAAACTTCGTCAACCTAATACTCAATCCAGATATTTTAAACAACACATCGAGCGCAACGTTCACATCGGTCTAGTAAGTATATTTTCCCATTTTATTCTTAATTCCTAACGTGCTCACTACCTATATACAAGAATCCCCCACCCAATCCAAGCTACTTCACCCACTCTCACATCGACCAACCTTACCTAGTCAGACATAACTGCAGGCCAGCCACCACCACTTCGACAGTGCTGATTTAGATAAAATCCGACAGCGAAGGCAAAACCTTCGTAAAAGCAGTACCAGAGGGCGGCTCGATGGAGTACATGTAGTCGGCCCACCAGGGTCCGGCGCCCCACCAGAGCCAGCCGACCCAGGCGTCGGAGTTGTCGGCCATGTAGGAGAGCATGCCCTGCACGGCCTGGATGCACTGGGCGTTGGCGCCGCCGGCCGTCTCGCCGATGATGGCTTTCTTGCCGTTGGCCTTGAGCCAGGCGGTTGCGTCGGCGAGACGCTCGGCGCCGATGGTGGCGGATACGCAGGCTTCGGATGTGCCGGAGCCGTCGGAGTCGAGGTATTGGTGCTGTTTTGATTTTGTTAGTTTGGTTGCGAGGAGGTGGAGGGGGTAAGGGGTAAATGAATGGTAGAACGTACCATCTCGTATATGATCTTGTCCTGGGGGTCGGTTAACTTGCCCATGGCTTCGGAGGTGCCGCTGGATGTCTATATGTGCTGTTAGTAATTGCTGAAGCATATATAGACGAGCGTGAGAGCTAACCCAATGCCAAGCGCCAGTCCACGAGTTGCCTTCGACGAAGATGTACTGGGAGGTGGCACCGGCGCCTCGGATGGCGTCGATGGCGGCCTGGTTGAGCTGACCGACGAGAGCGTTGTCCTCGTCGTGGAACTCGTTGTTGGTATCGAAGATAACCTTCTCGTTAGTAGCGTATCGCTTCGCTACGGTGGTCCACCACGCTCCGAATCCGGCAACGTCGGTGATGATGTTGCTGTAGTAGCGGCCGAAGTTGTGCGGGTCGATCACGGCGTAGGCGCCCCTGTTTGTGGTGAGTGGTAGCAAATCAGAGTAGAATGTGTTTGAACTAACTGGTCAGTGACGAACTTGACGATCTATAGTTTAGATTATTAGTATTGATTGTATTCAAAGCAGTCTTAGCATATGACCTACCTCGTCAAGGCCGACAGTATACGTCTCGTTGACGGTACCAGTTAGCTTGTCAGGGATAACACGCTCCCTAGGTCTTGGTCAGTATTATATGTAATTGTCTAGCGTATGGTAGCTAACATCATAATTGGAATTCGGAAAGTGTTCATTCCCTTCTGGATCAAGGTCTTTCAAGCTATTAGCGGCCAAACAGATCCATCCAGAGAGCTGTCTGGCTTACAGAGATGGCACTATGGTCTGGCCATGTGTAGTCTTTGCCGAGCTGTCCCGGGAGAGCAAGGTTGCCGAATTCGGCTCCAGACTCGCTTACGCCGGTGAATTCGAACTTGCCGGCGCGCTTCAGGGTCTTGGTAGGCACCGCGGCGGCGCCGGAGGCGGCAGCGACAGCAAGTAGATCGACGAACCTCATGATGTCTATCTAGGCTACCACAAATAGACACGAACGTGGGGTAGAGTAGACAAAACTTCGCGAGTCATGGCCGACGATGATGGGTGCCCAGCTCTTATACTTCTAGGACCGAGACCCTAGACGTGTGCCGCGGGAGCGGAAGCCGTCGCTCCGCCCCACGCAAAGGAGAATGGAAGCATAAGCAATTGCGCCCAGGATAATGATTTGGCGCTAAAGGCAATTAAGGCGAGGGGAATCGTAGATCGGTGGATATAGACGCCATTGAGCCTCATATCGAACTTGCTCGCCGCGTCGGGAGAGAACCGCGGCCACAGATGGCTTGACCCACCGTAGTTGTCTTCGGTAGAGAATGGTTTCTATGCCGGTTCCTGACAGGGATTGGAACATTGAACTGAGTTATACTTGCACTACACTTGCAAGAGATTCTTGAGCTACTCTTTTCGTCATAGTTTAACAACATGACACGATAATCAGCCATGGTTACTGGGTACACTAACGCCAGGAACGAAGATAGTCTGGCATGATAGGGCCGAAAAAGCCATGATGGCTGGCCAGCCCTGATCAGCTCTCTCATGAAGCTTGTTGCTTCTTCCAGGGGGGCGGGGCCTAGCTCTCCGCACATATATTAGGTCATGCTAAGGATCGTGTCTCCGCGTGGCGATGGAGACCCGGAGATTCGTCAGGGGCACGAAAGTTGGGGGAGTCTTTAATGACGTGGGACTTCAAAACGAAATAGGTCGATTGTTCCAGGGGTAAATGGGACGACTAACCAGGTCCCCGAATCGAATTAGGAACGTCGGTTACTGTTGATATTCCGCCAATTTCATTCTGAACTACCCAATTGAGTCTGAATTAAGTGGGCGTAATTATATAATCAGCCAACGCCGACGCAGATATATTTCGAAATTTAGTTTAAGACACTTAGTACGAATGTCTTACGCTGTAAGAGATTAGGAGAAATCTAGATTCGAATTCCTCATCAAGAACGAAACTAGGTCATCTTATTATACTTCAGTCCTATATTCTTCCTCGATGGCGCGATCTAGACCAGACAAGCGTCTTTTGTGTAATCATATCGCCTTGAAATCGAACTCAGCTACACTAAAAGGCAGCGGTAGGTTATCAGCCAGCCCCATTGGAAAGATGACAATTCCTGAGGGAATCTAGAGCGTGTTCCGATGCCAATAAGCTTCTTAAAAGTAGCTCGTGTATTACAATGTCTCCCAATTGGAGTGTTGTGACATTGTCGAACGCGAAAGTCGTGAAAGTTTCATCGAGGGTATACGGTTTCTTTTATTACGTAGGTAGTGAATCGTTAGACAATAAATCGAGCCTTGATTTTGATATCGAAATCCATATTTATTGTAGATTGAGTGGAGAGGCATTATGATAAGTAACTCGGTATCTTTCGTAAAGTGCGATTCAAACAACCGGGGAAATCATTAATCCGGTAACCAAACTCCCACCCCCGTTATCGATAAGAACAGTGTGTACCTCGAAATACCTAGTACATCCGCGGAATTTAATGCGACAAGCAAATCCATCAGCATCAACTACCCAAATCCAGACAAAATGCAGCCGACAAGGTGGCTATTGAAAGGCCGATCGGTGTGGAAAGGTGAGCAACCCTTCTCTCAACCATTTTAACCTTCACTAACCATCAATTCCTCCACAGGGTCTCACATCGTACCGTAAGAAACCACCAACCACTCACTCGAACGAGCAAATACCCATCTAACACGCGCGATCTAGCCTCCCCATCGTCCGTCCAGCCCGCGGCGAGGACCCCAAGCCGATAAAGACGCAAGCCCGCGCCGCCACCATCCTGCCCAGCTTCGTGGGTCTCAAGTTCCAGGTGTACAACGGCAAGGAGTACACCGACGTCGAAATCACCGAGGAGATGGTTGGCCACAAGCTCGGGGAGTTCTCTGTGTATGTCGCTCTTCGCTTTGCTTTCCTACTTCCATACCTGCCTCTGTACCTAATATATCATATGGTGGAAAGGTTGCTAACGTGCCTACGTATCCAGGACGAGAAAACCATTCATCTGGTCGAGAGTGAGATAAAACGACAACGACGAGGTCGAGACATGGACATACCCCAACGGCGTTCGAGGCGATTGGAGGGAAATTTACGAGTTAATCGTCTACTGTGTACATACATATCACGCATCAAGCCATGTAAAACAGTACCAACAATATGGGCAGACAGAACAAACGTCAATTTATGACATTCGTTCGTGTGTGCGATTTATACCGACGTGTGATGCCGGTGCTTTGTACAGTTGTGTGCCCGTTTTCCAGTGCTGTGTAGCAGCTGAAGCGTGGCGCTAGGCAAAATCGAAGCCTAGTCCTATGTAACGCAAACACAAAAGCCAATCCTAAACGCCAATGCCTAATACCCTAGCCCTGATCGTGAATAATGCCAGTTGTTGTGGTGGTAATACAGCCTCCCATTCCGCAGTAGCGCGGGTAGTAGTTATGGGGGCTTTGTTCGTGAGCTAGATGGAATAATATTAGCATCGGAATTTATACTAGTAGTTTACTGGGTAGTTTGTGGCATACCTAACTAGATGTGCTCATCGGTAGAATTCGCTGCGCTTTACATTGACGCCGTATTCGCCGACAGCCATGCCCAGATCTTCCATAGTAAGGACGGTCCGATTCTGGCTGCCTCCTTGGCCTCCTCCACCGTACCCAGCTCGCTGAATGCCCAGTAAGCCGCCACGACCTTGGTCTTTGGCGTTGGCTTGCGTCTGGCCGGGGACTTGTAATCCAGCGGCTGCGCCGAGATTGCCCATTGGGTTGTTCGCGCTGGTGTTTGACGCTCGGATGCGGCTGTATTGGTAGGCATCTGCTGCGACGTCGCCGACAAACTTCTGTACAGCGAGGGCAATTAATCGGGCGAGGCGAGGGTCGGTGGTAGGTGGAGGAGGGAGGCCGGCTTTAGCCATGTAGAAGTTGGTGACTGCATCAGGGATCTAGTAGATGGTTAGAATGTCCATCGCGCGGCTGATATTAGCTGCGGGACTGCTTACGATGGGTGCATAGTCATCCATCTTGGCCAGGAACTCTTTCAAGGACGTATCCTTGCGAGTAGGGATCTTAGGATCAGAGGCTGCGGGAGCTTCCTCTTCGTGCTGCTGAGAGGCAACAGGAGGCACCTGTTCGTTCTCCGTAGGTTGTGGAGCTGCCATTTCGAATAATTTCGAAGAAAATCAGATGTTTGTTTGATTTATGGCTGGAAGCAGGCGAATCGTCGCAGGAATAGATGCGATCGAGAAAGAGGATTGTAGATAAAATCGTTTCAGCGAAGGTTGGAAATGGCTGAAAATTTGTAGTTTTGGTTGGTCGGAAGAAAGAGCGTTTGTAAGAAAGATTTCGTTATTATGTTTAATCGGTTGTTGAGTTTGGAAGATTCGACAGCGTTAAGAGTTAAAGCTTGACGCGATTGCCCTCAGCGCAGGACTCGAGGAGCTGAGAATGACGTCGGAGACACAAAGGTCCGCATCAACCCAACACAAAACACTGACCCAAAACTCCTATCGCGAAATATGTATGAATATCGCACACTATCGTCAATAACGTCGCAGTTGAGAAGAAGTTGGTTGATGGAATCTTGGGGTGTCTTGATGGTAGGATGAGATTATGAACTGATGAAGTTGGATGAAGTCGCGGTCGGCCTAGACAATTGCGAGAACTGTATGTAAGTCAAAGTTATGTGGGGCATTCGACAAAAGTCTTATCTTATCAATTAATGCATCTGTGTATATATGTACCTAAGTACCTAAGTATTTAAGTACTTAAGTATCTAAGTACCTTGGTACCTAGTAGAATTGATCGAAGGCAACGGAGGTACATAGGTACATTAGATGTGCTACTTGGTAGAAATCATCCTCTTCATTAATTATACATATTGAATTAGGGAAGTTCCATAAATATTCGAATGAGGAGTATAAGGAAAGGTGCCTCGTTTTACAGCATAACTGACGTTATTTCTAACCATCTGTTCTGTAAGAAAGCATACGTCCCTGTACTGTTCTCCCCCCTTTCACTATGTTTCAATATAGCCTCTCTGTGGATATATTGAGGTCTTACTGTGACGAGCCATCCTCTTAGGATCTCGTAATTATAGCCCCATAAGATCGGACAATCCATGGCCTGACCAGCGTCATAATTGCTATTGTATCCAGTTCTCATGTAACGGCTACACAATCCCCCTAAGAGAAACATAGGGCAAAGGCATAGAAACGGTAAGGTACTGGATGTTCAAGGCATTTTGAGCGGTAATGCTAAGCGGTGCACTCGAGCCAGGCACAAAATGCAATCCAGTGATACCCTCATATCGAAACTGCCGTTGAGATTTGTTCGGTTTAGGTCCGCTGGTGAAGATTCATCCTGTCCCTACAGGCTCAGGGCGTTGAGAGAACACGATCTTGTATTTGACAATCTCGACCACTTCTAGGTCCTCAGTCGTTGTTTCAGAGTTCCCTTCGTTCATATCCACATCCTCCTCGGGGCTAGCTCGCTTCTTGATGATAGCCATAGCTTTCGGAAGTTTCTTGACTTCCCCGGTGAGTCTCTGGTGCTCGCCCACGTAGAGGTGAACTCGTTTCATCCAATAGGTGCTGGAAGGGTCTTGGGTCTCTGGATGATAGTCTGGAAATACAAGACGCCCAACAGCTATTTCTTGGGAAATGCCCTCGCCATTTTCATGGTTCTCCGGGAGGTTAATAGTCCCTTGGAGCTCTAAAATTGCCAAGCCGGATGGTGTTTGTATGAGCTGAGGAAGAGGGTTTGAACTGGTAACTTCACCTCCTGGCTTCCTTGGGTGCAACCGAACAGAGGAGGCCATTTTCAAGGGAACAATGCCCTCTTCAGGCGTAGACAATGATGTTGGTCACAGTAAACATTTGGATGTATGGGAATGAAATAAGTGGATCTACAGTACCTCCCAATTAATTCGTGACGGTACGCGTTAATGGATTTTCTTCGGATAATCGAGTTGCGAGCTTAAGTGGTCCGTGCAGCACCGTAGCCCTAGCGCAGACCCATCTTTCTTTCCCACGCAGGAAATTTTGGATTAGGCGAAGTAAATCCACACAATCAACTCTGAACCTTTCAATTCCTTTAATTTTTTTCGGTGTGCTTTTCACGATTCGACTTCATCTACTAACACACAACAGCCGACCGCGACAACCACCGCCGAGATGAAGTTGAACATCTCCTACCCTGCCAATGGCAGCCAGAAGCTGATCGAGATCGAAGATGAGCGAAAGCTCCGAGACTTCATGGAGAAGCGAGTACGTCTAACCCATTCGTCGCCCTCGTCGCGAAATTTCGAAATCCAACATATCTTACCCCAATGTCTACATATACGCGCATCATCACATCGACCCAGTACTTCCTGGTCGCTATGCTCTGAATCATGGAATTACTAATTACTAACACTGGGTTTTTTTTTTTAGATGGGCGCTGAGGTTCCCGGTGACAACCTTGGTGATGAGTTCAAGGGCTACATCTTCCGCATTACCGGTGGCAACGACAAGCAAGGTTTCCCGATGAAGCAGGGTGTCATGCACCCTACCCGTGTCCGACTACTCCTTGCCGATGGCCACTCCTGCTACCGCCCCCGCCGTACCGGTGAACGCAAGCGAAAGTCCGTCCGTGGTTGCATCGTCGGCATGGACCTTTCTGTCCTCGCCCTTTCGGTCGTCAAGCAAGGCGACAGCGAGATCCCCGGCCTAACCGACGTCGTCCACCCCAAGCGTCTCGGCCCCAAGCGCGCCACCAAGATCCGCCGCTTCTTCGGTCTCAGCAAGGATGACGACGTAAGTAAACCTTCACTCGTCATCACCTACTCGGTCGTTGCTTCTGCGGGATGAGAGAGAAGAATCCCATGCAATGAATACCACCGAGTAGAGTCTGAGAGGAATATCTTCAATATGGAAATATAGACGACTAATACTGGGTGTTTTTATGATATATAGGTCCGCAAGTACGTCATTCGACGAGAGGTCCAGCCCAAGAAGGAGGGCAAGAAGCCTTACACCAAGGCCCCCAAGATCCAGAGACTGGTTACTCCCCAACGTCTCCAGCACAAGCGCCACCGCATTGCGCTCAAGCGACGACAGTCCGAGAAGGTCAAGGACGAGGCGGTATGTTTAACCCTATTACACTATATCATGTTCTTCGATGAATATCACGTACTAATATTATACTGCAGAACGAGTACGCTCAGGTCTTGGCCAAGCGTGTTGCCGAAGTCCGCGCCCACAAGGCCGACGCTCGCAAGCGACGAGCAAGCTCTATGCGCAAGTAAATTCCTACAGGCGTTTGGTCGGTGTCTTCTGGTTCTTGCATTAGGGCATAAATCATGGCAATGGCTTGCGGGATGATGGGGATGCTGGTCATAAGATAGCCGGCATCAAGAGTGTATTCCCGGAACCTAAAAAATGAAATCGAGATTCCCAAACGGCGGCTTTTATACCTTATGCTTTATGCTTTAACTATGTTCTTTATATTCGCAGTTCCGTATCGATACGTAATGTGATAATGTGATAATGCTATATGACATGATGCTCCCTTGTAAACCAACATGCTCGTTTTCCATTTCGCCATAACCCATGCTGTAATTGATGATATGCAGTATTGACATAAGTGTATATCCATAGGCAGATGCAAGTTCTACTATGTCGCATAATAAAAAAAAACTCCCGTACGTATATGACCTCGAGTTATGCTCTACGACGTTTCCCGTCCGTCTCGTCTCGTCTCGTCCGTCTTTGGCTATTCGCGTTCCATGATTTCCCAAATGCAAATTTCTCTCAAAACTCCCTCCCAAAGTAATAGAAGAAGAACAGAACCAAAAGAAAACGAAGAAGCCACCTCTAGTGAAACGTAGCGGCAATCTTCAGTTTCAGTTTCGCATCGTTACCGACGATGTTTATTCTCTTCCCCTGATATGCTTGTGCGTGTGCGTGTTGGTGGTGTACATATGCAGTGAACATGTAACACACGACATATTAGACCGGAGCGTGGGTGAATAAGAAACTAGAAGGATTGGTTGTTAGTGAATGGGAATACGACGGGCTGGAGATGAGAATCGCGATTAGGGATACATACCTCACGCTCTCGCCGTTGTGAGTTCGTCGGATAGCTTCGGCTATCGTGGGGCTCACGTCGATCACTCTTAGCTTCTTGCACCGCTGGACCTTGTCGCCCAGGGGTACGGTGTTGGTAACAACAATTTGGCTCAAGCAACTATTGTTCAGAGTGGTGATAGCGTCTCCACTTAGAATGCCGTGGGTGACGACGGCGATGACCTCGCGCGCGCCGTGGTCCTTGACTGTGGCTGCTGCCTTACTAGAACAGAAACATGTCAGCATCATCGCTATTCGGGATCCGGGGGTAGAATAGGTGCTTACGCTAGGGTGCCGCAAGTATCTGCCATATCGTCGACCAGAATGGCGACCTTGTCTACCACATCACCGACTAGCACCATCCTGCCTACGACGTTAGGTCGGGGGCGCTCCTTGTGGATGAGCGCAAAACCGCGGTCTAGACGATCCGCAATAGATGTAGCCCTGTCGCATCATGTCAGCTTAACTCGTTCCTAGCTTTCCTCATGGCGCGCGTCATAGTCGACCTACCTCTTTGCACCACCGGCGTCCGGGCTCACGATGACGGTCTCCTGACCAGCCAGATTCTCGCGGATCCAGCGTAGGACACTCGGCTCGGCGTACAGGTTGTCCACGGGGACGTTGAAGAAGCCCTGTATTTGCGAGGCGTGGAGATCCATGGTAATGACGTGGTTGCAGCCGGCCGTTTGCAACATGTTCGCGATCAGCTTCGCGGAGATGGGCGCACGACTCTTGTCTTTCTTGTCCTGGCGCGCGTATGGGAAATTGGGTATGACAGCGGTGATGCGCCGCGCGGATGCCGTACGACAGGCGTGGATCATAATCAGAAGCTCCATTAAGCCATCGTTAATGTCGCCCGGGGCGGTGGATTGTAATATGAAGACTAGGTAACGATTAGTTCGTGAACAAGATTAATCGCGCGGGTGAGACAATGATAACGTGAGGTAAAGGTGAAGCCATACCATCCTCATCTCTGACTGATTCGCCGACCGTTACACTGGTTTCTTGGTTTGAATAATTCAGACTCATAGTCTTTGCGATCTCAATGCCGAGCCTATAGGTCGTTGATCGCCCATTATTAGCTAATGTTCATATTCAATTGCTTCCTGTAGAATACCGATCCTCTCCAATTTCGCCATCCGAGCGTCTGGAGAGAAAAGCCACAAATAACCGAGGAACGTCATCATTTGCTTATTTCTGTGTTCGTCCGAATCTTGGAAGGAATTAAATGATGAAAAATAAGGAACACATACCGATCGGCCACGGCTTTGGCCAGACTCGGATGGCTATTGCCCGAGAGCAGTTTGATCTCGTTCGCCATGTCGCCCATAATGACTAGAGGAAAAGAGAGACCAGGCGGTGCTGGATTTCCTCTGGGTTACTTAAAATTTTCGATCCTGCAGCGTCACAGGGAAAAAAAGAAAAAAATTCTAAGACAATGGCGCACTTGATGCGGTGCCACCGACCAAGGCCGAGAGCCACAGTCCAATCGGGAGGAATCGCGGGGTTGCGTTCTGACTTTCCCTAATTGTGCTATGGTCTCGCAAGCTATTTCTGTCTATTTCTGTATACCTTTTTCGAGAGGTAGAGCACGTGGCAAGTCGAGAGCTCGTAAAAGCTTTGATAGCACGAACAGGAAGAGAGGTTTTGAGAAGATTTAGCGGCAATTGAGAGCTGATGAAGTTACAATATCCTATTTCGGTTGAATAGTAACAATTGAATAGATGAAGAGAAGAAAAAAGGCAATGACCCAATGTTGAAAGCTAGATCTTAAAGTCAACAGATTTTCGTTTTTTTCGGTATTCGTTATTCGTCATATTTCGAAGACCTGTTTTGAGCCACTGAGATCACGCAGAATTACCAAGACAAGGGAAAAAGTTTGTCTTCTCAATTGACGCTAATGATAGTTCCTAACCTACCAGTTCGCAGACTATTATAAGCTAACTTCTATAGGTTAAGATTATACCTTATCCACTCTTATCAAACTTTGCTATTTGACCTTGTTGGACATCAGGTCAAGACTTCCAAGACTGAGAATCAAACAACGTCAGGTAAGGAAGCTGCTATACATACCCACGTCATTCCGGAATACACTTGGGATGAAATCCATGGATCTGATGGTTGTTCAGGAACAACTTCAGGCGCAGATTGAAAGAAGCTTCTAAGCTAGGTACCTAGCGCATAAGCCACAAGCCACAGGCCTATACCTAATCCTTTGTCTTCAGGAATGCTAGATCACTCCTCTCACATGATGCCGTAACATATCCAATCATAAGCGGTTGCATTGACAAGTCTACTACCTACTAGGTGGGTCGATTTGGTTTCGAACCATTTCACCTTAGACAAGTTTTTGCTATTGATTAGGACGGGTTGTCGCATGACGGTGGCTGTTGGCGGAGGTGGCTGAGGTGTTCCCCACCGGAAGGCCGTCAGCCATACCTATCATCATTAGGTATATAAGGTCTTCAGCCCCAAGACTCTTTAAAGGATTCATGCCTTGGTAACAGCTACCTAATACAGGCACCTAGCGATCCTACGGTCGGCGCCTACTACCAACAGATTATTCACTATAGCACAGCCATAACTCACAGGCCAACTTTGATTTAACCCCTTATCCATACCCCTGAATTTCACAATGGCTTTCTTTTGTTCTTTTGAAACCATGTGACCGCATAAAATCTAGCTATATTTATAGACTTACACACCTATCAACTACTCGGTACTACAGGATCATTAAAGATTTAGAGATTTGACACTAATACTAATTATTGGCAGATGTTTGGTTTATATTAACTTCACAATTTCATAGGATCGACTATTCGAACGACATGCATGTAGGGTACACCAGTACCACAGCATCGACGTCCACAAGCTACAAGGAACAGAGCACCTCGTCGACATTAATTTGACACAGGAGTATACGGGTTTCGTCAGTCTGACTCATAACATTTTATTCACACTTGATTTTGGCAAGACATCTTGGAGGAATATGTGACAGTCTCATATTGAACTATGTACAAGTGAAACCCAAAAGTAGGTAGGTAATTTAACGAGCGGACAGGGTAATACAGCAGCCCCCAAATCTATCATCCGTCCCCTTGCCAGCGAAGGCAGAACAATCTATACGTTCTCGAACATCGACCCCTCAATAGCTAGCAGCTGCTTATTTCCAGCTGCACTCCTTGAAGGCACCACCTTGGGCGCCGGTGTGGGTCATGAGACCACAGAAAGTGATGGTGACGTAGCCAGTCTTCTTGTCCTTAGCAGAGACGTTGATAACAACACGGTCAGCGCCCGGGGTGTCCGGGTTGCCGGTGAAGGTCTTGTGGTTCTGGAGGATGGGGAACTCGTAGAAGGGAGCCTTGCACTTGGAGGAGAAGTTCTTAATCTCGTTGTTGCGGTTGAAGTACTGGTGGGGGTACTTGTTTCTGCCGAGGGCCTTGCCGTTGGCCTCGAGGCGGCCGCCCGCGTCACCGGCATCCTTGACGTTGCCGGAGGAGTACTTCTGAGTCGCGCACGTTCCGCTTGAGGGGAAGTTGGCGTACTTGTACTTGGTCTTGACCGCGCGCTCGCCGATGATGGCGTCGATCTCGCGGGTGTCCAGGGCCTCTTCGAGACCGCGGACTTCGACTGCGTTGTCGGAGGGGATGGTTAGGCCATTTCCTACGGAGAGGAAAAGGACGGCGGTGAGGAGAGTGCTGATGGACTTCATGATGAATACTTGTTTGATGCTTTTGAAAGATCGGTGATGTTAGACAGGTAAGTAGGCAGTGAATGAGTGATGTTGATGTGATGAGTGATGATAATACAATGATCAAGCTGACGGATGGTCTTTTATATATCGAACATGTAACAACCTCTTTTGTAAGCGATACATACTGTTCATGAACACACGCATTGTATTTGCGTACATGGTTGCTGGATCTCAACCTCTCGGCCGGGTTACTACAAGGAACGTTACTTGTTACCGAACAGGCTATTGCTGAGGCTGCCCTGTTGCCAATGCCGCCGCAGCGCAGCACAGCGGGGATAGCATCCTACATCTCACCACTATGTCGCAGAACGCCTTACCGCGCCTTAGGTAGTTCCTTCAGGCCTATACCAAGAGACAATCGTAAATTCTACTCGTCCATTGTGTCTAAAAACGGTTGCTGGCGTCAATGGAGCCAATAAAAAGAAATTGGCTCTAACTATGCTAAAGATATTCAGCTTGCCGATCACCTTAATTATGTAATATTTTAGGATAGCCTCGGTTTTCCAGAGAGCAGATCCCAGAAGATCGTTACCTTCTCGAATTGTTAGTAAAATGTGTAAGACACTTTAAATAGAATCAGCTCAACTTTCCCAATATATCGTAAACGGTACTTTTCCCTGCACGTAAGCGGCCTTGAGATTCCGGTCACTTGGGATACAGCATTCCAGCCCGTTGCGGGTTAGCATTCTTGGAACCCGACTGCTTTTCCGTCCAATGCCGGGTAATGGGGTTACCTAACCACAAGTACCTACGCCACATAAGCTGACCTCATTCCGCATTCACACCTCTTCTTCATCCTTAACTAATATGAATCTTACAATGTTTCCTTTTCCGGCGATATTAGGATTCCGATCTGATGTATTGTAGGACATATCTTATGCGTGCATCACCACGACACGTGATCGTCCGATTGCGAAAGGGGCATAGCCTGGGAGGGCAAGTTTGCCTTATTAAAATATCACGGCTGATTGTTCCTCTTATTCTCATATTCAATCATTCTCGTCCTTCATCTAATATCCATCATCTACTAAGCATCTCGTCGAAAATGGCACCATCAATTGATTCCTTCATTGACAAGCAGTTGGCCGATAGATGGGGCCCCACACGGAACGAGTGAGTTCTTGTACTCCCCCCCGTTTTACCCCACTTAACTCCGAACCTAACCAATAATCTACAGAGCAAGTGCCATCCGTGACCTTCTCCACGGCAATATCAGTCCAGAGGATGCAGCTGTAAGACTTACGAGCGATGTCAATGCATCTCGTACTGTCGAGACAGCCAAAGGCGCTCTATGGGGTCCTTGGAAGCTGCTCGAGGACACAGCAAGAAAGTTCCCCGACCATCACACTGAGGTAAATTATTACCCCATAACATTGGGCTACGCTGTTTCTCTTCATTCTTAATCTAACTCTCAAAAGTTGGTCAAATTAGTCGATGCAGTCCGACAACTCCCGGATCTCGTAATCGGAGGCGAATTAGCTGTCAAATGGTCTGAACTTCCAAATCTTGTTGAATTATGGGGAGAGAACGTGTTTGATCGTAAGTGGCTATATTTATACTTGGCTATCTATGTGGTCGTATGTGGTCGTGGAAACTGACACTCCGATAGGGGACGAGTCGGTCTATTCTGAAGAGATTATCTCTATCATTGCCTTCACAGCCCAACTCTGCGCCCGCCAGATCGTCGATGCCAAAGATTTCCTAATAGCAGCGGAATTGGACTTCTACACGGCTTTCGAGAAGACACCAGCTGCGGCTTCCGCCCTCAAAGCAAAGGACATTCAGACGTTAAACATCCATGTGCCTATTGCAGCACAATGGATTCTACACGCCGGAGAGGCAATTTACAACTGCGAAGGCACTTTCAGCCTTGAGGCCAGAGATGGCTTATGGACTGGCCAACCTGGGTTTAGCTATGGCAGATGGAAGCTATGGAAGGAAATGGCCGAATGGGTATCCGGCCTTAACGGGGTGGTTAGGCAAGAGACGATAGATATGGCCAAGAAAATCGTGGAGAAGATGACCGAGATCGAGAACAATGATGTATAGAGGATTTCTGAGGTAAAAAGTATTATCTTGGCTCAATACCATCGCTTTCCCCTCACTCCAATCTTATTCCGAAAATATTCCTCCTAAACGTCAAAACGCTCTATGACAAAGAGTCCCTGGTCCTAGTATACCAAGACATGAGCCACTTCCTTCCAGTCGCTGTCAGTTATTGGCAAATATTTAACTATGACGCTATAATCTTGGCGAGCTTGGTATTGGTCTTCTATTTTGGTGTGGTAAACATTAAACCGGGGCTCCTCCGATTGCATACGGCACATTGGCTATTAGTAAAGTTGGGAGATAGAGTGATGACAGTTGTGTGGTAGCAGTTTATGTAAGAAGTGAGTTTCAACTAACTCCTACCATCGTCTTGTTATCAATTCATTTAATTGAAACAACACCCCGTTCCTTCTGATGTCAACCCGATCCTCTTTCTAGCTGTCAAAACCTTATTTTCACATACAATTAGAGTTAGACTTTGGGTATCCCTATCTAATGTTTGAATACATGTCAATCACGCGCGCCTAGCTTGTATCCAGGTTGAAGCGACGGCCCTATTTGAAGATAGTCTTGATGCTCTATCATAACTAGCACTAGAGCCAATTGCTACCCCCTTGCCATAATTCGAAGGTTCTATTTAAGCAATTACCCCTTTTCATATCATGTAGGTACTAATCTCACCCAATACCTATAGAAGATATCGTCTATAATCCTTAAGGAATACATTTATAGTAATTGGATTCCTAGGCATCTCTTTATGACGTCTGAGATAGACATCCCCTAACAAAAAGAGCCCCTGAAGTCTTCGAACTATTGATCCATTCTTTCATTAAGGGCTCACACAGCTCCTATCGGTCCCCTCCATTGCTGATTCGGACTGAAATATCTCGCCGCGTGAAGGCATCGTCTATATTCCCGTCCAACGCCAATCCCCTCCGCGTCCCCCTATATCCGTATCGTCCAACTACCCCAAGTTACTCAAGCTTATAATCTATAGTTCTAAACGGATCATCAACAGCTCATCTGGCCTAGTGGTAAAGTCCTATTCTTGCAACTGCGTAAGCTAACATATTCGCAGTCCATGTCGTCCAACCGCACCCTGCTCGGGTAGGCACTTCGCAGGTCACTCCGGAGGTATTCCCAGTCCTTACAACACTCACTGGGCATGCTACTAACCGACTTAAGGGGACCCCCATAATCCTAACCCCACCGCTCTAAGGCTCAATCGGCCAAATTTTGGATAGAATACCCCAAACGCCTACTAGCGCGAACATGGTACCGGTAAGTTCGAGTCCCACCATGGGCCAGATGAGTTGATTTTTTTTATTATTTTTTTTACTGTGATATAGCGGTAATGTTTATTTTCTTTTATTAATGACGATGATAAATCTGCTGTGTATATGTAGCTAGATGCTATATGGAAGGTGTTTATCCTCCTGTTCCGGTATCTCTATTCTCGCTGCCTCTGTTCCGCCCACCCATACAATGTTGAGCCACTCAGACATAGATCTTTCTACACGAAGGGGGAACTTCAGCTTTAGTATTATATAAAAACATATTAAGGTACCAGAACTGGCTTGTGACGCGTCCCCATGCCTTTAGCACCATGTTTTAACTAGGAGAATGGGCTATAATCAAGGTAATACACCGTGATATGTAAGAATTCCTATGGAAAGGGAAGTATTTTCGACTTGATCACAGTAACCTTGGAAGAGGCAAGGAAATTTTAAAGGCATATGAATTTTAGACTGTGGTGTAGCTTGGAAATATTCGGTCCCTCAGTCGGAAGAGCCTTAGGGACATAATAATCCTTAAGATCTTGGGCAAAATAGTACGAATTCTACGGGCATTAAGAGTGCAGACATATCACATCATTAAAAAAATATCAAGGTGCAGAAACAGCGTAAATTCGACGTCCGGAACGCCTGTCCATAATTCGAGAAGGGTATCAAGTCTGCCATAGCCAGTGTACATGAAAGCCCCGAGACCTCCTACCCGTAAAAACCGCCCCCCGATGATATCCCTCCCTTCCCTCCCTCCTATACCCTATCCTCGGCATCAGCCGTGATAGTCTAGGCATTGCAACCGTGTCGGGTACGGTAGGCGCGGGTAAAGATAATCCGATCGCAACAGGGCAAAACATTCGGGCACGCGCCCGCGCGATCGCAAATGACCTCGGGGATGCGCGAGCCCGGGTCTCGGACGACGAGGCCGAAGAAATCCAAGGCCAAGTCCAGGCCGGCCATCTCGTCGGGGTGCACGGGCTCGGGCGCGACGGCGTGGAACCGCATGGCCTTGCAGGCCTCGTACACGCGGTAGAAGTCCTGCGCGCCGCCGTACCGGTCGCGCGCGGACGGAGCGGGCCCGTGGCGCAGACGCTCGAGGATTATGCTGTTGACCATGCTGGCCACCTCGGCCCACGCGTAGTGCTGCGCGAGCTCGTGCAGGCAGCACAGGAGCTTGATGGGGTTGCCCTCCTGTGCTGCGAAGCATGAGCCTCGCATGTCGTGCTCTGGGCGCCAGTGCTTGAGGATGGCGCTCCAGTAGCGCGCTTTCTTGTGCGCGCGTTGGGCCTGGGGGGGTGGGAGTGTTAGTTTGGGGTTGGGATAGGTTGGGGGAAATGAATGAAGGATTGGATGATTGATTGATTGAATGAATGAGGATTTACTTACTGGAGTCATCATACTGCACGTATGGCAGAAGTATAGAGGAAAATCAATGTCTCCCAGTCTGATGGTAGGCACATCAAATGAAGGAAACATGTTTCTGCATCCTTCACACCTACGCAACTGACTGTCGCGGTTGATGTTTTGCTTAGGTTCAGAAGAATGGGATTGGAGTTCGCAAGTTTCTACTTGAGCTTTAGCGGGTTCCGGGCGGGCTGCTGCAAGGGCCTTATTCAGACAGACAAGTCTCTTCGTCATGGTGGGAAACATGTCGGCGGTCGGGAGATGGGCAAAATAAAGACGAGCGACCGAGAGAATGATGGAATAAAGACGAGCGGCCGAGGCGAAGGAATGTAGATAATTGAATGAGTTCTGATCGCCGATACTGATATGCGGACGAAAGCGATAGACGATGACTTTTCGAAATTAATTGGAATGATTGGTTACTTCTAGTGTGATCGATGAACACGCGAATTTGGAGATGGTTATTTGAAGTAAAAGAATGTGAAGACGGAAAGTTGTGCAGATGTTTTGTTTTTGAAGCCGGCGGCGGGAAGGTTAACGATGGTGCATGTGGAAAAGAAAGACGGCGGTGCAAGGAGGACCTCACATTAAATGAAGGTGGGGGTGGGTGTTCTGGAATAAAATTTCCCATCACTATAAACGGCGCTGTAAACATCGCCTGTTGGAAGCCCTGGAGATTCACATCTTTGTTGTGGTGCATCACAGACTTGACTTTTGTCCAGTGCGATGGCAAGCTACAAGATTGTTCGGCGTGGTTAATCGGCGTGTTAGCAGAATTAGTGGGTCCAACGGCGCATCGAAAATTACGGGCAGGGGTTACACACGGACCGAAATTGTGGGCCTAGTCGGAGGAAACGTATCAACCTCTTTCTCGAAACTCATTGGCTCTTTTTTGTTCATTGTGGAAGTACATACGTACACATGATCCCGTTTGTAGATCATCCGGGGGATGAACAGGAGATCCAGGAGATCGAAACGGAGGCTTCCGTAAGGCTCAATAACCTGCAACGCTAAGTGTTTCATCTTCCGGACTAGGGCGCTATCTTCAGGGGTTTTATGAACCCATGGCCTGGCTTATCTCTCAATTGGACTGCAGTAGTAAACCATGGGTGATAGCTTAAGCTTACAAGGGCAGGCGGATAAGAAAAAACATCATTCATAACTATCTCCACTATCACCTTCTTTTTCGAAACAGGCTCGCTTACATGTTTCTGGTACGTTTTAATACCGGGGTAATGGCGAATTAGGAGATTGGATACTCCCGACATGGCTTCTATCACGGAACTCCATTCCAAAGCCAAGACGCGAAGGACTTTTTTTGAGGTGGTCTGGCCTGTTAGGAAAAAATATTGGACCTTGGCGCGCGGCCGAAGGAGAAACTTTCTACACAAACAACGAGGCCGGAACTCTGGTAGTTATGAATTCTTGAGGAGAGCTATATGGATTAGCCAACTTAATCTTCGATTTTATTCGTCTATCACGCGGGAACGTAGAGCAAATCATTTTCTTTGTGTATCTTTCGTTTTCCCACGGCCGGTCTGTCGGGATGCTTTTATAGGAATGGCATTGGATATATAATAACGAACTAAGATGATGAAACCCAGGCTGTCGCTCCTATTGCTGTGGTCGCTCTGGTCAACGACAGGCTTAGGGCTCAGTGAATTCGTGTCCGATGGAGATAGGATACTCGATAACAGAAAACGGGGCGATGGTGAGAGAAATGATCCGGTAGCGGTGAGATGGGATCTGACGGGGAGGAACGACGAAGCCCAGCTTCCTTCGATTACGGCGGCGCCAATTATACCAACAGAAAGTTTACTAAGTGGCCCTCGCCTTCAAATTCGCCAAACCACCGCGACTACCACAGATTCAGATGATGCAGACGACGACGATGATGACGATGGGCCACCGCCTCCACCAGGCGCGCCTCCCCCGGTCCAGGCTAGCTTCAGCATATCCAACAGTGTCTCGGCCTCTGTATCAAGCAGTGTGGCGGGTAGCGTGGCAGCCAGTGTGGCAGCCAGCGTAACAGGCGTCTTCACGTCATCGCTTCTAGCGCTTTCAGCAGCGTCGTCTAGTGCTGTCATATCCGCACGCGCAGCCGGAATAGCCGAAGGAATATCGTCAGCTACGGCGGGTGCGACAACCGCTGCTCCGCCACCGACGACTGGAGCTACCAGCAGCACGTCTGCGGCGTCAGCGACTAACACAAATGCTGCTAGTGCCATTGCAAACATACAGACGAGCGCTAGCAAGGCCGTGGAGGAAGCACAGGCTAGTGCTAGCATCAGCGCGCAGAGTGCCGTAGAAGCGGCGAAAGCTAGCGCGAGTGCTATCATGGTATGCATCCCTAGAACCTAAGAATCAAGATATCGCTAACAACATACTCAGGCCAACGCGAGTCCTCAATCCCAAGGCTCAAGCCTAACCCCAGGTCAAATCGGAGGCATCGTCATATCCATCGCCTTCATCTCCTCACTCCTCTCCGCCCTCGCCACCTTCCTCCTCATGCGACGCAAAGCGCGTCAACAAGATGACTCCAACAAATACGAACCCGACCTTTACGCCCCGCGAACCCTGGAACCAATCCTGCCCCCCGTCCCAGAACCGCGTCCACACTCCCTCTCCCAATCCATCCGCAACCGGCTCTCTTCCTTCCACGCCATGTTCGGCGCGCCCATAATGCCGCCCTACCGCCGGAGTCAATCCCCGAGCAACAGCAACGTCGACGCTTTCTCGGCGGACATAAAACGGCGGCCCCCAACGTCCGAGCACCCGGCGATGGCCATGGCCATGTCGCACAACGCGCGACCACTCAGCGACCCCGTTTTCCCGGTGTCCCCGGTCTCGTCCGTCGGCGACCAATCGCTGATCCTACAGAGCACCGAGCCGCAAGCGCGACTGCAGCCGTCACCACCGGTCCCGGTGATCGTCGAGGCAGCAGCATCACCAGTCCCAGCCACAGCCGTAAGCGCGAGTGCGCGGGCGTCGGCGGCACTAGCGCGGGTATCGTTGGCGCGCGAGCAGGTCATAAGCGGAGGACAACGGCCTTACCTAGTTCGCGTGGGCAGCGGACGGGAACAAAGTGGAGATCCGCTATCGATGAACCCCGTGAGCGCGGAGCTGAAGTACGACGTAGCGCCCCCAGTATCCGCGACGGGACAATGCCACATGACGTTCCCGACCCACCTATCGATGGAAGACGACGGACACGGGGGATGGAGGACCAGCGGCGGGACGGAGATGAGCAGCACGCCTTCGTTTCAAGTACAAGCGCCGATCCCTCGGCGGCTCGTCGATCCTGTTTCCCTCGAGCAAGGGCCGAATTATCTGCCGCATGCGTATTGATGAAGTTGAAGTTGTTATTACGAGTTAGTGAGAATATCCAATGTCGAATATCCTGTAAATAGCGTTAGTATTATAGTGTGACACCGTGAATAACGGGTACATAATCGCGAGATAAAACCTATTAGACTGTACCATCTTCTTTCTGTCTTCTGATCCCACGCCCATCATCGGCAACAGACCATTCGCAACTCCATTTCTCATCTTGTAGCCCATACCTAAACACACATCACAAACACCAGAAAGCAAAAAACATCCCTAAGACTGTGTGTGTCTCCAGCTCAATCATTTTTCATTACCTTAACAAAATCGCAGCTTTTTATGTACAGTGATACATCGATACCGGAGCCAACCATCCTACAAGTCAAGCATTTCGGGCTGAGGAACCGTTTCTTCAGCCGAGCCTAACCTAACGCCTGCCATGCACAACCGACACGCCGTGAAGACACGTTCTATTTAAGACATGTTCGAAACCCCCGCAGGCCTCACCGCACTCAGTATATGTGAGCGCTCCATCCCCGTGAGCCCGTGGGTCGCCTATAAACGAGAAATCTGCGAATACTCGGGAGGTATTTGGATCTCACCACGAGATATCAGAGCCAACCCCTTTTCCACCCATAAATAATAGTCGAGTCGCTTATACGGGGAGCTTGAACTTCTTGCCCTTGAGCACCTTGTTGTAGTAGATCCAGAAGAAGTCGCTGTACAGAACCGTCTGGATGAGGCCGGCCACGATAGCAATCCAGTCGACCTTGTGCTTGGGCTCAGTGATGTACCTGTAGATCCAGTTGGGGATGTACAGAGTTCGGTAGATACCCAGCGCGAAGAGGTAGTGGGTCGTGATGACCTCGGCCTCGCCAGTCCTCTGCAGCATGAACAACTGAGGAAGAATAGCGACAGACTCTAGCCAGATCGAGAATGCCCATAGGATCTCGGAGAATGTGTACTCGTACGGTATGAGAATGGCGAGGACCGCAGCACCGCCTAGAAGGTATCGTACACGGAAGGTATCGAGATTGGGATCGACCGTCGGCTTGTACTTGGTCGTCATAAGGTAGACGACGTAGCTCTGGCTGGCGATGAAAAGGATCTTAAAGATGATGTTGTAGGGGCTAGTCGTGCTAAAGAGATCTGTCGACTTTTTGTAAGCATTATGTTGACTTTACCTACAAATATAAATAGAACTGGCATATAACGGCGTACCTAAATAACGGGTGATATAGACCATTAAGTAGAGAGCTTGGGATTTGAACGAGATTCCTGAGGCGCCCTAAGATAGATAGCTATTAGACGGTGCTTGGAGCTCCTTAGATCGCGACGTAACTAACATTGAGCTCTGTCATCTTGTGTAAGAGGATCAAGATGGAGGCCAAATGGGAGAAATCCCCTGAATATAGCTATTAGTATGGACTGTTAGAAACATCCCATTGCATTGGCGCTTACCCAGGATACGGAAGACGTTTAGAGGCATGATGAAGGAATCGAGGGGAGCAGAGCTCCTTAAGCTTTAGTAGCGACGGGCTACGGGTTACGGGTTCGATCGCGTTGGGATGGTGGTAGTTCCGAAAGGGGTAGGAATTGACCGTTATACTACGGATTGACTAGAGGGTTCGCAGAAAGGTTTGCGAAAAGGAAGGGTAGGTAGTGAGGAGAGTAATGACCTGCGATGGTCAAACATTTACACATTTACGTGGACTGAAGAATGTTTGAAAGGACACAATTACACCTGGGACGCGATTGACGTATGATTGGATCCCTGGCTTAATGGCTAATGGCTCCTTTACCTGTGGCTGATACGAGACGGAAATATCCAAAATTATCAAAATTGCTTCTCCAGCCACACCTGCCACATTTACATATGTGGTGATGATGTCACTCTTAAAATCTATCCTATTGGCTAGCATTAACAAGGAACTCGACCGGTCGGCATCGGTGCCCACCCTTGCCTTCCTTGCCGGGGTAGCACGGATAGCACAGTGGGAAAGAGATCTCTTGGCACACGAGGCATCCGACTTCTGACGTACCTGGTACTTAGTAACCATTAGATTACAAAGCTATCTTTGTGAAGATAGGTGACATCTTGTAGAATCTTCGACGAGGACATTTTAAGACGATAATGTAAAATCCCTCTGACTCGGCAGGTAGGGCCAACCTCTTTTTCCTTTTCGCGTCTCTTTTCCTTTCATTAAAACATCGTCGTTTCGCACCGATATCAACACCCAAGTAGTAGTACTACATCATAGTACAGACTCGAAATATCAAATAATTTATCGACACGCAATCTCCAAGCGCAACGTCGCACAGCAAAATGGCAGAACATACAGAACACGCCGAGCATGCAGATCATGACATGGCAGAGCAAGATGAACTCCCATCTGAATCCGAAGGAATCACCATAACCTTCACCCACCATGGCAAACCGCACTCCCTCATCGTCTCCCCCGACGCCAGCATCTCCGACCTCGCCTCCTCAATCGAATCCACCCTCTTCATCCCCATCACCAACCAAAAACTCATGGTCTCCAAACTCGGCCTCCTCAAGCCTCCCTTCCCCGAGCACTCCGTCTCCGAGCTCCAAGACAAGAAAATAACCCTCCTCGGCACATCCAACGCCGAGCTCGCCTCCCTAGCCTCCGCAGGCCAACAAGCAGCACAGCGACATGCGCACCTAGCCAGCGCGCGCCGCACCCTCCCAAAAGCGTACACCACACGCCCGAACTCCCAACGCGCAAGAGAAGAAAGCGAATACACCTTCGGCACAATCCGGCCCCTCTCGCACCTCCCGAACCCGCAACGCTCGCAACAATTCCTCGAGCGTCTATCGCGGGACCCGGGTATCCGGGCCACCATGATCAAGCACAAATTCCGAGTCGGCACGCTCACCGAAATGGACCCGCTGTCCTACACGGAAGCGACGCACGAAGGCACAACGCGCATCTTGGGGCTGAACCGGAATAAAGGCGAGGTTATTGAATTGAGACTCCGCACCGATGCGTACGACGGGTACCGCGATTACAAGACGATCCGCCGGACGCTGTGCCATGAGCTCACGCACAACGTGCACAGCGACCACGATCGCCTGTTTTGGGACTTGTGTAAGGTGATTGAGAAGGAGGTTGAGAGGGCGGATTATGCGAGTGGTGGGAGGAGTGTTGGTGGGGCGGAGTATGCGGGATCGAGGGGGGAGGAGATGGAGGAGGTTGCGTATGATCATGGAGGTTGGACGGGTGGTGAGTTTGTGCTTGGGAGTGGGAATGGTGGTGGTGGTGCGTCTGCGGCTGGGCAGGGCGCGTTGGGTCGACGGGAGGCTATGGCCAAGGCGGCGGAGGATCGCATTAAGAAGCAGAAGCGACCTGACGATGAGGCGAGTGGTCAGTAGGATGCTGATGATCGAGTCGGTTTTCGATACCCTTTAGTTGCGACGAGTGCTTCGAAAGTATCTTGGCCTAGGCATTCAGGCTAGTTTGGAACACCTCGAACACGACTTTCGACGATATCCAATTGGGATTACTTCTCTTGTATTGCAGGATTTTCTGGGCTAGGTAGCATGGAGTTTGCAGGTTTCACTAATGGCATAGCAGTGGTGTTTTACAAATAATGGACTCGATGGAACGAACGTCTACTTGGATTATATAAGTGCATCTTGCGAGCTAATGATTTATTTTGGTGGTATCTTTCAAATCTCTCAACGGATGTGCGGGCTATTTTGTTCATGGCATATATCGACTTATTCTACCATGTAAGTCCAATCCAAGGAGCGAGGATGATAAATAATATTCGCAGATTATATCCAAAAAAAACCTATTCTACGAAGTCCCTTTCACTACCGTTTTCTCCACGACTACCACGACGGCGTTGTTGTTCGGCTTCGGCGGCTTCTTGAGCGTTGCTTGCCCCTTTTCCTCGGGTGGTGGGTCGGGATTCTTAACCCATTGCTTGAGCTCCGGAACCCAATGATGGCTAGCAAACAGCGTTAGTAAACTTTCCCATCAATAGACGGAAATCCAGGGAGAGCCCGGTCAACACCAAAGATAGAATATCAATAGCTTAGGGGTAAACCAGAAAAAACATTTACTTACCCAAGCCACTCCGTATTCGTCAAAGACTTTCCCCCATACTCATCCGTGAGTATCTTATCAAACGCATACGGCACCCGCGCCGGCACCCCCTCAAATTCCGTCCGGCGTATCGGATACAGCTCCCCAATACGATACTTATGCGAGTTCTTACAACTCCAGATCCCCGGAGCCCCCGCCGGATCCCGCTCCGCCAACCCCGTGATATCTATGTACAGCCCGTTACTCGTATCGATCCATCTTGCATCAATGATATTCGCACCGTTCCCACGATCGATATCCCCAGCATGTGGGTTCACATCGAGTAAATACGTCTTGTTAATCCACTCAGGCCCATCTTCTCCTTCTTTCCACGCGTTGAAAGCGTAATCGTGCAAAGTCTGGTTGAAATACCGGCCTAGGTACGAGAGCGTGGTCGTGGGCATCTGTACGTCTAGGTCGTAGTCCCACGGCATCACACGCCCGCCCCACCACCACCCGAGCAGTGTGCCGTGCGCCAGCCACGTCTCGACGCCGAGCTCGCGGCTGGTGGTTAGCCATGACCGGACTAGATGTCGTAGGGCCGGCCGGTGCTCTGCGTACGGTACTTGCGATTTGAAATACCGCTTATCGTAGTGCCCGAGCTCCATTGTTGCTCCTGCTTCTTTGAAGTACTTCCTCTGCTGTGGCTTCTTGTGTTCTTCGCGCTTCTCATCGGATTCCGAGGAGTTGGAAGAGGAAGACGTATCTTGAGGCTGGTTGGGTAGGGCGGTTGCCGTAACAGCCACGATTAGGGCTAAGAAGAGGATTGTGAGATGCATCTTGGAAGAACCAAGTCGGCATACTCGAATCTGACACTTCCAGGTTGATGGGGATCGTACGGAAGTGTCTTCCTATGGGAAATTACTGAACGAACAACGTCCAGATACCCATTGCCTTTTTCGGGGGGTGGTCGTGTGCTATACATCATTTAAGCTCTATATCCCCTCGGAGCCCAGGCCCAGCACCTTGCGCACTCGGCCAACATAGGACGATCAGCCCTCCGAGTCCAAGCGTTGCACGGATAGCGGTGTTCGTAAATCTTCTTTACGGAATACTTGCCACTGCTCGTGTGACCCCCTCCCCTAAGGGGCGAAGGCGTATTTTTGCACTTACCGCATTGTACTATGCATACCTGGTAGGCCATACTATATTATCCTTAATTTGATCTACGTTCTTGGTATAGAGATGAATTAGAGCTGGTGACTGTATTGCGAGTTGGATATAAATACAGCGCAGTATCAAGAAAGTTATCTTACGGATAACGGCATTGTCTCCCCACGAGGTCTAACTGCCAACACCCAGACATCTTATCGTTTCCCATGGAAAAACAAACTGCTTACAACGGCTTTCCGCTCACCAACGGCCCCATTTACCAATATTATTGTGTCACTTTATCTCATATTCACCGGAGCCAAGAGTGAGCTCAAACAGATCTCGGAGTTTATATGGCCTACGTAACGTGGCTCCGCCACTACTAGCTTATGACGAAACGCTCGAGCATCACGACATCCAACCTTATAGCATTGATGTAGCTTTATATATAGTCGATCGGTAAGTTGGTGGGGAATAACGATAACGGTAACGGCGTGCTATCTGCTGAAGCCCCTTTTTAAATTAGTACAATAACCCTTCAAAGAACATCGCTATGGCGGCTGCTCGTTAAGGATAATACCATCGTAGTAAATATGAATTAAATGGCTTCATTTAGAAATCACGATACCTCTCGATTAAACATTTCAACTCGTATAAACAAGAAGTCAAGATAATTAAACACCATTAGCAACCTCTTAGCAACCCAACCGCCCGTGAACCGAATGCAATCTCCGTAGCGCAAAGACTCAGTAGGTTAACCCCTGAATTAACGATATAGCACTGACACGCCAAGCAGGATCTGCTATCGGGACAAGAATTCATGATATAGAAATCGATGACATCTCGTTACTTTTCCATTACGTTACTAGGAGCAGGATGAGGCCGGAAAGGGTGACCTATGTGTTAATTCTACTGTACTACACTGTGTGTTGTAATATCCCCTGGTATGCCTATATAGGTACTCCGCACATATTGTGGTTGGGGTAAATACTGGTTGTGTAACATATGGGATAATTCTTATTACTGTGGAATGAGCACATGGGGCACTTTTCGAACTGCCAGGGAGACATATATCTATCTTCACAAGTCACCCGCAGCTTGTTAAGTGTCAATCGATATAACATTAGGCAGAATGCAATCTAGATAGTCTTGTCATTCATCCACCTACGCACCAACATCTAACCCCCATACCAGTTTCACAAGCAGGCATCTACATCCATTGACACTACCTATACTACCACACCCTCCCAGCCATCACCATACAGCCAAGCCCACACCCAGCTAAGCCGTAAACCCTAGATAGGTAGGTAACCTCTCATAGCAACCATCTCAGCCATCCTTCCCTCCCCAACATCACTAACATCACCACATCACCGCCTCCTACTCCGAGCAATAGGAACCGCCTCAAAATCATCCGAGATCTCATCATCGCTAATCTCCAGCGGCTCCTCCTGCGTCGCCTTCTGCGACCCGAAATTCAACTTCGTCTGCCTCGTCGTCTTCGCACCCGAGCTCGCACTTTTCGCAGCAGAAGACGCAGCCCTAGACCCCTGACTCCTGGCCGGCGCCGCCCTCGTAGCCCTAGCCACAGGCGCACGTTTCGGCGGCGGCGGCGGCGGGGGGTCGTATTCGTCGTCATCCATCACCACATCCGGATCCGCGTCCTCTTCCTCCTCGTCGCTTTGGTCGAAGACCTGTTTCTTGCCGCGGCCTCTCGCAGGCGCTTTCTTAGCCGGCGCTTTCGCGGCTACTTTCGGCTTAGCAGCAGCCGCTGGTCTCACCCTCCCTTTCGGCTTCGGTGCCGGTTCTTCGAAGACGTCGTCCATGTCCTCGTCTTCTTCGACAACGGGCACTGCTTTGCGTCCGCGGCCCTTGGGTTTCGGGGCGGGTTGGGATGGCTGCGATTTAGCTGCGTCCGCAGCCATGGCTTCGTGGTCGAGTGCTTGGGGTTGGTCTTCCCAGGGGCCGTCGATATCCGAGTCGTACCGGGGTGGTCTCGGCTTGTAGAAGCGGCGTTGTGCTTGCTTAAGTGTTCCCGCGGAGAACTTCTGCTCGAGCCTTGCTTTGACTTGTTCCATTGCGTTTTCGAGGTCGTCGTCGTCTCCGAGGGAGAGCATTTGCTTGACCTGCTCTGTTAAAGACTCGCTCACGAATGACTCCATAGCGTGTTTATCTTCCTTGTCGACGAATTGGTTTACCGCGTCGCCGAAAGGTGCTTGAGGTAGGATCTTTAGGGATTGTGCTTGGGCGGAGAGGAATTCCGCGACTAGCTTGTCGACTTTGATGTCGTCGATCTCCTCTAAGTTCGCAAGTAGCTCTTCCGGTAGCTCTCCCATAGGTGCCTTTCCTATTACGTATTAGTGATATTCGTAGACATATGTTATTTATTTCCTTACTCTGCACGGTCTTCTTGCGATAGAAGTGTACTACGTCATTCGTATTCGCAACCTTGCCTTGGAATCGGTTAGAAAAGCGTTGTGGGTTTTCGATGTCGTATTGACCCCCCTCCGGTGCAGTATATTCAACCTTTAAACGGATTAGGGGTAACGGCCGCGTATTATCTAGAGAATCTTCTTCCTGAATAGAGTCCCATTCGGCATTCGCTTCCTCAATCATCTCCTCTACTACACCTATTAACTTCTTCGTGAGATCATGTCGATTTTCTTTCTTCTTATCAAGGCCTTTAAATCTCTTATCGTTCGCGAGTACGATCTCGGAAGTCATAAAAGGGCGGACTGACTTTAGTCGGTGTTTCTCTACTTTAAATTCCCTCCCGGTGACGGTAAGTATAGCAACGTGTTTAGCTACGGCTTCACCTGGCACTAATGATGTAGCAACCGAAGAGCCTGGCTGCATGACATGAAAACCAGTCTCGGGGTTATGGCTAGGATCGATCAAACACTCATGCTCATGGCCCCAGACAACCAAATCTAACCATTCGGGCAGCATGTTCTCGGGCAGGTAACCGGTAGCAGTATGTGCGTGATGATTTTGGTGAACAGCAAGCAAATTGAACCAATCGCTCGATTGCTGGTTTGGCCGGTACCACCTAACATTGTGATCGCGGAAATTCCGGAACATGCGTTCATCGCGAACATTGCTTATTCCGTAGAGTGCCAACTTAGTTAACCCTTTCTGAAGTAGAACAGGTTTGGCGTGAATCTCATCCACCTGTGGCACACGCCCAAAATAGTTGACCAGTCCGGCCATCTGAAGTAGGTCAAGGGAACAAAGGTTCCCTTCGCCGCTAGGGTCATCATGATTACCGTGGATAGAGAAGACCGGGATAGAAATATTGATATCGGGATCTTCGTAGTTAACATGCCCTAAGCCGCCATCAAAGACATCGGTTGCATCGCTCAGGAACTGGAGTTGACACGGTTTATCGCCAAGACAATTCTTCCGTAACGATCGCATGACTTTATACATGGCTTTCCTGGACGGCTTGTTGTCATGAAATAGGTCGCCTGCTAATAGCACCATGTCAACCTATCCTATAAGTAAGTATGCCTCTAGCTCGGGGACATATATATTACTTACATCCTCCGTCCGGGCCAAGTTCATAATCTCGTCAAACGATTTCCAACTATCGTCTCCACGGATCGGATCACGTTCCTCGTAGCCCACATGATTGTCGGTGGCAACGAGAATGCGAATCTCATCCGCATCTACTCTCCGAAAATGGTTAGTTTAGGCTTAGTTTTCATGAAGATAGTATACTCTTTGTGGAGACGCACCGGTGAATTGTACCTGCATTTTTCAGGTGATAACTAGTTTCGTAACAGAGAAGTATTTATCTTATAGAGCTGCAAACAGATTTGCTGCTCAAAGTTTTAGAATAACCATCAAATTATCTCCAACTCTTAGTATTCATTATTTGATGTACCTAGTATCTGAGACGATGCTGCCTGAGCTTGGGATAAGAAAGAACCTTGAAGTGTAAGACGCGCTGTGGCGCCTCGCGTTTGCCCCGCCGTCTCGCTATCACGTGATCGGATGCTTAATGAAAAATTGGGACAGCTGCTTCCCAGGTGCCAGGTCGGTTGTTAACGCCACACAGTAGGTACCTAGATACCTACCTCATACAAGTCTCTATAGAACCACGGTTGCGAATAGCCACAAATATAGGAGGCACTGGAGGCATTATTGCGTATATCTTGCGTTCTGAATTGATTGTGTGCGTCCCATGAAAACTGTTCGCTGCTGTAGCATCTATTCTCCCAGATCAGCTAGACCTGTATGTATACGATAGCTAACTTCCAAGCAATACTAAGCAACCACAACGAACTCGAATATGCGCTGATGCAAAAGGTATCCCTCCAAACGCGGCATCCAGCCTGTTCCAAAAAGTACAACCCATCCTTCGTCCCCGCAAATGTGAAATGCCAACCTGAAAGAACGCCCTGTCCCAGAAATAAACCGAAACCCAGATACGTGAATCCGAGTCGATGACCGATACCCCTTCATGATGTGTACCCGACGTCTTAGTAGTGTTGAAAACTTATGAAATCCCCAACCGTTGATGCCCCCTAAAACTATACGGCCGCCGGACTAGGAGTAGAGTCTTCCTTGCTCACATTCTCGGCGACCTCTTCCCACCATATTCCGTGGGCTTCCCGATCTACGGCTCCCACCCTAACAATTTCATCAACCATATCTCGTATCTTCTCTACAAATTCAGGTAATCCGAGACTGGCGAGCTTCTCCCCGGCTGTACTGGTCGCCTTGACCTTCTCGCTTGCAGAACCAGCTTGTATCCTAGCTAGGATGTGACCCCTCATTCGCGTCAGGAGCAATTTCAACACAGGCTCTCTCGGGTCTGTGTTTTCGCGCCTCGCATCTATACTAGCGGTGAGCACCTTGGTTACAAGGGCTTGTAGATGTGTCTTTGTGGCAGTAGGCATCGATCGTCCAGCTTCTAGCGCTGCCATGATGCCGTGAATAGCTGTAGACTGGGGGAGTGGTTTCGTATCGTCGTCCATGGATTCAAGAACCGTAAAGATGCGACCGGCTTCTGTCTTCCAAGGGGCCCGGACATCGCGTTTGAGCATGTTCTTGCATTGGAGGAGAATGGCACCAGCGGTAACGATACGTATAGTCTGGCAGCCGACATGTGCGCGGCGTTTGACATCAAGAGCAAGTGGCTCTGGTACAGTGTCATCTAATGGAGATGGCTGTGTAAACTCGTCCAACAACATTTGCCAGTATATCTTGTCCGGAGTGGGTCGTGAGCGTGGGTGATTGATCCCCTCAGGATCACGGCGAGCCACTTCCGCGTGCACCTTATTACGTGCGTTTCGCCATGAAGTTTCCGCATGAGATAACGTGATATTGCCATTGTCTAGGTCCTCAGCAAATCTTTTAGTCTCATACACGGAAGCGTGCTCTACGAGACTTGGTGCTACGACTTGCAACATGTAATTCGCGTAGTCGTAGAGCATAGTATCGATGAACGACAGTAGCGCTTCAAGACGATTGACAACATCCCCTTGGCTAAGCTTATTCTCCACCAAGTCCTTGACTTCGTCGTCGCGAACTGGTGCGCAGAGCTTGGGAAGGAGAGATCCAATTGACGAGAAGAACTGCTGGTACGAAAAGCTACCAGCTAAAAATTGCCGCTGTGCAACTTCAGTGTCGAGCATTTCGCCAATGAATGTATGCATAGGCGTGCCGGGCTGGACCAGATGTTGAAGTCTTTCCCGGATGTAATTGGCCATTATAATAAGGTAATGGAACTCCTTCTCCTCGTCCCCAGGGTTGGCTTTCAAATCGTCGAAGAGAGGAATTAGACGAAGCTTGTGCTGCTCTTGAAAATGCTGGTACTCGATACGATACTCGCGATTGATGGCCAATTCATGAACAATAATCCGATTATCCGGAAGTATCGGGGGATAGCTTGGTTGAAGTACACTTTGCTTCAGCTCCTTCTCTCTTAGTTGAGTCGGTGGCGGCGTGAGGGTCTGGAGTTGCGAAACAACACGCTCTGCTGTTGCATTGTCTTCAGCCGAGTTGCCATTACTTAAAGAATGTTCTGCAACTCTTGGTCTCATGTCACCCGCAGGCTTCTTTGCGGCCCTAGCTTTCCTCGCCTGCTTGACGGCCTCGAATATCATTCTCTTTCCCTGCTCGGGACCGGCGAGTCTCTTGATCCGAACCATCAACATGAGTTGATTTTCCTTGATACTTTCTCGGTATGATTCGGCAACAACTTCTTCGGTGCGATCCTTGACGCTTTGAAGGATTGCGTCAAGTTCTACGAATTGCAAGAGCATCACTTCGACTAATGCATTCGAATCGCGGGCCTTCCACGATATGAAGGCATTGTGAAACGTCGCATATGATTCTGACAAGGCTCCTTGTATCGCCGGTGGAGTCGTATAGTTGTTCAGTGACGTCAGTCGGGATAGTATATTCTCGAACGAGATGAGCAAATCTCGCGCCTTGGCAACGAGATCCTGTAACTGTGGATTAGCCAGGTCATCATGAGGTATGGGTTGCCCTTGAGAGGATCCAACCTGCTCCTGTTCTCCTCTGTGGTCCTTATTGCTAAGAACCTGGGTAGGGTGGCCTAATATCAAGAAGGCGCTCAAGAAGGTTCGGACAGCAGTCATCTCATTCACTGACCCTACCTCACCCTCTTGTAGGCCACATATACCCAATACTCTCGCCGTAAGTACGAGAACATTCTCTTGTGCAAGGAGTTCAGTCACTTGCTCGAAAGAAGTATCCCGAACGCTGTCGATATTTAAACCGAGCTCGGAGAACTGGTGCACGGCCTTCCTCTTCAGCACTCCTCTCCACCACCATTGGATCTTGGACACTGCAACATCCTCACTCATGAGAACGACATCACTCATGCTTGAAGATTCGTGCTCGTCCTCCTCTGGCAAACTGCTGGTATCAGACTTCTTAGTCATGATACTTTGACCTCTAGATCGTCTAGCAGCATGACGACTGCGTAGTTCTTCCCTCCTCTTTTCAGCCTCGGCTAATCGCTCCTCCATCTGAGCTTTAAGTTTACGCAACTCCTGCTCCCTCTTTTCTTTCATGCTTTCGGCCACTGCCTTAGCCCGCTTTACCTCTTCGGCGCACGCTGCGACAATTTCAGCCAGATTTTTTTCTCTGGCTTGAGCAGCAGCTAACGCCCGCTCTTCAATATTGGAGCTCTTCTGGGTGGCAGCCTTCGCAAGTGCTGCTCTTAGGCGCACCTTTTCGGCGTGCGCGGCCCTATCAGCCAAGCGCGCTTTCCGATCCTCCAGGATAGAAGCACGTCGCATTTGCTGGGCAATATACTTGCTCTGAGGACCGACATTATGAACGAAACCATGAGAGGACCGCGACTGCGCAGAAGAGATGGAGTTTCGACGCGACGAGGCAGCCGAATCTTTTCGACGATTTTGGGTAGGCCGGTAAAAACGTGCGGCAATGTGCGGAGGTGGGGTATATATTCTGGTGCTATCCTCCTCTGTCGTCATCAAAGCCATATCTAGATCGCAGTCCAGAGATGACGGGTCCGGAGTGCCTACAGATTCCTCGATGTTTCGAGATGGGTCGGATAGGTCTGCAGAAACGCGACGCATTGTGACTATGTCGGATTGGGGCGTACGTTATAAACGTACTGATCTAAGCCAATTCTAATGCAGGTAAGAAATAAGAGAAATGGCGCAACACAACAGAGCGATCTGCTTTTTCCTGCAACAAGGAGTTTGATACGCCTGGATCGCGGTGTGTCTTTGTATAATTCGTGTGAAATAACCGAGTCTTGTATTCTTGTCACTATCCGTTTGGCGTGGCGTTTCTCCAACCACGGCTCGGGCCAACAACAAAGTGACGCACTTCCACGGTACGCTACGGTAGGTAAAGTGGGAACGAATAGGATTGAAACGATGGTGGTTGCGGCCGCAAGAAGCGCAGGGAAAAGAATACGAATCCTACAGCGTAACTGGAAAAAGAAGATGAAGTGGAATGAGATAAGATGGAAGTAAATACAATGGTAAAAAAGCGAGCCGCAACGAGGGCGGAAAGTTGCAGAACTCGCACTGCAGGATCCCGAGTCAAACGGACAGAAAGGGAAGAATAAAAAAAAACAGAATAATAAACGAAAGAAGAAAACGCAGTAAGAAAAGAAAGTTGGCTAAGGTAATAAACTTTCTAAGCTGGGCTGGAAACGTCAAATGCAATTATGACAGATGAGATGACGGAAGGATTGCAATTGTGAGGCCAGTCGCCGCGTCTCAGGTCTAGCCCACCTCAGTGAAACATTAAATTGTAGGTACATTTGGCATGCTAGACAAACTTTGAACAGGCCTAGTAGCTGCCTAGCTGCCTAGCCGCTTAGTAGATGTAGGGTCCTAGACTGCTGCTGGAGCCCTGGGTATTGTACCTAGATTCCCATCCGTTTAGAAGGATAAGGTTTCTTACTAAATGTACCTAGTTAAATGTATTTATGTACATATGTACATGTGTACTCTCGTATTTTACATAACTTCCAAGTTGGTAAGCGAAGGACCGCTGTCTTCTTTCCGTTTCCATCCATTCCCTCGCCTTCCAGATTATCCAGTCCGCATCCGTTGAATTTCTCAAGTTGGAAGTTAGAACATCATCGTCAATATCACAGGGTCCCCAGGCGAAGGTCCATATGCACTTTACTAGCGTTGACCCGGTAAATGGGATTGGCATCTCATGAGATCCTCGTCTATATGTATTTCCGGCATCTTATGAACACGGCGCCAAGACATTCAACCTGGGCAGTCCGGCACTCCGGGTAGAGAGTCCCGAGACCTTTGGTGTCGCTCTCAACTACGCGCAATGAGAAGATTAAGATGCTATACAGGTAGAGTTTCAACATGATGCATTTACTTACAGTTACAATTGTAATGTTAGTATGTCGAACATTCGCAATGATTGGTCAGGATCGCCGGGTAGACAGGCAACAGATAGGTATCAGCTATGCCGGACATAATGCGGGTTGGTCACAAAAAGGACAGGCACAGCCCAACCAAACAATCACTTATATTGTAGCCTACCGGGTCGAACGATCAAATGAATTCTCACCATAATTTCTTGGCTCCAGACGATAGTTCTCTATCTAGAGTTCGATAATATCTTAAGTAACCTATTTTAAATATGCAGATTCCGATGCTAAAAGATCCAGCGAAGGCCCTATCACTGTTCGCAGGGCTCCAAAGGCCTCTGACCAGTGTACTTTCGGACGGGCTTTCAGGGGCACCGTCGCCATCGAAGATTATTCCCGGTGGTTCCCCTTTCAGTTTTTGCGAGGTCTCGCGGTCGACAGACCTCTTCCAGATTTCATCCGTTGAACTATCCGAGCAGCCTATCCACATGTACGTGATCGAGATTCGAAACACCTACCGATATATCCACTGACGATCGACAGCGACGACGTCTTCTTCGTCCATATTCACGGGAAGTTTCAAGAATCGTTCTCGGTAAATGCGACCTTCGAGCTCAGCGAAGGGTGCGGTCCTCACTGCGAAGAACACGGTATCCCGCCCGGTGAAAAACACGGGACATTGATATCGGCATCTTTTTGCAACATGAGCCTAGTTAAACAATCTTCAGATGGGAGGGGAAAGAACTATGAGACCTGCCCGCCTGAAAAGGGGGATGCCCTGGTCACTTCAATGGGATACGTACACCCTATGCTCTTCAGAACTCCTGTAAGCATCTTTCATTGCTCGCTCATCTTCATAGCTCATATATGACCACTGACAAGAGCAGGGCTGGCACAATTTTACCTTCGACGCAAAGACTGCTAACGGACAGAGAATTTACTGCCTAACGACCGAGATCTGTTTAAAATGGGAAGATGAAGACAAGAATAAAGAGTCATCTCTAACTCCTTGGACCGATTGTACATGGCCGCGTCCTCGAGTGGAACATCCCTTCAATTCGGATCTTTAAAACGCATGGTTTAAAGTCATACCATGGGTAATTGATTAAACCGAGCCTGGGCAAAAGGGGCTCAAGCTACTGCAAGTAAAGAAACTAAAAATAACATCGCGATGATCAGATCGGATTTCCCATCTGGCGCTATTCGACTTCATCTTAAATTACCAGGAGCACGATACCCGTTTACTCTACCCTGTCAGCCGTTCGCAACTTCGCATGCGTGCGACCACCCTAACCCATGACATGTTTATGAAACATTCAAGGATGACACGGATATCTGCTGCCTGTAGGTCTCAGTCGAATCTGCAGTCGGCCGAATACTTGGTATGACCTTGGCTGGAGAGGCTTAACGGCAGGTACTGAGGTCCGTATTATGATAATATGATAGATGATACGTCTAAAGTTTTCGAGTCTTGATTTGTTAAAAAGTTTAGCCTCGTAGGTACTCGATTAAGCATAGATTGTCTAGGTTGAATTGATCTGCGCTTAGTTTCTTTGTCTTGCTTAGATCGATCGACTCAATTGCAACCATGTGGCTCAAGACTCGAGACTCGAAACTCAAGAAAAAGATAAATCATGTTTATGATCTGGCATGTAAAGCCTCACTAAGATAAACAGGAAAGCCATAGGAATAAGCTTCCTCGTATAGCATGCTTATAAAGTCATTCTAAGAGGAAATGTAGGGACCGTGTACCTTTAAGTTCATCCAGCAATGATCAAGGTTTAAATATAAGGTGGACATGCTGATATGAGAAGACTAACTTCAAAGTCTTATATTGCCGGGGCAACCTCACAACTAGTGCATCATAAGTAAGATGCACGAACGAGATGACGGTTCGTAGTAGGTGATGCTACAAATATTGAGAAGTCATGTACGTACCTATGTGATAAATATAAGAGAGATCACTCGTCTATCCCCCGAGCGTCTGTAAGTTGAGGATATCCAACTAGCCCACACAGAATGTCTTGCCTTAACATCTGCGCCAATGGCCACGATAGCACGCGGGTCTTGGATGGGCACCGAATGTTGAGCCTAATATACCCGACCTCAATTAGATAAAGAAGAACCAGCTGTACTCCTAGTGAATATATCGATAACTATATTGGCAATACAATACAATGGTTATAGACAGCATAGCAGCTTATGATATAGCTTATGTATCGACTCCACTCCAATAGGAGCGAGGTAGTATGCTTCATTCACCAAAGATACCTAACTCATGTATAGCCCGTTACTCGCACTTGGCATCGAACTTTACCGAACACGATTGTCCTGCATGAGTTATGTGTGATCCCAACGATCTCTCAACCTTGTTGAATCTAACAGTCTAATAGACGTGGAGAGACGTGACAACGTGTGATGAGTGGGTCTGATGATACGATCAAAATCTGGTCCAAGAACGTCCCTCTTTGAGGCTTCAGGTGGTCCCGGGAGTGGAGGTTCCCATTCCAGAGATCCACGAAGGGATTCAAATAGTGGCCCCGGAGATAATCTCAGTACCCCTTCTAGCATTGCTCTGGTACCGATTCCAGAAGCTCTGACGATTGAAGGATATCATCACCTACTTGAATATAGGAGATTAGTTTAAACACAAAAACGAGATCGTCTCTATGTTGACTTATGTATCTCATGGGCGTGTGATTTATAACAAACATTCGAAGTAGAGTTAGACGTAGCTTGTGGCGACAATTGACGACATGCGGCTCTGAGTGGCCAAAGTTAATCTTGAATCTTGCGAGACTTCATAATTCCGACGCATTGGATAAGCAAGCAAGATGCCGTTAGTCTATGGGATGACCCAAGTGGTCGTATCCTTCTACCACGTGTGCTTACAGTCTGGGGAACACGAATGCCGCAGAACTATGGGGAGTTGGGTTGATTTAACAATGGCTGCCGTGGCCGTTCCTGTACTAGTCCGTTAGTATATGTAGCTGGGCGAGGAAAGCAAAAGGGGCTTGACGCCTCTCCGAGTGAAGAAGGGATAAGACAGCACGTTGTTAAATGATTGGCCAAAAATCGATCTTGAGGTCTGCATACCCGCGAATAACAAGGTAGCCGAGACATATGCCTTTTGCCTGTAAGTTATCGACATGGAATGTAGTTCCGTACTTGACACAATCATGTATGTCCACGATCGACGCATTTGTTCAACACCACGTCCCGTTCAAACTTATCAATTCTCCCGGATGCTGTGCCGTACTAGGTGCATGGCGTTGTGCCTGGCTGGGGAAACCACCTCGCTGGCATACAATGCCGAGTTACGTAGACGTACATCCATGTATGTAGGCTCATTCCATGGCTTCATGCGATATTTGCAATGATACCATGAGGCTTTCTCTCGATTCAGAGATTTATGCCAATGACTCAAAGTGAGGTGGCATGCAACGCCTTGGATCGAACCATTGGACAGTAAAATCAAGAGAAATCAGACATTTCAATGTGTAACCGCATTTCTGCTGTGACTCCGAGTCAGACTAGTCAGGAACACACGGGCCTTCGTGAAGCAAATCCCTCAGGTTGAACATGACGATGGCCTGTAAGAGGTGGAATGGCCACAACGTGTCTCGAATTCGTCAATTACCGAAGACGAAAATCAGTCACAGCGAGCCCAAGCCCTAAGAGTGATCTGGGCTCTCCGGTTCAAGCGGTCAGCGAAAAAAGTCGAGGACTAGGATTAAATGCCATATATTGCATCATCGTCTTTCATCGCGATGAAGGAGGTCTGGGTTATCTTGGGTATCAAGCGGTCAGTCGATAGCACTAAGATCTAAGCCTTGATTGGGCATTTTGAATAACCAAGCTTCAATACCATTGGTTGGTTATCTTGCTGATCCAATAGATAATAGGCGTGTTGCTCTAACGTTGTCAAGACGATTCCTAATGGAGCAGAGTCGTATTAGCGGAGGATGGCTTCGATAAGAAAATCGAAAATCTGGGAAAGCATCGTACACGACGTTAAGAGGATTGGAACATTTGAATGCTGTGGCAGCTGTGGAATTTTTGGAAGGTTAACGGCCATTGGTTAATTGGCACGTGGGCTGTCGGCATAGGATCATCATCGATATAGGAGACATCGCTTGTATACTTATTACGTCTTTTTAATTTAGAATACCTAATGAATACTTGGTATAGTATTGGCGATCTAAGTGCCATAGTGCCGAAGAGCCGTTGTATCTTTCTTGTCTCGGACTAAAATCGAATACTTGTACTCTACATGAAGGAGCATCATAAATAGAAAATGGGAAGGTCCATATTGTACTAGACTTCGATTAAAGCACCTGTAATCCGGGGCACCCCTCCCCTAAGAGATACACTAAGAAGTTGCTGGGAAGTCGCTAGGTAGTAGGTACCTGGCCAGGTTTAGGTACCGTAGGTAACGTTTTTGGGGAGTGATCTATTTCTCCACTTTGACCGAAACCGCCACCATAATTAAAGTTGTAGGGCTTGGGTCTTTGTACCTTTTCCATCATAATTCAACTCCCAAGGTCTCTAACACAGCACAGCTTCTAATCCGAATACCACCCGCTCAATTTTCTGCGAATCATTCCTCCCACATTGCCATGGTCATTCGTCAGATGTTTACCTCATGTCCAGTCCGTCTCGTAAGCCCGAAAATGCCGCATCTGCCGCACCGGTGAGCTCTCAAGGTGTGGCCGCTGGGAGTTCTAGTGCCAGTCCCGTCAGTGCTGCTGCTGCCGCCGCCACTGGGACAGCGATTCACAGCCCATCCTCCGATTCCCTCGATCTGACTGGCTCGTCCTCCATATCTGACCATGCATGGCCGTCTGCAAGTGTCTCGCCTGCTGTACCAGCACCCGTACCCGTACCCCCCGGTTCCCATGTGCCATCCACATCCACTCCTCAATCGTCCGCCGCTCTCAACCATGTCGACCAAAGCAATAAGAAATCACGTCCGCCCACTGCCCCCCAGAGACCCAATGGACCGTCTCTCCTTACACAAGCGCTGGCTTCTGCTCGTGGAATTCTACATTCACACGTTCCTATCTCCAATACGGACCAGCGACGTCCCGAGCAGAAGCCTGTACCTGTACCTGTGCCACCAAATGGAACGAACCGACCTAGCCAGCCTAAAAATCTGTATGAACCACACACCGGACACACGGTGACTGGACCTCAAAATGCCTTCTATGAACATAACGAACAAGGCGATCTGACGCCAACCGGCTATTTGCAATTTACCGAGGCCGCTAGAACGATATCCGCACCCTCGCTGTCTTCTATCACCTATCCAGGGGTTGATGGTCCTCCACCATTACCTGTTACGATGCCGGCCACTATAAGCACAACTTCGACATTCCTAGAACGCCGGGACTTTGAATTTGGAATTAGAAGTAGAGGACGATCGTTGGAACGGACAGAAAAGGAACTTCGCCTACGCTTGTCGAATCTCCCTAATGCGCATTCCGATAACGTCGGAGATACTTTATATTCCTCTGATATTACGGCTGCTAAGATGGCTCCATCTACCGACGACAATCCCGAACAGCTTTCCGACGCGCGGGTCCAGTACAGGGCGTGGAGGGTTGAACGCCCCCCTATCTCGATGGGTCCGGAGAAAGCATGGTCTATTGGTACCAATGACATAATCGGCCACCAAGATGGACAGGTCGAGAAATCTATTACAGAGGTTTTGGCGGGTGTCGAACCTACTCGCAGTCGGAAGGCAAGCCATAGCCTGCGCTTCTTCAAGGAAGGTCTCCCCGAGGAGAAAGGCCGGCGGAGAGAGTCAAAGTCTGGAGGTCATCAACGGGAAAAGCAACTACTTTCCAAGGGCTTGCAGTTGGACTTGCTTCGCGAGAATCAACTGGACGAAAATGCTGTTTTCCAGAATCTTACACCATCACCTCAATCTATTGAAGGCGAACAATCACCTTCTCGTTTATCGAGCGTGCAGTCTTTTCCTTGGGGCACTGCTGACCTCGAATCTATCCCCCCTAAGGCAGTCCAACTAGATTATTTTGGCCTACAGAAACCATCAAAACATAGTGCCGATCCCATTAAGACAGTATCTCCTCGAGAACAACTTGCAAATGCTGGAATTTACAGCGAGCCCAATGGCTCTGCTGTAGTGTCTGACGAGGACGTGACACAGATTGGCAGGGAGTCAAGTGATGTAACGGAGGTTGGTGAGCCAACCGAGGAGGGTGACGAATCATCCGAGGAGAAAATATCGTCCGCTGTATTTCTTCCGCATCAGGGCCTGGAGCAATCACCAGAGAACGGGTGTATTATACCCGAAGAATTCAAAGTTTCGCAGTCAACCTCTCGCAAACCCCACAGCGAGGATTTCCATCCTTGGTTGGTAAAGGCAGATGAACCCGAAGCTGATGTTGGAGCAAGGGCTGAAGGACCTGACAGTGGTAATGTTGACCGTAAGAATGACACAGCCCTATATGTTGAAGAGTGTCCACGAATAGATGATGAATGTGCTATCGAGGATGAGGTCGAGTTTCCCCAGAAATCTAGTGATATATCTGCAAGGTCGTCCCGGCCGGTTTCTCAGTATTACGAGGATATGGTCCATGATCATCAACTTGGACCAAAGATGCCCCTCGATGCAATTGAACTTATACCCTATAAACACCAGGTTGGTGGTCATACGACCATTTGGAGGTTTTCCAAGAGAGCTGTCTGCAAGCAATTAAACAACCGAGAGAACGAGTTTTATGAAAAAATAGAAAGATATCATCGTGACCTTTTACCTTTCTTGCCCAGGTGCGTTATTGTCACGTCCCATTCTCTACACCTGATCTCTCAGATGGTTTGAATGGGAGATATATTTAGCATATTACGGGGAAAGCTAACATTTTATTAGGTACATTGGTGTTCTCAACGTCACATTTCAGAAGCAGCCACGACGAAAATCAACGATCAGAAAGGATGATAGCTACACATCTGAGAAGAAGGGAAGGGAGCAGGATAGCCAAGTAAATGGCAATAACGGAGTATCCCTAGGGCTTCCACAGGTTTTTGATATTTCGGATAAAGAGGATCAGCGCCACCATCGCAGAATAGTGAGCCAATCCTTACAATCATCACACACCCCGATTCCCACAGTTACCTTTGTCGACAACCGTCATATACTTCCTCGAAGTTTGCTGCGGCCCACTGTGTCAGTCAGTGGTGATAACCGTCCATGGAGTGCATCTGCCGCAGTGAACCCTCAGTTTTTACGTGACCACAGTACTCAGACGTCCAGCGAGGACACGGCGGTATCAAATCGGCCAGTTTTGGAGGATCGACACGCCAATAGCTGGGGCGCTACAACTGTCAATAAGAGACTGCGGAACGAGGTTTTTAACGATGCTTTTCTAAAGCAGCCCATCGCAGTACATAAGCATCGGAGGCCAGCATCCCAGCAACGATCAATTCCTCGTCGTCCAGTACAGCAACCGAACCGACCTACAAGCTCGGAGAGCGCTTTGCTAGATCGAAAAATGGTCGATGACAGCGAGAGACAGGCTTATGAGTCAAGTTTCCTAAAGGCACCACCACGTCTTCTACAAAGTCATAGTGACTTAAGTACAGACTCGAGTTGTCTAAGGCTTGAAGGACTAGACCATGTGAAAGATGTCACGGGTACTAGTGCGCCGGAGCCCGAAATCCTATCCGAGAAATTTCCTCACCAGAACCGAAGACGGCGCAATTCGGGGAGCAAACTTCGGCGAAGGCCACAAGATGTTACGGAATCCCGCGGTAATCTCAAGTATTTCGAGGACCTGGATGAAGTCGAATATAAGAGGGATAATGAGTCACATACAGGGTTACACACACTTGTCCACGTAGAAAATGGGCACAAACAAGACGCCGAAGTTGTTGAGAATGGATTTGTAGATAATCCCATACCCCAGTCATACTTCTCATCCACGGTACCATCAGAACTTCCAAGTCCGACGACGGAATTCAAGAAAATCTCACGACCAGTCAACCCCAAAGAGGCCCAGACCCAGCGTGATTCGAGAGTTGAATACTTTCTACTTTTGGAAGATCTCACCGCTGGCATGAAACGACCTTGTATAATGGACCTGAAGATGGGCACTCGGCAATACGGTGTAGAGGCCGGTCCGGGGAAACGAGAATCGCAACAGCGCAAATGCGCCGTCACAACGTCGAGGGACCACGGTGTAAGAGTTTGCGGACTACAGTCCTGGGATGCCAAGTCCCAGACCTACATTTTCAAGGACAAATACTATGGACGAAACCTGAAGGCTGGCTCCGAGTTCCAGGATGCTTTAACCATGTTTCTCTACGACGGCGTGGACTATACAAGCGTTCTACGGCATATCCCGACGATTCTGCAGAAATTAAACCAACTCGAAATGACTATTCGTAGGCTGCGCGGTTATCGATTCTACGCGGCCAGCCTCCTAATGTTCTACGATGCCGATGACTCCGACGAGGGTTACGATACAGCGGCCGATGACTCTACAACCGACTTCGCGACAGATGCTGAGGACGCATGGGAGGCCAGAAAGCGTCGGAGAAATAAGAAAGAGATCGATTTCAAGATGGCCGACTTTGCTAATAGCGTGACGGCGGGAGACTTGGCTGAAGATAAGCCTTGTCCGCCGAAGTATCCAGATGAGCCGGACCGTGGTTTCCTTCGTGGTCTCGCAACTCTGAGGAAGTACTTCTTGAAGATACAGAAGGATGTACGCAACGAACTAGGATTGATTCCCCCACGCAGACAGGAAGATGATGGAAGTGAAGTGGAAAGGAGTGAAGAGGGATGGGGTTCTGTCAGCGATTGAGAGTTATAACTCCTTATTACTAACGATTTTGCACAGTTCGCTAGCACTAATCCCAGCGGCTAAGCAACCTTATACTACGTTTTGATTCATTGTTCATAGTTCTCGGGTTAGGTTCCCCAAAATGGCGCACGGGTGTGTCAAGCTGCTAGTCCACGGACAGGAGCTTCTTTTTTTGGTCGGGCTAAGGGTATGGTCATGACGTTTTCTTATTTTAATTTATCGTTTTAACATACCCGCATGTTTGGGGCGTCTCGAGATTGTCGGTTGCTACGGGAAAAAAAGACGAAATAGCTCATAGTATGGAGAAGAAGAGCTTGCGATGTTGATTCGTAGCCGTTGTTGCTACTTGAGAAAATGGACTGATATGGAGCGAGTTGGTGGGCTGGCATAAGAGATAGTTGATATTAGAATGAGATGAAGCTAGTCAGCCGTATTGGACTATTTGCGCATATGGTTATGTGATTAAGATTGGTGCATGTTTACCAGGAGGTTTGCCCTTGCTATGAACTATAATGTTTCGTATGACTTTTCCATCGCGATATCTTAGGGACATGATCATGTAACTGAACTAGGGGTGCTCACATGTAAGGAACTGCCTACTTAGGTACCGACAGCGACGCACCTCCCCTCTATGCCGGTACCTATGCATGACACTGCGGGGCTGTCCAGTGGATAATTAGCGGGGCATAGGGCTGAAGGGGGGGACATTAAGCTTCGGGGGTTTAGCTAAAATTAACGCCCGGAGCCGCAACCTGTCCTTAACACCCACTAAACTTCAACACCCAAGGGCATGGATACATCTGTCAACCACCTCCCGACATGACAGAAAAGACCCGGGAGGATAGCAAGACTATCGTCTTCTTGCACCCCGACCTGGGAATAGGCGGGGCCGAGAGATTGGTCGTTGACGCCGCTGTTGGATTGCAGAATCGTGGACACAAAGTCGTTATATTCACCAGCCACTGCGATCCGAAACATTGCTTCGACGAGGCGAGAGATGGTACGTCTACCCCCCAAACTCACCCCAATCGCACAGCATTCTCTCTCTGACTCTTATCCTAACAATCCAAAAACAACAGGAACCCTCGACGTCCGCGTCCGCGGCAACACCCTAATCCCTCCCTCCCTCCTCTCGCGCTTCAGCATCCTCTGCTCCATCCTGCGACAACTCCACCTCATCGTACAGATCTCCCTAACCTCCGAGTTGCAAGCCCTAAACCCCACCGCCTTCTTCGTCGACCAACTCAGCGCCGGCGTTCCTCTCCTCCAACTCCTGCACCCGCAAGCGCGCGTGCTCTTCTACTGCCACTTCCCGGACCTGCTGCTCGCGCAGGGCCGACAGAGGTGGTGGAAGCACGCGTACCGCGTCCCGTTCGATGCGTGGGAGCAGTGGAGCATGAGTTTCGCCGACGCTATCGCCGTCAACTCGAAGTTCACGAAGGGCGTTGTAGGACGCACTTGGCCCGCGCTGGTCGCCCGGAAGGAGCTGGACGTGGTGTACCCCTGCGTCGACACCGCTACGAGGGAGAAGAGCGAGGCTGGGCGGCCGTTGTGGAGGGGGAAGAGGTTTCTGTTGAGTATTAACCGGTTTGAACGGAAGAAGGATATCGCGCTGGCTATTAAGGCGTTTGCGGGGTTGAGCGCGCAGGCGAGGAGGGGGGTGAGGTTGGTTGTGGCCGGGGGGTATGATCCTCGGGTTTCGGAGAACGTGGGGTATCATACTGAGCTGGTGGATTTAACTGAAGGGTTGGGGTTGAGTGCTATGACGACCAAGACGCATCTTACTGCGCTGGAAGTCCCTGATGATGTCGAGGTCCTCTTTTTGCACTCTGTGCCGAATTTATTGAAGGAGACGCTGCTTTCTTCGGCGAGGCTTCTGGTTTATACCCCCGCGAACGAACACTTTGGCATTGTGCCTCTGGAGGCTATGCTTGCTGGTGTTCCGGTTCTAGCGGCGGATACGGGTGGGCCTACGGAGACGGTGGTCGAGGGGAAGACGGGGTGGTTGCGATCTCCGGATAAGGTGAATGAATGGACGGAGGTCATGGATAAAGTACTAAATCACATATCCGAGGATGAGTTTGCGGCGATGTCGAAAGCTGGGATCGCGAGGGTTAAAGAAAATTTCGGCGAAGCGCAGATGGCAGAGCGGTTAGACTCAATTGTAGTACAGGCCTTGCGCGAGCCTAAGACGTGGTCGTGGACGCCGACGGTGGCGCTTATGCTAGGGGCTTTAGGCGCTGTAGGTGCTGTGCTAGCGGTGGTTGGTAGTTTACTGCTGCAGAACAAGGAGTAGAGGGTAGGCAAAGCTACATTTCGCGGCATACTTAAGAAGCATGCTGCATTTCATTGTATTATACCTAGTTAAATGCGATGGATACCCTTAATTAAACCCATTATTACTTATTTCTAAGTAGATGGCTCAATGTGACCAGCGGTAGATAATGCACTTTGCTTAGTCTTTTCAGTTAAGGCCTCACGCATAGCCGAGAGGTCACAATTGAAGCAATTCCAAATACCTACGTGCTCCTACTTCTACAATATTATACACCACGTAACACGGCAATTTCACTAACTAGAACTCATGTACAGCAGTTAGAAGCAATAAAAGTCTTGTCTTTCTCATACAATAAACTAACAACACACGACACATCAACATGGCATGTATCCCAGCACATCACAGTGCCCACCGAGCCCTCCAAACCGGTCCGGGTCTCTGTTTCTCCCTCTCTGCCAGCTGCCGACGTGTCGATTATAAAACCCCCCCCCCTCCCTTTTCCCCTCCTCCTTCCCCCGAGAATGTGAGATCGTCAGGAACACCGTGGTATGGTCGATTGGTGATGAGATCCGACCCGCGTCGAATAGTAGGCGGCGAAGACGATAGGTAGGTCGGAGAAGAATTGACGGGAAGAGGAAACAATATGAAATGTATAGTGTGTGATCTGATCTACTTAGGTACCTAAGTAGTATCAAGCGAATTGCGATGACACGGTAAGCTCTGGAGCATGGTGTATCATCGGATGAATGTGTGGTATCGGATCGAGAGATAACAACATTCGTACAAGTAGTTACCGAAAGCAGGTAGGGTCAAGGGCTAGAATTATAACTTGACCCAGGAATTGTACCACAATGATGCGTAGTATAGACTCATGACGTCGGGGGCTGTCCTCCCATTGATCCACCCCTTCCTCGTGCATTACTACCCCCACGAGGAAACCGTGCCGGCAGATATAACGGGGTCACCTACCTCCCATATCTGTCCGGCGGCGGCGGGCGATCATAGAGACTAGGATGTCTGTCCTGGGGTCGCAATTGTTGCTGCAGGATCGACTGTTGCTGTTCGCGCATTTGTGCCTCGCGGAGGTCTTGAGCAGAAGGTGGGTAACCTCTGCTGTCGTACGGACTAGGGGTATAGCTTCGCGGCGGTCCGGGATCGCGAGGGTCTCGTCCGGGCACTGGCGTACTCGCGTACCTAGGATATGCAGCCGGGGCTTGCGGAGGAGGCGGCTCAGGAGCTCTCGTAACAGGCGCATATTGCTGTATAGGAGCTCGCATGCTATGCGGCGGATAGACATCTCGAACGTCGCGAAGAGCCATGGGATCCATACCTCTTGACGGAGCTGAAGCCCAAGAAGGCTGTGGTGGAACAGAGCTACTAGGCGGCGGAGGTTTCGGCGTCGGTTGCTGTGCAGCCCAGGCTGATTGCGCCGGCGGGGGTTGTGTAGACTTAGGAGGTTGCGGAGGATGCGATGCCCAGGCCGACTGATGCTGTGGGGGTGGCTGTTGTGGCTGCTGATGCGGTTGTTGGTGCGGCTGCTGGTGCGGCTGATGCTGCTGTTGTAGCGGGTGGCCCTGATGTGGACCAGGCCAACCAAGATCTCGGCTAGACTGAGGTTCGTGGCCTCGGGGAGCAGAGTGACCCCCGTATTGGGGTGGGGGCGACGCTACATTCGGTGGTTGAACTTGTGCACCGTAAGGATATGAGGGTTGGGTTTGGTAGGCTACCTGAGACGGCTGATTGGGAGGTGGGTAATGATGCGCACTCTGGGGCGAACCTGCTGCCGGAGATTGATGCGCAGAGGGATAGGAGCGTGGTCGACCCCCATAATACTCTCGTTCTGCTGCTGCATCCAATGGCATATGTCGGGGAGCATTTAAAGGTTGCGCCTGGGGCGATGCAGCTGCGTATGGTTTAAGCTGCGGCATTGCAGATGGTACTGCAGAAGGGTTTCGGCTGTACCCGTAGGACTGAGCATCTTGCATAGGTGGCTCTCTTCGAATGTGGGATGGCGGCGGTGGAGGAGGTGGAGGACGGGAGAGATTAGATTGAGGCGGTGGCGTTGAAGACGGCTTCGCAGCCACAGGTACTTCCGCAACCCTCTTTGGAGGAGGGGGTGGTGGCGTAGGCGTGTCGTCATTCAAAAGCGCCATCAAATTGGAGGTCTTTCGCTCCGGAGGACGGGCTGGCGCAGAAGCGACGGCAGGCGGTGTTTGCTGCGCCGGTGGAGCACTAAACGGTTCCGCTCCGCCACCAGCACCAGATGCCGGTCTGGATAATGTAGAAATCAGACGAGGTCGAGCCGGTGGAGACGGGTTTCCCTCCTGCAATACATTTCTACCATGTTGCTGAAGAATGGTCGCAAACGAGCCCTGTGGGGGTCCTTGCGGAGCTGGCGCCACCGCTCGAGGGGGGTCGGGCGGACGTGAGAGCGGTACACTCTCCGGACGAGACGATGTCATACGGGCAGTCTGAGCTTGGGGAACAAAGTGATCGTATTGATGAATAAGATCTGGCTCTTGCTTGACGCGCAGCTGTTGACGAGGCTGTTCCTTAGGAACTTTAGGCTCTACTCTAGGACGTTCTGAATGAGGCTCCATCAATGATCCAGGCAAAGGATGTCTCCCCATGGGAGCTTCGGATACTGGTGGCTGTCCAGCCGGAGCAGTCTTCTGTCCTAACGGAACGCGAACGGGCTGTTGAGCGGGTAGTTCGCGTTCTCTGTCGGTGAGGGAGAACGGAGCTCTCATAGGCCGAGGAGACATAGTCTGAGTGACTGGTTGGGCAAGAGGTTGCGATCCGGGCGGGGTAGCTCCGTGGCTTTGGATCAGCGGAGACTGAGTTGCTGGCACGAATGGGGACTGAATAAGCGTAGGTTGCGGTTGAGCTGCTATTGGGACGTTGAACCGACCCGACGTCGGCTGTGAGACCTGGGGATGCTCAAGCTTAGGCACAGGGCTATCTTCCATGACTGCATCTGCAGCCGCGAGTGGTCGATTGCTCGATGTTTCATATCGCTTTTTGACGCCGGAACTGGGTGCCGGGGGTGCCGGTCTTTTCTCGCCCCTGGCTTTCCTGGAATCCGCTTCCTCGACTATGATCTGCCAGTCATTGGCATCCTTCTTACGGGTGTAGTAGTTTTTGATCTGTTCAAGTTTAGTAAGCGTAACAATATGCAAGGATTATACTGGGATTTAATTGTGATACTCACCATAATCGGAGTCTTCGTTCGCATGTGTGTCGCAATCGCCGCCCAATCGCTTCCAAAGGAACGAAGTAATTGGGGGAAATCATTCGCCTCGGGTACACTCCAATAACTAGATGCCTGCGTGCCGGATCTGCGGTCTGACGCTGCCGGTTGGCTCATATCAAGCATTGCGACAGGAGGTTGTTGGGGGGGCTCTGGGCGCAACGGTGGAGGGCCCATTGTGTCGACAGACATCGGGACGGCGGGTGGAGGAGGTGGAGGCGGAGGAACTCCTCTCTCAGGACTAAGAATCGGCTGCGCCGGAGGGAATGGTGCAGAGATAGCAACAGGCGTGGCGGCCGATGTGCTTGGAGCTAGTTCGTATTGAGCCGGGGTTCTAGAGGCCTCGTTCGGTGTTTGCGGTGGTGCCCACTCCGGACCATGAACACGAGAACTAGATCGCGAACGGTTACCCTTAGTTCCCGTAGGCGGTGCCGCGGCCAAAGTCTGGTTGACACGAGGCTGTTTCGGTTCCTTATCCTTAGCAGCTCGGCGCCCTCTAGGCTTGCGTTCCGGCTTTTCGGCACTTCCGTCTCCCTTCGCACCTCTTCGTCCGGGTGTACCAGATGGCGTTCCACTTTCGCCATCAGTTGCTGGAGTAGCTTCCGAGTTGAAAGTAGGGGCGGCCGCACGCCTAGGTCGACGCCTCTCGCCGTTTTCACCCGTCTCCTGGTTCTCCTCATTCTCATTTTCGCCGTTTCCAAGTTCCGACACCAGTGCACTAGATCGTTGCTTGCCGCGTCCACCCTTCTTACGTTGTCTTGGACGCTTCTTAAGCTTCTCCTTCAGGTTGAGCGCCTCCTTCTCTTTCTTGAGGTAATAGAACTGGATGCTGGTTCCAAAGTCTCTTTCAGCTAACGGTTCAGAAACACGACCCCATTGCTTGGGATATTCGAGATACGCCTTCTCGAACGTTGCCGTTTCTTCCTGCGTGAAATTGTCCACCGGGGGCAGGAGTTCCCAAGCTGCCACAATTTTCTCGGGTTGGATAAAACCTGTCACGTCCCGATAGAATTCCCTTTCTCGCTCTTCTGGTAGTTGATATTGACGAGGCAACACAGCTTCCTTCTCGGTTCTATATCGCTCCCTCTCCGCCTGCATTTGGCGTTCTCTCTTTTCATCCTCGACACGGCGCGACTCCTCCAAAATCCTCTCTAAATCTCGTTCTGATGCATACCTACTACGTCTTGTTCCCTCTGGCCTAGATTCATGGAAGCCAGGTCTATGGCCATTAGTTTCGGCTCCAGGGACATGCGCAAACTTCTCTCGACTTTTGACAGCGACGGGATCGTTGGACATGGTAAAGCGTAGGTAACGATCGTAGTTAGTATCGTAAAGCTCCTGTCCCCGTCTCTCCTCAGCCTTCCGAACTGTTGCTTCTTCACCCAGCCTCTGTAGAATAAAGGCTTCTAGGCCCAGCTGCGGAGTATCCATCGATTTAAGAAAAGCCTGGTCCTTATACCATGGCTTTTCATCATCAAAGTGAGGTAGGCTTTCTATCGGAGGAGTAAGCATATGTGGGCGGATATTCTCGATGGTTTGATAATCCACGTCATCGATATCTGTTTCATCTTCGTCCTCTACTGGAGATGGTGTGTTCGAGCCTCCTTTGCTAATATCTTGTGATTGTGTATGCGTTGCTTCAAATGGTCCATCAATAGACTGTCTGTGGGAGGTTGATAACTGGGTATGTCGCGGTCCTTGTGCCTCAGAATCAGGCTGGCTAATATCTTGTGCGTCTTCCATTGTGACATCTCTATCATCATCCTTTAGTTTATTTTCACCAAGCGGTGCTTCGGGAGATGCAGGTATATCCATGTCTTGCTCAATGGATGGTTGCGGATGTTCTGCACTTGAACTTCTTGTGTGTAAAGGTGAGGTTTCTTTTTCTAGAGAGGGGGAGGGAGTTTTGTTTTTAATAACTTCCCGGGTATCATTAGTTTCCTTGACATCGTCAAGAACTTTGGTTGCCTCCGTACTCGGTGCCCTCTCGGGCTCAGGTTCGACTTCTGGAGGGTTTTCCCCAGGTAAAGACACATCCTCCGGCACAGGACCGACCATATCCTCCAAGCCCTCGGGTTCGCTTAAAATCTTACCAACAGCCTCTAGTGATACTATTGCATGTCGTACTATAGCATCCATTGGTACTTCATCGATCCCCTCAAGCTGCTTTAATTTCAACTCGACCTCTTTCATTTGTGATTCAATCACATCACCCATTTCCTCATCATCTGATTCCGACGATTGATCCAAGATGGGGAGCTTTGCTTCTTTCTTAGGGAGCGAAACACGTTTCGGTAACACTTTTAAAGTAGGGCGTCGGCGCTCTTGTGTTTTCGTCTCGTTGACCACCGGCGAGGCCTCCGGTTCGACAATGGGGTTCTCTTGGGCGGTATCGTCAACACGCGCCACTTCACCATCCTCCTCTTTAACTGTTGCACTAGATGCATTATCCTGGGGTTTATGTTCATGATCTGTTGACGATCTAGCTGATTGTGGACGATGGTCTGATTTTGTAGGCTCTTGGTCCAAATCGACAGTTTGTGTATCCTTAAGCTGTTTATCTACCTGTGGATCAGCTTTAGTATCACTACTGGGTGGTCTTTGATCACCATCTACTGGTTGATCACTATGCGCACCATCTGGACGAGGACCAGAAGGCCGGGGTTGAGCAAGACTCTGGGATCTATTCAACTTCGGTGATTCGGGGACACGCTTTATGTTGGGGTTAATCCATTGCTTGCTAGAAGGACCTGGGCGGTTTATTGTGGAAGATCGCGGACCGGAAGGGATTGTAGACTGCCCTATATCTAGGTAGGGTCTAGAAGGTCCTATAGGCGGCATTCTAGCATCCGCATTCAGTGTAGAGCCAGAAGGAGCAGGGCGCTCATCCTTAAGCGCTCTAGGCCCTGTTGGTGGTGCTTTGCCCGTAGCCAAGCCAACATCGGTTGCCGGAGTTCTGTTAGGAACCGATCCAAAGGATGGTGCGGCTGGGGCCACGGGGGGCGGCGACACGTCCTTGGCAGGTAGTGGGGGTGGTTCATGTGAAGCTCGCTCGAGTTTTGGTCGAACCTCGCGGTCCCGCACATCGCGATCGTCTCGATGATCGCGGGGGCGCAAATCAGGATCGGGGTATCTAATGTCGCGGTCACGGTCATCACGGTCTCGGTACCGTCCTTCTTGGGAACGAGCCCTGTAGGCCGAGCCGTATCTGTCGCGATCCTCGTAGTAGCCTCGTCCACGGCCTCTGTCTCCCCAATCGCCGCGACCTCTGCCACGGCCTCGGTTACTATAGCTACCACGATATGAAGGGCCAAAGGGAGGGTCGGAGGAAGATGAGCCAGCAGACAAGGGTCCATCTCTTGATCCACGCCGGGCTCGCTCTGCATCGACGCCTAACGGAGGATCTCGCATATCCCTCAAATCGCGAAAATCTCTTTGGGGAGGTGATCGTCCGCGAGGCGACGGGCGTCGTCCTCTGAAGCTGTCTCGTTCACGATCCCGCCAATCTCCGCGGTCGCGTTCTCGACTGCGCTCATCTCGGTAAGAATTATCTCTTCGATCTCGGAAATCACTATCTCGATCTCTTCCGCGGTCTCGGCTGTCGTCTCGCCAGCCTCTTCCTCGCCCACCACGACCTCTGCCACGGAATTCTCCAGAATATCCACCCCCGCGAGGTCCGCTAGGGGCATCAAGTAGAGCTTTCGGGCCCCTCGGGGGTTCCCTTGACAGGTTGTCGCGAAATGAGTCCCGGTTAGCTTGGAATGCCGAGCTATTCGATCGAGATTCTGCGGAAGCACGCCGCGGGCCGCCATCACTATATAGCGATCTCCGATCTGGCGAACGATCTCGAGATCTAGAACGACGCGACTCGCCATCGTATCGCGATCCGCTATAGCGAGAAGCCCTACAAGAAGCAAAATAGATAAGTAGGACGTAAAATAATTAGGACCAATCCTATACAGAACGACAATTACATCCAGTGTAAGGTAAGATTTCATCTAATGAATTCTTTGTATTACAAAGCATTGACGCAATATGACGGTTACTAAATCGCCATGACTTTAACGGTGATAGTCTCCCAGCAAACTTTCTGGTGGTAGTAATGATGATTTCAAGGGTTAGTTTAGGAAGAAATTTAACTTACATAACGGGCACGGAGGGCAAAAGGAGCCCGCCTATCAATATTCAGCCTATGATGTTCTCATGGAATCAATGAATGACTATCGTAGGCGTGAAACTTCTAGTCAGCTGAGTTTGTTGGGCAAGATAGGATTCGTATTAAGTTGCGGCAGGACGGTAATGAGTGAGAAGTAAGGCGCCACACGTCAAAGTGTCTTTTGTTCAAATATATAACCGTTTCGACGGTTTAAAGGTCTCAAAATACCACCAAATAAAAGTCGCAGTATCAAATTTTACCTCCTAGTAAATGCGCGGGTATTAGGAAGCTAGAAAGACTACTACGTGATAGGGTAATTGAAGATGGTAGAAGTTTGAAGAGGCTGAAATTGGAGATCTTGAAAACACAGACTTTCGCGTGGCGCCCGGTGCTCAGTCGAGATGACTAGAGTCCAAGATAGGTTAGATCCAAACTAAACCCGACAAGGATCAAAACGCCGGAGACCAGAAGCCGCTAGTCTATTAAAACCTTGAAGATGCTAGGCTCCATCAGACCCATCAATTTCTCGAAGTCACCCCCCTGTAATTGCCATTTTCATAGGTCCAATCACCTGTTCGTACCTTCACTGTCCTTAAGGATCCACATAATTTGAGACTGCCAACTGCGGACATGCATGATCAGGTCAAGTTTATCTGTGGGACGAAGATCCGCTGCGTGTAACTTCCTCATACAGTCAGCCTACAAGCCTACCGACGCCAATTGCAAATGAAAAATAGAGCAAAATCACTCGTATAAAAGACACGATACTTGCACGGACGTCATTAATGGATAACCAATAATCGAAAGCATGAAATATGGATATCCTTCATAGTTAATGTTTAGAGCAAATTTCAACGATGATCTTTGAAAAGAACGGTACGCTAGGGATACCCTTAAAAAAGTGTACGTATACCGGTAATAAACTCGCGGAGCATCGGGTTGCACAATGTATATCATCATGCGCTAAACTCCTTCGAGCTACGGCTGTGCCTTTATGTACAGGTACGTACTGATACGTACTTCATGTACCGCACATCCATGGCGTGGGGCTGGATGACAAGGACGACTCAAGGGAGCCAAGGTAGCTTTGGTAACGTTTATCATGCAGACAACGTCCCAATATGATCTACAAATGCAACTACAGCTTTGTGTATTGTACGTATGTAGTTGTCACTATTGTACAGATCTGTACTTAATGCAGCGTTGAAAACAAAAGCGAACACATATCCCTTTTTCTTGCCGACGATTTGGTTGGACCTAATAGGTCTTGCAAGTACGAGAGGAAAAACAATCATCCATTCCATAATCTATTCCATGATCCATTGCTCGAACTCCCCAGAATGCCTTAACCTCCTTGAATACCCGTTGGTTTTCATGCATACATAACGCCGTAGACTACCATGATGAATTATAAGATGCCTTTTACATTGCTTATTAGAGACCCCTCTCCATCCTCCTGGACGACGAGGTGATGGCAAAGGCCCGTTCAAATGGATGCTAAGGTTGTGAACTTCCTGCCTATCCACCCCCTTAATATCTCTGTTGGAGTTCCTCACTTCTTTCTAGTACGTCGAGCTGGTCTGTGGCCTTCTTCATCTACCATTGCCTCCCAGTTCTTCCCAAGAGAGGATTCAAGGCTCTCCAGTCCAGTACGGCGTCGCTTAGGCTTCGTGCCAGCCTGGGTTGGTGACGGGTTTTCTGGTGATTGTGCGGACAATTGAGTCTGTGCAATCGCCGTAAGGGATGCCGCAGCTTCATCATCGGCGCTAGGTACATACTCATCGCTATCGGCAGCTGGCTCGACATGATGGGCACCTTTTCTCGAATCATTCTTAGGTGTTGTTCGGCTTCGCTCTGTATGGCTTCTCTTCTTGGCCGGCGTGGTGGACGGAACACCTTCATCTTCGTCACTGCTGTTGCCAAGTAGTCGGAATGGTTGCTTGCCCATCTTCTCGATGAACTGTTCGCCCTTGGCAAGCTGTGTCCAAGACTTTTCAGCTTCTTCGTTTTGCTCGCGATTCATCTCGGTCATGAACTTATTAATGTAGTCATCCCACACTTCTTTCGAGGCGTCCTTGGCGGGGCGGCCTCCGACTACGCGGTCGATGCTGGCGATGTACCTCCTAACTGAGGGTGGTGTAGGGCGCCGTGCTTGCTCTGCACCAGTACCTTGTTGATTCATGGTCTCTGTCGAGGTTTCCAGCCTTGGCCTTTGAAATATCGTTAGTTTATTGAGTTCTTCAATGAGGAAGCAATTGCTGAAGATAAATTGAAAATTAGGGTTGAGGGATTTGCTGACGGGTGTAGGGAATTGTACGTTGTCGGAGTGTGTGATAATTATTAGAGTGCGAGGGAGGGGAGATGTTTCAATAAACAGTCTAGTAAGAGGAAACTATACTGGACGTTATTTCCTCTTGACAAATAAAGATGACGTATCGAAACTTCCAATTTCAGATTTAGGTGTGGGTAGCACTGTTGAAAGGGGAAGTCACAAGACTGATACTTACAATTTACGGCTCTCTTCTTCCTCTTTAATAGTTGCTAAAATTTCCGCCAGCTCGAAATCATCTGCGTCAAAACTCTGACTCAATCTTCCTTCTTGTGACAAGAGCTGTGTGGGCTGTGATGGTCTCAATGGGGGCAGGGTGACGCTGGTAGTACGCAACGGCAGCTCGCGGGTTTGGGGACTGGAAGCTAGCGCACTAGCCATCGGATTTGAAGACGACATGTTTGGCAGATGTGTTGATTCTGGTGAGCTAATGACTGAGCGAATGAGGGACTTTGGGCGAACCGTGGTGACCTGGGGCGGGCTTGAATTAATTCCAGCAATTGTCGGGTTGTTGTCATGCTTGTTTAAGACGGTATCAAAAAAGGACGAACCCATTTTTGGGAGAGCGGCTATCATGTGAATAGATGGTTGCTGGAAATGGGTGACGGCCTAGAACGAATAAAGAAATACGTTGAGTCACCCAAATGGCCAGTATAAAATATAAAATATGTATGTTACGTAGGTACGAAGTAGGAGGAAAAGCACTGAGTGTTTTCAGGGAGGTAGCCGGCACTCTTAGGTGAAAAGAAGTCCAACTCTGGGTTGATAGACGGAGACCTAGCCTTGATTTTGTGATGAGTTGAACGCTTTTGAAATAACGCATCACTAACCACGACAATGCAACTTTGAGCTACACAACCATGATTATAGGAATAAAGCGTGCTTCCTAACAACAATAGATATTGCTCTGAAGGGTACTATTGATGTTCTAGCAGTCTATAATTCCAGGCGTTACTGTTAGAAGGAGTTAGCATCCTGTATATTAGCAAGGGGTAGGGGATTTTACATTCACGACTCTATTTTCTTATGCTATTAGATTTGTGCTAGAACAAAACTATTGGATTAGGAATACCTTATTCGTAGTTATAGACATCTTCAATGCTTATGTAGGATGCTTAGGTGGTTGTCTTATTTGTCTGTGTCTCCGTAGAGTTTGGATAGCCTCTAGGAAAAAAGGGGACGTGCCCCATGCAGCTGTCAGATAAACTTTATAACTCTATGCTAAATGTGGTCTCCATCTATCCATCTTTGGCAAAAGTGCTAGCTACAATGAAGGGGAAGCAAGCAGATGCCTCAAGGTAAACCTAGAACAGGTGTGAGTTTGGTATCAACAGGGGCATATTGGATAAGATGATTTGTGCCTCCTTACCTTAACATGGTCGGCTCCAACCTTAATCTTTCCCCAAGATACCGCTTCATCTGGTCGTGCACCAGCATCACTGCCATCGAACTCCTGGGCGGTGTTGATGTAGACAGCAGACTCAGCACCATTCCTCATCAGGCAGGCGTTGGCAATGTGGTGTTTGACAACACCACCGCCCAGTATGATCATTCCAGCTCGTTTAGCTCGAACAGAGATCGTGTTGACGCGCCGAATATCCTCAACTATATCAATCTTTAATTGTCGTGGCGAAGCTTTGAATGTGTGGAAGTATAACATATCTCCCAAGCTACCATCCGTCAAAGCTGGGCAGAACACAGGGATATCGTTCTTGTATGCCCAATAATACACAGATCTCTCGTCATTAATCTCCTTACCTAGACGGTGGATGACCTTAGATGGTGTCCAGTTAATTTCATCTTCGGTTCCTTTACTTGCTTCTTGCTCTTCAAGCATCTTGTCTAGGATGGGAACAACCCAGTCCTCGAAAGCGCAGTAGTTCGCGTTGGGAACCATGAGGTTTCCTATCCGATTTAAACCTTTAGCTCTGAGTTCAGCCCCCTTGGCGCTAAACGAAGACATGTAAGTGTCGCCGAGGCATTTGATAAAGTCTTCTTCGATACCACCAGCGGTTGTGACAATGCACGAAACATGCTTGTGCTCTACGAGATATCGAAAGATCCCCCTCAGTCCGGATGAGATCATGTTGGAGGTATATCCGAGAAATATTGTTGTCTTGTCACCTGTTTCAGGGTCGCGCCACGCTCGCTTTAGATCTTGTTAGTCAGCGATCCTCAGTACAATCAGATACTTTCCCTTTGCTAACCATATCATTGATGATTCGAACGGCTTCAGCCACGGAAGACGCTTGAAATCCCATATGCTTCATGCCTCCGATTATGTCATCCACGGTAATGGGGCGCCCCTTAAAGGCATTGAAATCGATCTCCTCAACTTTTTGTGCTCCTTCAGGTAGTTCATCGGATGGAACAAGAACCGCTTTTGTTGCCTCAGAAGGTGGCAGGTTCGGATTTGACCCTTGCGCGGCCATGGTGATGAAATGGAATCTTTCTATATCATGTAATCCTATCGTTAGAAAGCTTCTTTAGTTTTTATACTTTTGGTAGCAAGTAGCGTTCCGTGCTTGCACACTACGGCGTATATGAGAATATGACTGAATGCGAGTCCTTGTGAGCAAGATGACGGCTATTACACTCCAGTAATCGTCTCATAAAAAGAACCGAATTTCCACAATGAATTAAAAGTAGTATATTCTAAGTGAGAATTCTGGGCTGGTACCTGAAAACCTTTTTAAAGACCGATTCGAAGTTGAGGCGAATCAAGACTTTGCAGAGTGGCCCTACAGGTGGAGCCTGCTAGTTTTAGGTGCAGGTGTGCTCAAGGTTTACGCATCAGGGAAGGAGCTTGGGTGGTCAGGGTGCTAAGTACGGGTAGTAGTAATAAGGTACATGTATTTCGCACCAAAATACCATATATTACGAAAGTATCTCTCTACGTCAACGTGCGCCTAAAGCCTTCAAATCCTGGAACTAGATATTTTTATTTCGACGTTAAACAAACCGCGTCTAAAATCCATCATTACTTAATTACCTACCTACCTAGTATTCAACTTCAAACGTTCACATCAACAACGTCCAATTGTCACCGGCTATTACTGGACAGCCGATACTCTGGGCTACGAAGAAAGATGTCATCCATCTATAATCTCGAGCCGCAGCCTACGGCTTCGCTGATTCTTAATACAACACAAGGCGACTTGTCAGTTGAACTCTTCGCAAAACAGACCCCACTCACATCGCGAAATTTCCTCCAGCTATGTCTAGACGGATACTACGATAACACGATATTTCATCGACTAGTCCCTGGGTTCATCATACAAGGAGGAGATCCAACTGGGACAGGCAACGGAGGCGAGTCCATATACGATGGCGGCGCGTACAGCGGAGATCTGGATCCGTGGCCCATGGACCAGCGTCGCGGGCAAAATGCTGGACCGACAGGCATAAATTTTAAAGATGAATTTCATTCACGATTGAAGTTCAACCGTAGAGGATTGCTGGGTATGGCGAACGAAAGCAAACCAGACACCAACGCCAGCCAATTCTTTTTTACCTTGGACAAGGCAGAGGAGCTGAACAACAAAAATACAGTATTCGGGAGGATAGTGGGTGATACAATCTATAATCTAGCACGCATAGGCGACGGAGAGGTAGCAGAAGGAACTGATCGACCTCTCTACCCAGTCAAAATTACGGGTGTCGAAATTCTAGTTAACCCTTTTGATGACATGAAGAAACGAGAACGGATAGCGAAACGCACACACGAAACATCCTCGACCGGAAAGAAAAAGAAAGTGAAATCTAAGGCAGGGAAAAAATTGTTAAGTTTTGGTGATGAAGAGGGTGATGACGACGCACCAGTCCTAAAAAAGGCAAAGTTTGACTCTCGAATTGTTATGGATGTGGACGAGGAACCGACGCCTACACTCAAGCCGCCCAAGACAAGCACCAAGAAGGAGAATAAGACTGCCAAGTCAATCCCAGTCCGCGAGCTTCAGACTGACACAAAATCGGAAGCAAACCCGCCTCCTCCACCAGCTAAGAGTAAACCTGACCCCGTCCAATATGAATCATCTCCAGAGCCGGAACCCAAGAAGTCTGCATTAGAGCGAGCCAACGAGGAGATAGCAGCATTGAAAGCGTCTATGAAACGGACAATACACTCTGAGCCAGTCCAAGAGGTTAAGAAGACAGCATTCGAACAATTGATCCCAGAGACTTCTACCCGTGGTCGGAAAAGAAGACGAGGCGGCGAGGGAGTTGCTGAAAATAATGATCTATTATTACTCCAGGCCTTCCGCTCCAAGCTTGGCCAAGCAGGGCCTGAGAAAGAGCAACCAAATGTTCCCGCGGGTGAAGATAGCGTAGACCAAGGTTTAGGTGATCAAGATGAGGAAGCGGAACTCTGCGATTTACATTTTATTGCCAACTGTCAAAGTTGCAATTCTTGGGACAAGGCCGAGAACGAAGACAGCGATGATGAGGGATGGATGTCACATTCTCTCAGTTTTGCAGCTGATAAGCTTGGTAAAGATCTATCATACCGAAAGAAGGCTGAGGAGGAATTGGTTGTCATTGATCCACGAGAGAAGGCCCGGACGCTCAAGGAGGAAAAGAGAGCTCAAAGAGAGGCACAGTCTGGAAACTCGGGCAGAGAATGGGATCAAGCAAGAAATGCTAAATTGGCAAGAGCATCGGCTCTCGCTGGCAGAGGAGCCAAATAATACCTACCTTTGCTAGAAACCTTTCATGTTGCTTAAAAATCTGAAATGACCATGATACCCTAGGTAGATTATGCTACCGACTTTTGATATTGAACATTGAAGCAACTTCTGAAGACATGTGCATTCCTATCAAGTGTACACAAATACTATGGGGTATACCTACCTAGTATTGGCAGTTCTATCTGAATAAGCTAAGGTATCATGGGTAGATGGGTCATGCAAGACGCATGCAAAAGTGAAATTTCTTATGTTCATTATAAACCTATATAGATTTCAGCATAATCGTACATAGTGCTGAGGATCGGCTTTTGAATTCGGACTCTTGGAGTATGGAGACAGCCACGATTTGTTCGGCGACTGGTTATTGGTCAAACAGAATCTGATCAACTACCCCTCGCTATGTACCTCCACGGCTTAGCGTTGCATCGTTTGGAGTTGTTGGTCCGGACCTTAGATATTCGAGACAAGGTTCTTATTAATAACCCCACAGCTTTTGAGCGGTGTCGTGTCTCGCGCACTGGCTTGACTGGCTCATATGTTGCCTGTATCTAGATCTGGATGTCCTGTACCAAATGTTAGTTGATAATAGTCTGAATAACATCAGTACAATCTTAGAATCATAAGATAATAAGTATGGCGAATAGGCATGGAATTTGTAGAATCAATAAGCTAATGGAATTAATGTATCTACACACTTAAAGATTTTTCATAATCGCTGGGGAGAACTTGAATGCTAGGTGTTATAGTGATGAGATAATCATCCGATCATATGAATGACGAAAGAATCAAAAAACAAAGCCTTTGCTGCTGAGATATCTTATCAAAAAAGGCTCTGATTGGTTGAAAGATTGCACTACAACATTACTTGGCCTGTGCTTCAATATCTAGATTGTACTTCGTACCATGCTAGTGGCCCATGTCAATTTTCAAAGTAAGCCCACTTCGCGCGATGTACAGATGACAGACAACATAACCTGGAATACATCCCTACACCATCAAAAATTTAAAAAGATACCAGTACATAACGAGACGAGTCTTAGGTACATACCTGTATAAGTCGACGTCGATTTCCAAAATTTTCAAATATTGGAAACCTAATATATTTCTTAACACATTCAACAATTATTGATTCTGTTTGTCGACGATATCGCGAGATCGCAATATCTACTTCGTACAATTGATCGCTATTAGAACTTTCTCCGCCCAGCTCGTTTCAGCTTTGCCGGCTCGGATACCTGCTGTATCTTTCCATTCCCAAATTCTCGGTTCGGTTCGGTCCCCAGCGCGCGCACAGTGGAAAGACTAAGCCAAGACACGGAAGAACGAATTGTTCATTCTTGGGTGTGTCACGGCGCTGTGAGCCGGAAGACCGGTACATTTTAAGAAATCCCATCTCATCTAAGCTCATCACTCGACATTCCTATTACCATTTCCGTCTTTTCGGTATTTCTGTCTCGAACCACGTTGGCGCTCGCACATATTAATTGTGCTGAGTTACGCCGTCTACATCCGCCTTCGAAACTATCGGGCACCTACATACCTAGTACCTAGTATAATTCTTCAAGTTGCGTTTCTAAGAAAACGACGGCTGAGGTAAATACATGTTGTGATACATGTTGTGATACTGTTACTATTGATTGCCTACTATAGCTTAGGCATTCTGCGACATCGAACTACTTTTTGCGACTTCGAGAACAACGGGCTTTACCTTCGCCCTTGTTTCCTATCCTTGGCTGCCTTCTATATCCTAAGCTGTTCACTTCACCGCTGTCGCAACTGTTAGAGACAATTCTTCCCGCCGTTTTAGAAGCTTCTTTCCGGCTTCTACGGTTGATTCAGTTCCTTCGTCGTTTCTTTTCTCGTCCTTCAAGCCCTTTGAAGCTCGGGTCATATATAGATAACAGCTATGAGTACGGACGGAAACCTGGAACCCACCATCTTGCTCTATCGAATTTAGAAGCTACCGATACAATATCCAAACTTTACCGCGATTATCTACGCGCCTAACGGTTCTTACGTTTATTGGCTGCCTTAGTCCTATCTCGCAGCACCACACATCGAACATATCATCCATTCTCACCGAAACAGAACATCCACAGCCTCGCGCGACGACTACTACGCTGAAAATCTTTGCGTTGCTAGCAGCCTAGTCCGGTCGCCTACATCTAATCCACACATTTACAGCCTTGCGGCTTCGTACACGATCCAGCTGCCTATCATCCAATTTTTCGATCCTTTCCGATTTCCCCTCCTTCGATCCGCCATCTCCAATAACGAATTTTCAACCATCGTTAACGATTCCTACTACTATCATATTCCATCCTTATTGAACCTGAATATCGCTTGGTGTTACCAGACCATTCCTTTACGTTACGGGATATACGGTATTGCCAATCGCCTCTTGGTGAAGGAGGTCTACAGTTAGGCAAGACTGTGCTCTCAACTCCATTTTTTTCGGTCGTGGCCCATGTACAGCTATTACCAACATATGTCATCTCCGAATCCTCGAAAACGACCAGCACCGGGTAGCGTGCCAATACAACATCAAATGGCGCAGCCTTATAACACACCGGACCAATTACTAAGATGGAATGGGAATAACGCGGGTGCCTTTGTCGACAACGCTTCGAATGGTGTCAATTCCTATGGCGTAGTACCGTCTCCGACACAAGCCCAGTATGGAGCTTCCGGCGCGCCTTCGAATGTTCTTGCTAGGCGAGGTATCAACAATGCTCTCGTTGCTACTAATCGCGCATTTACCCCGCAGCAGAACGACCCGTGGCCAAACTTTGAGGAGAACTTAATCGCGGGTCAGCCAAATGGAGGCGCTGATGAGCACGATAATATTGAGCTGCTTGAGGAGAAGGCCCAAAGGGCGAAGAGGGAAGCCCAGGCAAAGCGGAAGCAGATTCCGCCCTTCGTACAAAAGCTAAACAGGTAAGCTTAAGCTCCTTTCGTAGCATCATCCTTCACATTGCTAACTTGATATACAGCTTCTTAGAGGAGTCGAAGAATACAGAATTGATCAGATGGTCGGAGAAGGGAGACTCTTTCATCGTCCTTGATGAAGACGAGTTTGCTAAGACCTTGATTCCCGAGCTGTTTAAGCATAACAATTACGCCTCTTTTGTCCGCCAACTAAACATGTACGGCTTCCATAAGAAAGTCGGCCTTTCGGACAATTCGATGAAGGCCAGCGAGCGCAAGAATAAGAGCCCAAGTGAATACTACAACCCTTACTTCAAACGTGGCCACCCCAACCTCCTGTGGCTAATCAACAAGCCAAAGAGTGGAGGTGGCAAGAAGGGTGGCAAGAAACGGGGTGAAGATGGTGAAGGTGAGAGTGACGAGGACGTTTTAGTGCCAGAAGAAGTCATCGGCCATCCATTTACCCAGCCAACGACGCAGAATAGAGCTCTACCCGCTCCCGAATCGGGACCACTCCAAAAAAAGGAGCTAGCTGTTGTCCGAGATCAGATGGCGGCGTTGCAATCACGACAAAAACAGATCAGCGATGCAATTCAGCGGTTAAGGCAAGAACACAACCAGCTGTACCAACAAGCCATCATGTTCCAGAACATGCATGATCGTCATGAGAACTCTATCAATGCTATCCTAAACTTCCTCGCCAACGTATTTAGAAAGTCGCTCGAGGAACAAGGCGGCGTGCAGAATGTTAACGACCTGCTAGCCAGTATCATACCGAACGTGCAGATGCCCCCTCAACAGGGTCAGGGTAGTGTGGTTGACCTTGGAGATTGGGTGCAGCAGCAGATGCCTAGAAATGGGACGCCAGTGGGCACACCTAAGAGACAGCACCGTCTCTTGCCCCCTATTCCTCAAGCCCAGGGTCAAGCCGCAAGAACACCGCCGGCGACAACGGCGCCTACACCGTTCTCGAATTATCCCAATCACCAACAACCCCAGACCCCGCAAGTCACGGAGGTCTTCGACACCCCGACGGAGTCGTCTACGCCCGCCTATCTTAAGCAAGAGCTGGAGTCCAATCCTCAGGAAGGCATGATGAAGATTATCCAAGATGCCAACACCAATGCCGGCAATGTTTCAGTCGATCTTCCCAACGTTGCTGCCGCCACATCGGCAACTCTGACCAATGACCAGCGCAATCGCATGTTAAGCATCATGTCTGGCCAAAACAGCGTCGCCCCCACCCCCGTCTCCTCCATGACTTCGCCCCCTGTATCTGTAGACCCACACCCACCTACTATGGGAGTCTCATCAGCCGGAAACATACCGCCCGCGACGACACGGAACTCAATGTCGCCTATTATGCCCTCTATCCTCCCGCCATCGATCCAACGAATATCGCAGACCCAGGAAGAGCTAGACCAACTCCAACGGCTGCAGACGGAGCAGGCCCAGAAACTTGAAGACATCAATCATATTCTGGGGCCGCTAAGCCCGTCCGGCCGTATTCCCGGGCTCGACGATTCGAACGCGTATTTTGATGATAACATCGATCTTAACCAGTTCATAGACTCGAACGCGTATAGTACGGATCCTGGCGTCGGCGGCGACTTCGACTTTGATACGAGTCACTTCTCCAACAGCGGCCCGAGCTTCGACTGGAACCCAGATGGAGCCACGGAGTTCGCGGGCGACGCGCTCAACGCGGGAAGGATTATAGAGACAAATACCCCGAGTCATAAGAGCCCGAGCCCTAGTGGGACTGAGGAAATCCTTAGGAACGATTTAGACGACAGTCCTGGTCGCGCTGCGAAGAGGCAGAGGAAGACGTGATGAGAGAATGGCAACAAGTTACTCATACCCAGTAAAAGTTTACGGTATTACTTCACAGTGACTCTGACACTTCAGTTCGGAGGCTCCTTCAATGCATTTCCGGTGGAAGTTTGAGATTTGGACGGCGTTCCACGGGTACGAACATCACATACCGGAGGCAGCCTCGCGAAAGGTGCCTGGCGTTGGAGGCTGCAATGGTCATTACTCATTTCTAGTTGCTTGATATCCCGAAATATCTGCTTTACACAATGGCATTCAACACACATGCTTAACACTCACCCCCTGTCCACCAATTATCATCCCTTATTTCTTTTCCTAACGGAAAGATACATAAAAAAGGAATCAATCAATCAAATTTCGGACGGCATGATACGGATAAAGGGAGATATTAAAGCTCATTCACGAACCAAGAGCTACGACACTCATAACATCTTTTTAGATTTTTAGACTTTTTACTACTGCTTCTCGCGATGATTATCATCGTTGTTACCTATCTATTCTCTCTCACTCGCATCATTCATACCGTACGTATGTACGTATGCTCTCTTACACACTTACAAACACACATTATTGCCTAAGAGCAAAACTTATAGCTGGGAGGCGGGGCTGGCTTGGGTTGGGTAGGGTTTGGTCTGGACGATACCGGTCTAGGTAGTCATATCGCATCGAACTGAATTGAATTGAATCGATGGTTTCCTATGAGTATGGTTGTGTTTGTGGTGCTTTGTATGTGATATGTATATGTGTGCTAGTAGTCCCGCTTAAAATGTCAACCTTCGCGCTAAATCATTTTATGGATCACGCCAGGGCTGTGTTTAACCGCTAGACCCCCGTAATTTATAGGGAGCGGATGCACTGTCAGGTGCCAAATTTATAAGGGCTTTAGCGCATTAATATACGACGCGGCACCATATCTAGGGAAGGTTGGCGGTTGGTATAAATCACGCCGAACAATCTAGGTACAGTATTTCGTAGAAGAAATGACTCCCTAGTAGTTTATCCCTTAGATAAAAAGATCGCGAAGGACTGGTATTATTTACTCCTCGTTAAACAATCGACTAACACGCGAAATATCCCTATATATTGCAATTGTGTGAGCGCTATGGAGAAGGCTCTGAGTAGGTACTAGGCACGCATCCATGGCAAACAGCTGCAAAATAAGAATAAGACCTCTCAGAGCAAACGCACATAACAGATAGGCGCAATGCCTCTTGGCATCTATACGATTTCAGTGCGGTGTCATCGAATTGCAGCGCATGAATATCTCAGAAGGGCGGGTGAGAAGAGCACAGCCGCCTTTAAATATCCTAAGGGAGGTACTCTCGTCCAGTCAATTAATCGACGGCAGGGGTGTCTGTGATCTACGCTACGTTTCATCAGCGGCGCGCCTATTGGATCTAGGGTCGACGTCATTGAGCGAGACAAGGGACGGAAGGTACACGGGAGGGGCGCAATGCAATTTATTATATGTGTAACAATAGCACTGGAGCTGACGTATTGTACAATGGAATGAATTAATTCCTTATGATTGTGGGAAGGAGCCTGGCATCTTCTTTTATGTATCTTATTTTTAGGACTTTTCCTTTGTTCCCGTTTGTCCATTGACAATCTTCTTCTTCTTTTCTATTTACTTAAATAAATTACTTTGAGTTTCGACTGATTTTATTCGAGGTTTGGTGAGAGAAGAGATATCTCATTCGCGATGTCGGCGAATTGCACAAACGCGCCAGATGCCGTGCCCAGCGACGCTGGCGTTGCTGGTGTCGGTGTAAGTCTCTATCAACCACCTATCCCCTTTTAACACCCCCCAAAACATACTAACATACTAACATACCGACAAACAGGTCCTCCTATCCTTCATAATCACAGCCGGAATCTCCCTCATAATCAGCGCCTCGCTCATCTTCCAAGAAACCCGGCAAAAAACCGCCTCCGACTCCATCCTGCGCCGGAAACTGCTAAACTCCTACTCGGACCAGCAAATCCTAACCGGCATCGGCATCCAAAGCATCGGGCTCGCCAAAGTGTCCTCCATGGTCCCGTACCACTTCTTCCTAATCTGGATGCTCTCCCTGCTCTCCATGGCCGTCCACAACGCCACCCTCCTAGCCCTCGCGCGCGACTTCCGCCGCGACTGGGTCCTGCGCTGGATGCGGCAGCTCCTCATGCTCGCGAACCTCGTGCTCTCCTGCGCGTACGGGGTATATATCCTGCGCGCCGTCGAGCGCGGCATCAACGACGCCACGTTCCCCGTCTCCTGCGTCTGGGACGCCGCGACCCCGACCTTCCCTCCTTCAGGCAACTACGGGCTTTCGTTCGCGGGCACCATCGTCGTGATCGCGGGGAATGTGCTTATCTTCGCTCTCGCGACGTGGTATCTCCACGCCCGCACCACCCGCTTCTACGTCGTTTTCCGGGTCGTGGGATTACTTCTCATGACGGCCTTCGCGATCGGCGCTACGGTCCGCGTGGCGTATCTCGCGGACGCGTTTGCGAGCGGCACGCCGATTCGATTGAGTGATAACGGGGAGACGCTGTGGAGTTTTGGACAGTTGCTTTCGGTGGGGATGTTGCTCTTGCCGCTGGTGTCGATTGTGGAGATTCTGAGGGGAGAGATTAAGTGCGCGCCGCCGGTGGCGCAGGTCTATGATGATGATAAGGGGGTTTTGTTGGGGGAGGAGACGGGGGAGGGTGAACAGCAGGAGTTGAGGGCGAGGGCGGGTGCTGGGAGGGGGGTGTCGGATTTTCAGCCGAGTCCGCTTTGGGGGTCTCGGACGAATCTGTTTAAGAAGTGAGTGCGGCGCTGGTGGATGCGGTTATGTGATGCGGGAGAATTGATGTCCGGTTGGGGAGGAAAAAATAGGGGTTTTATGTGGTTTGGCGCTTAGAAATGCGAGTTTAGATACCCCCTTTTGCGAATGAACATGGCGTGGGTTCTTTTGATGCCGAATTGCGGTCACCAATGATCAACCTTCCTTATACTTGGCTTGCAAGGTTCTTTTGATACATCTATAAGTTTTGACAACTGCCATTTTCGTATCCTGTTCAATAGATGTGCAGCTCGTATAACCAACCGAATTATTACGCGGCGCCTGCGCCCAACAACCGGGTGCCTTGCGTGGAAGGATTGAAATGTGGCGGGGATAGTCTCATGATAAGGTCGAATAGGGACAATGGTCTTGAGTTCCGGTGAGCATTCCGTGTATGTATTTATAATCAATCAAAAGCAAGCATTTTCCTAATGCGGATTGTTTGTGGCACTGGAGAGCCTATAAATGATACGTAGACTTCAGCTTGTTGAAGCGAAGGATGAAGCAAAGGTCTACCATCATAGTAAACTTTGCAATTGAAAATGTCGACCTTTGAAGAGCAAGCAACGAAGGCTGTAGAGAACAGCGAGATACCGGGTATCGTGGCTATTGCTAAAGATAAAGATGGTGAGTATCCTAGGGGTCACACGACGCCATCCCAATACTAACCTCAAACCAAGGGAATCTCAACTACTCAAAGACATTCTCCCGAAATGGCGGCACGGTTTATAAAGAAGACAGCGTGCTCGCCATAGCATCGATGACGAAACTGATGACTTCAATCGCCGCTGTACAGCTCGTGGAGAGAGGACTCATTACATTAGACGAAGACGTAACACCTCTACTCCCCTCTCTCGCCAAGCTAGAGATCCTAACCGGATTCGCGGACGACGGCACGGCTATCACGCACAAGCGCACGAAGCCCATCACACTACGCACACTACTCACGCACAGCTCCGGCGTGGCCTACGGGTGGGCCGACCCGTTATTACTGAAATACATAGAATGGAAGAAACCAGACACGAACGCCGACACGATAGACGAAGCCTTCGACCAGCCTCTCGTGTTCGAGCCCGGCGAGGGGTTCACGTACAGCAGCAGCCTCGACCGGACGGGACAGCTCATCGAGAAGCTCACGGGCCTGGGCCTCGAGGAGTACATGAAGAAGAATATCTGGGACCCGCTCGGGATGACTAGCACGACGTTCTCGCCGCGCGAACACCCCGACATCCAGGCCCGAAAGGTCCCCATGGGCTTCCGCGACGACAAGACCGGCGCCGCGGTGGAGACGGGCGAGCCGGGGTGGTTCGAGAAGGGAGCTACGTGTACACAGGCTTTTGGCGGACATGGAGCTTACAGCACTATGGCGGATTACATAAAGGTGCTGCACTCGCTGCTCGTGGATGACGAGAAGCTGTTGAAGAAGGAGACCGCGGCGCTGTTTTTCCAGCCGCAGTTGACGCCGGCTAGTAAGGCGGCTCTGCTGAAATTATCGAGGAGCGGTACCGACTGGACGATTGGCACGTTCCCCGAGACTGATGAGTATGATTGGGGGTTGGGCGGCATCTTGATCGATGGTGATAAGCATGAGTTTCGGAGGAGGAATACTTTGATTTGGAGCGGTGCTGCGAATACTTATTGGGTGAGTTATGCTATGTTTCTTAAAGTCTTCGCCTACTGTTTAAAGTGAGTATGGGTGCTAACATCGTGATAGTTCATTGACCGTGATGCCGGCGTTTGCGGTGTGTTCGGTATTCAGATTTTGCCGACGTTTGATGCCAAGGCTAAGGACTTGATCACAGCTTTCGAGGAGGATGTCTACCGGAGAGCAGGTAAACTGTGATGAAGAATGAGGTTTGTTTCCTCTCTTCATTAGCTACGCTGTTGTTGATGTTGTAGAGTGAAGACATACGGACTTCCAGGATATGTACGGACAAAGATCAATGTCGCTATGGAGTTATTCATCAATGGTAGTTACATGCAACAAAGCATCAATTTATATGCATATATAGCATATAATCATTAAAAGTACATTTATGTCCCTTGCCTCCGATGTCGTTAACCTCATCCGTCTCTTCTCTTGCAACTGCGTTTCTGTTATCGTGGCCCGCTATGGCGTGCTGCCAATTGAGCACTTTCACGGCGCCATCTACATGTAATCAAGCCATTGAGTCCATTTTGACCTCTCAAAACGCGTCAAGATGCTTCCACGCTTATTCGGATCGCCCCGACAGCCGTGTCTGTTCCCCAACAATTCGCGACGGACGTGACGTTGCCAAGGCAGACGACATACGTGTAGATGCCACGGTTGGAAAACGTCGGGATGCATATACCAAAAAGGGAAAAGGCAACGAATCATATTTAACGTTCAACTAGTGACGCTACTCGAGTTTGAGCAGGTACTTACAAATGGCGAAGGATGGTGCAACCCTACGTTCACGATTGCGTGCTAGCTATTGCGTGATTGAAGCCCCGCGATAGGTTAAAGTAGAGATAGGAAGAAAGGAAAAGGTTACAGCGCCACCAGTACCTTAACCTAATTCTAAGCCTCCCTTACGTTCCAAGCCGGGAAAAGGAGACTGAAAGTGGTACCATTAGTCGTCTATCTTGTCTATCTTGCAGACGCTTGAACCCGGGGTAGTATACGAGGGCAAGTATTTAAGCTGATCCTTTCAACTTATACCTTATCTTTTTAATCATTTCTCTCTCTGCGTTACATACCATCCAACCCGGATTACTTCCAATCCCCTTTCTTTTCTGTTAGATATTTCCCAGTTAGGATAGACCAAAAAGGGATTAGAGGAAACTCAACCATGGCTCCCGCCGTTGACATTGACACTCCTGTCGATGCGATTCAAGGCCTCAAGGCCCGCGCAAAACAGGTTGACCGTTCCATCTTTCCAGATGGTCTTAAGACAACAGGTTAGCTTGACAATTGCCTTCTTACATAAACAACTTATATATATGGCAAAGCACTCATCACTAGTTAGGTCAACACCCTCCGCTGTATGACCAAGTATACCCCTACAGCGCATTCCCTAAGCGCATTGAGGGTCCTACAGAATGGAAAGCGGAAGACTACGCCAATAACCCAGAGAGATGGGTTCACCAATTCTCTGAAGAGGAATTAGCCGAAATTTCCGAGACGGCTGACAACTTCATCAAACTTGGATTACCCCTAACTGGCATTAACAAAGATAACTTCCAACTTCCGCGTTTAGCAGCGTCCTTAGCCGCTGTACGCCGGGAACTTCTAAACGGAAAGGGATTCATCTTGTATAAAGGGTTTCCCGTAAATGAATGGGGAAACCACAAGTCGGCCGTCGCCTACATGGGCTTGGGAGCTTACCTCGGCTACCCAGTATCTCAAAACGGACACGGCCATATCCTAGGACACGTTCAGGACCTCGGCGAGGACAGCACACAGATAGATAAAGTCCGAATATACAGGACAAACGCCCGCCAATTCTTTCACGCAGACGACTGCGATATCGTCGGTCTGCTATGCATCGCGAAAGCCGAGTTCGGAGGCGAGTCGGATGTGGCGTCCATCCACAACGTCTGGAACATCCTCCAAGAAGAACGTCCAGACGTCGCGGAGCTTCTCACCAAACCCATCTGGTACTTCGACCGCAAAGGCGAGGTTTCCAAGGGCGAGGACCCGTATATCCGGGCAGCCGTGTTCTACCTCGAGACGCCAGACCCGGCGAACCCGAACCGGGAACAGCGGGTCTACTGCAAGTGGGATCCGTACTTCGTCCGCAGCTTAACCCGGTTCTCGGACAAGGGCATAATCCCCCCGCTGTCGCCGGAGCAGGAAGAAGCGGTTAAGCTGCTAGAAGCGACTTGTGAGAGAGTGAAGCTGCACATGATCCTGGATATCGGCGACATCCAATTCGTCGCCAACACGCATACCCTCCACGCGAGGACGGCGTACCGCGACTTCGGCCCCGATAGCGGGAAGCCGAGACGCCACTTGATGCGACTGTGGCTTTCTCTGCCGCAAGACGAGGGCGGGTGGAGGCTGCCGTTCTGGGACTCGGATGAGAAGAAGCGCGGAGGGATTCAAGTTGACGATACACCCCCCGTCGCGAGGCTGGAGGGTGATTAGATGCGATCTAGCGTTTGTTTGTAATATAGTCTGTAGACTATTATCTACCACTACATGAATTATTAATGAGACTATGAGATATGGATATATTCAATTAGACCGCGGGCTTGATATTCATGGATAATCCCCTAAGTGCGACTCCTGGATATCTCGGGATTAATAGGACCCGTGAATAGTAGCTGCTACTAGTTACTCTCGCTTACCTGCAGCTGAAGATATACCTTGGATTTAAATAAAGGGTTCCCTCTGAGATTCGGAGATTTCATTTCGATTTTACTAGCTATTCCCTGGTAACCTAGCAGAGCAACATCGGATTAGGTAAGTGCTGGCCGTGTGTGTAGATAGTGCTTCATGCTGTAAAGCACTGTGGGCTCGATTTTTCTATCCCCTAAGCCACTTGATCTTCCCCTCTTGCTGCGGAAATAGGTGGATTATATAATCATAGGGATACTAGGTATACACAAGATCTACACTTCTGACGCAGACACCTAAACATCTTCATTTCCTCGCAGCAAAATATGCCATACTATTACGCAAAGTAATTCCACCAGCGCAAACATGTGGATATGCTACCCCGGAAAACAGACATCGCCGACCGCGAATGCCGATGATCGATCAAACCAGTTTCTGTCTCTACCGGTTACGAATATACCTAGGATTGCCAGGTATGTACATACGATAGAAGAGCTAATAAAGGCGCTAAGCAACGCAGTCCGAGGAAGGATAAGAGCGCTCAGACGCGCGGAAGATGGCCGGCTTGTCGTTTTGTTTAGCGTGGAACTGCTCGCTGTTAGTTGTTTTCTTAGCAGAATTTTCACGTTCAGCTCGTTCGCCACGGTTCTTGGACGATATTTTAGAAATGAGGTTGATAGGTACTAATAGGCGAGCTCCTACGTTACACAGACTCTGTTGTCTCTGTTGCTAGCCGACGCTGGTAAATTAGGGGGACTGATTGTATGGGTAAGGTATCTTTAGCTCAACAACTTGGGTCTGTCATTGACTGGAAGCGGTATGTGGTGAAGTTCATTTCCAGCCCAAATTCCAAATTTCCCCTCCTCAACCCAGGAGAATACCCTTGCCCCGATTATCATAGCGTTCACGCAGGACCCACATGTGTCAAGGTATATGAAGACATATTATGCATGAGCCGTTCTCCACGTGAAGCGAAACATATGTGGGAGGGATGCTATATCGAACGACCTCAAGTGTAGGTGATGCGGAATATGTTGCGTTGCATGATTACCCTGGTATACAGAATATCGATCGCGATAGCATCTCCGAGTAGATATGTTTGAGGGATAAATCTATGGCATTATGACGATGTGGGCTGTAGATCCTATAATAAGAGTAGCAGATTACATATTTCCGAGTCCCACGTTATTAATCTCCTTACCCCAGTTATCGCTGAATGATGAACGCTCTTAGCGCACCGCTAGGTAACTCGTGGAATTCCCTTGATCCCAGATGACTGTGTTCTCAAGCCCACCGGATTGGACCTTGAAGCTGCTATCTGCATAACGTTGTTGATATCGGAGAAAAAAGGGCTTGGGTGTACCTTGCCATCGACTAAAGCGGAAAAAATAGACTCAAAAAGGTTTAGGAAACGTGAAGGTTAAGGGCTGAGTCGGAAGCTTGTTCCCGTTACTAATAGATCTTGGTGTGCTCGTCTTGATCTAGTTGCAGCGATGAAACGCATTATCTATGATAGGAGAGAATAATATTTCACTTCTTGTTGCCCCTCCACTGATCACAATGTCGGAGCTGTCATGGAAATGGAAACTTGCAACCGAAGGTATCCCGTCGCTAGAGTCCCGATATGTTCTGACGAGATGCTGCTAGAACGTTAAGGTATATAAGTAAATATCGTGTCTAGTAAAGCTTTGGCGAAGTCAAACTCAACCTGAACGTAGTCCGGGGAGAGCTGATGGCAAAGTAAACCGTTCAAGATACTTCGGGGTAGTTAACCGAAGGGCACGCATTTCTGGGACCTAAATATGATCCTAGAACGCAGGTACCAAGCTCTCGGGATAGACAGCCGTGCATATCGACCCTTTTAGCGTCCAACCCTTGTCGTGAATTCGCATTATGAAAAATGTGACTGTTACAGATCGAATTAATAAGATAGGCCGTGCCCTACAGAAATTCTCGGCTCTTGATTTATGAGATCCGTTCAAAAGTGATGGGCATCCACAGTTTTTCCTCGACTTAGATCATTGAACATGGAATGATGGAAAAGGTTTCCCGGCGCGACGTTTGTTGTGGGTTATCGGCGCGATGGCTTCTTCAAAGACGCCTGCCGTTATCAGCGCCGGTGTGGTCTTGATCACCATTACCACGCTGGCCATGAGTTCAAGAATGGCGGCTCGTTGGATGTACAAAACGATGGGCTTTGACGATGGTTTGTTTACCCGCGATCTCTGAAAGTTGCTACAGTGATAAACTAATCGTTAGTAGTTCTGATCTCGATTAGTTGGGTATGTTCTTCCTGCGACAATATATGGCGATTCAAAATACCCATAACACCCTACTTACCATCATAGTTACTGTCCTTGGCGCTCTGCATTTGCGTTATGGTTGGTATGTATATAATAATTACCCCCTGAGATAACTGTGGACTAATTTCGACAAGCCATGCGATATGGGCTCGGCTATCATCACGACACCATCAACCCCGAAGATTATAAAATATTCCTTAAGGTAATAAACCGCCTATACTATTTGATGTTATTCTCTAAACCGATGATTATTAGATTCAAATAGCCTGCTCGGTCACATATAGCTGGGGGGTTCAAGCCGCGAAGGCTTCCTTTGCGGTCTTATACTTGAGGATTTTCCCTGAGGGTGACTTTAGGATTGTTAATAAAGTCTTGCTCGTGTTCGTCTTTTTGCAAGCTATCGAAGAAACTTGCGTCGTTGTCTTTAGGTGTCACCCCGTACAAAAATCGTGGGATCCCCAACTGGAGGGGTCGTGTCTTGATCTGCATCCTCTTTGGTACAGTACTGTGAGTAAAGCTGACCTAGGTATACCACTCCTTTTGCACAGGATGCTAAGATATATCGTTACACCTGTCTAGTTCGTCTTCAACCTAATTACCGACCTAATCCTGTTCATTGAACCTATCCCTTCCACATGGAAGCTTCAACTGCCGACTTCTAAGAAGCTTGGATTCATCTCTATGTTATCGCTGGGGTTATTGTAAGCAACCAGGTTCGAGTGTGAGTCGTTTTGCGCTAAACGTGCTTATAGAGTGACCGTGATTTCCGTCATACGCATCGTATATGCCACGGGCATAAGTACAGATGATACATGTAAGCAACCAAATTTTCTAAGTTGATGAAACTCGTTAACATCGAATAGTCGAGCTCGTCAACCCTCTTATATGGTCAACGGTCGAAATCTGCGCGCTTATTATATGCTCAAGCATACCATCAGTCAAACAAGTTGCCGTCAAGATCCCTGTCCTCAACCATTTGCTTGGCATATCATCTCTTGGAGAGTCGTTCGGACCGTCGAGAAAGAAGAGGAATTCGATACCGTTGGATAGCCGAGGTCACGGAGACTACATAAAATCAAAATCGCAGAAGTCGAGGACGTTAAGCATACAGAGATCAAATCCATTCGGTATGACGAGCCACGTGACGGCGGCAGCGGTGGAGGACACAATCAGTGAAAGTGGTAGCCAGGACGAGATATTCCCGAACAAGATTGACAAAAATGGGGTGATTAGGGTAACGACTGAAGTTCAGCATAACGTTGAATCAGGTTCGGATAGTGCGAGGCATTTCTCTAATTTGACATCACAGCATCGCCATGAATTGAAAAGCATCGTTGAGAGGCAAAGATCGAATCATGCTTCGCCAACGAAAGAGAACAGTTGCGATAAAAAGTGGTTACGCCGTTCGGGATAGGTCTCTAATACATCCAGTAATTAAAATAATAGTATAATGATCCATATGATTCTGATGGCCGTGGCATTGCTTGATTTACTGTTAAACAATTATGATAAATCAAATGTGAAAATCAATATATTTGGTGACGTAATAAATCAATAAGCAGCGGCTGACATAATCAAACCGGACATATAGCTTACGTAAATATGCTGATATATGCAACTAAACCATATAAGACGATTACATACAGCGACCGGACATTAGTTTGAGTCTGATCTGATAAACCTGAAGTACCGCCAAGATACAGATCAAGCTATTCTCTATTGGGTATGAGCTATACCCAATATAGCAACTTTTCAATCGCTGCTTTATGATTTTTGATCAAAAACTTACGTAATGATCGCTCATGAAGCCCACATTTTAAAAGCAGCAGCATTTTGACTACCATATCAGGGATAGTCAGTCTTGGCGGTACTTCAGGTCTACCAGATCAGGACTCAAACTAATGTCCGGCCGCTGTAACTCAATTATCTAATCAGATCATGCAGCTATACGGATACCTCTCAAAGCATCTTAAAGTTTACCTACGTCAATTCACACAATTCACACGTCTGAGCCACATTGAAACGATCCGAACTTGACTACGAATCCTCACATAACGATAGCGACACCGAACATAAACGGGCTTTAACACATGCGTAAATATAGGCTGGCTACGTGATGGTTTGAAATACAAGAATTCGCCCGACGGTCCTAGTGGTGCCCCGCCGACTTCACCATGGACGCGCCACCCGTCAAGCTCTCGGAGCTTCTCCGACACCCAGATGATCTCGATAAGATCCCCGCGTTGAAGCTGGAATTCACGCGCAAGAAAAATGCTGTCGACTCTCAGCTACGAGGTGGTCTACGGGAGCAATTGGAAACCACCCAAGCTGGCATGAATGGCATTACGGACGGCCAGAAGACGTTGCAGTTGATTAGAGACGAGATGATGAAGATCGATACCCTCTGCTCCGAGTCGCAGAACATGATCAAAGACTTTGCCAGCATCAACCTGGTATCCCAGGCCCATAGAAACTTCGGTGCTGTGGAAACGATGGTGGAAAACCTCCAGACGTTTAATGACCGCCTTAACAGGGTCGAGAACATGCTGAGAGAGGACGAGGCCGACAAGGAGAATATGCCGAATTTACTTGGAGTCCATTACGAATTAACGCAATTACGAAACATCCGAGACGACGCTATGGAACAGATACAACGAGCCGACGACCCGAGCTTACAATCTACGTTGGAGGATTACTTCTCGCGATTGGACGAGGCGATAGACTGGTTTGATGAGCATGTCGGCCTAGTCGCGCTTAACATGATCAACCTTTTGATTGCAGACAACAACAGCTTAGTCGTTCGTCTAGCTATCATCGTCGAAGCCGAAGAGAAGAGTGACCAAAGAGTCGAGGCCCTACAAGAAGCATTGAAGGATCATAAAGAAATGGCTACACGATTCCAAAGCATCACCGACGGCGCCAAGAAGGTTAGAGGATACAAGGAGAAATTCTTAAAGGCAATTTCCGTCAACTGCGAAGGACAATTCGCCGAAGTTAGAGGAGAATTCCTAGATGACCCTACGAAGCTGGATAAGATGATGAAGTGGTATTTTAATGACCTTAATGCTGTCAAGCAGGGGATGGTGTCCCTGATGCCCAAGAAGTGGAAGATCCTTAAGACTTTCGGGGATATATATCACCAGTTAATGCACGACTTCCTCGTCGGTATGATAGACGACCCGGATTCCAGTTCGGCAAATACACTGGAGATTATTAACTGGCCCGAGAAGTATTATAAGAAGATGCGGAAACTCGGCTTTTCAGAGGGCGATCTCAAGCCCCATGTCATCGACAACAGAGAGCAAGAGTTGGTTAAGGACTTCCGCCAGCTCATCATTAAGTTCCTCGATCAGTGGATCGAGAGAATCTTTGCCCAGGAAAAACGCGACTTCGCAGACCGAAATGTGGAGGGTTCTAACTTGGACACGGATGAGTATGGCTATTTCCGTACCAAGAATCTGGTCGACATGTGGCGCATGTTGCGAGAGCAGGTGGATGTTGCTGCGAACTCGCAGAGAACAGACGTAGCTGAGGGCGTCATTGATGCCATGTTCCTCCGGCTACGTGGCCGGCAGCAGTCATTCCAGAAGATGCTCGAAGAGGAAGCGGCAAGATACGAAGCCGGCAAGGTTCCCGAGTTAGAGGGTTTCCAGGCGTTGCAAGATTGGCTCATTGCCACTGCCAACGACCAAATGGCCTGCATCGACGACAACGAAGAAGAAGGTCGTTTCGCATACCTCTCGAGCTTCAAGCAAAAATTCGAACCTCTAGCCACGCCACAGTACATGGAGCGAGCCGAGAACGAGATCGCCTTGCTCCGAGAGAGTTATATCGATTTGAGTACCTGGTGCCTCAGCAAATTTGCCAGCCTTGTTATCGCGGTCGACTTCGGCTCGGTCATGCCGACCTTCTTCACGCCGAAATGGTACGAAACAACAGCGATGAAGCAAATGATCATCACGGTCGAAGAGTACATCGGCGACTACCAACAAGTACTGCACCACTCTCTCGTCGACATCTTCATCCAGATCCTAGCAGACGAGCTACTAGTCCAGTACCTCGGCAGCGTGCGCAACAAGGGCGCCAAGTTCCGGCGCACAGAGCCCTTCCAGGACAAGATCTTCAACGACGTAGCCACCGCCTTCGAGTACTTCCGCAGCTTACCCAACCAAGACCTCAGCGGCGAGATCACCCAAACCTGGCGCGTCACCGAGGACTTTAACAAGCTCCTCACGGCCCCTAAGGAACAGCTCCCCGACGTCTTCGAGGAGTTCAAGACCAAGTACTGGGACCTCCAGATCACGTGGGTCGAGGCCGTGCTTAGATCCAGAGACGACTTCGAGCGTGCGATGCTCAATTCGGTTAAGGCGCGCGCGGCGCAGATGGATGTTGTGAGGGGCCCTGAGACTATTATGGTTAAGATTAAGTAAGCTTGTTTGAGACAGAGAAAATGGGATTTTTGGAAGTTGGGGGTTGTTGGGCGTTTACATCCATAGGTACCTAGTGATAATAGCAATTTACTGATTTTGAGTCTGGTGTTTTTTTGCTACGGTGATGGTGATGCATGATATTTACATTAGGTAAGCGCCCAAGTATGATTAATAAGCTACATATAGTCCCGAGTCGTTTGATACTCTGAATAGTTGCTGAATCACCGCTTATTAATTACACTTCTCATGTCTCAGCCACGCCGTTTAGTGTCAACCTCAACCCTAACCCTAACCCCTAGTTCTGTTTGCAGGATGTTGTTTCCTGTACAGTGAGTGTACCTCGTATATGCTATGACTTACCCATCTGATGAGAGATACGGGAGTCTCCGAGAGTCTAGGAATGTGTCGAGTTAATCCCGGTGGGCCTAGGTACGTTAGAACATCCCAAAATCACGATCTCGGCCTCCCTGGCCCTTCGTAAGGATCGACCAATCATGCACAACCCGTACCTGGCATGCAGCCCGCACGGTTCCGCATCAAGAATGGAAGCTCCAACTCCGCCAGGCTAGAAAAAAAGGGGGAGGTCGGGGGGACGGCGCGTCTGCTCTGGGGGAGATTCCGCACATATCGATCGAGTCGATCCGAACCCCCTTTTCGGAGAAAGTCGGACATGTGCAATTTATTCTCGGATCCGGGCTATACGGCGGCCGCGTATGGCCGCAGAAAATTGGGTATGTTCGCATTATACATATATTTATTACCTAGTATTCTGTCCCGCAGGGTTAAGTTTGCGGCACTACCATTCAGGAGAAAGGGGCAGGTGAACCAATAGTGTCGATACCAAAGGAAACATTAGCTCCGGTGGATGTAGGTCTCTCTACTGGGCAGATAAGTTCTGTTACCTAGGTAGGTATGATCAGTTTACCTTGATATCCACTTACGTCGTATTCATTGTGGAAGTTACGTAATCCACGTCTCAACATATTCGGGGAGTACCTATGTCGTGTGCCTTCTTTGGTGGCAATCTGCAATAAGCTTACCTGATGAGTCAATATAGTTCCAGAGCTGAAATATAATGAGGCTCTGCATGTACTGTTTCAATACTTCGGGATGGTATTGGTTGAAGAGCCAGCTGAACGAAGCTTAAACCGCAAGAACCGGAAATCGAAGTAGCACTCCGTTCCCCAATGGAATATCGATGATTCGATGCAACAGCCCCTCCGCATGTATTGACAAGCGGTCAGTCAGTTTCCCGTAGGGAGGGAGCCGCTATCGAACGATGAGTAATCTCGGTGAGCCTGATGCGTAATCATTATAGGGGAACGATGTTTCATGATAATCCCTTACTGGCACCTGACGATCTGAAGATTAATAGAATCGGGTCAAGCCAAGGTACTAGGTTATGCAGTACACCAGGGGAAATGGTATCTCTGGTAACTGTACCTAAACCTATGTTGGATACTTAGTCGAACACGTACAACCAAGTTCAAGGAACAAGCGTCGTGTGTCCTGGAACCACAAAGGTCCCGATTCGAGGTCAGCTGCACGACCGATGTCGTAAATATGTTGCAAAAAGAAGCGAATATCGGATTCAGGCTGACTGCAGTACGAGATGAGCCTGCTGCTGAACGGAAACCGGGCTGCTGGTTTTATCGAGATCCTGCATCTAAGACTAGATGAGGAATGAAATGCATCGCCCCCCAGAAAGTTTATTGCGAAGCATTGCCTAAGCCACCGAATTTCCAACCTCGACGCAGCAGGGAAGGGAAGGATTGTCGGCATACCAATAGGTCAACTCGCGTGAATCTCATCTGCCGGAAACAACACGCCGTTGCGCCACGAATGGTGAATTGTTTATAAGCACGATCTTAGTTACACTTATCCCACAGGATCAACAAGCTTAACCAACTGGACGTCAAGTTTGGAGAACTAGTTATCCGGGTTTAAGTATTGATTGGTTAACTGCGTGATACAGCAACGGTGCAGTTAGTGACGCGTATGTTTTGATAAATACTGTCTGCAGTGGGCTTGCCGCCGGCAGCGCGAGTGCATATTCTTGCTTTATCAGGAGGTCGATGATCCGAAAAGCAGATACGCCAATAGCTTTCGTAGAACTCGTCCCCTGAACTCATACGATGTTCTAATTCCATTTTCAGCATAGTCGAGTTATACGAAAATCCTGTGAGGGCCAACTGGCACCAATACCAAGGTGCTATAATTCTTGAATAGGTAGTTATGAGTTTCGCTGTGGGTATTATTGTGCCTTGAAGATATAGGTCCAATTAGCTGGAGAAGACGAATTTGATAATACTAGGTAGTTGTCGTAACAATGTAACGATGCTAGATGACGTATTTTATCACAAATCTATGCGAGAATCCCTCTATCTGCGCGATGACGGTCGTACATATATTATTCAAATAAAAGACTATGAATTTGTCAGTATTACAGTGAATGATATGCGGAAAGGAGGGGTATACAACACCACAAGATACTGGAGTATACTGTTGTATTAAAGCCGCAAGTCGTCGTGACTCACCTCTAGGCTGAATTAGATGCCTACGTGATAATTCCCCTTATTTGATTGGCGTATTTGATCTTTCGCCTTTGGAGACAGCTAATAACCGTATTACGTTCCACGGTTTACATAGATGTAGCCGGTGTAGCTGGTGTAGTTCTTGGTCGTTTATGTAGGGATGTATGTAAGACTAAAAAGATTGATCGCCGGCATGGTTTATCCCAGCATCGATTTATCACATCGCGCTAGTCGATCGAGCCCTGCAGGGCGACGGCACGTTCTACACCCACGCCTACACCCAAGCCCATGCGGCGGCGGCACATGCAAACGGTTCTCCGCCGACATGGCGCTGCCATCTTGGCTTGGCTTGGAGGAATTTGTCGGTTTCTCTGCGCTAGATGCATGCGCTTTGCAGAGACTTTCAACCCGGCTCTCTGGAAGCAGACTTGGCAATGAAACTCGCAAGTTCGAGATCGTATATTTCAACAGCAAACAATGACAAACAGCAATGCGAGCCAAGCTAACAAGGCGACGCATATGGGGCTTGGCTTTGTGAATTGTTGCGCACTAAAGGTCCTTGGCATATGTGCGATGTCACGAGAAGTTGATAACCAATGTAGGTATGGTGTGTTTGGGAATTCTTGGGAAGGCTTGGTGATTCTTGGGTATGATAGAAACCTGGAGACAGCTAATTGCTAATTGCCAATTGCCATTTAAAAAGTCAAGTGACGCTTACTGCAGTCGTAGCATCCTAGCATCCTAGTAGCGTAATTGCCTTGCCTTCCAGTTTTCGAAAATTTTAAAATGTTACAACGACGTCACAATTCGTAACATTAATATCCATGGATGTATAAAATGGAGCAGGAGAGATAACCTCCAACTCAATGTTATTGGATGTACCTAGATAGTCCTGGTAGCCCTAAAAATTAAGTCCATTTCGTTCTATAACAACCGGCTAAGGTTGCCAACAATATAATCTTGTGAGGAGGTACCTAGAATTTATAACAGAACCTGCCCAGTGATGACTTAATCCTTGGAACCCCACTAAGTACCTCTAGTAGGTATGCCGAGAGCGCCCTCCTTGGAGACCCCCTGCCCCCCTGTAAAATTCTAACCCCTCGGCTCTCATGGCTTCATCCTACTGGATTAAGATGGACCCAGGCTTCTACGACCCTCGTCATTGGCCTCGTTGGTCACGCCTGAGCGTGATTCCCCGAATCAAACTCGAGGGTCTTTCATGTCAGGTTATTCATTCCTTCCTCTTCCAGCGCTCGAAAAGGGAAAGGAAAGGAAGAAGGAGAAAAGAGCGAGAAAGTAAGTTTAGGTAAATGTGGAGGAAGTTCCAACAAAGTTATTACTAGTAGGGACTTATAATTTATTGTACAATTTGCCATTGCCAACAATTTTCTTTTCTTACTACGAACTTTTTTTTAACCCACACCAAGAATCAACTAGGCACTAGGACGAGTTCGTCCCAAGAATCTTGCTTGTCCTTCTACATATCCGCGATCGCAACCGAGACTCTGTCTTGTTTGGATAAGAAAGGGGGAAACATTCAGGTACCTAGGTAATCTATCTAGAGACTAATTCCAATTGCTGGTTGCGATTTGGGTCTTGGGTCTTGGTTCTGGTCTTGGATTACACGTGGACGCCGATAGCCCTTCGGTCCGGCTAGATTTCTTTCTCTGTCGATCACGAAACGCCCCTCCAAAACTTCCGTCTCCCGTCTACCAAACGTCTTGTCCCCAGCAATTTGGGCATAACCCGTCGCCGACCAGCCGCTTCTTCTCGGGAAGCCCTTGAACAAATCATCTCTTGGTCCTGCACAAAGCCGTTGGCACCTAACTCGATTTTCCACGAGCTACATGTCCATTGCGTAACCCGAAGACCCAATGGGAGCTTTCTAGACAAAGCAGACCCGAGAGTATCTGAAGTAGGACGCAGACATGGAAAGCAATGGCAGCCACGCCAAGGACAAGAGGCCCGACAACGACGCCAGATCGAAGGACGACACCCCTACGACCTCAACCACCACCACACCACCCGATAATGCCAATAAGAGCCCCAAGAAGAGGCGCAAGGTAAACCATGGTATGCCGTGCTATTCTTCTAAAAAAGCCCCCCTAACTTATCTTTAACTTAACTCATTCATCTCGACTCCACCGTCGTCGTATCTACCCGTCGCATGGGCTAATTTTGGTCGCGCGTTCCTACAGCTTGTGTATACTGCCGTCGATCTGTAAGTCTTAAGTTTCTAAATCCCTTAACTCCCTTCATTTTAACCAGAGTTTGTCAAACCTTTGAACCTTCTAAAATTCATTGGTTCCACGTCTTACGTATCTACGCATATGTAGAAATGTCGGCACACCCCTACCCCCTTATTTTTTTTTACGGATGGTTATTTTATTTTATACTGCGACCGCCTAGGTTGCTGTGATGTCACGGGGGGGTTGATGCGCCCGATTTATTTTCTGTACTCTTGCGTGCTGTATGTGGACATGTGGGCGCGTGCGCGCGTTCTGTGCTTTGTTGTTGGGCTTCACAAACTGCTTGGCCAATACTAATATTTCCGGGTTTCTAGCATATGACTTGCGATCTCGTATGTAAGATCTGTTCCTACTTCTTGCGTCCATGGAGGGCGGGAATACTGCCCTGGTTTGCATGAGCCAAGATTGACCCGGGACCAACCCCTACTGAACAGGAGAGACCGTGTACGAGATGTATCAAGCGCAATATTGGACATCTCTGCCATGACGAGCCTCGGGATCCGGATTCCAAGAAGCCCAAAGGCTCCCACGGCGCGGCTGGACACGACGAATCAGATAACCAGCCTGAAATATCGCAAAATTCAATAGAACAGAGCGCTGCTGCAATGGCACCGCCTTCGTTTGACGGAACTGGAGCTGGTCAGAGAACCAAGCAAGGTTTTGGTGCAGGTGCACTAGGCCAGACAAACCCCCTACAGCTTGTGTCACCTAATCCGGTCTCTAATATGCAGGCCAATGGCTCTGGTAGCAATATGAACCAATGTAGGTTTTGTAAAACCCTTATGAATGTCGGTTGGGGAAAAACATGCTGAGCTGATCTCGTAGTCGGCGGGTTCTCTGACGCCTGGCTAACCGCCCAAAATCAATTCCACGATATGCACCATTACCATCCTCAATATATGCTTGCCCCAGAAGTCACCCACGAGTTTAACTTGCTCAATGATTTTTTAAATACCAGCCTTCTCGATGACGCCGGACATCTGCCGGATGATCAAAATCCGTATATCAGAAATAATCAGTCACAACCTAACCAATCCGACATGGCGGGCTACGCGAGCGGCAGTAATAATCTTCTAGCTACGGGCGCAATGCAGGCAGGCTCGATGCCTCCGCCGAGCACGGAGGCGAGCTCCAGCATCGTCCCGGTGGATAAGACGCGTGAATTCTACCTCCAAGCAGCAGATCCTTCGGGAAACGATACGCCCGAAGCGCGCATGCAACGTGTGATGAAGGCCAAGTACGACGCTGGTATGTTGAAGCCATTCAACTACATTAAGGGGTACGCCAGACTGTCGTCGTATATGGATGGTCATATCGCTCCCGCTTCGAAACAAAAGATCCTACGACAGCTAGATCGCTTTCGACCCAAGTTCCGCGAGAAGGTTCAAGGACTTACGGATATCGAATTGGTCTATGTAGAGATGTGGTTCGAGAAGACCCTGTTAGAATACGACCGGGTCTTTGCGGCCATGGCGGTTCCAGCTTGTTGCTGGAGAAGGACCGGAGAGATATTCAGGGGTAACAAGGAGATGGCCGAACTCATTCACGTTCCCGTGGAGAGACTACGAGACGTAGGACCATTCCGTAACCCTAGTAGTCGATTAGTCAGCTAACTAGATGTCATATTTAGGGGAAGATCTCACTACATGAGATACTGACGGAAGATTCGCTCGTTCGGTATTGGGAAGAATTTGGCACTATCGCGTTCGATGCGGCACACGACACGCTCCTAACAGCATGTGCTTTAAAGAACCCGGATGATCGATCGAACGACCCAATCGTGAACTGTTGCTTTTCGTTTATGATACGCAGAGATGACCACAAGATGTGAGTGAATCCTTAGTGCCCTTTAAATGCGGCCCAGCCATTTTACGTACGTCTGAAGAAGATGCTAATTATTCCCTCCGTTCCAATAATATAGACCCAGCCTCATCGTTGGCAATTTCCTTCCGCATGACCCTTCGCATTCTTCATAATCATGGCCATCCAGCATACAAATTTCCATTCAAATGTTCTACTTATTCCCTATTTATTCGTTAAAATGGGCATAGGGATTCACTACATTTTATACGTTGTTTAGGTATAGCATTTATATTCAACGTTGGTGGTTGCGTTGAAGTATGATAGATCCATACGTTTTAAAGCTTTCTAGAGCTTGGAAGCCACATCTCATTCTTAGTGGCAATTGTCGGATATGCACACCCATGGATCCTTGCAAGAAAGAGAGAGAGAGGAGGAGGGAGCGATGATACCACTTCGTTGGGAAGGTGTTATTAACCTTTCTGTTACGCCTTCCCTAGGTGGAAAATTAACTACAACGCTGCCTATCGACTCGTGCCTGACAATATCTAGACAGGACTCGAGCAAATAGAATTCTTACCTTTATCAACTTTTAGATTGTGTCCTATCTCTTCAGTGACGCCACATCTGAGAGAATGTACGAGATCCAGGATCGTCTAATATTGCCGTTCTTCTCTTCTCATACATAACCGATCTGGTGTCTTATGTGTCGAGGTATATGCAGCCATCGTCACTTCGTCCAAGATACCTAATACTCCTCCAGGTAACGCCCGTGACCGCGAGGTGTGACGAGTGAAACCACTTCATAATACACCAGATAGATATTTCGTCATATCGCTGGTCTGTTTTAATTTCATAGTGTGCCGCCATGGACGCATCCACTGGCCCCTCTCATCCCGCCCGAGAGAAATCTATTAATATTAAATTTCTCATATGTTCGTGCTCATCGTGTCTCTTCAAAATATACGCTAACTCGTTAAGCGTTCTGTCATGAACTCCAAAGGCGGCTACAGGAGAAGAATAATGAACACGAGCTGAAGGAACTCGTTGACAAGTTGGAGAATCAGATCAACACTGTCAAGGACTATTTTCTTAAGATTCATGGCCCACACCGCCACGCACAGCTCGACATGCCGGGCACTGATCTTTGGAATTTATGTGTTCAGATTAAACGACAAGATGACGCTGATGTCTCTCCAACAAGAAGCAAACTCCTAGCCCTTGCCCGGGTATTCTCATTTCTAATTCTGGCACTTGCACAACGGGGTAACCACAGCGAACCGGGAGATCTCCTTCGCCTGGAAAAATTGGCAATTAAAACCGGCAGATCGTGTATTGGTATGTTGCAGCTTCGTCCCACCCCAACTGCAGCACTGCGGGACTTACACCTGCATAGGGGCGGGCGAGCTCAGTTTCGCGCTCATGGTTCTGCAAAAAGCCGCCGACTGTAACGGATTGCTGCAGCATCTGCAAGCAAAGCTGCCAAGCGAGGAGCTAGACTCCTGCAGAAGACTAGAATCAGAGTATTTTACGCTTCGTATAGCACTGGTAAGGCGCATATTGCCATCTACCCCTCGTTCGGCCGCTCATATTTTCGCAAGGCCTGGAAAGAAGACCGCCTCGACGTGGCCGACCATCTATACGAAAAGATGCAGGATGGCAAAACCGATATAGATCCTACATCGGCTGAGAATTTGGCCGACTCGCTCTTCGAAATTGGGAAAGATCTAACAGAGAAGAAAAACTACCAATTGTCAGTCAAATGGCTGCAAAGGGCCTACGAAGTCATCAACGGCCAAGATCTAGAGCAACTGTCAAGAGAGGCCATTGAATTAAGATTGGCAATTTCCCAAGGGCTTATCCGCGCATATTTAGATCTGGATACAGCAGATGGCTTTCAGAAGGCCGAAAACCATGTCTGCTACATTGAATCTGAGATAGGTGACAAGCTTGTTGTTCTTTTGCTTAGATTAGAGCTTCTACTCAAGTCGCCAGCCGAAGTATTTGACAGCAGCGGATATGCCGGCGTTCTCCGCCGGATGATTAGGAGCCTTGATATTTCGGAATCGAGTTTCAACCTCGTAATACACCATATACGTAAACTTGACGATAAGAGCCCGAGCCTTGCCTGTTCGACTCTGGACGAATTCATAACATCACGAGTTTTGCCTACCCAACATGACCCCTGGGTGGAACGAGTTGCCGTCCTTCGCACTCGAATGGCAACATCGCACCAGGACACTCACGAAACAGTACAGGGTCTTTCGAACATATTCGATAGCGTTGAGGCTAACTTGGAAAAATCTTTGCCGGCTGCTGCTGTCCTTGCCATACAGATAGTTAGTTAACTGTCACATTCAATCCTGTCTCGTACGGACATGAGCTAATTAGTCTTAGCTCGTATGGAAAAGGGTTGATGCTTTATCTAGTCAAGGAGAGTTAGAGCTGGCAGAGAAATGGTGCCACGTAGCTATGCACCCAGCTCTCCGACATTCTGGTCCGGCGAATGCAGCGAAGATCGCTAGGTAAGCACTTATCAAGCTATGCAATGCGTCAGGGGTCTCACCGGATTCAACCAGGAAATTACTCGGTTGTGCCCTCCAAAGGAACAATTTAGAGAATGCTGCAGAGATTCTCAGATCCATGAGCGAACCAGCCAAGAAGGAGCCGATGACCTTATATCTGGCATACAAACTAGCACTTAGAACCGGAGATCGAGAAATGGCCTCCGAGTGTTTGAGAAATATCAGCGAGGTCTCGTCAAACGACCCGCAATACCTCTATGCATGCTGCATGGACGCACAGGAAGCCGAAGATAAGATGTGCGCAATCGAGGCATTGCAACATCTGATCCGAAAATGCGAATACAGTTCACCTGATGCGGTTCACTTGCCGGCCTTGCTTCGTGTTGTCATTCGTCTTGAAACATCATTAATGAATAATCAGGATTGCATTGATGACGTCTCCTTGCTTGTAGATGATATCTGTCAGGTTTTTGAAGGCGGTAAGTCTATTATATATTCGCTTCTGGGCGAAGTTGCAACTTGTGCTAAACTGCGTTAGCTGTAACGGCAATACAGAGAGATCATCGGGATAGCCAAGGTCACAAGCTTTTTACAGTAGAAGAACTAAATTGGTTCTGCAAGAATGCCTATAATTTGGGACTTAGGAACATACGCACTTGGCCGCCCACGCAGAGCATTCGTATTTTTCAATCATGCCTTTCGATAATTTCCCTGTATCCTCAAGACGTTCCTGCTCAAACAGCGAGCGACCTGTCGCTTCGGTCATTGTTTTGCCATTTCTTAATGGCAGCGATGCTCATAGCTCTAGCCCGGTCCGAAGACAACATCGAAACGCAGCTCCAGCGCTACCTCGTGATGCGCAATCACATCAAAAGCTTCGATGTAGAACTAGAATCCCGGTTAGAAACCCTGGACGAAATGTCTAGGGAAGACCTCCAAATGAAGCTTGAAGTTCTCCTAGTGTTCGACTTCGAAGGTGCTATCTGTCTTAAGTCATAGGATGACTTATCAGAGATCCTATTGAAGGCTAAAACTTGCGATAATCTATCAATATTCCAGGCAATGGCAGATTGTGTGCTCCGAGCTGAATCGATCCCTGGACAAGGTGCGATTCCTAACTAGAAGGTAGAAGAAAACGGTATAGCTACTGATCAGCTCTAGTCCTCTACTCCACGTTGCGCAAAATTATTAACCACATATTTTCGCTTGAACGATTCGATAATGAGAAGCTCGCCAAGTACTTACGATGCCTGCTTAAGGCTACACTTGCCTCAGAGCCCGAATTTCCCCTGAAGATCACCGAAGACATTTGTAGGCTTGTGAAACAATGCGCAGACGTAAGCCGTGATTACGATTTGAGACCCGAAATGGAAAAATCAATGCTAAGTATGTTTTAGAACCAAAAGCCCATCCCCCCTCAAGAGGTTGAATGGTTTGCGACGACGGCGTTCAATCACGGAGTGGACCTCTATGGGGCCAACGAAGATGAACTCAGTAGGAAGTGGGTTTCCCACGCACTCACATTAGCACACTACCACCAAGATGGAGGCGATTTAGAGCGAGAGCTTCAGAAGAGGCAGATTAACCTCAAATGGGATGCTTAACGGTATTTGATGCCAATTATGATGCCGAATTGTAGTCCGGTGGCGTTATTTGTGAAGCCTGACTAGCACCGTCGTGGCTTGGCGAATCTGTAGGCTGAAATGAAGCTATCCTTTGAATGTAGAAAACCGCGACCGTATCTCAGAATGCTAGCTTCAGCGATAATTAAGAATTAGCTAATAAAATAGATTGAAATGTATACGTGAAGTTGCAAAAATAGTAGTTTATAGCTTAGTCATAGCTAGAGATTCCAACTATTCGATCATGATTCATTACCGACTATAGAAGATTAATGATGTTGCATATTACCTACCTCCTAATTCGGTTTCAACTGATCTATCTCTTTTCCCGTTCGATTTTCATGCTGTAGAAAGTTAGAAAAGAAATGCGTTGTAATAGTTAAAAAAGCAATCATGACGTCTTCGATCCGGTCAGCCATACGCCATGGTCTCAGAATGCCACCAACTTTCTCGAATGTACAGAATCGCCATCATTTTCGTTCATTCTATTTATTGGAAACGAGACATTCTATTGGATTTTGTTCAATAAGACGATTTAGTGCGGGCAAAATGGTGAAGGATACGCAAACTGTCATCGAGTAAGTAAACTTCCCCTTTTTAACAGTTGGTAATCGTAAAGCGTAAATTGGCGGGAAAAAAACATTCTGCCCCTGTAAAAATCACTAATAGCAAGGGTTTCTAGGGAGTTTAACGACATTGTTAACATGTCGGCTTCGGACCTCGAGACGTGGCTTAAGGAGGAGGCTTCCGAATCAGCAGGCTGGAGTAAGAGCGACGGTTCAGGGGAGACGATCGGGCATGAGAGGTAAAATTTTCATCACATTCCCCCAATCTACTTCAATATTTTTTTAGGAAATCGTATTTACGGTAAATTAATCCTCTTAGCGGACGAAAGATCATAGAAATCCTACAGAAGAACCCGCGAAAAGACCCGGATAAGTACGACGAAGATGACGTCGACCACATGCGGCGTGTGGTGGCGTACTGTAAGCGACATTTGGCGCAGGAGGGAAAAGCAAAACAGGACCCGGATAGTAAAAGTGCGAGGAGTTTGAAGAATTGGGGGCACGATCCTAGTAAGGCGTAAAAGAGGGCTTTTTTTACCTAGTTTTGTATTGAGTATAGGGAAAGTACCTAGAGTGAATGAAGCATCAACATATCCTCAACTTCCTCTACTTATCCGCTTTCTTTACCATTTCCGCAATACACTCTTCCACCCCCTTACTCTTCACCCCCACACTCGCCAACAGCCTCTCAAGCGTCGGATCATCAACCTCGCACTCCTCATCCCGAATCGCCTCATACGTACCCGCCCACCACCTCACAGCGCCTCTATCCCCACCCCGTTCCTCAATATAATACCTCTCATACTCCTCCCTCCCCACAACCCTAACCCCCAACCCCTCCCCCCTAACCCTCCCCACCACCTCCGCCACCTCCGCCAAACTCCTCGCATCCCTCGCCCTCGACGAAAGATACACCGTCCTCCCATCAAACCCGCCATCCTCCGCCGCAACCACCAACGCGCTCCCAACCCCCAACTCCTTAATCCCAGTCCAACACACCCTCCCATCCCCCCGCACCGGCACAACCTCTCTCCCATCCCCACCCCCGTCGTTCCCGTTCCCGTAGCCGAACAGATATAGCGGCCACGACTCATTATACAACCCCTCGCGAAGAACCGTGACTTTCACCTTCCCCTCCGCAGAAAGTCGGGACAGATACGCTTCCGTGCGCAGATGCGCGCGCATTACGCCCGCTTTACTCGTGGAGCCGGGGGCTTGGGTTTGTGTGTTCCACGCGAATGCGAGGCTGGAGTAGTAGATATGTCCGACCCCGGCTTTAACAGCCGCGTCGATCGCTACGCGATGGTGTTTTTCCCGCCCCTCGCCGTCTTCTTTCTCCCTCCCGTCTTCATGCTCGAAGTCGAGGGCTACGTGGGGCGTTGAGACGAGGAATAGTTTATCGACGCCGCGTAATGCGTATTCGAATGTAGATGGGTCGTTGAAGGTGGCGTGGCGGACTTGTAGGGAGGGGTTTTGGGAGAGGAGGGAGGTCCAGGTTGGGGAGGAGGGGTGGGAGGATGTTAGGGGGATGATGGAGCTGGGTGGGTGGTTGGTGTGGGTTAGGAGTGCGGTGAGGGTTGCGTTGCCTAGTTTGCCTGAGGCGCCTGTTATTGCTATTGTGGACATGGTTCTTGTTGTTGTTGTTGTCGTTGCTTTTGAGTTGGGTGGTGAGAGTGATGAGTTTAGTGGCGATAGGGGAGGTTGTGTTGCGGGAATGTTGACGAACTTATACTGACGATGGGTTTCTATATAGTCGATTGTGAGTGGCCAGGTCGTTACTGATGATTAGGTAGGTATGAATTCCGTCTTCCCTCGTATATCTCAATAACCTCTGTTTATATAAGCCCAGTTAAGTAAAGGATGTGACATACCGAAACGTCATAGAAGCCTGTCTAATGGATTTATAATCAGCAATTCAGCCAAAATCATTACTAAAAAATATAACCCGAGTGGGTCATTATAGGATATAGTGCGATATTTTCTATACTCGCATGAAATCGTTGTCATTCGCCCTTGACTTCCTAATTAAGTATGTCAGATTCTCGCGATGCGAAAAGGGGTATATGGGATTACACGTACCTCGAATCTCGATGCATGCATACAAGTTAGGAAAATATGAGAGAGGTACCGAGTGAAGTAGATGACACTGAGCTACAATATTCAATCACTGCATTCCAATCTAAACTAGAAATGCTATGCCCGTCGTACATATGCCTTTGAAGGAGCCCTCCACTAAATCGCAATAAAAAAGCTCTTCTCGCCCTCCTTCGGTAACACCCTCGAGCGCTCCATAATCGGATCCACGCAGGAAAGCCTTATCCTCTCAGGCGTAGCTGGGCTCTCGAGTTTCAGTAGCCCATCATCCTCACCTCCCTCCGCGAACAGTTTCGCCTTAACCCCGTAATCAGAGCGCGCCGCCTTCAACGCGTCTCTTATGGCAAAGAACACCGAGCTTCCCATAAACAGCGGCGGCTCGCCGACGCCCCTGCTCCGCTGTATCGTGCGTAGGTCCTCCCACTCGACGCCCTTAAGTAGGCTAACGTTAAAGACCTGCGGGATGTCGCGGAACCCGGGGATTTTGTAGGCGCCAGGGCCCTTAGTGAACAGGTTACCCTTCATCGGTCCGTTACGCAGCCATAAGCTCTCTTCCATCGTGAATAGACCCAAACCCTGAGTGAAGGCACCTTCGATCTGGCCGTAATCGATGGACGGATTGATGGACCGACCGATGTCCATTTTTATATCGGCGCGTAGGCACGTCCAAGTCCCCGTTAAACAGTCGACCTCGACTTCGGCAGCCGTAACACCTTGCGTGAAGTAGAAGAACATCTTGCCCGTGTTCTCGCCCCATGTGTACCCGATCTCAGGCGTCTTGTAGAATCCGTTGGCGCTTAGGTTTACACGGTCGAAATAGGCGGCGTGGGCAATCTCTTTCATAGTGGCATTCGGTCCGAGCTTTTCTCTATACGATGCTAGTCTGGCATTGAGTTGTTCGCAAGCATTGAAGATAGCGTAACCGTTGAGGTCAGACGATGCCGAGGCAGCGGTGGCAGACGCATTTGCTACCGTGACAGTGGATGTCTCCGAGATATGGACACTTTCCATCGGTACCTGAAGTGCTTGTGCAGCGATGGTGATCATTTTAGTATGCAATCCTTGTCCCATTTCAGTGCCACCGTGTGCAACAAGAACCGATCCATCGTGGTAGATGTGCACTAAAGCGCCGGCTTGATTCAGCCATAGAGCTGTAAAGGAAATGCCAAATTTCGTAGGAATTATAGCCAACCCTCGTTTGCGCCACTTGTGCTCTGCATTGAATTTATCGACGGCCTTACGACGATTGGCGTAATCCGACTCTTCCTGAACTTGCTTATACATTAGAGGGACATGCCAGTCCTGGATACGCTGGTTGAAATGAGTCACATCATCAATCTTGTAGAAATTGATCTCGCGGAACTTTTCAACTGGGATGCCGAGCCGGTCGGCGACTTCAGACATGTAGGACTCAGCGAAGAATAAGCCCTGAGGTCCTCCAAATCCACGGAAGGCTGTGTTTGACATAGTGTTTGTCTTACACAAACGGCCGCGAACATGGACGTTGGGGATCTTATAACAGTTGTCACTATGAGACATAGATCGCTCGCATACGGCAGCGCTCAAGTCAAAAGACCAGCCAGCATTGTTGAAGATATCGAGATCCAGAGCTTGAAGTTTACCGTCCTTGTTTACGCCAACTTTCCACTTGCCGAGGAAAGGGTGCCGTTGACCAGATAATGCCATATCTTCATCTCGATCAAGCATACACCTGATTGGTCGCTTGGTTTTCTGTGCAGCTAATGCACATATGGTGCTGAGATGGACACATCTTGTCTCTTTACCACCAAAGCCGCCCCCTAGACGTTTTACGCGAGCAACTACTTTATTTGCTTGTACGCCCAGGATCTTAGATGCGTATGCTTGGCTAGAATGAAATTAGTAACGAATGAGTAACATATTACTGGCAAAACATACCTCTCATTGGGGTTTTGGCTACTGGTCCAGATTTCCATCTCGCCATCTTCTGGCTTAGGTATAGCAACGCAAGCATTAGTTTCAAGGTAGAAATGCTCTTGCCCTCCCATTCGCGTGACGCCTGAGAAAGTGTAGTCGCAATTCTTGAAAGCCTCTTCCGGGTCGCCCTTCTTGATATACCGGAAATATTTGTGGAAACTCTCTTTTTCGATTGCTTCCTCCATCGTGAAAATAGCAGGAAGGTCTTCGTACTCAATTTTCACAGCCCTAACTCCTTGGGATGCCTTTGCCTTAGTGGTAGCTAAAACGATCGCGATCGGCTGACCGGCAGTGAACACCTCATCTTCAACGAAGAATAGATCGTCGAAGTTTGGCGCACCCCATTTGTTGTGTTCTGGATCATGTAAGTCATCCTTGTCAACAATATCAATGACACCGGGTATATCCAATGCTGCGGAGTAATCGATTGACTTGATCTTTGCGTGTGCTCTCGTCGACAGTACTAGGCATCCGTGGAGTTCGTTCTTGAGTGGTGGAATATCATCAGTGTACTGTGCCTCCCCTGTGGTCTGTTTTAAAGCCGCAACGTGGTTAGCTGCCTTTCCAAGCGGACCTTTAACATATGCAGTAGTTGCGTCTTCATCTTTCCAGCCAGATGACAATACTCGTTCAAGCTCCTCGACAGCTTGACTATCACCATGCGCACTCTCAGCGTTGATACCTGATAGGACATCGTGATAGAAACGGTAAAAGAAGCCAAGTGCTAATGACTTCCGATATGAAGCCATACCTCCCGGAACACTAAAGACAAGATCGAAATCGGACTCGAGTGCATTCATGGCCCCTTCCAAGGTTTCAGGATGAGCGAACAGTTTGCCCTTGAGATATTCATTGGCCTTTTTCGCCGCCACTGTAAACGGAGCCATACCGCCGTAGACCAAGTTACAATGCTCCACAACACCCTTTTGGTCTAACGTGACGTGTAGAGCCCCAGTCACAATGGCTATATCATCGTCTTTACGCTTTGCTTGTTTGTACGCTTTAAAGTAGTCGCCTTTCTCGCGAGTGACGGGAATACGAATAGACGCAAGGATCGCATCTTGTTCCAAGGCTGTCCTACGATAACCCCTAAAGAATGTCGCCATGGGGATCTCGGTCTCTTTGCCTAGTGATTTGGCAACTAGAACGCAATCGGCTGCCATGAAGACTGGATTCAAATCGGAGATGGGAGAAGCTGTAACAAGGTTTCCGGCAGGAGTCCCAACGTTTCTGATCTGACGTCCCGCGAAGTATTTAAGTTGCTTATAAATAGCTTGAAATATTTGGCCTCTTGCTTCGCCATAGTGTTTGATAGCATCCTGGCAAATATTCTCCAGGTCTGTGAGTACAACGTTTCCGCCGATCTCAAGATGGTCGTCCTTGAAGGAATAATGTCGCAACTCGGGGATATCCCCAACAAATACCGAGACGGGGTATTGCAAAGCCTTGAATTTGACTTCAATCTGTGTTTCTGTACTCCCACCAATAATCTTTGCGCTGGGATAGACGCTTTTTATCTCCAGTAGTTGGTCCAGTGTGACGGGCCGATACCACCTTTTCCGCTTATTTCCAAAGGAAAGCGGCTTAAATGTATGTTTCTTTAGCGACGGTGGAAATATGAGCTGGGTATCTGGGTTATATTCGATGAAGCCTGGAGGTGTAAACTTCTTGATGGGTTGACTGTCGGTGAGATCATTACTCTTACAACATCCTCCCCCTTCGCCGTTGCCATTTTCCATGCAACAGCCGGAACCACCATTCGCCGTGCTTTTACCGCAGGGACTCTTGTTACTGGCACTAAAGGTATGGGCTGCATCCAGGATCGAACGATAACCGGTGCATCGGCATAGGTTACCATCGAATGCCTCTTCGATGTCATGTTCGGTGGGGTTTTCGTTGTTTCTTAATAGAGCGTACAAGCTCATGACGATGCCTGGGGTACAAAATCCACATTGACTTCCATTCCCCTTGGCTATACGTTCTTGGGTCGGGTGAGGTTGTTTTACATTTCCTATACCCTCGACTGTTATAACATGTTTCCCGTCGACACTAGCGAGGGGCGCTAGACAGGCGTTGACGCTGGCATGGTATATTTGTTTGGTAGTCGGGTTATATTGGCTGACTACGACTGTGCAGGCACCGCATCCGCCTTCTCCGCAACCACTACAATGGTGTATCTATTAGCGAAATTCATTGTATTAATCGAGTTACCTTTCTAGCTTACAGCTTGGTTCCGGTTAAGCCAATACCTCTGAGATATTCAAGCAATGTCACCTCGGGATCAATTTCATCGAGCACTACTCGGGTACCATTGAGATAAAAGCGAATCGTATCATCGTATACGGTGGTTAAGGCTAATCCTCCAGTTTCTAAGGCCGGGTCTCTCTCGGGTGAGATGGCAATTGGGGCCATGATGTCAGCTCCCTTGTTTCAACTCCGACTTCAATAATGTGGCGTCGCAAAGTTAAGATTCCATTCGGATATCCGAGGGACAAATCGTGTAGCTATAGCGCAACGTCGTCGACTAGATCGATAAAACTTGGGAGGAAGAATAGTAGTTTCTTAGGTTCTCCTTTGAACAACGTGACAATAGACAATAGCTAGCAAACAACACAATGACATTGAAGTAAGAATGTCGAAAGTATAGGTCACGCCTTATTGGGGTGGCAATCCACGTCTTGTCCTGACTCCGACCAGATAGGTAGTAGGTATTCGGTCAGTCGCCGGGATCCGATGGGTAGCTACCTCTAGGTAAGGTACAAAGCTCTGATATCTGAGCCGCCATTTGATAGATCCAATGGATATGACACAAATGGGGCGAATCAGAAATGTGAGATATCCAATTAGGTTCTAGAAGTTTGTTGGTATGAGAAGATACGCATATCAAAGAGGGAGGCGGGCAAGGATAGAGGGGTTCTTAAATCGGGGGCTAAACCAAGCCCGGTCAACCCCACTCAGTAGCGGGGTTAGCTTAATCTGCTTAGGTAAGCTTATCCTCTCTAGCTTTATCTTGGAGATCCATTTCTTCGGCAGACTCCGGTTCCCTACCCGGACTTTCTTTTTACTCCGGCTTAAACCTTCGGAGTTGCTAGACAGCGACCCTTTCTACGTCATAGCACTCAAAACAGAAATAGAGACACTAGGACATCTCATTGTCCTATAAAAGACCTCGCCATCTTGCATCATCACTCCTTCCCAGCTTTATTTAACTGCCTAGCCTCACTTCCACTCCACATTCCCCAAATCTCCGCAATCCAAGAGTCCGGGGCAAACTAGTCGTGGACTAAGGTCATGCCGTTGGTTCTCACGGTATTTCATCAATTCTGGCAGATTCATCGTTAGACGAGGCTATAAGTTATAGCTAATTTTTTATATTTATCTAGCATGTCAAGATCATATCCAGCATATGAAATTCAATCACAGGTCATATGTATGGAGGTATCAGCGTATTACTACGAGTTATACTCATGATTTTCCAGATTCTGCTATAGACCGCAAAAGATCCCGGTTTTGCTAACTCCAACTTGGAAGTGCCTACCTAGGTAAACAAGACCAAGAAGATCCCATGAAACCCCTGAACTTTTTCCCGGTTCCTTTGCCTCATCCGGAAGAGTGCGATAGGGCTAGAATACCGGCAATTCAACCATGAGAATTAACCCCTCATCCGTTTCTGTTCCTTGCCGGTAGTATTTATGGCAAAATGGGATATGCGGATTAGAGGTAGTAGACATGTTAAGCCCACGTGGCTAAAGTATAGATACATTTCATTCCCTTCTGCAGCTCCATCTCACTGCGTGTTCTGTTTCCTGGTAACTAGGTCGTCGTCGTTCGGCATACATACGACGTTGTGTGGCTTTCTGAGACTTGGCGGTGATTATACTACCTTGTGCAGCTACTCCCCCTAGTAACTCATAAATCAAGATGCCTTCAGTCGCGACGAACGGCACTAATGGAACGAATGGCACGAAAGGCCTTCCGGATTTCCAATTCTTCAATATAATCGACGGCAAGCGCCGCACCTCCAAGGACCATCACCAGGTCACCGACCCTCGCACCGAAGAGCCTCTCTGGGATGCCCCTATCGCATCGACCAAGGACCTCGACGATGCCGTCGAAGCTGCAAACCGCGCCTTCAAGACATGGAAGAACAGTACAACAGCTGAGCGCCAAAAGGCTGTTCACGACGTAGCCAACGTAATTCTCGAGAACGTCGATATCCTAACGGAAGCCCAGATGAAGGAAACCGGCAAATCGAGGCCCATGTCTAGATTCGACGTCGAAAGAGCCGCCTGGCACTTCGAGTACTACCGCACCGTAGCCCTCGAAGACGAGCTCCAATACGAAGACGACACGATCCGGATCATCGCAACACACGCGCCGATCGGGGTCCTCGGCGCCATCTCACCCTGGAACTTCCCCCTAATCCTTTCAACCGTGAAGGTCGTCTCGGCCCTCGCAACCGGCAACTGCGTAATCATCAAGCCCTCGCCCTTCACCCCCTACTCCCTCCTCAAGTTCTGCGAGCTCGCCCAATCGGTGCTCCCGCCCGGCGTCTTCCAAGCGCTAAACGGCGGCGCCGACCTCGGCGAGCAGATGACGCTGCACGCGGGGATCCACCACATCAGCTTCACGGGCACCATCGCCGTCGGCCAGCGCATCCTGCGGAACTGCGCCGGCACGCTCAAAAAGGTGATCCTCGAGCTCGCGGGCAACAACGCGTGCATCGTGTGCGACGACGTCGACCTCGACAAAGTCGTCCCGCAAGTCGCCACCGGCGCGCTCTTCCACGCCGGCCAGGTCTGCGTCGCCTCTAAGCGCTTGTATATCCACGAAAGCATCTACGACCGCTTCCTCGAGCGGCTGATTGAAGAGAGCAAGAAGTTCGCTGTCGATGATGACGAGAGCGTGTCTTTTGGCCCGTTGTCGAATAAGGCGAATTACGACCGCGCCGTGGGCATTGTGGAGGATTGTAAGAGGAATGGGTATAAGATCGTTACGGGCGGCGAGGTTAAGCCTAGGGAGAAGGGGTTTTGGATCCCCCCGACGATTGTGGTGAGGCCGCCTGAGGACGCGCTGGTGGTTAGGGAGGAGCAGTTTGGTAAGTCTTGAGGTTCTGATTTCCTTATATTATTCATATAGGAGAAGTATTGCTGTGTGAAGAAAAGTGGAATTAACTAATTAATTACTGCCAGCCCCTATTGTCCCCGTCATGTCCTGGGCGGAAGAAGACGACGTCATCGCCCGCGCAAATATCGACAATGCCGGGCTCGGCGCCTCTGTGTACACGCCGGATTTAGACCGCGCTCAGAAAATCGCACGCCAGCTCGAGTCCGGGACGGTTTGGATCAACCAGTTTGAGCGCCCTCACCACGCCGGGTTCTTCGGAGGCTGGAAGCTCAGCGGGTTTGGTGGGGAGCTTGGGAAGCAGGGTCTTTTGCACTACTGCCATACGCAGAGTTTGCAGATCGCTAAGTAGTTGATATAGACGTGAGTAAGCTATAACCTAGGCATAGAAGATTTACATGGTGGTTTGCTTGATTTTGTTTACAGTTATTTCGGTTTACGTCGTATAGAGGAGGCTCGGGGTTTCTGTAATTATATCATGCTTCAATATCAAATAAAGAGCACACATCGTTAGACATGACACTACTAGGTATTTTTAGCGTAGTTTTATCCCTGAGCATGATTTATTAAAACCATACAATTCACTGGAAACTGGTTCTTAAATGTAATGCAAGATTTTACGAGTCTTGTTGAGTCTATCGCCCTTGATCTAGCCCAAACAGTAGATCTTTTTTGCTCTCTTCCCTTATCTATCGCAAGGCATCTTAGTCTTGTATATATTGCTTTAATCCCCTCAGCCTCTCCTTCGCTGTCTCCAGTACCTCGTCCTCCTTACATACGGCGAATCGAATGTAATCCTCAGCGAGATGCGCGTTGGGGTCGGTGTAGAACTCTGTAGGCGGGATCGCGGCCACGCCCACTTCCTGGATCAGGAACCAAGCGAGCTTGAAGTCGCGGGGCCGGCTGGCTACGTGAGGCGGGAATGGGTAGTCCGCCGGTAACTTGACCCGGCTCATGTTAACAAGAACGAAGTATCCGCCCTCTGGATCCGTGTAATGCAGTCCTAGTTCCTTCCAGACCTCGTTGAATCGCTCCATCTTTCCTTTCATATCTCGGACAGTTTCATCCCAGAACCCTTCGGAGTCAGCTTGCTCAAAGCCTAGATTTTATTAGTGGATGGTTCTTAAGTTCTGTACATAATAAGAGGCTATAAAAATAGTTAAGACGTACCCACTGCACAGGCCTCCTGTAGCGGCGAAACTGAAGAGTAGCAGATTCGCGTGTGAGCCGCAGAAACATATTGGATCAGGTGTGCGGGTCCCATAAGCCACCCTACACGCCAACCCGTAGCATAGAAGTTTTTGCCAGCAGAGCCGACAGTTATCGTTAATCTCTCGATCTCGGGTGAAAGAGTCGCAATCCTCGTGAATGGCACGTAGTATAAGCGATCATACACTTCATCGGAGAGGATGATGATCTCATTCTTGACACATATATCTCCTATTTTCTGGAGTTCTTCTTTTGAGAAAACCTTGCCAACAGGGTTATCTGGACATTATTAGCTATTTACATCGCTTATCAGATTCGAAAAGACCAACTAACGGGGTGTATTAAGAACAATCATCTTGGTCTTAGGAGTGATGGCCTTCTGAAGTTCATCAAAATCAATGGTCCATTCGGCAGACGACGAAGTTCGCGTAGCTCCGTCACTGGGCGGGTGTAACGGGACATAGACGATCTTCCCACCAGGCATTTCAATGTTGCTAATGTACCTAGACTGTTGTCAGCAAATAGCGTTATACCTAATATGATAGGGGACAAATGCCTCACTGGTCGAAGAAGGGCTCGAAGATAATGACCTCGTCACCAGGCTCTATAAAAGCCATGAACGCACTAAGCATACCCTCGTTCGCTCCAGTTGTAATCGTCACCTCGGTTTCGGGATTGAGTTGTCGACCCCAGAAAGGCGAGTAGGCATCGGCGATAGCCTTCTTTAGCCGTGGCCTTCCTTTTGTCGGACTATACTGATTGCAGTCCACCCGGTCCAAAGCCGACTTGGCGGCATTGATAATGAACGGAGGCGGATTGTACCCAAAGAACCCTTGACCCATGTTTACGATAGGCTGTTTGGGTGAAGCTGCTGCGGCTTCATTGACGATGGACCAGACATCTTGTCTTTGACCAGCAACCCTTGCCGCGGGCTTGAGCTTGGCTGGGAGTTCCGCCGCCATGATCGTCGATGAATGAAACCCTCTATGTCCACTCACAAGACCAAGTTCTCGGTGAGCGCTTCTAGAAAATATAGAATACGACTGTGTTCTGAATCGTCTGGAACAGATCCTCAAACCGGAGATGGGCTGCATAGGGCACAGGCCTATTATATACCCTTATCTATTAGACCCAATGATATCTCACTGACTCTAGTCTCCGATCACACAGCTCTACTATCCGAGAAGCAAGGAATTTGTAATCAGTCGTCCCTGTAATCCACAACTTATTTATTAGGATTTATAGGACTTATAGAGCAGTTACCCATGTAACTCTTTGTTAAAGAGATAAAAATGACTATAACCTTGTTCCGTAATCGGCGTTTTGCTATTGGAAACTACGATGTCCCCAAATTCGCTCGGGGTCCTGCTCTAAAAGTCAGTCACGTCATTTCCAGCGCGGAGCACCTAAGCGGCTAAAGCCCGCTAGAATATCCGGAACGTGCCCCGCTGAACAAGCTCCCTAAACCGTCCCTGAGCTCCTGTGAACAGCGCTAGGAACAGGGATGACATCGACCCGACCCACTGGATATCGCTAAACCACCAGTCTACATCACAGCTTCCAAACCCTCCATCTCCTATCCTCCACGATGATCAACAGCACCACCTCACAACGCTCAAAATGACATCCACCCAACCGCCACAAAACCCAACCCTCAAGCCCCCTCCACTAAGCATCCCACAACCACCGCCCCTGCTCCTAACAATCCGCTTCAGCACCGCAATCCCCGACCTCGAACTCGACATCCCGCGCCCCTCCACCACAACCGTCATCTCGCTCAAACGCACCATCCGCCAACGCCTCTCCGAGCCCAACTCCCAGCGCCGCCTGCGCTTCATCCACGGCGGCAAAATCCTCCCCGACAGCGCAGCGTTAAGCTCCGTGCTCCGCGCACCTCTCCCCCCACCCCCATCCTCACCCAGCCTCGGTCTCGGGCTCGGATACCCGGGCGATTCCAAAGGCAAGGGAACCGACCACCACAGCAATAACAGCAACAATGCCAGCGGAAAAGGGAAATCAATCCCAGGGCGACCGGACCCTTCGCAGCGGATCTACGTAAACTGCAGTATAGGCGACAGCCTCACAACCGCGGAACTCCAAACCGAAGCAACCCAAGCCGCCGCGCCCGCGCCCCCATCGCCTCTCCTGCCCCCCTCCCCATCCGGGACCCCCCTCCCCAGCACCCCGCTGCCCAGCACAACCGCCGCGCCACGGGGTTTCGACCGTCTGCTCAGCGCCGGCTTCAGCGCCGCAGAAGTGAACCAGCTACGGCTACAATTCCGAAGCATCCAGTCCTCGCGATACACACCCGACACGCTCCCCTCGCCTGACGGGTTCCGACGAATGGAAGACGCGTGGATCGACGACAACGGGGCCTCGGTGCCCACGACATCGCTATCGAGTCCAGGAGGGGCAGGGGGCACGGATAGCGATGACGTGGGGTTAGTGGCGCTGGTGGATGTGATGATCCGGGGGGTGATGACGGGGTTTATGTGGCCGTTGGGCAGTGCGGGGTGGCTTGTTCGCGAGGAGGGGATGGCGAGTGGGCGGTGGAGGTTTATGGTTGGGGTTGGGGTGGTTTTTAGTGTTTTGATTGGGATTATTAGGAGTATTTCGGGGGAGAAGTGAGGAGGGAAGATGTACTTCTATTGCATAGCGTACTTGGGAGGAGGTGTGGAGAGTGTAAGGATTTAGACTTGATGGGAAGAGAAGGTGTACATATATATACATATGCATCGGACGGCGTCAAGTTGGGATCATCTATCATGGAACGGCGTTTAAGCGGTTAAGAGCAAATACCATACACGCATTTATCACCACAGCAGAGGAAGATAAGACAAGCATACGGGTTGGACATCGTCAACACTGGCGATGCCCAAGTTCTCTATCTAAGCATACTACCAGAAACTCGAAAGACCTCAAGAGAGTGCTACTCCTCGAAAAAGAAGCAACACAGCCCATCAGGTACGGTCTCTGTCATCGATCCCGAAACAAAGTGGTATCCCATCCGTGAACTCCGTGACGAAATGCAGGTCGTGAGCCTCCTTTGCATAATCCCCATTCTCGAAGCCAGAAAGTTGGTGGTAAACCACCAACTTATCGGTCATCGCGGGTCATTGCGTAGCCTATTATCCTCATCCGCCCACTTACCTATTTTTCTAGTCGTATGATGCCGAGAAGATGGAGGTCGTGGAAGAGGTTGTCGTCGAATGCAGTACGTAGTAAAGTCAAATTACAAATAAAGGGATTGAGCCGCCACGATGTCCCGACGGATCTTGGCTAAGCTTCCCTCGAACTTCGTCGTCAGCTCTTCGCTACCCATTACTTTTCCTGCTTGTGCCATTTGTCGAAGTAATTCCTCAAGTCGGCGGAATAAACGAATTAAGGAACCCTCGTACGCATCGGTCATTTTGCTAGCTATTGTCAGCCTCCAAGACAGTTAGTAATATCGAAACACACTTACCAGACGTCGGCAAAGGATTTCCCGTTCGCCCACGCATAGACAGTTTCCATGAGTTGCCATTTCAAACTTTGCGCATACTCCTCCTCGTTAACGTCCAGTTTACTCTCTTGGCTAACTTTGGCGATGATTCGGGCTTGAGCTTGGACCTGCGCGTACGGCTTACTAAGCTCGTCGGGCAAGGCCTGTGCTTCGACCTTCTCTTCGAAGATGAAAACGCTAAGAACAGCAGCGCATATCTCTGGGGTTAATTCGTTAAAGAATCGGTTGAATAGTAATTCGGATAATAGCAGTTCGTGACCTTCCGTTGAAGAAATCTCGCAAGCTACACGAGCCTTCATCTGGACAACCTCGGATTCGTTGATAAAGCCTAGACGGCGTAGAACTCGTTTCCTCGACTTGAGTTCGTCTAGCTGTGCGATGGAATGGGCCTTGGCGATTGTCTTCTTCATGGCCTTGATCTCGTCAGCCTGAGCAATTTTTGCCGAATACTGCTCCCAGAGTCCTGGCAACATAGGCGAGCCGTGGAGTGGGTTAGCCAATAGTCGTGACTCGAGAACCTCGATCTTGCGGAGCAGTTTCTTGAATGAGTCGTCCGTGATGTTCATGTTCTCAATAGGATCCAACACCGGTAAACCATCGGGGAAACGGCGCTCAACCTCCTTAAGCGACTTGAGAAGCTGTTTACGGACAGACTCGACATCCTCCCTTGTCTTCACCTCTTTTGGCATGAATACTCGGATCTGACTAAGAGCCTTGATACATGTGAGCATGCAAGGGATCGCTTCAAAGATGCTGTCCTTGTTCGGGTCACTGGCCCGAGCCCCTTCTGGCATCTCTGTTGAAGGATTCGGAGGCCCGAAGGGATCACAAGTCGGGTCGAGCCGTAGGAAAACATCCAGGAAAACCGATTCTTGTGGCGGATACTCCTTTTCGCCGAATTTCGGTTCCTTACGCTTAGTCATGTTCACGATGACGCCCCAGCCAAAGTCTTTGCCGGTCTTCGGGTGAGCTATTTGGACGAGCCTTCCAGGTTGGAGATAGTCGATACAATAATTCGGATGCTGGATGACCGCTAACATATCTTTGGTGTACTGGGAGATTTGTTGACGTAAACCGTAATAATCCTTGATCGTAGCCTCGTCAGTGATGACCATCTCATCTCGTGCTTTCTGTAGCTTCATTAATTCGTGCTCCAGGCCAGCGACGCTAGCGGTGTTCTGGAACTGGAAGAAGCAGTTCTCCAACATGAATTCTGGATTAATAGCATCGATTCGAAGTAAATTCAGAACCATGTTGTAGCCAAGATAGAAAGCAGAATTGAGGCGATCTTGCTGGCCGACAACGATATTCTTCGCCGTTTCCGGTTCCATCGTATCGTCAATCATCATGATAACTATACCACGTTCATCGAGACCTCTACGACCTGCACGTCCGGACATCTGGATGTACTCGGACGGAGTCAACGGTCTGACAGACTTGCCGTCAAACTTGGTGACCTTTGTAAAGACAACCGTTTTTGCCGGCATGTTCAGCCCGATGGAGAATGTCTCAGTAGCGAAGAGAACTTTGATGAGACCTTCCTGGAACAGGATCTCAATGGTTTCCTTGAGAATTGGCAGAAGACCCGAGTGATGGACGCCGATTCCCTTCTCCAAAAGCGGAAGAATATTTTGTATCTGTGGAAGTTCGCGGTCCTCCTCTGAGAGAGATTCGATAGCACTGACGAATACTTTCCGCACCATAGCCTTCTCGCTCTCGTCGTTGAATGCAAACTTTGATGTCGTTAATGCCATCATCTCGCACTCTCGCTTACTAAAGTTGAAAACGATGACCGGATTGAAGTTTTTGTTCATGATCATCTTCACGATCTTCTGAATATCCGCTGACGCAGCCTCGTTATTCCCTCCCTTGAACGGCTTCTTGTGCTTTCCTTTGCCCCTTGTCTTAGACTCGTTCTCTTCGGCAGCTGCTTTGCGTTCTTCGACCAGCTGTATAGTCTTGTTAAAGTTGTGCTCTCGGAAGACACCCTTCTCATCCACAACTAAGAATATACCGGTACCACCAGATGGGAAGAAATAGTTTTGTAGGGGAGTAGGTCTAAAATCTGTGTAAACGACATGGCAAGCCTGTCGATGGATTTTGGCGATCCACTCGGCGAACTGAAAGGCATTGGGGATTGTCGCAGACAAGAACACGTATCGGACCTTGTCTGGCAGGAGAATGATCGTTTCTTCCCAAACCACACCACGCGACTTGTCTCGCATGTAGTGAATCTCGTCAAAAACTACCCAGGCCACTTCTCGCATAATTTCAGATCCTCGGTACAACATAGATCGCAGAATTTCGGTAGTCATAACGAGGCAACTGGCGGTGGGATTTATGGTGACATCACCTGTCATTAGACCGACATCACCAAATGCTTCGTTAAATTCTCGGTACTTCTGGTTGCTCAATGCCTTGATAGGACTCGTGTAGATGACTCGTTGGTTCTTCTTGAGACAATGTGCGATGGCATACTCGGCTACGACTGTCTTTCCGGCACTAGTATGCGCTGATACCAGAACGCTCTCATCTCGTTCGATGGAGGAGATCGAGAGACGCTGGAAGGGATCGAGCGTGAATGGCCAAGTTCGTGCAGGGTTCTCGGGGGGTTTGTGTTCGGATAGTGGAACGTATTCATAATCGAGATCTGGTGGAAGTGCGACTTGGTGCTGAATATTGTGCGACAGGACTAACGACGCCTCGTCCTTCGTCGGGGCGAATCCAGCTACCGCGCCAACTTCTCTGGATTCCGCCGTTTCGAAAGTATCTGTCAATACCGGTTCAGCCACGCCATCTTTTCGTCTGCGCTTGCTATCCCCATGACTCTCGGACACGGTCACTTCACGGCCATCTTCCTCTGGAGACGCAGGTTCTGCGTCTGCCATATCGACTTCGGGTGCAGGGGCGGATAATGCAGTAGCAGATCCATTTTTCATTCCACCATCGGCCTTTCTCTTCTTGCTCTTCTTCTTAGACTTGTGTGACTTCGAAACCGGGGGCGATTGAGCTTCCGACCGAACCTTGCCCACGGATTGCTCGTCGAAAACGTTAAAGAGATCATCCATTGTTGATAACAAATAGATAGTTACTAGATACGTAATTAATTAAATGAGTAAAGTTGTTGCTCTTTGTTCAGCCCCTACGCGTCCGCAGGTTGTTTTTAAGAAAACTTCAAACCAATGCGGATTGGGGTGAAAGTTTAACAATAAACTCAGAATCCGCGCAGAGCTGAGGAGCGCTGATGCAAAGAGATCGTGAACTTTCTTGGTGATCGAAGAAAATAAAACTGGACCCGGCAGAAAAATAGAAGAAGTGGGACGACATGAAATCGCGGCAGGCGGTAAGTAACTCTACTATGTACTTAGGTACCTATCGACCTCCGTCATTTCCCAGTTTCCTGGACCTATCACAGTGAAGTCTATTATCAGCCCGATGTTTAACCGTGGGCCGAGCCCCCCAGCTATGAATCGTTCGATCACTTAATCCAAGTTTTAAAGAGCGAAAGCTTGAAGCTCATACCATAAGAAGTCCTCTCCACTCCTCGACATCGAAGTAATCACTATTGCAAAGGTATCTATAATTCACAAGATTACAGAAGAAACGTTAGAAGGCTAATTGGCGTAACAAGATGCTCGCGCAACCCGTCGCCCGCGCCAGCCCGCGCATCACCTCCCTCATCAGCCGCCGGGCTTTCCACGCAACCCGCGCTCGTCTATCCTCCCCGTACCATTACCCCGAGGGTCCCTACTCGAACTTGCCTTTCAACCCCAAGACGCGTTTCTTCGCCTTCCGATTCTGGGGCTACATGGCCACCGGCTTCTTCGCCCCGTTCGGCATCTGCGGTGCGTCATTTCCTCGACTGCTTCCTTTCGCCCGGTCTTGTCTTATACTAATATACATGATTTGTAGTGTGGCAAACCAACAAGCCCAAGTCTTAGAGTACTTGCGAATGGTCTATGAGAAGAGTGTGGGAGGCAGGTCTGAAAATAGCATCTTCAGCTGGTCGGGGACGGCAAGGAACGTGATGCGGGTTGTACATATATACGACAATAGACATTGACGCCACCACCGAAAATAATTCCATTTGTTACCGTTTACTACAGAAGTGTCGAATCGTGATCATCGTGCAGCTCTTACTCGGAGGAACAACTTGGAGTTGATTGTGAACATGACGCAGCAAGTATATTTCAACGCCAAGTGTAGAGGATATCAAGTGAGGCCATTGGCTTATCTTACGTGGGTAATTAGGTATGGTATACTACTACGCCTAAGATCACTATTAAAACATCGGATACGATTCATGACGTTGGACCAGATGTTTACGATGTGTAGTTTGCCTCAGCAGTTAAATGATGTATTTCATTGAATACTTATTTACAGGCAAATATATATTTTATAGTATATGTACAGGTCGTGGGTATCTCTTGTTCACAGATATTGCCTCCGGCCGTTAGTTTACATCTATATGATCCATTCCTCTTTTCCTGTATCATAACGAATAGCCTTTAGAGCGTACAACAAACCGGGGTTCCTCTATGACCTTTGTCAGAAAATTCATCATGAATTCTGAGTCCATCGGATCTAGTTTCCACCTCTGTCTTAGACTTTCATATATGTCTAAGAGTTCATCTCGAGATGAGCATCTGGAGAATGCTCTCAATATGGCCATTGCCATCCATGTGTTAATGTATAAACCCTCAGTTCCGGCGTCGAGGGCGTCTAGGAAGGCATTATATACACTAGTCAGTCTCTGTTCTGACCAGTCCGATCCAGTTCTCCCATATTTGCCGAATGCCTTGAAGAGTGCAAGGAATATTGCGCCATGCAGCGGGACGTTGCATAACTTCATCTCGTCGAGGAATTGCGCGACCTTAGGAAGATCACCTAACCTTGCTCCATAATGATTAATTAAGAAGCGATATGTCTGTAGATCTGGGGAAATCAACGCGGTCTTCTGGAAACTGGATCGCATCTCGGGGTGTTTAGTCCCAATTTTTGCAAACATCATAAGCACCTTGGTGATGACCTTCTGCATTGTGTAGTTGAGATCCGGTAACACCTCAGTCCCTCGAGCCGACTCTCTCATTTTTTCATACACCCTCTCGGCAGATGATTCCTCTCCGCATCTCAGAAAACCAGATATGACGCAATTCAGTACGGTTGAGTCTATAACTTCGCTAGACTCGACCATTTCTTTATAAGCAGCCCTTACGCCACCAGAATCCAGTTTAAGACCGAAGAAGTGGATGAGACTGACGTGGTGATATCGGTTGAATTGGAAACCTCGCGTACCCATTTCTTGGTAGATCATCTCCGCGAGACCGAATTTGCCGGCTTTTGATGCCACATCAAACAGGATATTAAACGTGACTTCGGATCCCCTGATGCCGGCTTCATGTTCCATTTCACGCCAAATCTGAAGCGCCGCTTCGACTTCTACCTCTGTTGATCTCCCAACATATCGACTCGCAAACGACATGGCGGTATTCCATTCAGGTCTAGTCAAGGGGAAACCGCCATTCTTTATGTCTGTCACGACAGTAAAATATCGTAACATAGACTTCGAATTTCTCTTCTCAGCCATGCCCAGTACTGCGAGTAACTGATGTCTCAACCTAGCTGTGATTTGAAGTATTCGAGGCTCCATAAGTGACAAGTATAGATCATATACCGTGTCTAAATCTATGGACGCAGGGCGCCTGAGCTTAAGAAGTACGGCTTCTTGTAGATTTCGAATTCTTTCGGCTTGCTCGGGATCCATTGTCTCCCTGGGGTGAACAGACTGGAGGTCAGCATCTTCGGCCCTGTCGGAGACGGTAAGATGTGGACCATCGGCAGGCGCAAATCTCCGCATGTAAGGGTCCCTTAAGAACTCAAGATGCTCCTCCACAGTCGTATCCTCATACGACCCAACGATATCCAGAAGCTCATGTTTCGGCCGAGTTTCTTGTGATAGTGAAGGGCTGATAGTATTGTGCGCAGATGCATGGTTCCATTTACGGTTGGAAGGAAGATTCGGTTTGAAAAAGCCGGAGTTCCAAGGGCGACCCCGCGATGATGCTATCGTCGAGCTGAAAGATCTCTTGGAAATAGAAGCACAGGAGACATGATGCCTCTTTCTATCCCGCCCCGTACAGAAACATCTAGCGATAGCGGGGAAGCAAGTACATGCGGCTTCCGTGTAATCATCACGTATTCTTGTGCGATGTAATGAGAGAGTCAAAGTGGAGCTTGGCGAGGGTCTATAAGAGCGTATCGCGCCGTAAATCGACCCGTCAATTTGAGTAAAGATTCTCATGAGCTGTCCCGCATGTTGGTCCGGTCATGACAACTTCTCTAAGGAGCTGACGACAAGAGTATCGTATAACAAGGAAGTAGGGATATCGAAGTTTTCGTGACGATATGTACGAGTAGAATGATAGAATATGATATGCCCCCCCAACTTATCGAAAAATTAAATGCGATTGATAAAAAAGTTCTACAGGGGTCCCTGGTTATGATTACGATAAGGTACTTATTCGGATAGTGAAAAAGTATCCGCCAAGTACTATACCTTACTTTTTTGGTGGCTTTGATTGGTTTTATAATTGGATAGTACAAAAGAGCAAGCTAAGCTACTTAAATGTTTGTACCGAGGGGAGATGAGTACCGGAAAATCGATTGTTCCAATTCTTCAAGGTCCACCTAAACGCTCAACTGCGCAGCTTTCACTTTGATTTTCCCAAGACGAAATCGCAGAACATCGAACTTAACCGCACGCGAATCCTTAGCATAACGCCAATTGCTTAAACGTCGCCATCTCCTGTACATATAAAGGGTGCATAATTCCTAAGGATGCATCATGGGCGGTCAAAGGCAGATTAAGCCCCGCCAGGTCTATCAGACCATGACCAACCTGTTAAACCATCGAATATTTCCCGTTGCCAAAGTCCAACAACCAGTATGGTACAAAGTCGTTGAGTCCATACCTCCTCCCGAAATCCTCATACGGACACTCCCACCTCAACATCGAGAGCCTAACCCAAAAATGCGGAAGCCGAGCAAAATATTCAAACCGCAACAAATAACATACGAGGAAGATGGGCTACGGAAGACCTTCTTTAAAGACCACCCTTGGGAGTTGGCAAGGCCGAGGATGATCATTGAGATGGACGGAAAAGATGCGCGGAGATATGACTGGTCCAAGGGCTTAAGACAACCTGGCATGCCGCTATGCGGAGAGTGGTATTTATCCCTAACAACACGTACGGGAAATCCCTAGGATATGAATTAACAAGTCTTTTATAGTGTCGTTCAATATCAGATGTGGATGATGCACAATATCCCAGGTATAACAAAAGAGGAAGCATACGACAAAGCACGGCACGAGTTCTACGGGCTACGACAAGAGGAAGAAATTGAGCGAAGGATAGCCAAAGAAGAGGCCCAGATGGTAGGCGCATACTTTGGCAAGACCTTCATCAGAGTTGGTTTGGATCTCGAGGACGACCAATTCGAGAGATGGAAGAAGTGGGCCAGCAAGCAAATCGAATCGGTACAAGCAGAGCGGGACGCAGCATACACGTCATTTGGTGTCGACGAAGATGCCAATGTCGATGATATCGACTTGGACGAAGAAATGGGCATAAATGAGGATGTGGAAAAACCTCCACCAGAGTAATAGACTCGGTAGCATCCATGGATATTTCGCATATATTCAATGTAGCACCAACTGTACAAGTCCCACACACATATCCACCACCACGCCTAGTCCGGTCGACTTTGTGACTCTCGTAGAGTCGGGATATAAGATGAAAACACAATGCGCGCTTGTTCCTCCTGAACGACGGATGCTCCTTAACTCCACAATGGGTATCTCCTCAAACTACAGCCCTTCTGGTGCGGTTCCTCCTAACTGTTCTATCCGTTGCAGATAGGTTTGTCGCTATAACAATTGCGTTAGTAAGCGGTTGTGAAACTCGTCGCTTTAACAACTCACGATAGATTTTAGTTTTTCCCGATCCTTCTCTCTCGATGCTCTGTCGACGAGCGCGGATAGGAGGACGCATGATTCTTGGTAGTATTTTCGAGCGAAGGTATAAGATTGAGTATTATCAAGTTGAACCGCGGTATTCGCTTTCGCCAGCGCGGTGGCTAACATTGCCTTCGACGAAGGCATCTTGGGGAACTATGATCTGAGTCAAAAAAGATGTTGTTCATGTTTAAAATGAAACTGAAACTCGTCCGGTGTCAGTGATATATGAGGAGAAGATGCGATGATCTGATGCGATCTGATACAAGGGGGTGCGGGTACCCGCATATTCGCTTAAGCAGCTGCCAAAATGCGTTTATGTGGCGCGGTCCGCTTTTTTAGGTAAGTTAAGCTTTGCCTACAGCTTCATACCGGTTATTCAGTCCAACTTACAAGGGAGGTAGAGTGAAAATAGACACTTATTTAAATCTCATTCTTATTTACCCCTATAACCGATTTGAGACCAAATTCATACCGCGAAAATAAACCGACACGATGACCAGTGACGGTCATAAGAGGACATTCCTCTCACTCCTCGAATCATGCGATAAGTATGTAAGTCTCCTAACTCGAATCTCACGCAACATCTAACTAAACCCCCAGTTTCCCCTACGACATCGTACCAAGTGAAGTATACTACCAGCTCTTCCTCCCCAACGATGTCCAGCCGCACGGCTACCTCCTCCCGGAAACCGTGCTCAAAATGCCCTGGACTCCGGACTTCCTCGTTTTGCACATTCACCCGCGCAGCGTCATCGTGCTGGACTCATCTAACGGCGCGGATACCCCCGGCGCAGTGAATGCTGCCTTTGCGCGGCTTATAGACACATGTATCGAGCAGGATACGTTCCACGTCATTGCCCGCACCCACAGCGAGCCCTTCTCTATCCTAAGCGCGCTGTACCCCGTCCACATGGAGCGCTTCGCCTCCGCGTTGTTCGGGATCACTAGTCAGGGCGCATATATAACCGCGTATACGAAGGCAGAGGATGGAAGCATGCGATTGTGGATCCCGAGGCGGGCGAAGCATTTATATACGAGTCCCGGGATGCTAGACTCGACGGTGGCGGGCGGGATCCGCGACGGTCATTCCCCGTTAGACACGCTGATCCATGAAGCGGACGAGGAAGCCTCGCTGCCGGAGGAACTGGTGCGCGAGCGGGTGCAAAGTGTGGGCGTTTTAACGTATGTTTCCATAACGGCGGACGGGTTCCCGGGGGAGAAGGGGCTGGTTATCCCGGACATCATATACGTACATGATCTCGAGCTGCCGAGCGATGTTGTTCCGAAGCCGAATGATGACGAGGTGGAGGTGTTTTACTCGATGGGTGTTGAGGAGGTGCGCGAGCGGCTTTTGAATGGCGAGTTTAAACCGGATTCTGCGGCGGTGTTGATTGATTTCTTTATTCGGCATGGGGTTATTACGGCGGAAGGAGAGCGGGATTATATTGAGTTGAGTACGCGGTTGCATCGGAGGTTGCCGTTTAGGACGCCTTTGAAGAGGTAAGATAGGGGGTGGGGGGTGGGTGATGGTTTTAGACGGGCGGTGTTATGGATGGGGATAGAGAGATTTGGCTTAGACAAGGTAAATTATTGATATTTAAGGGTAAAGAAGTGTGTCATCTGAAGACGACTAGCCTCCTATTTTACTCATCAATGTTTCGATGTTTACGGTTTTACTAGTATTAGAATCCATACATAGTAGTCTAGACCACGACGAGGATGTCCTAGTAGTATCAACATGTGCTCGTTGACATTGATTACAACTTTGAGTCTAGCCATAAGCCAGCGAAATGCGACACGACGAAACGGGGTTCTTATTTCAACTCATCATGGACATATAAGTCCATGTGTTTCGTTGCAAATAGACAGAACCATAAACCATAGCCGTAACTCAAGTTTCCCATGAATAGTCTGCGCTATCCTAGGTATCAGGTTTTCTTGCGTCACAAGATAGTCAGCGATGACGACTAATTCACGGAGAATGAAGGATTTTGATCACACACCTTACGAGATCCGCGAATAATCTCTTACGCAGGACGCGTGCTAGCACGATTAGAGCGACCCGGCATGGCAACGAAGTTACTATTGTAGTACTCATTGGAACTTAAACGGCGAATGATACCCTCGTACTGAACGATGAACACGTCGGCCAAGGTTAAATACTTAATTAACTTGCCGGACATGCTCAGTGACTTGACACGGGCCCAACTCTCGACAAATATCGTTTTCACGTAACTGTCGGGGACGACGAAGATCATCTTAAGCCAGTGGGCGGCTAGGAGGAACATGAATCCAGCGCCGGGGCCGTCAGTAGCGATCACGCCGGGATACTGGGATGTCGTGGTCGTATGGCGGCCTGGCGCGGTGGTCATGATCTTGAACATCTCGACTAGGGAGAGGAGTGCGGTGAATGGTGTTGTCAGCCAGCTCTGGTGAACGGCACGAGGTCGATGGAAGAATTCGATGTCGAATGTGCCAGCACTATCCTGCTGTCCGAACTTGCGTACGAGGGAATCCTCGAACTCCATGACCTTGTCATAACTCATTCGGTCACCATAGCCGATGGCCCAGCGTCGGTGAGAGCGTAGGTTGCGTGGTCGGATACTACGGTCAACCATACGAATCATCTCCCCCGTGTGGCCACCCGATCCACAGACAATCAAGATGTAATGGGGAACAGTTTTTGGCACCATTGACGGCCAGGCACCGTAGGTAGCGCCATGAGAGCGACGCGTGGCTATCACTAGTATGTGTCGAGTCTACCTAAGAATTAGCATGATTTATCATTGGGCCAGGAGAGTGATTTACCATAAGGAAAATTATCATCATGATAAACAACCAGATCCATGACTTCCATAGGAGGGCGGTTGACATGACGATCCAGACTTGAATTGGACGGGGAGATAGGAAGAGCACAACTAGGTGCCAGATGGCGAGAAGGAAGTCGATGATAAGCTTCTGGTTTAGAGGAGGTGGATCAACTTTGTCTCGAAGGCCCTCCATCTCGGCAAGGCAAAGTCGATGCTCTTCGTTTAATGAAGTGTCAGAATTGAGCTGGGCAACAGGGTCATCAACAGTGGACGAGTATAGCTCCTCTTTTGTTGGAGTGAGTGGAAGAGGTAGTTCAGTGTCATCTTGTGGGAGATAAGTAGAACTTAAACCAGGGAGAATTTCATCTCGCTCATTTTGAGGCTTTCCCTGCCCCTCGCGGCTGGGTCGCGGCTGGGTATCCATGTGGTGTTGTGGTTTGTGGCCAGTGTCCAGGAGCTGTGATAAGAGGACAACCTTATATGATGAGCGCGAATAGACTTCTAATGCGGGTTTGTACTATTTTTGATTGTGACGAAGACGGCAAGCATTCTTTGGCTCTAATATTGAGTGAACTACTATGTGGTTGATAGATAGAGACACTTTGTATGCCATCGGCGAACATAAGCTTGAAGTCTTTCTCATAAACCTCAAGGGTACTAGCATAACTTGTTAGCACATTGCATCTCATTTATTAAAGCATATGAAATCCAAAATCTAGAGACAATATAGAACATAAGTGTAAATGCAGGTCTGCTAAGCAATCTGTACTAAAGGATATTATAAGTTGGCAAACTAGACGTTCAGGAATCTCTATGAATATATGATATTATAAAGAGACCAGTAATAAAATGAAGTGATATACAGAACGAGAGCACCTTGGCTTGATCGTTTTACGGTAGTATGTAACAGCAGTGCACGTGGCAGCCCGGGGGTCTTGGTCCGATGTGAATCTCATCTTCTCCGGATTGTGTGTGAACTATATGACGAATCATCTCCAAGTCACTGAACCTGGAGCGATCCATGGATGTTCAAAGAAACGCCAGACTAACCTTAGATCACGGTGGAAATCAATTCCAGCTGCTTCAAATACCCATATTCACCGTTAGAAGCTAATAGCGAGACATTGAAGCTGTTGCGCGAATGTGGACACCCTGTTCTCGATTCTTGCCGATGATGTTTGCAGGATGTTTAAACGTTACCGGTACCTTGCGTTAGCTGATTAGCATGGTAGATGTGGATCGCTACAGGGTCCGAACCGATCTAATTTTGGCAGTTCTTAGCGTCCCAGCGCCTGGCTTAGCGTGCTAAGGCTACCGCAAAAACCGTCATTTTTACCGTTGTAACGCGTTCCTAACCTTATCAATATTATGGGTAACCCCTTATCGCGTTGATACCTGGGTCGGGTAAACCCCCAAAACGCGCTTGGGCAGCTCTACTTAGCATTTCAACCGGAACTTCTCCACTGTAACTTAGAAAAGTTCAAGCATCATATTTTTTGCTTCCTTCTTTTTTTCCTTCTAATTCTTGAAGCTTGCATTCAAGCTTGCAATACTCACGTACTAAACAAACCACCGTCACCCTTTATACTACAATCTTACTCTTTTCGTTGACTTCGGATTGGCTTCAAAACAATGTCGACCTTACGGTCGAGGAAGTACTTGAGTTGCTTCTATTGCGGAAGAAGATCCAAGTTTCGATTTGAAGGCCAGAAGTCATTCGACTGTACCAACTGCGATGCGACGAATTGGCTGGACGATGTAAGCATACTCACTCTCTGTAATATCAAGATGATTCTAACCAGGTCGTATCGTAGTATGGAGAAATCACAGATCCACCTTCCTCACCGTCAGTTATCGAGCGCAGTCGAGTCCAGTATGCCATCCCTCGCCCATCGGCACCTCCGCGATCACTATCGCCAGATGCAGCCGGCTCCGAAGAATCGATCTTTTGCGACACGTGCCTAAGAAACCAACACATGCTTACAAGCTCGTTGGCGCAATTCGAGTGGCCGGAAGACCAAAGAAGCGCCGAGTATGTTTTGCGCGAGAAGAAATATTATGCTCTTCGAAAAGACCTCGAGAAGCGATACCCCCAGATGTGCGCGGATTGTGAGCCCAGGGTAGAAAAGAAGCTTCACGAAGCTAGCTACACGGCGCAAACCGACCATCTTCGCCGAATGATGGATCGCACGCGATCTCAACGACAAGAAGTAAAGCAACGAGGGTTTTTGGACGTCGTAGATACCTTTGGCAAGTGGAGCTGGCATCTAGGCTTCGCACTTCAATTCTTATGGCACATTGCTATGGTCTGGTCCCTCATTGTAGACCCGTATATCCTAGGTGAAGCGGGAGCGAACTCACGAGTTGCTACGGCCCTGAAGGGGATACACCAGCTTAGCTATGGCCGACTACCACGACTGCCTCAAGCGGACTCATATATGAGATGGGCAATAAACCTAGGCCTATACTCATTGCCATGGAATCCGCGCTTCAAGCAGACGATCAGGGGTTTCACGGCACACTACCTCGGGTTCAAGCATTGGTACACATATCAATTGTTTATTCTACTCGTGCGATATGCTGGTATCTCCATGGCACAGTATAGTTCTTTGAAGGGATCGCAAATCTCAGCGCAGCTAGGCGCACAACTTGCTATCGCCTTGTCAATGACCTACGTGAGTACTTGCACACGGAATTTATATGTGAAATCATATTGACATAACGCGCTAGGTATATCATGCGTCAAGAAGATCCATCCATACAGACACAAGTCCTCTATTTCGGCAATATTCCAAGGCGAATAGCCCACGAACGCCCACCGCTAGATCGGAAGCGAAGCCAGAGCCACTCAGAGAACAAAATGATCTTGGAAGTGCCCTAGATGAGATAGCCCAATCTCCTCCAAGACCTCACAATGGATCTACACAGCGCTTTGTTCGGAGTTCGAATAACTACGGAACTACTACAAGTAATGGAATGTTTGGCGGTGTACACGAGAGATCGCACAGGAACCAGTCCTCTGAGCCTACCTTTGGTTCTCTGCATCTGTCAGACCCGATCATAGTTGATAAGCCTGAGCCTCAGGTTGTCCAGTACGACGAAGAGATGGATTGGACGCCGTCTGCTTCGCAACATCGAGCCTTCAGCGAATACAATCCGTATAGGGTCAAGAACACCAACCCGCGTTTTAATGACGCGCCGATTGAACCCAAATCTGGACCGATCTGGTATAAAGTCCCTCCAGCGCCAACCAACCCGGCCCAGAGGATGCGCAACCCTCCGATGCGCCCGATTATTAGAGAAAGTCCGAAAGAGAAGAAAGAGAACTTCTTTAAATCGACTAGAGGACCTGTTGACATGGGATCGTCGAAACAAAACAGCTTATCGGACATCAAGTTCTCTGATCCCAAATTCTTCGCGCCGGAGGATAAGGATGACCCTAGAGACGGTCTTTCCAAGATGTTCGCTAGCTCTTTTAGCATCAGCCCTAGCCCGGATGATGCGGCTGTTCGAAGCTCTAGACTGAAGGCCACAGGATCTTTCTTCAAAGCTGGTCCTAATGCATCAGATGCGCCAAATCGTCGCACCACGCGTTGCGTTGAGCTGGTCGTACTCGTTGGCGCACTCTACGGTTGGATACTAGCGCTAGGCACCCAAGAACAGTACGGTTTAAGCCTCGCTCTAACTTCAGTTATTGCCGGTCTAATCGTCTCTATACGATTGGCTGCCGATTTACAAGTTGATGCTCAGATCAGAGACGGAAAGCAGCCGTCGATCTTTGAGCCATCGTGGGCCAATTTAGGATTGGTGCAGGTGCTAGCCTCTCTCATCCTCGCCTGGAGCATTTGGTCAGGGAGCGGAAATAATATCCCCTGCCGCACATACGGTAGCGCTCACTTTACGATTGCTATCATTCATCACATGTGGCATACGTTTGTGTAGGGGATTGGGCGATTGACGGCCCACAATGGGATCAGGGTACTGAGAAGGATTTGCACAACCCAGCACGTGAAGTTGGGATAAATGTACCACAACACCGGTTGATGGTATAGGACTGTGTCGTACATACATTATTGTACATACATGTGTAGGTTGAACGAAGGGTGGAATGGTAGTTGTTTTACATGGTGCATAGCAAGGCGTTTTTCGGGTTCCGCGGGGATAGCATTTACGGACTGCCGGTGAATGAAGAGACCGAAAATACCCACGCATCAGGATTCCGGGTACTTGGAGAATAAGAAATCACAGGACTCAGGACTCAGGAATGTACATATAATCCCTAGGTGCTGCATCGAGTGGTCAATTGATGATAAAAATCGAGTGCCTAATTTGCAATAATGACCTCCCTCTTCTGTTGTATTAAACGAAATAAATATGGAACCGAAAAAAAGGTCTATGATGACGATGGATCCTAAAAAAGTTGGTCAACTGATGGACGTCCATAAACAATCAGATTTTAAGATTAATTTGCACGGCATACGAAATGCAACATAAGGAGATCGCGGATCCCAAGAAGCCGGCACTAAGGCGGTACGTAGGTACTTACCTATAGTAGTCCTAGAGGTAAACAGGGGATCATACGATAAGGATATGCGATAACGCCACTGTCAGGCAGTGTCCAGGTTAGCACTTTCGATCGCGTCTATTTTACTGCGTAGCTGACAGGTGAAGCTTGCAAACTTTCAGGGTTCATTTTATTCTGACAGAGAATGATTGGACCCCTTTAAAAAATTGAACACTGCTATTAGTCCATTAAAATCCGCGTTTCCTGCAATTGTTTTAACTCCTATTCTTTCCGAGGAACCTCATTTTTTTTCTTTCAACCTTCTGTCTCTTTACAGGTTGTTTCATCGTAGCTTTATCTGATTTTCTAGACAGCTGGGTTTCCTCCGCTCTCTAGTTAATTGTCGCTCCTTAGATTTAGCTACAAAACTCCCCTCATCATCAAGATGCCTGGGCGAACCTTACCGACACTCACCCAAGCCGAGGTCGAGTCGCATAACACCGCAAAGTCCTGTTATGTTACCATCGGTCCCAATGTTTACGATGTAACCGACTTCGTCGAATCCCATCCCGGTGGTCCCGACCTAGTCCTTGAATATGCCGGAAAAGATGTCACCGATATTCTCAAAGATGACGACTCTCATAAACACTCCGACTCCGCCTACGAGATATTAGAAGAGTCGCACATCGGAATCTTAGGAACTAAAAAAGTCAATGGCAACGCGCAGAATGGGAGTGCTACAGGGTCCCAGGCCAACGGAGAGACTCCTTTTGTCCACCCCCGGACAGGCATGTCCTGCGAGGAGGATTTGAGCAAGGAGACGGACTATGGCAATGATTACAAACAGCACAAGTTTCTTGACTTGAATAAGCCTCTCTTGATGCAGGTATGGACTGGTGGTTTTAGCAAGAGGTTCTACCTGGACCAGGTCCATCGGCCGAGACATTACAAAGGAGGTGCTTCTGCGCCTTTGTTCGGAAACTTCCTCGAGCCGCTCAGTCTAACTCCTTGGTGGCTGGTGCCTATTATCTGGTTGCCTCCAGTTGGGTACGGTACCTACTTGGCTTCCCAAGGATTCGAAACTACTTCAGGGGTAGTTGCTAGTTGGGTGCTTGGTCTATGTCTATGGACTCTCATAGAATACATTCTGCACCGATGTCTTTTCCATCTTGACGAGTATGTTCCATCACATATCAACTACAGACCATAAACTAACATGGATATCTAGGTATCTACCGGACAATAGGGTCGGAATTACACTGCACTTCCTGCTTCACGGTGTCCACCACTATCTACCAATGGACAAGTATCGTCTAGTGATGCCTCCTACACTCTTTCTAGTACTTGCGACTCCTTTCTGGAAATTGGCACATTCGCTATTCTTCTGGAACTGGTACCTGGCCACCGCTGTTTTCTGCGGCGGTATCTTCGGATATATCTGCTACGACTTGACGCACTACTTCCTTCACCACCAGAACCTCCCTCTCTGGTACAAGGATCTCAAGAAGTACCACCTTGCCCATCATTTCCTAGACTACGAGCTGGGCTTTGGCGTAACCAGTCGGTTCTGGGACCAAGTATTTGGTACCGAGCTGGTCACCGTGGTCAAGGCAAAGTAAGATGCTACCACGGCTTCGGCCAAGAGGCTTATTCAAACCAAGACGGATATGGCGATACGTGTTGATCGCTCACAAGGTGCAATGACTGAGGACCGGGGTTCTCGGAGGTTAGGTCGGCAAATAATGGCGTTCGGTCGAATATCAGGAGATTATGGAAATACTCAGCTTAACCCATGCTCGACTTTTAATAATTAATTGCGTGTGTTTAGTCTCCCTTGATACACCTACTGTTTTCTGGCGGTGAAGATGATTCGATGGGAAGAAAAGGAGCATTTGGGTAACACCAGATCGGCAACTACTTGTATATCCAATGGCCAATGGAACATGAAGACTTACGAAGGATTATGCAAAATGCCAATAACATATCTGATACGTACACAATCACTTATGCAATTTCTTAACATTTCGGTGAAATTTTGAATTAAGTTTTGAGACCACGTGTGTAGGCAGCTAAGGTTGCTAAGGTTTCACCTTAAACGTCAAATGATGAACTATGCAGGAAGAAGGTCCGATGTCTTAGCCTTTTAACTAAATACACTCTTATGTAAGCAAGCCTTGTCACTCAGGTAGCCGCTTTTCCCGAAGAACGACCGAGAAATCATTTTACGCAGCCCATATTATTATGCAGGCGTCCTCTTCCTGCCACCCCTCCCATTTAATCGTTTGAACATTTGAACTTTCATTTCCCAACTTCGATTCATCGACATCGTCCATTCAATCCCGCTATCGGGCTGTAAGTTATTCCATTGCCTGACTAGGTTTATCTATTCTCTTTTTACTTTACCGATCAAGACGATTACTTGGTCAGCCATAGTTTATACGCAAAGAAGTCACATCTTCAATTTTCAATTCGATCTGACTGATCGGAAGGCTTCAAGATGGCTACTCTTGATGTCGAAGCCTTGCTTGACGCCACTGCCACCAGTAAGAATGACGTCAAGGAAACTCGATCAAAAGATTCAGACGACCGTATAAAACCCGACCGAAGTGAACGTAGAGAACGCGACCGCAGCCCCGGCCGAAGACGCGATCGTAGTGTTGATCGAGCACGACGTGATCGCGGTGAAGAGAGAGAAGCTACACCACGAAGCGATGCAGGTAGTCACAAGAGTAGGCGAAGAAGTCGGAGCCGTGATGATGATCGTCGACACTCACGTCGTCACAGAGGAGGTGATGGAGATTTCTATCGCAGCGGTGGCCGTGGCCGAGACCGTTCTCGCTCGCGTTCTCCCCGTCGCCATTATCGTCCAAGAGACGATCATCGCGATCGCGAACGTGATGATCGCAGCTTTTACAGATCCAGAGATGAGGAGAGACACCGCGGAGGACGTACGCCGAAGCGCGACGCCACGCCCCAGCTGACCGAAGACGAGCGAGATCGCCGTACCGTATTCGTCCAACAGCTAGCCGCTCGCCTTCGCACGAAAGAGCTTAAAGAGTTTTTCGAGAAGGTTGGCCCTGTTACCGAGGCCCAGATAGTGAAGGATCGGATCAGTGGAAGATCTAAAGGGTAAGCATCCTGATTCCTTGCCATTTTCGTCGCTAACGATCATAATGTAGTGTCGGTTACGTTGAATTTAAGAACGAAGATTCCGTCACTGCTGCTCTTCAACTCACAGGTCAAAAGCTCCTAGGTATCCCAGTCATTGTACAACTTACCGAAGCTGAGAAGAATCGCCAAGTTCGCACTACCGAGGGCTCCAGCTCTCACGCCAATTCGATTCCCTTCCACCGCCTCTACGTTGGAAATATCCACTTCAGCATCACAGAGCAAGATTTGCAAAACGTATTCGAACCCTTCGGCGAGCTCGAGTTCGTCCAACTCCAGAAAGATGATACTGGTCGCAGCCGCGGTTATGGATTTGTTCAGTACGTCGTCACCTATACACAAACATGAATCAGAGTTGCTAACTTATTTACTAGGTTTCGTGAGGCTGACCAAGCTCGTGAAGCGCTCGAGAAGATGAATGGGTTTGACCTTGCTGGTCGTCCGATCCGCGTTGGACTTGGTAACGATAAGTTTACCCCTGAGTCAACTGCAAATATCCTACAGAGGTTCCAGGGCCAAAACCAACCATATCAGGGATCCGCATTCTCCGGTGCTGGTGGACGAGGTCCCCAAGCCTCTGGGTTTGACCGAGCAGGAGGTCGTGACAACGACAAGGCAACCGGCGCTAGCGCCTTAGACGATACTGATGTTGCTGGTGTCAATTTTAACAACTACAGTCGTGATGCATTGATGAGAAAGCTTGCTCGAACAGACGATGCTTCTAACGGAACTCGTGATGAGAGACAGATTCTCAAGCCCAAGACAGAAACCAAGCCGTTGCCTGTTAACGTTAACATGGCCAGTCGATGCGTCGTTCTACACAACATGTTCGATCCTACTGAGTACGTTTTCCCCACCAATCCTATTTTTATGTGTGGATGCTAATTAGTGACTACAGAGAAGAAGGTGAAGTTTGGATTAAGGAGTTGGAGGATGACGTTCGACAGGAAGCGGAGGAGAAATATGGACATGTGGTCCATATTTCCCTCGACCCGAACTCTCAGGGAGATATATATCTCAAGTTCGACAAGGTTCAAGGAGGCGAGAACGCCATCAAGGGCTTGAATGGCCGTTATTTCGGTGGACGAATGATCAGTGCTGCGCCTGTTGTGGACGCCGTCTACAGCAGTTTGTTCTCTCGTACCAAGGCTATTTGAGATGCTAATAATTGGCCTGGCCACTCCCGTTCTAGGAACTCTCGCCGTAAGTCTTAATTACTTGATATTTGAATGAGGTCCCGTTCTAACTTTGACTTAGCCATCATCACAACCGCACCATATTCTCTATGAGGACATCAAGCCAGATGCAGGCTTTCACCCATTCGCCTGTCAACTTGGTAAACAGTACACTCGACAGATCTCTTCGGCGAGGTCACGCGACAATTCCCCAAATCATTATATGCAACCAAATTTTCACGCTGATTCTAAAATAGCAACCCCATTCCGGATGGACATGCGTCCTCAATTGCACGTCGGCAACCCCCCTACTGATAATTGTGTCAAGCCGACTTCTGTCTTCGATCGTTTTCGTCGAATCGGAGAACGTTCGTTGGTCTGCTGACTAGGACCAAGCTAGGTAATTAGATGTTGGTAGTACTAAATCATTTGATTTTTAGATATATTATTCTCTCTGCCCTTGGTGATATTGGTATGGAAACTCCCGGAAGACTGCTTGTGTCAACCTCTGACTCCACCTGTAGATTTCGCGTGGCATTTCCGGATCTGCGGGTTACGCTCCGGCCCCAGTCTTCAATTGAGTTGTCCTAGTTCGATTCATTGGAGATACCATAGACTGACAAGCTGTACCGCTTCATAGGAGGTATACTTGCGCGCATTGCCCGTCGTAGACGTACGACTATCCACATAGGTAGGTAACTTGTGCTCCGAATGCTTCTGTTAGAGTGGGATATTTACATTCTAGGTAGCCCTCATTTGTAGAGCTCTCGCAGAAATGGCTAGTGCCAACACTTCACCGGATTGAACCGTTTTTCCGGTCAGTAAGGGACGACATAACGACACGACGAATATGCCAATATGGTGCCATCTCCACTTGATCAGCCGAGGCCCACGTACGCCCTCTGTTCGGCTTGTTCCTTGTAAGTTGCATCCGTATACGCGTATCGCTTTCGCGAGTAGGTGGGTCATGATTCTTTGGTGATGGTTAGCTTGCCTATAAACGGGTTTAGGTTTTCTTACGCGCGACAAAATGACGTTATTGTCGAGACTTACGAGAGGTTTTATAATAGCGAGACGATGTTCGACGGCGTGGGTTGTATATGGAGGTATGTATATTGCCTGCAGATTGCTTAAACGTTGCTATGATTCGACACACAAACTTGATAATAAGGATCCCCTCTGATATTATGGTAAATAATATTGAGGGAAGATGTGCTCAATATGTAGGTCCTCTATTGTTTGACAGCATTCCATGCCAGTCTCGATATATTGTTGCTTCTCTAATGAAGCACTTAAGTATCTGCTGGTGTGACATAGATGTGACGTTGGTTAAAGGGGCCACGGCGTCTACAGTACTTCACCTAAACATATTCCCAGATCTAATGATAAGCTTGAACCTAGGGTTCAATTCTCTCTTCTTCCCGTCGAATTTCAGCTACTTCGCCGGTAAATGCTAGGATCGCGAGGCCTTGAAGATCATTGCTACAAGCTGTAGCAAAATGGACGGACTTTCCCCAACGCCCGCCGAACGCCACTATCACTATCTCCTACAAACGAGTCTCGCCTGGCTACGTCATGGTTGGCACAGAACGCATCGAACTCTTGCGAATCGCTGTGTATCGTCTCATAGATATGAGGTGCTTTCACATCAAGTATTGCCAGCGATGTTCGCGATAAGTGAGGTTTTGATCTATTTCAATATACTCCCAAGGCAGTTATTTTCGTAACCTTCGCAGGTGCCTTCTAGGTAAGGCCGGTGCATGTCCATAAATCGGGCACTCGGCAAATAAAGCATGTATTTTTACCAATTCCCTGAATACTAGAATGTCTCCCACAAAACTCTCACATTTATTTTATTATCGGTGATTTTTCTCAGAACTCAACTCTAGTCGTTTACTATTTTCTTTCCAACTATCAAACAGGCGAGTCTCGATGCTCTTGACGCTCACCCTTATATTACAATGATTAGCCAGGTAAGTATAAGCACTATAAAACAATCATTTAGTAACATAATTATAGGTAACATCGCAATAGATTCATCGTCTCGGCCATCATTGGATTTTTTGTCCATCATGGGGCTTCAAGCAATATGGACTGCGTGTTCTCTACACGGGTTCGGATCCGACGCCTTTGAGGGCGCTACGGTTATCCAATTCCCGAGAAATCTTCCAAGACTGATTGTTTCCTACCTCGTATTCAACGAGCTCAGAAATTATATCGCTTGGTCATTTCACCTATCCATGATTGCCTATATCGTCCATATTGTGCAAGACCGATGCTTCTACTAGGACACGCCATGATGCACAAGGCCAAAGCCCTCGTCATTTCTTATGGCGTGTCAAAATATTCGGCAAGCCAAGGCTGGGTTGAGTAGGTACCCACGGTACCATGCTCCCTGCTATCCATCGGCACCGCTTCAATTGAGGTGTGTTGAATTTCCTACTACATGTCATTAAGTAGGTATGTATCACTTTCGACTCCAGGTACACCCTTTTTTCTCGCTTGATAATACTATATCCCATATCTTTCGCTCTCTTTCTCAACAAACCTAAATACGTAACCAAAGTATTATATGTGCAGCTTCTCCAGATATCCCTGATTCCGAGATGATGTTTTCCAACACGTGCTAATAATGGACTCTAGCATTCAATGTGTCAGTCAAGTTTGTGGAGTACTATACTACACAATCAGCAGTATTCGGTCTTTGGATAGGAGACCTCAACATAGACACTCACATCATGATAAGCTCAGCATCACTTTTTAGAGACATTCGGCCACATCAAATATTATTGTGAGCCTTTCATTGAAAGCCAAGCTACCCTTTCGGCTGGAGAAGGGTTTTTTTAGGAGAGGTAAGTCTTTCATGTTTATATCCATTTACAATATAGTATTCTTACCCATACTAACTCTGTATTTAAATATCAGCCATTATTAGGCCTATCCAAGTGCCCACTCCAGATCTAAGCTTGAGCTAAAGCGAAAGACACGTTGCCCCTGAATCATATTCAGACTTCTATATTTGATGTTAGGGGTGATATAGAGCCATGAGCCTTGTCCTGCCTATGACACCGTCTTGGTCCCCAGGTCCATATATGAACTGGGTTAATCTCCACGTCCTGCTCAGCCGCGTAGCGGCTCAACCTCATGGTATCGGCCGCGACTAGGAGTTGTAACCACAACGACACCGAGCAACCACTTCCCGACCATAGCTCATCGACGATGATATATCTGGCAATGGGTACTTTCAAGGGAGTACTGTACATGCGAGGAAGTACGCTGGGTACCTTGAGGAAGTACCCCTGATTTAATACATTACATTTCATTTGTATTTCTATGTATTTTCTTGATCTTGACTGCGTGATTGAATGTTAAATCGTTCACTCTACCGACTCCATTTACTGATTACACTTGCTACGGATCCTCAGCTCTACGTTATATCTTCACTGCTTTCTGGCCACTTCGCTTTCTTCTTCCTTTCTTCTTCACAGACCCTACCCATCATCATCTTCGCTCTTCCACCCAACCCACACAACTTGTTCCGCCTGTGCCTGCGCAGCTCTTTTTCTGTCACGCATCAATTCACGCATACTGCTTCACACATACTCTGTCCTTCATTCACATATATGAACCTTTTCACAAGTTTTGGTAAGTTTTATTAATTTCCTATCTCTATAATATCACGCATCACCTTCATCCGAGCAAGCGGTAGACACGTCCCCCAACGTTTACCCTCCACAAGTTTTTCCTATTGATAATTTCCCTACCCATCTTGCTCATCTTACACGTGTTTTCTACTTGTTTCACCATCCATTCCATCCTTTATACATCAGCTACAATATCGATTACTTCCTATACCTATCATCTATCCGTCATCCACCATCCATCATCCATCATCACAATACTAGTAAATCATATGCTGCAGACTCAAGTGCTTCTATTCACTTGACTGTAATGATACATAACTTGTTCCTCCCTTCTATTCTTCCTTGATATCCGGCTCCAATTCCTTGTTTACTTCCAACACGTGTTACATAAATTCATCTTGGTCTTACACTAACCAGATTTTTTCCTGCTAGACGAATTACTTTACGCTTTCATAGCAATCTGTCTCGAGCTGTCTGCTCTTTATTCTGTCCAGTAAGTAATCCTGCCATTATTGATCATTGGAAAAGAACACATCTAGAGCTATCATACTCTGGATGATGCTTTACTGGTGTTTTCGATCACACTTACTTCTCGAGCTATTCGTTTACATCAAAGCGGATACTCAACCGGAATTTTGTCATTCTTTTATATACTACCTCTATCAATTTCAAACATGCTAATACTTATCATTACAGATATGGAATCTACCGCCGCTTTTGATTTTGGTGATGGTAATGTAAGTCAGCCATTCAAAACATACATATTGACCTTCAGACACATATCACTCCTATTCTCATGATTTCCTACTCATGGCCTGTGCTTGCATTGAATAAGAGCTTCTGGAGCTGACATTGTATCTAGGAATTGACTACGCGCAGTTCTGATGCTACAAGAGAACTTGCTCGTAAGCATGGTGGTGTGATACCACCAGAATCAGATCAGACTGGTCGGTATTTCCAGCCTAGGTTCGTCACGTAAGTTTCATTTGTATCATACCCCCTTTAACATATATCAAGACTTCAAGTGAAGTGCTGTGCTTCACGTGATGAGATGCTCAGACCTGAAGTGGTGTGATTCTTGGTTCGCCATTTCCTCAAAGTTTACTACTCCGTACTTTCCCCCTTTCGGCACCAAAATCTCTTCAAAAAGGGGTTTAGGAAACAGCCTTCGGTGTCCATTCCTTCCCATATCATCACACAATTCCGTACCTGCTTCCGATTTATTGCACGCAATATAGGAATGATGCAATCGCAACTTCCTTTTGCCATCCGGTCCGTGTCACGGATGGCACGGAGCAGCTTCTCAGAGAACTACTATACCAACTATTTCCATTTCTATCATCTTCTATAACTCATATCGAGACTTTCAATATTTTTACTCACTGCTTCCTAATCTATTTAACACCGTCTACTTTCTCTCCCATTCAGTTCTTCCCTCAAACATCACTCAAATATCTTTACTCCCACAACACACTCCTTGCCTCCTCTACACTTCAAATCCACACACTACACCAATCCTACTTCTGAATTATTATCAAGGAACTCAATCCAGGCATCGCATCATTCACATATTTATTAATATTGATAACATCGAATCCATCTAACTCTCATCTTTTAGAAGAGACCCTCCTCCTAACGCTCTTCTCTATTCGTACGAGGAAAGTCAATCGAAGGCCGCAAGTAGTACAGACATGGCGACAGGAGGAGAAACATCTTCGAAGGCAGTCGAGATGGACTCTTCCAAGAATACAGAGAGGACTGTTCCCTCTGGAAGTGATGACGGGTCCGAAGAGATGAGACTCATGAGCGCGTCCGACTCTTTTGATAATCAGATCGGACAATACCGTCCAGTCTCGCGCATGGCGCACTCGTCTCGACCGGTTCCGTACCGATACGGCGCCAACACGTCCTACACACGAGCGCAAAATGCCGATGCCTATAGAAGATTCCATGAGTCCTTCTCAACGAGCCACTCTGGGCCCGTCGCACCTTACCAAGGTGGACAATCTAACGACGTAAGACTATCCACGGAAGATGTAAGTTCCTGATAAGCAGCTCATATTCCTATGTTACTAACTGCAAACCATAGGATTCGTACCAGGCAAGCCGAGAAATTGCGAATCGCATCTCGATGCTGTCCACTTTCCTCGGTCGTTCTCCAGGAATTGCGGGCGATCATACGTCCCACACGAAGCTGTTGACCGAGATCAGCCAGATCGTTACTTCTGCGATTTGTAACTTGCGATTCGAGCGTGACAACGCTCGAAGAGATGCAGACAGAGTGTCGCACCGAGCATTCCGTGACAATGCCACCTTTAGGACCGACAATCGTCGTCTTCAGGAAGATGTCAAGAAGATTCTCAATAGAGAGAAGAACCTGAAGCGAGAGTTGGAAATGGAACACTCGCGTCTCAATGCTATGAAGTATGATCTCGAGAATACCGAGAAGGAAGCCTTGAACTTCCGAGACCACCATGCGCAGATTCGAGTCGAATTTAAGAAGTCTGAGGAAACTCAGAGACTCCACATTCAGGTATGATATATTGCTGAATTTTGTGGGTGGTCTGAACAGATAGCTAATATGTTTGTCTAGTCTCTTGAAGGAGAGATCAAACGCCTTCGAATCCGAAATGCGCAGTTAGCCAAGTCTGCTGGCCAAGAGGTAGAAGACGATTCCATACAGCGACCAGAGTTCTCCCCGCCATCCGCTCCGGAGTCGCACAAGGCGGACGCACCGTCGGAATCAACGGAAAACCATGACTTTCTTTGGGGAATGCTCAAGAAGAAGAGTGATGAACAGAGTAAGCGAAGCAAATCTGAAAACTATGGCAACAAGAAGTTTGCGAACTCGCCTCAGAGTGCCGCTGCTGGCCCATCCGTCCGACGCAAGGATTCTTCATCGTTTAATCCCGAGGCGCCATCATTCCAGCCACCATTGTCATCGAAGAACTTGGCGGCCGTAAGCGACATGGGTCCCGCACCCAGCCCGATCGGAGGTCCGTCTAACTGGCCTGCATTACTTTCTCACAATGGCAAGACACCTGCTACAGGTCGCTCGGATCTAAAGCCTACGACTGTTGTCCATTCACCCCTCGAGAGTGGTGAGAAACGCCACAGCGGCATTACCCGCTTCAACAATGAGGCTTGGACTATTCAGGACATTGATCAGGCCCTCACGCGCTTGACCTTGCTCACGAAAGGCTACATTGTCCGATGTCATAAGCATGGTGAGCCGACGAAGGTCTCGCACAAGATGTTGTCGCGCAAGGAAGAGACTACATGGAAGTATGTCGTCAACCTGGTCTTTACGAACAACGTCTTCCAGGCAGAAAGTCATATGACCAATCTCTTGAGCATCCTGGCTTATCGCAGCTGTCTAATCATGCGAATCATCCAGGATTACCTATTCCGCAAGGTAATCTCGCCATCGATCTTCCTCGGCTTCAACGAGAAGCTCGACCAGCACCTCGCCGCTTTGCAGGACAGGATCGCGCAGTTTAGCCACCCCGACTACGTGTGCAATGTCCGCGACAGACAGGCCGTGTTGAAAGACCACGCTAAGATCGTCGATGAAGCGCTGAAAACCCCGGGTATGAAGGAATTCAAGACTGAGACAATTAACCGCCACACGCAGATCCTGACAGGCATCCTTCACCCGCTCCGCGCCGTCGACGTGACTGACAGGGATGCCCACGCGGGTATCCGTACCATTGTGACTCTCGGTTGGGACATGAGCACCAAGATCTGGACCTCCGGCATGATGCTGTCGTACTTCTTCCCGCAATGCGGCGTCCTGTTCTCCGAAAGCACCATGAAGGCTGTGAACCTCGATGCTTATCACGTGGGGACGCAGAAAGAGCTGCAGCTTATGCAAGCGGTGGTGTCTTTCGTCGTAACGCCCTCGCTATCCGTTCGCGACGACCGCGACGGCGTTAACAACGGGGTGCACGGGCTGAGGAAGGCTGAAATCATAGCTATGGATTAAGCTATGAGATTTCTTCTCTTATGAGCCCATCTGTCCGTTTGCGAGGACTTGCTTTGATGAGCCTAGGTTGCGGAAGTAATCCGTACAATACGTACTTCTCTCGTACCGGAAAGACGACCTTTACATATTACACAAGGCGTCATACATACACACATTACTTCGCATCCGCCTATGATGATTGCTTGCCGATACAGGCACATGCTTTTTGGACCATAGGCTTTTCACTGGTATCAGTCTTCGTTCGTACGAATCAGTTTTTCCTTCGGTTATTTCCTTTTCATGATTTCGTCGACTTCGGTACTCTAACCTGGCGGAGACCATCACGACTTTACGAGGGCATGAGTTCATGACAACAACAAGATACCCTCACACATTGTATTGCATTGCATTTCCTTGGCTTTTTATTTCGGGGTTTTCTATTTCAGTTTCTCGTTCGGTTTTTCATGCATTCTAGTGCTTCGACAACAGTCTGGATTCGGTTTCCATTTCCACGCAACAGAAAAACAGAAAATCCCGACATAAGAAAAAAGGTCGTCATTTCTGCTCGACCGGGCGGGCAATTCTCCTTTTCTCGCGCGCATAGCTAGCACCGACAACGTCTTGGCTATGATGGACCTTACGATACAATAGTGTATCCGAGGTTATACTCGCACATTTGCTCATTTGCGGATACTCTACGGAACGAACATCTTGGTCTTATCGCTCGCCAGATGCTTCCATATTCCCTTTGCCTTTTCGACGAGGCTTCTGATTTCTTTTTCACTCGACGTTTTTCATGACGCCATGGATAGGTAGTCATGATAGGAACTTGCTCGGATGGATGGTGGGATAGGAAAGGTATCGATCCTGGGTCTGATTGGCAGGGGTTCAGTTATCTCAACCGGTAGTCTTGCAGCTTACATAGTTCTTTGGCGGCCGTAAGGGGCCTGCCCAATGCATTGATTTCCCTGTAACCTTGTATTATGTCGATAAACTTGCTCTCGTGATAGTATGTGTAAATTGTATTTATTTATGGCCATGGGCGAGGCCGAGTGTAATTATTCCCTTGCGGGAATTGTATTTACGTAGTAAACCATCCTTCCAGGTAGGTCACATATCATCTTCATCTATGTAAGTATATGTCAAATACCTAAGGTATTTAGATATCATAGACAAAAGTCATAGATGAAAAAAATGATATCAATTTATTTACGCTGGGGCGCGAACGCCTAGACATGTAAATCCCCCACTAAGTCGAGATTTTCTCTAAACCACCACCAACCTGAAAAGTTAGTAGACGATAATAAAGAGCGAAGTCTAACAATACAACAAAATAGTATTTTTTTCTTCTCCTTTCTTCCCCTCTAACCCCCTACCCACCCAAAAAATCAAAGGAAAAAGGGTATCAAGTAAAAAACGAAGTGTAGCAATACCCTTTCCCTTCCATCCTTTTCTCTAACCATCCCCTCCTCCCTCCCACCTCCCAAGTATCCCATTCACCCCCCTAATTCCCCGGCCCATCAACCCTCACCAAAACCTTCCGATCCAACTTCCTCTTCACCGCGCCCAGCACAACCTTCAAAATCCCATCCGCAGTAAGCGTAGGCTGGTCCGCCTTATTCGCCGCATTAAACGTCGCCGTATCAACCATATCCCTTATACTCTCTCTCCGACACAACTCATCATCCAGCTCCCTCAACGCCAGCGTAGCGTTTGGGTCGCGCCCGACTTGGAAAAACTGGATCCCGATCTGGTGCGGCGGGGCGCGCATCTCGTCGAGTCGCCGCGCGGCTTGCGCGATCACTTCGCCGGGCTCGTCCGTGGGCTGTCCGTCGGTGATCACGATGATGTTGATTGGTCGCACGCAGTACACGTCCCCGCCTGAGGCCTTCACCAGGGCCTCGTAGTTCTTCAGGTATGCGCGCAGGATATGGTCGAGGCGCAGCCCGGTGGGCGTCGCGAGGCTCGGCCGCACGAACTTGAACATGTTGTGCACGACGCGCGGCTCCCGCACGCCCCGGTATCCGGACCCGACGGCGCCGCGGGAGGAGTCGCCCCGGTCGGTGGTCCGGTGGTTCAGGAAGTACACGTCTACCCCGTCCTCGTCGTGTTCCATGCAGATTGGTAGGATGGCTGAGATTGCTTTCTGCGTCTCTTCCCATCGACGCTCGGCTTTCATGGAGAGCGAGTCGTCGATTAGGAAGATTGTGTTGAATTCTTTTAGGAAGGCGTATTGGTCGTCTAGCACTGTTTGGGGTGTTGAGGCGGGGAGTTCTGGGGGAGGTTAGTTGGGCGTTTGGTAGATAGGGTTGTGTGTGCTGTGGGGATGATAGGGGGGTAGGGAATAGGGGAAAAGTGGGACAGGGGCTGTGAGATCTTACCAGATACTGCGATAGGCCCGTCCGTCGCCTCACTCGGGGAGTACGGCGGGGGAGGGCTTTGCTGTCTATGGCTGCGCGAGCTGGAGAACAGCCCGGTGAATATAGAGGCACGGCCTTGGCGCTCGCCGGAATCATTCTGGCTGCGGCCGCTAAGGCTCCGACGCAGTGAGAATCCGGAGGGGGAACGACTCCGATTGGAAGAGGAGCGACCCGTTCCTTCGGGAGTTAGGCGGAGCTGCTGAGATTGGCTCGGGCCTGTGTTAAAAGGATTATGGCTCATGGTGAAGTTTTGCTCGTGTCTGCATCTAGCGTATCGGCGTTGACTTGTGTAATCTGGGGTGTTTAAATTAGAGAGGGAGGAAGTTGTGGAAGTTGAGGAAGTCGATAAAGTCGAGGAGGAATAGGAAGAACCCCTAGTCATATATGGCATTGTGTCAGTTGGTTGCTCAGCAAGACTCAGATTTAACTGTCTGTCTTAGTTCAGAGTCTAATGTGGATGGCAAACAAATATGTGTCCGAGTTGGTACGTGTTTGCCTTTCCCCCTTTTTTCCTCTTTGGATGATGGTAATGATTTTGTAAGTTAGTTTGGATATTCTCCACACTTTACTTCATTTTAGAGTTGAACCAACACGGTACTCTGGGGGCAGTGTTTGTTGTTAGTTAACTTGAATTCTTTGTGATCTGAACGTGATATCTAAACTCATCATATTCTGTACTTGTCCGTAATTTATACTACCTTCATTTCTCATACTCATGACTCCTGTGGTGGCCACCTAGAATAATAGTGCCTTTCTCTATGCCTCGTCATTAGCATAGCCATTAACTTCTTTCACCTGAATGTTTCATGAGGTGGATGTCTGGAGATCGAAATATCGACGGCGAAGTACTCCTCATGCTACACTCACGAGATGTTTTCGGCGCGGCTGATACAATAGTGTCACGCTAATTCACTCAGCCTTGATGTGTCTTTCTATCCGTGGGGATGGGATGAATTCCAAACAAAGTGAGAAGGTTGGGGCTGAGCATAACTGTAACTTCCCCTAATGCACCGCCTACCTACAGGTAGGCAGAATCCGATTATTTGAACTCCTATTGGTCCAACCCCTAGGTACCAATAAGCCTATCTGCAAGGAACAATCCCTTAGGAACACCTCCATCAAGCCTGAATGCCTAAAGGCTCAGGCAAAAAACGGATTAGGCATAATTATTATACACCTTATGAAGAAATTATGTAACCTATATAATGACTTCTAATGGACTTCACTTCAATTCTATCGGGCCACAACGGTGCAGTAACTACAAGGAGAGATATGCATCTCCAAGGCTGAATATCAGTAATTCGGAGTTTAAATAACCCTCTAAACCCGTCTACGGATTATAATTCGGCATCTCATCGCTGAAATTCGGCGAGATTACTCTTAGTTGACGCCTGCTCTTCTAATCATTTCTATCATCTGCACATTATACTACCTATGTAGGGTATAACCTGCGATCTAAGATCGCACGATGATCGGATAGTTCGGCTTATAAACTTCCATAGCTACTGCGATGAAACGCATAGATTAGCTAGCCACGAGGCTTGTAGAGCCTCCTTTATACACCATCATCAGAACTCGCGCGCGCCTGTGCCGTGGCGTCCTCCAGGTCTGATATAGCCAGGCCTGGTCTCCCTTTTCAGCCGCCACCAACCAACCCCAATTAATAACAAGGCGTGTGGTGATTGCATATCTTTTCTCCGGATTCATGTACCCCAAGGTATACTTTTAGCCCCACAGGGGGGCCGTCACTTCGACGGCTCGTTCCACAACAGCCTTGACCCTATCCGCAAATGCTTTATGGTTGCATTCAACTTCTAAATCTTCTAGCCAGACCGTAGCCACCATCTTATCTACCTTGATAGTGACGCCCGGGACGGGGATGCCGATCTTGTGTAATCGTTCGAGCTCTGTCTGCTGTCGCAATTCCAGAAGCCGTTCCTCCTCCTCGCCGTCATCTGATAGCTCCATAGAAGCATCTGAAGCGGCGTCGTCGTCGTCGTCTTCCGATTTCTTGGGCTTCTTGTCCTTAACTAGAGGCGGCAACTTCGGAATTGCTACGGGAGCCAAGGCGTCGGCGCCAAACTGAGCTTCGAGAAAGAGGAACAGGCGTTCTAGCCGCTCCGCCGGAGTCAGGTTGGCGTGGGGGTTTCGGGCCGGTAGTCCATGGGAATGCGGATGCTTGCTCGCGGATCCTAAGTAATGTGTTAGTAATCTGGTTAGGCTGATGGAGTGGCAGATTGCTTACGCTTCACAGCAGCAGGGCTGCTCTCTACCGACAAGAGAACTGCCATTACGGCATCGGCAATACCGTCGTTGAGCATATTGCCCTCCCACTCTAATTCTACCTCACCGTTGTTGCGATATCGCACCGTGATACAGCCCATAACCAAGTACGCCGCCACTAATTGTGCAACTTCCTCGTCTGCATCAGGTAGCTTGCCATTCCCATTTGCTTCGGCATCGTAGTTCTCCTTACGGTTCTTGGTCTCTGGTAGCTCCTCGATATTGCCGAAGGTGCCCTCCAATGCCCATTTGATAAGGTCGATGCCAGCTGCACTTAATGTAAATCGTTGCCGGCATGCGATTGTCGAAGTTGTTAGACCCGCATATTCTCTCAAGTCTTCTGGGTCCATGAGTGACATCTTGAAATCATTCTGGACTATGACACCGGCGATCAATTCCGTACTTTGGTCGTCGGGCATGGGTAGTTGTTGGGGAGGGGGAATAGATGCTAGCTTGCCAACAACCTTGGCTACCTTATCCGTCTTGAATGGGATTCGTAGCTCCTCACAATTCCTCGGGCTGTAAACCTTGACTTTATCTGCCTTGCCTGCATTCAACGAAAGCAGTTTCGATTTCAACCGCATCATATTGTGCTGTTCGCCGTGCACCAGAATCTATTCAAGTTAGAGGGGGAGCGTCGTGTAGAAGATACAGGGGGGAGGGACTTACAACTACAGGGGCTGCAACTTCTTCGATGAACTCCTTGTTTTCTTGACCATCAACATGAGCAGCGAAGGAATATTCGGCAACGCTACATCTCCGAGGTATCATGACTTTCTCTCCGTCACCACCAGGCGCTCTCCTGACTGCATGGAGATTTCTTGACATGACAGCTTGGATCTGATCAGGTTCTTGGACGATATGTTTCGCCATGGTGCCCTCGACGCTATAACCTGTAATAATGACACCGTTCTTTTCATTTGGTGCCCACCTCTCTAGCAGTTCTCTACTTACTCCGTTTTGTAGCATACCAGGACTTGCAAGCATAACACAACCACCGACATCGTCGAATCGATCGAGGTTTTTCAGTGATCTGATATACTTGAAATCCCACGGACCTCCTTTACCCGCACCATCTCCTGCAGCTTCTGCTTCGGCCATCCGCTCTCTGAACAAGCGTTTGATATTGTCGTTCATGGCTCCAACATAGGTCTGGTATACGACCATACATTTTCGGGCCAAGTTACTGGCGTAATAAATGGGGATCTTCTGAAATTCCGAGTGCTTACCCCAGTATTCATCTAGAATCAGAAGCAGTTCCTGCGCTCTGCCCAACGCGAACACGGGCATCAGAACCCGTCCGCCACGATTTAGGATACTCGTGATAGATTTCATCAATGCTTGCTCCCTTTCTAACCTAGGAACATGCGTCGAGACTCCATACGTGGACTCGGTGATGAGGACATCGATCTTGATACCTCGAGGGACTTCGGCGGAGACAAGATGTCTATCTTGTTCTCGAGAATAGTCTCCGGTGAAGAATATGTTTAGTCCTGCGATCTCTATGAGAAACATTGCTGCGCCTAGCACATGGCCGGCGGGATATGGGGTGATTCGGATAGATGAGATAGTATGGGTGGTGTGGTAGTCGATTGCTTCAATCTGAGGGAAGGTGTTTAAATGGTCCTGCTCTGTATATACAGGCTGGGACGTAGGGTTCGAGGAAGTATTGCCGACTCGGACACTGTCTTGGATGAGCCATTTGTAGATGGCCTTTGTCGGATGGGTCATGAAGACTCTGCCTCTGAAGTTGGTTTTTGCTAAAACATAAGGGAGAGACGCGGCGTGGTCTATGTGAAAACTTGATTGGGATTAGCATTCTGCTTATATATGGAATACGATAACTATAGACTAAAGGATGTTGTTGATCGCAACAAGCACGGCGGTGACTCGAGGGCGTTGCCGGTTGGGTGGTGGAATAATGTGTTATATTGATAGCTGAATATATAAGAGCAAGATTGCGAATGTCCATAAACATGTAGATGCAATATCATGGTCAAGTACCAAAACCACAACTTCTGTTCGTGGACATGGGAAAATAATGCCACCAGCTTCCACCCCAACCGTTACGAAGCCCTAGACTATCCACGGCCATATTGTATGACGAAGGTGGGAATACGAGACTTACTGGCTAATTAGGAGCACATCAACAGTACTCAGATCAAAGTCGTCGAAGAAAGGGAGAGCAGCAAGACCATCGTATGCAGGGTGCTGACCGGCATCAAGCTATATATTATTGATGATTAGCATAACCTAGCATGATGTGAAGATATCAGCGACTTACCATGACAGTCTTCCCTTTGTATTGGATGATATGACATGATCTACCAACTTCGTTTCCACCTCCAAGGCATAGAAACATCAATTCATCAGCAGGGTCGACGGGTTCTTCATCGATGGTCGCAGCCATTGCCGAGGCCTTGCGCTTGGACGCCATGATTTCTAGAATGTCTGTGACGTTTGAAAGATGGTATCAAAGCCGTGTTGCCTGGTCGCAAAACGTCAACTGCTAATAAAGCTAGAGTACAGTTACACGGTAGGCATCTCAGGACGGTCGCATTGTATGAAGGATGCGAGGGGTTGGTGGAAACCTCAAGATGTACGTCGTGTACGTAACGTAGCTAAGAAATTATCAATTATTGATAGGAAGAGGACGATTGAAGAGAGATAAAGAAAGGTTGATAGGTTGAGGTTACAAGTTTGAAAGCCGGTACAAAACGCGGCTAGGTTGCGGCTACCTACTTAATTGAACTAAACGCGGCGCGTTTGAGTGGGTACCTACCTAGGTACCTACCTGTAGCCCTGGAGGTTTCCCAGTGGATCCTAGCAGCCTGAGAAAATAAAAAGAGGCTTATAGCTACCTAGAAAAGTTGCGGTTTTTATTTGATCCGATAAAAAAGAACGCTCGGGCCAGGTTGAATCATTGCACGTCAAGGCTACAAAGGGAAAAGGGAAAAGAGAGGTCCGTGCATACTGCAACACGAAATCTTTCCAATGGGGACTCAGGGAAGGAAGGAAGCTTTTCTGTGTTGCTGAACTCTTTTAGATCGCCTCCTCACTCAACCTACAAAAAACATCCTATCCGACGCGACGCCGGCCTACCAATAACTTGCGATTATATTCGGCATCATAATAGTCGCTTGCACAAAGATATTATTACACTTATCGTAATAATTTCTACCTTAGACCGTCGGATGGGTTTCAACCAACCGAACAAGACAGGCTCTGTGCCTGCCCAGGACCAGAGATAATAAAGGAACCTCTGACACTTGGTGTCAGTACTTACGCATACACACCAGCAACCGCGACGGTAACGTGGGAGATTGTAGAGCCAGATAACATAGAAGGGCAAATCATTGTTGGGACGAATAGGTGAAAGGTCTTGTGTACCTGGGATAATAATACTAACCATCATACCGCAATCCTCAATCCTCAATCCCAATTCCGACAACGCCATCCAACCTCAACCCACTCAACCAACTTGCGCATCATTCCTCAAAATGTCGTCGCATCCACAACCCACTATGCCTCCGAGGCAATTCTCACCTCAACAATCACCACCGAACCAGACCTACCAGCTTCCTCCTAACAAGAGAGCCAAATTATCTCCAGTCGGAATGACTCTTACTATGCCGTCCGCCGCAACGACACCGCTCGCGTCTCCTCAACCACACACTCCCGTACCTATTCCTACTACCCATATCACAACAACAGCCGCTACCACCATTTCTCAAATTCCGTATTCTAACGCAAAACTTGCGCCTCTACCCGCTACCGCTATGCCATCAATGCCGTCGATGCCTTCGGTCATTACGAACATGGGGCCTCCAGCCATCACCCCGGCAAGTTCCTTCTCTAACGATGCGACGAGACTGCCGCCCAAGCCTGCCGCCAAGGCCGCTCACGCGTACGAAATGGACGATATGTTAATGGGAACCGGTATCGATCTAGAAGAAGAGGCAGAATATATGAACAATCTAGACTCTCGTGCTGGCGGTCAAAGTCATGTGTACGGACCTGGACCGGCAACTCAACTCTCCAACGGCGTTAACGCGCGTACGCAAGAGGACATCGAGGCGGAACAAGCAGATATCGCGTGGAATGAACACGCAGTAAAGTATGCCCGCGAGATAAGCCAGGAGATCAACAATTCATTCTTAGAGCCTGGTTTGCTACACAGACGACTACAAGAAATTGTTCTTAAGCAGGGTCTAACTGTGAATGTGGACTTGAAGCCTGAGGGTGGACGTTTCAGTGGAAGACACCAGAATCCGGCCGAGTTCCCAAAGCCGGAGATTAGATCGTTCTTTCACCATCACCCAGATGGCACAACCGTCCAGGTGCACTCTTCGCATATTCCTCCTGATGCATATTTGGTAGATCAGCTCTCACTACTGTCGTTGGGTACGAAGCAGTACTTGCGTACGCTAGTCGGTGACGCGAATAGAATCGCCACCACGCGACAGACGACCACACATGGTGTAATACCTCAAGAGTGGCAAGATGTGGCTGTTCCGCTACCTGCGGTGAACGGTACTCAGGGTGAAAGCCCACGTACAGGTGCGGAGAGCGCGGTCAGCCCCCGTACAAACCCTCTCAAGCGTACGGCTCTTTTGACCCTAATTAATTTACCTTATTTCATTAAGCTAACTAGGTTATCTAGGTACCGCAGATGAACTTAGCAACGGACTACCCACTCCCGTCTCGGAAGCTTCTCCGACGAATCATCTAATCGATGCTTTCACCACTAACGGAAAGGGTGCCCGCAACACGGAAGAAAATCGACTAAGAAAACGACTGAAGCGTCAAGAGAAGCAGAACGGCGAGAAGGAGGGAGCTGATGGTACATCACGAGCCGGGTCTGTAGCGCCCGGTACGCCCGGATCTATTGCGCCAGAACCGGGTGAGAAGCCAGCCCCGAAGAAGGAGAGTAAGAAAGCAGCCTCCAAGCAAGAGGCGAGCAGTACTACAGTGAATGCGACTCTCGGTCTCTTCGTCGGCTCCAAGAAGAAGAAATATTCGTGGATGACGCAGGCTGCAGGCGGATCTGGTAGTGGAACGAGTACGCCTCGACTGCCAGGCGCTGGACCAGGCGCGCCAGGTGGTACGAATGCTGGAGGTAAGGCCCAGCAGGGTCCACTCACAAAGGCGGGTGTTTCCCACCTAGGACAGTTCCGCGAAGATTCCGAGAAGGGAAAGAATATTCAGCTTCGCGATTGGGTAGTTATCCTCGAGGAACATGGAACCGATCCGAGATCCTTGCAGAACGCGTATAGTATTCTCGACAGATCATGGAAGGGCGGTGTGGAAAATACGTCGACATAACAGACGGATAACCTCGAAGAATTCGTACGGCGAATCTACAAGTTCGAGCTCGGCCAATCCAATCTTGGATCGAAAGGTTACGAGGTGAAATTACTTTTTGAGGAACCTACCCCTCCGGCCTCCTCGCGTTGTATTGTCTATACCTATTTTTTTTCTACGTTTACTACAGCCAGGCGTTTTAAGACCGAGAGGATATCAAGGGAGGTCACGGTTGGCATTGCATTTTCTGGTTTTCGCCTACCCCATGGTCGATTAGTGGAAACAAGAGACGAACGGAGGGGGAAGGAGGGTACGTACGATAAGGAATGGCCTCATTAGCGGGTGTGCGTATGCTGGTGTGTTCGTCCGAGGATAAAGAACCTGGCAGGTCTGCAATTCTTTTACGGCCAGTTCTTAGTAATGATGCTGGCTATATGCAGACGGCTACTAGGTATACCTCGCTAGTAGTCAGAGTTAGTTAGCAGATCAGAAAGGAAAAAATCGATTGCGTTTCTGCACAATTGCCCGAGCTAATACACGGCGAGGAATGGCCAAAAAAAAGAAATAACCTCACGTTTTATTACAGGGTCCTAGATGTGAGATATGGATGTTGATTTGTTGTGTTTGTTGTAAGACTACGTAGATGTGACGTCGACTTGTTTGTTCCCCAGCATGGATTCGGCCTCGGCCGCATCCAAGTGACGTCGGGGCGAAGTGGGGAACGAACCCTTCTCCGACTAAACTGTCTAAGAATATCTAATATGTATCACGCCAGGAACATCCCGAGTCGGTTAATTTTCCGGGTTTCCTATTTCCCTTTCTACTCCTCGGTCCGTAACACAGTTCGAAGACATACGCTCGTTTTTGATTCGAGCGAGTTTTATCGGGTCGTTTATCGCATACTTGCAGACCTACTACGTACTTGATTTTGAGCGCTTTGTTTCGTGGCCTCGTTTGCGGGTTATCTAATTCGTACACTTATCTACGTCAGAGGTGTCCGAGATCGCGTTGAAGATGGCTAAAGCAGTAAGATACATCACTCCTTCATAATTCGGGGAAAAGGTACACGATAGGGAGATATAATGAATATAGCCATGGATTACTATGAGATAACCACTTGTATAACATTGTGTGAGAATATTCATTGCTAATCGGTATCATAGGCGATTGGTCAGATCTGCTCGAGCAACTCAATGGCTCATAACCTCGAGCAGTGCGTTAAGCTCGTGGGTCAAGCTGCAGCCGCCGGTGCTAAAGTATGTAGGAGATTGAGTTTCTCTTTCTTGTGGGCCTTGATACAAGTTTAAGCTGGTAGTCTTGCTCGATACTCCATTTTATAGCTCTTGCTGGTCGGAGAAAGCCGAAGTGAGAAGCAAGAAGCTATATCCATACAACTTGCTGTCCTAAGCTCCAAACATGCCCATACTCCTATCCGAAGTGTCTACATCACCCAGGACCAACTTCCTTACTTAATAACCAACCCCAACTAACACCCCTAGGTCCTCTTCCTCCCCGAAGCATCCGACTACATCGGCACCTCAGCCGCAGAATCGCTCTCCCTCGCCAAACCCATCAGCAGCTCCCCCTTCGTCAACGGCTTGTGTTCCGCCGCCGCAGAGCACAACCTAGCAGTCCACGTCGGGATCCACGTCCCCGTAGCCGTAAAGCCCACCACAGACACCAGCAACCCAGTCCTAAACAGCGTCCCGGAATCCGAAGACGCCGACACCATCGCCGCCACCTCTCCATCCCCATCCTCCCCACCCCCCTCAGACCAAGCCGCCAAACCCGACACCCCCTCACCAAAAATAAAGCTCTACAACCGCACAATCTACATAACCCCAACCGGCACCCTCCTCGAAAACAGTTCCTACGACAAACTGCATCTATTCAACTACCCCAACGCCTCCCTCCGAGAAAGCACCACCACCCAAGCCGGCTCGCGCTTCACGCCCCCCTTCCCCTCCCCCATCGGCCGTCTCGGGTCTCTAATCTGCTTCGACCTACGCTTCCCCGAAGCAGCACTACACCTCACGACGCGCTCACACATGACGCCCCCCTCATACCCGCTCGCAAACCCCGTCCCCAACTCCCCCAACCCTCTAAACCCAAGCTCGTACCCCTCCCCGGCGCAAATCCTGCTGTACCCCTCCGCGTTCACCGTAGCGACAGGAACAGCGCACTGGCTGCCACTTCTACGCGCGCGGGCGATCGAGACGCAGTCATACGTGATTGCCGCCGCGCAAGTGGGGCTGCATAACCCCGGGTCGTCGGGGCGGGTGAGTTATGGGCGGAGCGCGGTGATTGATCCGTGGGGACGGGAGGTGTTGGTTATGAAGGGGGTTAAAGGGGAGGAAGGGAAGGAGGAGGCGGAGGAGGGGGCGGTGGGGGAGTTGGGGGTTGTGGAGATTGATCTGAAGGAGTGGGAGAGGGTTAGGGAGGGGATGCCGTTGGTTAGGAGGACGTGAGTTTGCTCTCTCTTTTTTTTTTTTTTAATTCCCTGCTTTTTAGCCCCCTGATTTTGATATTACTTACCTACTGGTTATGCTAGTAGAATCTGGTATGTTGACTGACTGTTTCTAGGGACGTCTATCCCGAAGTTTAGGATGTTAATATGGGAAAGGATCGAGTTAAATAGAAAAATAAGAAAAAAAGCACGTTTGGATACTTCCGCATGAGCTCTACACAATCACTACATTCAAGTCATAAAATGGTGGTGACGGTTCTGTATTCGTCAATGCTGCTCTAGCGTATGTACTGACTTGTAGAGTCCAGCCCATATACAACCATCAAGTCCACCCTCACACCCCTTGGTCATTCCTCGACTATGACAGCTACCGAAAACCGGGCAACCTCCAGGAGTACTTGTACCAACGCCACATTGCAAAAGCCATCCGTCATTCGAGCTGGGCACTCCAGACTCGTTTTTTCCGTTTCAGTAAATCATTTGCCAATCATGCTCGTGATGCGAATTGAGAGAATAACACCTTCCGTTGCCAATCCGTCCTTACGCCATTGCTGGATTATCAACGAAAACCATGCCTGTCGAGATATTAAGCATGGCAAAAACTGCGGTGCTTATCCACTAAATGCCTAGGCATCGAAAAGAAAAGGAAAGAAAAAAACTGCATAATGCAATAACCGTATTAATACACGGGATAAGCGTCGTATGGGAACATTAAAGTCGGTAAGACGTCGAGTAGAGGGTTATGTCCCGACTATGTAGATCATGCTATTGTCCGACGACAATGCCAATCCATTTGTTGAACGCGTGTTAAGAGGTGACTTATTGGGTCGTAGCTTGGCGGAATGAGTTGCCTCTTCCTCGAGGACCGCCGAATCCGCGTCCACGGCTGTTGCCACGTCCACGACCGCGGCCGCGGTAAGCGCCGCGATAACCACCATCGACACTTCCTTGCCCGAATGTCTCCATGTTCTTGCGCTGCTCCTCGCCACGCCATTCTCGCCCACCGGGCTTTTGACCTCCGTTCTCGGCACGATCCTTGGCTTCACTAGAGATGTTGTCGAAAAAGGACCTGGTCTTGTTGTACGCGACCGGCACAGCAGTGGGCTCCTCAGATGGCGATTGCTCGGACGTGGGTCCATTAGAAGTCTCGGTGACGGGAGAACCGCCGATGGCCCCCTTCACGTCTTGCTTGTTGAACTTGGCATTCCCGGCAGCGAAATCGAAATCTGCGTCGGGAACGTTGACCTTGCTCGCTCCACCTCCGCGTCCACCACGTCCACGACCTCTGCCATTCGTAGGGTTTCTCGAGGCATTGATGCGCATCTCGTTGACCTTCTTGGTCAAGTTGTCCATCAGATTACCGCCGTTCTGAGGCTGAGGTTGAGCTTGAACCGGGGCTTCGACACGAGGATTGTCAAGTTTGGCCATTGCACTTGCAACGGCAGCCTTCGCAGCTTGAGTGGCGTCCTTGAGAGTAGCAGCGGTCACCGGACCGTTGGCTTGCTCACCTGTGGTTCTAGTCGTGACGGCAGTGGCGGTAACTTGTGAGGCGAGTTTCGAAGCGAAAGTGGGCGGCGGGATGGGCACAACGGGGGTAACTCGGTTACTCTTAGGTCCGGTTGGGACAGACTTCTTCTCGGGCGCGCTAGTCGAGGGCGCATTCGTCGTGGTGAGAGAATCTGCAGTTGCCTTAACTTCAGCCGCAGTGGGCTTTGACTCAACCGGCGGAGTCGGCGCGGCACTCGAGACAGGTTGCATCGGCTGTTGTCCAAGACTCTTAGGCTCTGTAGGTAACTCGACCGCGGGATGACCACCCACTCTTTGTTTATCGACACCGGCGCCAATAGGGACTGGCTTGTTGCCATCCTGCTGAGGTGTCACTCTCATGCCTTGACCAGGGACACCCGGGGGTCCTTGAGGACCGGGACCAGGCGGGTATCCAAAGCTATTCCACGGACCCGGTGCACCAGGTCCACCAGCTGGAAAGCCTTGGCCGGGAGGAAACCAACCCGGAGGGGGAGGGTAGGGCATTCCAGGAAAGCCTTGGCCTGGAACGGGGCCGGGATGTCCACCACGTCCCCATTGTGCAGGAGGAGGAGGGTAGAAGGGGTTCGGCTGGTAGGGGCTTTGTCCATAGCCTGGAGCGCCAGGACCAGGTGGCATGACACCAGGAGGGCCCTGAGGAACCTGATGACCCTGGGGGCCTTGCGGTCGGGTACGGGCCTAGATATTAGGACACATGGTTAACATCAATGTTTCGCGAAACGATGAGTTGTTTAAAGAATGTGACAAGTCCATAATAGATCAGAAGGAAGGCAACGGAAAAATCAACATTGTTTTGTTTGCGCATTTCTGTCGAATAAAAGGTTTACATCCGAAATATTTCATCATAATAAATGGACATGGTATATCATGTAATAGAATTAGGAAATCCGAGATATGACTTACGCCTACAATAGCAGGGTCATCGGGGACCTTAGGTGGCTGGTTTTCCTTAGGAGGTGCCGGGGCTTGTTCGATGCGCAAGTCTTTCACATCACTACCACGGAAGACGATGTATTCGTAGACCTGATCTGAGGGCGCAATCTCCTCATCCGGGTTACCTTTTCGTCCTTCGGTGCCGAACGACTTGACATTTTCGAGGGAGACTGTGGACTCTTCAGAATTGATCTCGTGCAATATACCCGAGTATCTAATAAAAGTCAGACGAAAAGCTCGATTAAGTTGAGACGGTTTGAGGGGTGCTTACCGAATATCGCTCTTGGATATCAAAGAGATTCGTGAACTGTGTCATGATCGCGTCGCGTTAGCAGTCTGTATCGTGAAGTACGTTGTGCATGGTGCATGCTGAAAGGATCAACTGAAATTAGCTGGAATTGAAGAGGGGAAAATACATACCCAAGGAATTCAGACATGATGTCAGAAAAATGTGCGCGATACGCGCAAGAAGAGAAAGTTGATGCAGCGGAGATTGAAGAAAGTGATGATGTGCGGTGTTGAGGATTGAAAAGTATGTCGAGAAAGTATGAAGTATGAAGTATGGTAAATTGTTGAACGATGTAAGGTGTAAGGATTGGGAGGGAAGAAACGAAAACGAGAGGCTGAATTTCTCTAGTAAAGAAGTAAAAAATTCAACGATCGGTTGGTTAATCACACCAGTCCCAAAAGGTAAAGTTAAGGTTTTTCGTGCATCAGCTGGGGACCTAGTGTTTTGCAGGTGATAGCAGCTGCTAGTTTACAGCTAGTCCACAGTGGAATATGTTTTTTGTGCCTTTAAATGTGCTTTTGCTACTACATATGTACCTAGGTACATTGTACACCACACAGATTTTAATTTTTATCACTAATTTGCTAGAAATATCAATGTACTTTGTTGGTATTCGGTACTTATATAATTGTCACAGCTCTCAACATTTAAATGTTCACTTCGAGGTACTGTACAAATATAAGTTCAAAATGATTTCTATTGATGTAACACCAATTGCTAAATATTTATTTATTTGTCCTGTGCAGGATATCATTGTATTATTTCCCTTAAAAAACACAACTTCGTCACATAATCCCCGGTCTATCACCCACATACGGGTTGCTACTCTAGGTACTTTCCCTAAATATTCAGATAATAATATCCATATGTCGTTATTATTATTAAATAAATCTACGAAAACAACATGGCCACAATCAATGATAAGCCTTTAATAGCCATAAAAATTTAGCCCACAACAATTCACAGAAATGGCATGGAAAATATCGTTATTAATTAGGTATCTAAGTATTAGGTAGGTATGTATGTATGTACCTAGTCAGATAGGTCGGAAGAATCTGAACCTGAGCTACTTGTGGTATCATCGTTTTCTTGCTCGTCGATTTCTTCGTTTATATTCTCACCCTCCTCGCTTAAATATTCCACGAGGCTAGTGCCTTGTCGCTTTTTAGATCTTCCCACCTTCTCTTCCACCACGACATATCCATCAGGGATAGCTGTTGAGTTACTTGGCAGTATGCAGATAGTTGGAAATTCCACAATATCGAGATCGGGTAGAATGTTGGCCAGGCTATCTGTCGGTCGTAAGGGGACGAGCTTCTGGGATTCCCTCGAAGGTGTCCTCGGCTTGAGATAGAAGAACCGGTACTTGTCTTTCGGTTCTTCGCTTATGTGGGACCCTAGAGTCTCGTTGTTCCACGTAGTCGTGCCTGAGTCTTGCATTATACATTCTCCACCGCTCCAAGCAGTTGTGGCCACGTCTTGGGCGCTTCCGGCGAGTATTTTCTTTCCCTCCGAAGCCTTCTGTTTCTTCTCTTTCACACGCTCTTGGTCGCTAAGTTGTCGCTGACGATAATATTCTTGAGTCTCTGCAAACCCGATGTAGAGTGGTACTTCGTCTAGTACTTTATGCAGGAGTCTTGAGGGCTTTGGCTTTTGGTTGTTGTCTTGGTTGCTGTCTCCTTCGATAGGAGCAATCCCTTTCCACTCGAACCATTCCACCTGCCAGTTCATAGTCCTTGTACGTTTGTTCCAGCTTGTCTTGTTTTCTTTCGCTCGAGTCATGCCATAAGGAACGGAAGAGACATTGATACCCAGCTGTCGCATTCGTTGTATCGAATTCCTATCCCATCTTCTTGAGCTTTCTTCGAAAGTAACCCTTCCTCTACTTTGTCCCTTATGCAGGCGTGCTCGTTTATTAGGCGGGGGGCGCGAAGTGGTATCCTCTTGAGGTAATATCTCCTTCTCTTCCCTTAATATCTTCTCGGTTCGCTCCACGGATCTCTCAATCTTGGTTAGGAAGTTGTAGTCGTGGTCGATACCAGCGTCGGTTTTTAACTTCTCTCGTGGTATGTATGCGGTCGCATCGCGTTCTCCATTACACGACGACCACTTCTTGTGTTTCTTCACACATGTCAGGGAACACGTTCTTGTTCCGCATCGTGGGCATTTGTATTTAGGTGTTTGAATGTGGCAGATAGTACAGAGCGATGTTAACAAAGGATCTGCCATGATAGCTACTAGGCAATAATGGGACGCCTTCCGAATGCTCGAGGTTCGTGTATAGAAGTAGCTGATCACCTGGGCGGCTCGAAACTTTAAACAGATTGTAATTGTTCGGCGGGAACTGATGAGATTGAGAAGTTCGTTGAGACGCGCTATTGGATATCAGAACTTTGGAAGCTTCAAAATTCTGGAGTATGGTCTTATCGATATCTAACCGCTCATAACCTTGTTGAACCTTATTGCCATGTGCGAAATCCCGTAAAATGATATCACCTCCCCGGCTCTTCTTGCATGCACATTTAAATATCGGTAGACACGTTGCGGTAGCAAATACAATGCAAAATGTAATCTTCAAGAGGAATATGAGCTTCGTATTTCTATATCGACTTTGCATCGCCTAGTAGAGCGATAACTAGCGTTAATCCATATTATGTAAGATGTACAGTATAAGTACTGTACTACCCGTCTCATGTTCTTTAGGTTTTTCTTCCCAATGGAAGCAGCTACCGATGAGTCGTATCTTTTGTACCTGACGACAACAATTTCCATCTCGTTGCTATTCTCATATAAACGATATTCATATAATACCTACATGGGTATATAGCATATGGCTCTACGATGACTGACGTAGAAATGAAAATCGACCCGCAGAGAGCCGCTGCTCTAGTATCCCAAATTAAAACCGTGCGGGAGCGCATCACTGCCGTCGCCAATGGTCGAGATGTAGGTCGCCTTGCCTTGCCCCTTTATCAATCAGGGGCTTCCCCTTATATTCACTCGTGGCACATCATATGATGTGATTTTGTAAATAATCATATGACTAACTTAACTAAATTATTCACTTTAGGTACGCCTAGTTGCCGTCTCAAAGCTGAAGCCGGCCAACGACATCGTGGCGCTTATGCAGCAGGCCTCACCGCCGCAACTGCATTTCGGTGAGAACTATGCCCAGGAACTGAGCCAAAAGGCTGAGCTGCTACCTCGCAGCATACATTGGCATTTTATCGGCGGCTTGCAGTCCGGTAAGAAGTGAAATTTCCCTTATCTTGGCAGGGAAGAGGGTCATCTGCAATCAGATTATCATACGCCCTGAATATGAGGAAGATCCTGTATCACAGGTCCCTAAGGAAAAGGCCTTCATCTAAAACGCATAACTAACCCACCAATTAGGCCACTGCAAGAACCTAGCCAAGATCCCGAACCTATGGTGTGTGTCGAGCGTAGACACTGAGAAGAAAGCCCAGCTCTTGGACAAGCACCGAGGCGAATTCCTGGCTGCCTTCTCGTCCTCCTCCCCATCTTCTACCCCTCCACCCTCTAAACTCAACATCCACATCCAAATCAACACTTCTGGCGAGCCCTCCAAATCCGGTTGCGCCCCTGGGCCTTCCACCCTCGCTCTAGCACGCCTCGTCGAGTCCGCACCGAACCTTCACCTTCTCGGCCTGATGACCATCGGTGCCATAGCGCGTAGTGTAGCCACAACCGCAGAAAATGAGAACGAGGATTTTGTAGCGTTACGAGAGCAGCGGGACCTCGTGCAGAAGGAGTTGGGTCTAGATCGAGAGCTAGAGTTAAGCATGGGCATGAGCGAGGACTACGAGGGCGCGATTGTGATGGGGAGTGGTGAGGTGCGGGTCGGGAGCACAATATTTGGGATTAGGGGACCGAAGAGCGAGGCTAAGATTAGGGAGTAGTTATGTAGAATTATCACTGTTCAAAGCGACACCATTATAAAAGAATATGAATTATCAGCAATCGATACATGCCAATCCAGCCATTACGGCCCGTCGTTAATTGCTCGTAACCTCTAACCTAAGTGCTATAAATATATCTCACGATGGCCTCTCACTCTCAGCCCAAACGTATACGCTATGCCTTAGAATAACTTCTAATGCCATGAAAATGCCCACCTCATCACCCAAACGTTCACAAAACCAATCATTCATCCATCCCTCATTCCTGCGCAACAACAGGCACAACCACACTCCCCCAAAGCTCCCTCTTCCTCTGATCCTCACTCCCAATCCACTCCCTCTCCACCAACCCAAACTCCTCCCACCACAGCCCATGCGTCGACTCAATCGTATCGCCCTCATCAAACGCCCTGCTCTTCCACGGTTTATTCAGGATATAATGCAGGATCTTCACATCTCCATCCTTCCACAACCCACCATGACAAGCCCGCATCGGCTTCAGCGCGTTATAGTGATACGGCAACGGCTTCCACCGGCCTCTGTACACGATCGCGAGCAGGTCCTGGTCGAAGAAGATCATGTTGGGCACGTCGGGGTGCGTGTTCATCGCGTGGATCAGCTCGTCGTACTGCGCCTTTGACGGCTGCACGATCACCGTGCCGCTGTTGAGCAGGTGGTGGTTATTCGGGCTTTGCGCGGTGATGGGAGCGGGAGCGCCTGTGGCTTGGTCCGCGGCTGTGAAGGCGCAGTTTGCGGGCACCCAGTCCTTGCTGTAGTGCGGCAGCTTCCGCGGGTTGCATGTGCAGGCGTGGGTGCTCGCGATCCAGCCCTCGGGGATGTCGACCTCCATCATGTCGTCGATGTTCTGCAGGATCACCTGGTCGCTGTCTAGGAGGACGACCCGCTGGTTGGTGGGGTTAGCTACATGATTTGTTCCATACCGTATGTATATGGAGTAGGTAGATAGGGAGATAGTTGGGCATATATATAATCATAATCATACCTCATACTGCGTAAACGACCACGGGGCAAGCTTCTCCCACGTGCCCTTATTAATCTTCCCATCCCGGGGCGCAGGCTCGATCTTGTCGACGACGATCGTCGGGATGCCCGCGGCCGCGAATGCTTCCATGTACTCGGTGTCCTCCTCGACGGCGCGCGTGACCATGACGTGAAGCCGGTACTTGCTCCGGTGCCGGCGCAGGGAGTGGTGCAACACCAACAGTCCCCCGAAGTACGCGCGGTTCGTCAGCAGGGTCGTCCAGATCTTGGTCGGGTCGTACCACCCATCCCCGTTCTCGGCCGCGCCGCCGTTCTGCTTCACGCCGTTGCCGTTGGTCGTCATCGTTTCTCCTCTTTTCCGTTTCTTCTTCTTCTTCTTATCTTTAATTTCTACTTGCCCGCTGAGTTTACGAACCAGTTGCAGATGATAGGAGAAGAGGAAGAAAAACGGAGTGAATAACGACTGCAGTAGTAGCAAGAAAAGAGGGGAATGGTACAGAGTATATGTACATCTGTAAGCATAGAAAAAAGGACCTGGAATGTAATGATTTGTGCTACAGTCGAGCTTCCATCATATCTTCACGCACATCTAGTAAATTACCCCGGTTCGGAGGGCGAAAGAGCTTAGACTTAGCTGGAAACGGTATAGTCTTGGGACGGGAGATTATTAATATGAGACACCCGACAGCTGCGCGGACGGGGAAGATAGCGATGGAAGCGACGGGAAAGCTGGACCTACTGCAGCTAAAGTAGGAGATAGTAGGAGATAGGTAGATCGGCCCTTACCTTAGCCTCTGACGCCATCGAGAGGGAAAAACGAGGGATAATATCCGTAGCGGGCGTGGTGGGACGAAGCCCCGCCATTGGTTCCCGGTACTTTACCGGTACTTTCCTGATAGAAGATAGACACACATGTCGGAGCTCCGACGCAGCCCGAGTTTTGGGGTGTTACTGGGGTATAGGTCTCGGCTTGTTCCGGTTCAGTGTCTCTCTTCGCCTACAGGTAGGTAGGTACATCCAGGTAGGTCTAGGTACGTATACTAAGTATGTACATGTACCTACTCCTATTCGTCACCACTTCCATAACAGCGAAGGCTTCCATTTTGATAGGAAAGTTTCCCAGAAAATCATAACCAAACTTCCATAATCAGTGGATGAACGAACCTAAACAGTCGATCACCTTCAAGTTCAACGTAACATCCCCATGTACCCCATATACATACGCAGATACAACATTGGACGCCCAGCGGAACGGTAACATCGACAATTGGCTCATCGAATCTCGGGAGAATATGTGTTGAGACCTAACGAAGCCGCAGCACGTTTTTAGACAGGGGCAGAAAAAGGTCGACGATTGGTTCACGACAAACAACAAATCATACGATGCCATGGAACAGTAATTCAGTGAATCCTAAGGAGGGCCTCTCGCCATCCATGAGTACTTAGTTCCTTGCATAGGTACATGACCATCATCCAGTCGGCTGTCTTCCTTTTCAACGGTGTATAGTCAACGATTATGAGACATCATAGGCTATAGCCCATGCATGCCGTCTATAATCCCATCCTGTCCACCCATTTTCTGTTTTCCATTCCCATACCCGTGTCCGGTTCCAGTCCGAGTCGAAGTGTTCACATAAGAACACAAACCCCGACTTAACAAACCAGTATAGCAAGCAAGCAACTCAAGATCCTCAATACCCATCCGATCTCACCCCGCAGCCACAGCCCTCACACGTCCGTAGCATTCTTCACGCCCGTAGCATTCTTCACACCACCCTTCTTCAAACCCTCCTCAAAGCCGCCCTTAAACCCCTTCACAAACTCAACCACATCCACAAAAACGCCCAGCGTCTCCCCCAACTCCGCGTCCTGGTCCTGCATCACCATCTTCTGGCTCTCCAGCACCTCCTTCAAATGGTTGATAACGTGGTCCTTATCATCCAGCATGCGCTGCTGCACAGCCACCACGTCCACCATGGCGAGCATCAGGCTCTGGAGATCCTGGCAGTGGCAGCCGAGGTCGAAGACGCGGTAGCGGTCGATGTGGCGCAGGGCTGCTGCGCGCGTCTCGTCGTGGTGGAAGATCAGGTTCCAGGTTCCTGTGCACACGGTCTTGATCAGCGTGTAGGCTAGGCTGAATGGGTTGCAGTTACGCGCTGCTATGGAGGTTGAGGTTGAGGATCCCAAGGGACCGGTGGCGGCGCGGTGCGCGGCGCAGAGGGTCCAGGCGTTGGGATGGTTGGCGTCAGGGCAGAACATGAGGTTTCCGCTAGTCGCGGCGGCGGTGACGCGGGGCTCCGAGGTCGTGGACGGGGTCGGGGCAGCGCTTGCAGTGGGAACAGAGGCACCACCGGGAACGGTCTCGACTGTTACGGCGGTGATGTAGCTAGTGACCCAGTCGGTGAGTACGGTGGTGACATGAGTGATCTCGTAGTCGGTGATGATGTCCTTCTTTGCCACGTGATCGGCAGTAGGGGCATCAGTAGAGGTCACGATCACTCGTACATCTGGGACATGGTGTCCCGTAACCGTCATCGTTGGGTAAGGAGACCAAGCAGTGCCGGTACCTGAAGATCGGTTAGTCCTTTGTTTATAAGTTGAGATCTATACTTGTGAACTTACCTTCCATAGTCGTCGCCGCACCATATCCCGTGGGATTGTACCACATCAGGCCACTCGAAGTGCTAGTAGACGCACTAGCCTCTAGATTAGGCGGCGCAGGTCTCGCCGCAGAAGTGGCCGACGCACCAGAGGGACGTGTCAACGTCTGGTGGCGCACCGTCTCGGCTGCGAGACCACCCCATCCAGCTTCAAGAAGTGATGGGTTAGCTTTGGTTTATTGGCTCTAATGCACTGGCTTCATTATTGTGGGAAGAGATGAGGGAGGTGAAGGTTTGACTTACTGACTATAGCACCCATGGCGATCAAGATGATGATCACGAACAGGAGCCATGCCTGGGGGAACAGCTTGGGGGTGGCTCGCTGCTTCAGCGCTAGATGAAACGGTTAGCATTTATTACCAGGTTATTTTTTCCTGTTATTAATCGGATGAATGATTTGAGTGTAGGGACGAGGATTAAGGGTGAAGATGAATAGAGATGGTGGCGAGGTTCAAATGAGAAAAAAAAAAAATATGTATACATACCAAACCACCAGCGCTTCATTCGCTCAATCTTGATATCCATCATACCGCCGCGCTTCTCGTCCATGATCTCACGCTCAGTCGTTCCCGCCATACTGGGAGGTGGAGTGGGAGGAGGCGCAAGAATGACTCTCTGGTGTCGCAACAAGACTTGTCGTCCAGGTGCTTTGGTATCAAGAGAATGGGGAAAAAGAAGCGCCTGAGGGACGTCTCTCTGCCAATCGTCTAGATCGAAATTTAATGGGTTGTGACTTGATTCCGTTTGCTGCGATTGTTGCGACTCCGATGGGAATTGAGAATGGGATCGGGATTGATGGAGATCGCAACTGGAATCACGCATTGACGGATTTCTACGAGTCTACTGGGAACAGATGATATTAAAGGGTAAAGGAAAATTGATACGTGGGGTAGGGTAGAAAGTAGGAAAGGAGATGAGATGGAAGATGAAGGTGGGAGGATGAAGGTGAGAAGATAAAGGTAGGAAGAATCAGGAAGAGGATGTAAGTGTACGCCTGGATAGCTTAGTCCTTGGGGGAAAAGGATTTCAGGGAAAAAAGTAGGGTAGGTTCCAAGAAGAAGAAGAAGGTAAGGCGAATGCTAATTTATAATCCTCGCATTGGTTAGGTCAGTGGGCGTCAGGAAATATGAAGTCGGATAGGGGCGTGTAGGATGTCGTTTAAGAAATCGACTCGACGTTCACTCAATAGTATATCCAAAAGCTACTGCCCCGGAAACCGTCGTATCGGGTCTATCGACTCCTTAAACAACATAGTTAAAGCCGTGACTATCGAAAGCGAAAGACAAAGTCTCTTTCTTGAACTCAGATGAATGGGGAAGTGATAAGGAGGCGGTAGCCCTTTCTCTACCTGACTCTATCTGTACCACGATAATCAACTTTAAACATTACGATAGATTCGGTATTCTAGTTACATTGTGAAAACTTGGAAACTCAAGATAATACCTATACATTAGCTCAGAATTTCCCTGGGGACTTATAGACACTTAAAGGATATCCAACAATCAAATAGGGGTAGGTACCCATTTACTTTCCAATAACACAAAACACAAAACACAGCCATCTTTGCTTGATACATGAGATGTTTTGATCACATGCTACCTAATGAACTCCTCTCTCGCTCGGGTTGGAAATGCACAAATACCGCATAACTTGCTTAACTTGAATTTTCCAAAGTGGAATCTGGAACTTGGAATCATAACTCTTCTTGAAACCCCTTCCAAAGTATTACCACCTTCTTTTCTGTCTTCCCCCTATTCTACCGGGTCCTTTATTGCACCATTATATTACCGAAGGTATCTGATATTTCCCGCCGTGTAGGCCCTTCCCGTAGTTCTGGTGCTGTTGAGACCCCTTTGGACATTTGCTCCTCCATCATTTTCAAGAGTACAGGAGGTACACTCTCATCCGTAGCTCGAATCGTTAGTCGGAACATCTGTTATTTCGTTAGCAAAGTACCTTAATGGGAATCCATTGTTGTTTGGGCTGGTTCAGCTCACCTGTGAAGTGTAGTTTGGCTCTAGTCTCATTAAGCAGCCAAACTTGCCCCCCTCAGAGGTATGCATTACGCTTGCCCCGACAAAATTCTTGCTATTAGGATCAACACCTCTTAGAATTCCCCAACGGAATCCTTCGATAGTCTTTCGAACAAAACTTTCGGTGATCTCTCGAGATCCAGCTTTACCTGGGGCGAGGCCAATGATCTGTTGAGCTTCACGTGGTGCGCCACCGATTTGCTTCCATCTCTTGAAGAAGTCATCCGCTGTGAGATCTGCAGGATCCATAAATTTATGGGCGGTAAGCGGGAGCATGAGGGTAAGCGCTTGTAAGGCGCCTGCGAGGTAACTTATTCTGATAGTGGGACTCTTAGTGAAGACCTTCTTTGCCTCGAACATGATGATCAGCCGTGATTGGCCACCATTCATAATAGAGCTATCAGGCATAGTCTTCACATCCCAGGTCAGATTTTGCTTCTCGCTCTCGTCCAGATCGAGTGTCGTCGTAAAGGAGCTTACGGTAGCAGGTGTCTTATTCGTGAAATACAAAATGAGACATGCCATCTGCCCTCTGTATTCGGAACGGATACCGATTTGGATCTGCCCATCTTCGAAGAGTACACCATCAGCCTTAAGTAACAGTTTGTTGTAACCCGACTCCCAACCAGGTGATAGATGTGCGGCGCTGGCCAAGTTTGGTGCTTTGAGCAACTTCTCCGGGACAGGCCCTGCGTTCATATCAAGACCGGCAAGGTCATTGGAATTGGAATGGCCGTTAGCACCATTTGCGGCACCGTTTGCTACCCCGTTACCGTTCACCGGGCCATTGGAGCTGAAAGTCCTCCTTAAACCGGGATTCTTAGCCATGTTCAGCTCCGTAACATCATTGTTTGCATCCTTGCCGCCAACCACCCACGTCCGCTTATCACTAGTACCGGCGTGCTTCTGGTGGAGTCTCGACAGGAGTGCAGACTGTCGTTCAGGGAACGGCGGCATTTCATCGCAGACCGTACGGAGCAAGTCGTCCGTCGGAAGACTAGCGAGCGTCAAGTACTCGAATGCTCGTTGTTGCAATTCAGGGTCCAACGTGTGACTATATATCTCGAAAACGTGGAGAAGTTGAGGCTTAATCTCGGGGAACAAGTTAACGAATTTGACGAACGACGAAAGAATCATAGCGCGTGTGCTCGAAGAACACGCAGGCAGCTTTCTAGATAATGCCATGAATTGCTCGATGGGACTGCATCCCTGCTCCTCCGCAATCAAATGGCCAAATTCTCCAAGAATATAGGCACCGATTTTTACTAGAGTCTCGTGGCAATGGTCTTGCTTGACGTGCTGAAGGGTATTATGTGCCGCATATACCTGCAGCTCCTCATTATTCGTCACAATCTGGATAACTCGTTGCCAAACCTCGTCACTAAGATGGTCTCCCGCAATGGCTACCAGCCGAAGGGACACATTTATGTACCACTGGATATCAGTAGCGTACTTCTCTGTCAAAATTGCAATCTTCAAAGCCATCTCTTCTCGAATAGCAAAATCGGCATTCTGTAGGTAGTGCAATAACTCCGAGACAATGGGCGCAGAATTAGTCGAATCGCACATACTATATAGCAAATCGAGACCCTTTCTGCGCACACTGATGTCTCGGTCTTTGAGTGATCCAAGGATCACTTCTTGGTGTTGCTTGATAGGATCGAGATTCTCAGCTCGAGCTGCCAGGTGAGTCATGGCTTCCAGGCCTAAGTATCGGACATTCGTCTCCCTAGACGTTATGAAGCGACCTAGGCGGGTAGATATTTGCTTCATCAATGCATGTTCCGTGTCCAGGTGGATAATGAGGTTAATAGCCTCAAATAAAACAGCGTTCTGAGCATTGTTCTGTTGGACGTTCTTATTCGTCTCCATCGCCAAATTCAGAATCTTCTGTAACGATTCCCGGATCATCTCACGAACATGGCTGTCCTCTATTCACGCAGTTAGTATACATACTAAAAAATAAATTGACAAAAAATAAGAATCGTACCTGAAGGTGGGAAATATTGAAGCAACCGTAGCAGTTTGACTTGAATCCATGGACAAGGAACTTTATAGTACAGGTAGTCCTGAGTATAGTCGTTATCAATCAATATCCGTTTCAGTCGTGAAGCGGCCTTGACATAGGCACCCTTATACTGGTCCAAGTTATCTTGCGCAACAGTCATCACCAAAGACGTAACCGAGAGACCCACACCAAGGTCGAGGTCATCCATTAGAGATATTATTCGTTCCGCCCATTGCGGTTGGATTATGTCCGGGTGCTTGCGGTATAGACGGAGGAGAGTAAGGGCAGCCTTCTTCTTTACAAACGCTTTCGAGGTCCTACGTTCGATGTTAGATGACTTGAATAGCACCGCCGGGGTTAACCCATCGGACATACGGTGAAATCAGAAGTCTGTGAACTTCTGAGCTTAGGGCTTCTCCCATCTCCCGACCTCCTACATTCGCGATTGCGTGCAGGGCCAAACAGTTGAAGAGTTCGTTATGATCAAGGAGATCCTTCCGTATGCTGTTGACGACCAAGTGTAACAGCTCGTGCTTCTCGTGTAGAAATAGAGTCATGGCAAGGTATCCAATTTGTTTCTCTGAGTACTTGCTGGCCGATATGAGGTTGACAGCCTCAAGATGCCCAAAATCGACATTCCAACCTAGTATGTAAATATACAACAACTATACGCACGTTAGATTCGGTCGTTCGGTATCGCCGCGGATTCATGTTCCCCATACTTTACAAACATATTTCTTCTTATGGTAGCCGCTCAGGTTACCGTCTATAGTCTGTTAGCTACGGGTTCGGCGTCGAGGTCCCGGTATGGTACCGGCGCGATGAATTAGAATTCGCATTAGGTTGAATCATAGCGTACCCTTGAACTTCTGTCTGTGATGTAGGAGCTACAGGTTAGCAAGCTCGGATTCAATGGCGGTTAAGGATGACCATCTCCACCTACCGGATGTTTGCGAGCTCTTTATTAATCCTCTTTTCTTCTAGGTCTCTAGCTCTTGCATTTCGTAGGTCGGCGATAAATTGTACGAGACCACGCATGTTCGAACTACTACTACTCGACCGGCCGAGGAAGCCGGCTGCAGCGGAGGAAGCCATGATGTGTTGTCGCAACGAAGTATCCCCTCCTCCTTAATTTTTACAAAACTCCTTCTATTCCTATCGCATCCGCTAGTAAAACGAAAGCAGCAGCACGCGAAATTATTTTATATACGGAGAGCTCGAAGTCAAGTGTATAAAGTCAGGTCCAATATCTAAAAGAAGCACGCTCAGGGATGCGGCTCTCATGATAGACCTAATCAGTCTATAAACATGGTCGAACGTGACCAGGGCAACGGGCAGCGGGTAATGGGTAATGAGTAGTTGTAGGTGGCGGTAGTGGGTAATAGGACGGACAAAGGGGTTCCAAGATTAAGCACGGCGAAGTGGGAACGGTAACGGTCAACGGTTAACGGTTTTTGTTGTCGAGCAGACGGGAATTCGGATTATGTTAGGATTATCGACTTGTAGAAATTCGGACTTGGTGGCACGGCATTGGAAGGATGTTAGGATAGGATTCCTGGATCAATGTCAGGGACAATTCAGGGACAGATATGGAACAAATGACAAATGTGCCCAGGTGTGAACTGAATTGGCAAGCGACCCTTATGTCTTAAAACCCCGAGCGGCGAAAGAGGAGCACACCTTCCAATCTTTCCAAGGTTCTTCCAGCGTTCCAGTGCTACCGTAATGTGGGGCCACATGATTTTTACGCCTCAATCGTACATAAACCTTAGCTGTCTTAGGTAACGAAGGAAGTGTGGCTTGAAATTTAAATATCGATGTACATCCGTACCTTACTTATCGATATTACCTACTCCATTTCTCCAGCTTCGACGTCACAGCCAATGAGACTCGGACTATTCAAAAGCTCTAGCTTCAATGTGCGCATCGATCTTCGAGATGTGAAAGGCGACCAATTGATGATCTGGGAGAATGAATTGTAGTCTCCGGAGATCAAGCATACTACTACCACGGGGTTTAAAAGTGGTAGGAGGAACAATAAGCTCAACGTCAGCGGTACGGCGATCATACGCCGTCCAAGCTTCGGCACCTCCCGTCCACCAGGTCTTCAACCGCCGCACGAAATGGCTGCAGAAGGAGCGTGCCGCCGCCGATCTCCAAAATAGCCGGGTGTCCGACTATGTTAAAGATGAGGTAGCCATCCGGCTATGCAATAGATTACTAGTAAATTCTCCTTACGATTTATCACCCGAACAAGGCACTGATATGTGATGTATAGGACATCAAGCGCAGCTACCCCGAAGTCCTCGACCTCGGCGCAAACTCCTGCAACATCGCGTGGGCCCTCTCCCGCCCCAACCCGGATCCCGATAGCCCAGAGCCCGTCACCGAACCCATAGCCACCCGAATCGGGCACCTTCTCGCCGTCGACTCCTCGCAGACCATGCTACATCGAGACGTAGACCTCCCCTTCAATGATCAAATCAATATAACGCGGCAAGTGCTCCCGGACGAAGAGACCCTACCCTTTGCCGCGAACACATTTGATTTGGTGCTCAGTTCGTTGAGCATGCACTGGATCAACGATCTGCCCGGAGTCCTGGCGCAGATCAACAACGTTCTGAAGCCGGACTGCGCGTTCATGGGCGCCATGCTCGGCGGTGATACGTTATTTGAACTACGCACGTCGCTGCAGCTCGCGGAGAGCGAGCGTCGGGGTGGCATATCGCCGCGGGTGTCGCCGCTAGCGGACGTGCGGGACGTAGGCGGGCTATTGCAGCGCGCCGGGTTTAAGATGCTGACTGTGGATGTGGACGATGTGGTTGTGGATTACCCCAATACGTTCGCATTGATGCAGGATCTGCGCGCTATGGGTGAAGGGAATGCGGTGCTGGGGCGTGAGATGGGCGCGATTCAGAGGGATGTGCTATTAGCTAATGAAGCTATATATCGTGAGCTTCATGGTAACGAGGATGGGACTCTGCCGGCTACCTTTAGGGTTATATATATGATCGGCTGGAAGGAGTCTGCGGATCAGGCTCAGCCGCTGCCGAGAGGCAGTGGAGAGATTAACTTAAAGGACTTTCTGGAAAAGAAGTAGTTATACTCGAATCTAGGTATATAACGAATTAAAGAATCAAAGAAGGGAGAGGTTATCGTATTTGCCAGTGACTATCTGCTTGTTCATTTGGTCGAGGCATCCGCAGCTTCAATTCAACATCTATTCAATCTCATGTTGGCTTCTGTACAGCATAATAAACAACCTAAATTCTCGGAAATTCTCAATAGCTTGATATAGGCAATTGGGGGGTCAAAATCAGTGAGTCAAAAAGTAAAACGAAGAGAATATTCAGAATGAGCATCCCATTGCAACTATTCTTGATCAATCAGGTCTCGGTATCATTAGGATGTATACTTTCTACGTTGTGGTAAAGGATCATGGCTCCGGTTAGTGGGTATCGCTACCAATGTTGCGGTTTGCTCACATGGTAGGAAGGTTAACAGGAACTTACATTCACATCGGGACATGCTGATGATGTACTAGCAATAAATGCGGATTCGAGGAATCATTAGCTTCATACCAATTATGATTTACAACACAGTGAGGGTATTCTAGATTCGCCAGCTACAAATGATGAAAAGGGACGTGATAAGATGGGAAACAGTATTGACTTATCTGGGAATTAGAAAAACAAGCGGGTTTAAAGATTGGATCACCATACCCTAAGCATTCAACGAAATCCATCGATAGGGAATTAATATCTATGGATAACCTATACTTACCATTCTTAAGTATGTAGGTCCTGGTTTAACGGGGATGTATTCTAAATAAGTAGATGATCACAAACGTCTTCTCTTGGCGATAGCTGGTGTGTATATGGGAAGGACGAGAGTGTGACTTCATATGGCGTACACTTGAGTCTAGATACGTATGGGGTCAGCGTTGAAGTTTACTTCGAGTTTAAGTGACATAGATGAAATCAGATACCCATACAAGTAGATACTAGGTAGGAAAATTGAGGATTAAAGATATTCAAGACAAGTCCATAGGAATACCAAGCTTGAAGGTATCACAAAGCAGGTAATCGAATAGAGAAATTGAAACCAATTATATTTAAGAAGACAAGTAAAAATATCCTAGAGCAAATAGGCAGGAAAGATGATAATTCAGTGGATATATCAAGGCAGGCAGGTAAATAACTTCGTGATCCCATTTCTATAGAACATCAATTCCTAAAGCCGTCTAAAGCTTTAGACTTTTCGCCAGTCAGTCATGCATCGCTCTATGCTACCCAAGCCCGCGACATCGACGACCTTCTCGTGCCAGCTTAACAGCACACTCATAGCCGTTCCCGTAGACTCGTTTGTGCCGACGGGCCTCGAGCCGATCTGGCTGAACCCCGTGGCCTGTGGCGTCAAGCCCCGGGTTGGGGTCTTTGGTCCTCCTCCGCCTGATGGACCACCTGACATACCCTTGTATCTGTATATGAGGTTAGATATGATGACGAGCTTGTTAAAAGGGGCAGGACGAAGACATACAGATACTTCATCAACACATCTAGCAGCTCGCTGCCGCCTTCCGAGCCATAGATTCTCTGTAGCATCGGCGTCATTTCACTAGCCTTGATCGACTGTAGAACCTCGACTACGGTCTGCATATGTGAATCCTATATCGCCAACGCACCATCAGCACTCTAATCCTTCTGAGTTCTAACTTCCCAATTCATATTCCGGGTATAGCATCCCAAGGCTACAGCCATAGTATAACCTACCTTAGCTAAATCATTTCCGTTATACACCGGGTTCTCTAGACATCCCCTCAAGGCGCCCTCGGAATCGCCGCCTCGGAGCAGCTGCCGCACCTGCGCATTCAGCTGACGAACATCCGCCTCGCCTATCTCGGGTAACGGCGGGTGCAAGGTGGAAGTGTCGAAGTTCTGTGACGAGTCCGGGTCTAGAGCGTCGATGTTGATGGTCCGCCAGGCATCGCTTAGCGAAGCCTGGGTGTGCTGCTGTATGATAGACATCCTAGTCGCTCGGCCCCGAAAGCCAGAAGAAGGGAGACGAGTCTGCCCAACGGAGAGGTAAGCGGTAACGTATAGAAGGCTTCGCTTCTCTTGATGCCTAAAGACTAAGCAGTCTAGGCTCGGGATGAGAGAGATAAGTTGTTTTTTTGCCGCCTTTGCCTGCCTCTTACGGATCGGCTACGTGGACATGTGATCGGGAAAATGAGTGTATCGGAAGCAGTGAGGCTCTTTCGAGTGATTCCGGGTCGGTGGACGTTGCAGCTAGAAGATTGATGGTGGGGGAGAATTGACGTTGCTTCCTGTTGCTGGACCAGCTGCAAGCTTTGGTGGGGCCAAGAGGCTTGCAAACTGTGGCTTAGAATAGGAGAACATTTGGGGACAGTTGGGGTAGGTACCTGTACCTTCGTATATTTTTCTTAGGCGTGGTAGGTACCCAACGAACACCTTCATCCGACGGTGTTAGGAAGGGGTGGCTTAGCTGAATTTACACCCGCACCCGCGCGCTTGCAATGTCTTAGTACGTCACTGCCACTAAATATTCTAAAATGCTACTCTACATCTAAAGAACAAGTCCAGATGAATATAAATAAGTCGAATTGAATTATGAGGCTACCAATAACGACATAACCCAGATATTCGCCCCCCTTTTGCAACTTCTTAGCAATGTCCTAGGTAACGCAGCTCGCATCACCTGAACATACAGATGGCATACAAGATGGCCAATCTGATGAGCAATCGAACCCCCATCCCCTTCTCCGACGTCGAAGTTGCACCACGGAGGACCTGGAGGTAGCCAACATGGGCGATGAATTGTACAGACGAAAAAAAAGCCCAACGCAATTCCCGAAAAGTCTAATTGGGCTCGAGTATGATCAGGAGTTACATCCTATCGTCGCAAGATTGGCTGATGCCATGCTGCGAGTCATCGTACTCATGCCTTCATCCGTCGTACAACCCCCAAATCTTGCTCTCAGCCCCCTTAGATTTCGAACGATTCGCCTCCGTACAATACACGTATAACGTACCAGATATAGGTCGCCAGAACCGAAGTAGTTTCATACCGATGAAGCTGCGTTCGATCCTGCCCAGTCCGAGGCTTTGGTCGGTTATGTCGGAGTTAGTAACCAGTATCTTGGCCGAACATGTCCTCGACTAAATCCAACGATAACCGTTTCAGGCAGGCGACCCCTGCTAGAATGCTACGTAGGTCGCTAGAACACATCGAGCCACCGAACCATCACCTATGTACAAAAAGAGCAAAGCCGTATCAATTGGAACATGCAGAATATGGCGCCGCTTGTGTCCAAATTTAGCCATGTCGAATAATCTGTAGAATCGGTTTGAGAAGACCCCCCATCTTATTAACTACACGTATGCCTATGGCACGGATCCAATTAGGGAATTGGTTCCTTTAGTACCCTTAGGTACCAAGTGGCACAAGCAGCCTAAATGGCTGGCGACTGATAGGCAGCGTAAGAAGAACTGCGATTGTGTATTGACCATTAGTTGACCAGGCAATCGAACTATTATGACTTCACTTACCAACTCATGAGTTCTACGGAGCGATTGGGGGGTTGGCAGGACATTTACATAGTACTAACCCCTATTTCATCCCGGGGAAATGGGTAAAAATGAGTCATGGTTCCAAACAAACGTGGTTGGCGGAGCGACTAGCTCCCCATAACACTTTATCTCGTGCCGGGGAGACGACCCAATCGAAGGGTTCTATCTCAAGTGATGGGCGAAGGTTCCACAAAGTAAGGGTCGAGAACATGTAGGTCTTCGAAGGTTCCAATAGAAGCCATCGATCTTCTTCCTGTTGTTGGATAGGCTCATAAGTACGAATACCCGGTTAGAGCCCGATATCTTCATTTTTCTGTTGAGGACGTGTCCTCGATCGCGTAGACTACCTAGTCCTAGATAAAAGTCTACCTCACGAAATTTTAACGCAATTTAGGAGGTGACGACAAATCCCGGTGAGCTGGTTCACCCTTTCATTCGAGTCTTCCTACGCGCTACGTTCCGAGTACCACGCGTAATCGAGACGTGCCTGACCACCCGGCGGCCAGTTCGTCGATTCTAACAATGGCTTCCCGGCGATGGCGTTGCCGAAAACGATAGTGCTCGGAGGCGGAAGCGAGTTTGGTAATGATCCCATCTGTTGTCAAAGCTCAATATTCCTGGGCGAAAATTTTCTCTCGTAATTTGACAATAAACATAGGGCGAACATGGTTGATCCGTCGTGGCGGAAGCTTCCCCGGTGTTACGGGACATCGTCAACCAGGCCAGGACAAGGGCATGCCTGATCCTTACCCAAATCGAACGTGACAGGTTCCCCAAATCCCGACGATGGGCATTGGAGCATGGAACTGCCGGGACCACTATATTACCCGCCATGATGGGTTTCCCTTCTTAAGCCATAAACGGGCTCTGGCAGGATACAGCTCGATAAATTCGACATTGACTATTATCTCCCTTATGGGTCTCGAGGTTATCGTGGGATCAGTATCCGATTAATGCATGCGAGGTAAGGGTACTACTCGATACAATTCTAACTAGTGGATTGTGGCACAAATGGTTGATGAATTGTTTGAAATGGGTAGCGGTTTTGGAAATGATATTGTGGGTCTATCAATTACTATCATGCACTCGTGGGTCCCAATACCTAACATGGTTAATATGATGCTATTTCGGATGCGTGCCGTCTTGTCGGGGTCCACATCGCCTACCTGATTTAGTGCATTAAAGGGTCCATGGCGCTGGGATGGCAAGGTAGGGAGATCCCAGGACTTCACATTGATTTTTTGGCAGCCGCAAGGTTTGCCTTGGGGAATACTCCGCCCTATTATTATATCAAATTCTCTTTGAGAAGAGTTGTGGTAAGTTTCTCTTAACTGAACGTGCACTCTCATCTGTGCCTCGATAATGCATAGGCGCAAGCATCGAGAAGTCAGGAATTAGTGACCCGGCCTGTTGGTACATCGAATCCCCAACCTCCAATGTTGGGAACGAGGGTTTTGTGGGAAGATCTCAATACGTTTATCTCATACCATTCTAGAGGCTAGATGATACTTACCAACCTTCTTCATGATGGTCACCGGGTAGATCCCCGGGGAGCCTTGGAGTCTTGGAGAACTGGTTAAGCTCGGATGAAAGGCTTTCACAATGTGGACCGCGGGATGTACCTTGACATCGTCGTCGAACTGGATGATCGTCCTTTAGCCTCGGTAACCCTGACAAGGCTGCAATATTGCGGGAAGGCTAGAAAGTCTTACATTTTCCATGACGAGAATCCTCCTGGAAGCGATCAAGGGTCTTTATTGCATTATGGATATACACGGCTACGTGCGGTACATGCATACATACATGCCTTATAAGGAGCATTGTGCATGATAATCGATTGAGATTCGTTGTGGATCGAGACGGTCCCGTTAGTTTGGGAATAATAAGAATCTGACGATATTGTAGATGCCCTTGTCTGGGAACGCCGAAGCACCGGGTATGGAGATTTTTGAGTGCCGTAGGTGATCGTGGGTCTATGGTGGATGCTATAATTCAAGGGTTCAACCTTTCAGTCTGGCGGCGAGGCTGGCATAAACATTCTGAGGCATCCAGCCCAGTCAGCCCAGTTAAGAATGCCCGGGTGTTTCTAGAAGTTGGGGGTCCTTGACCCCATTTCCCGTCGTATGATTTGTGACGAAAACGCCGACGTCAGGTACCTTGGTTAGTCGCCGTCTCGAAAATTGAAATGTTTTTTCTCTTCCCGTACCCTCAAGCATTAGGCGAATGACTGGCCGACAACGATTGTAACATTCGAACCAACGAAATCCAAGAGAATGGATGCCGTACTCTCATTGAATAGTTGGTTAAGGAGTCACATGATGATGAAACGCTGCGCCCTGCGTTAATTGCGTACATGTCCAATATGTACAGATATTCCTCGTTAGTTAAATGCCAAGTCAATGGAAAGAAACCTTTTCGCCATCACATTCCAACGGGCCCACCAAGCCGGCGCGGCGCTTTGGTAGTTTGGTAGAGCGAGTAGAGGTTCGATGTAACCACGATATGCGGCTACTGGTTTAAAACCACGGATGTTAGCCTAAGGATTCCACGCCATAATGGTAACCGAATTTCTAGTTATTGAGGTTGTACGTAGCAAATGTTGGATATTTTCTTGGCCAATTATGACTGTATGTATAGTAGGTGATCATAGTGCTATCCACAGAAGGAAGCCAGAAGCAAGCTAGACGCGCCTGACGCACATACAATGACGAGAGATGATGGCGACGACAATGGGTCTTTCTGAAGTTTTCGTTCAGGTATGTACCACAACGTCGAAGGGCCAGACTCGTCATTGTTTTGGTTTGGGGCTCTCACCTTGCTACATGATACTAGGTACATACTTGGGTACCATATACGTAGTAGGTGACTGGGGCTGGCTGGCTAATGCAGGAACAGCGATAATGAGTGGAGAGCCATGTGGCAGTTGATTCTCCAGTGGGCCAAGTAGCCGACGGTTGTATCGAGTACATATGGTTCGTACCCATGCTGTTGAGAATCCCCTGAAAATGATGGCATTATATCGGTCCTTCTGTATTGAGTGGAATGTACCTATGTATTCTGGTATTATTTCCCAAAAGTCATGCCCTGACGTAGTACTTGTATACATGGCTTTTCTCTGGTAGGCTGATACGAGGGACGCCTAGACGAATGATGATGACAGGCGACTTATCTGAAAGCTGAGAGGATCGCGTATAAAGCTCACACAACACGTTAAAGGAGAACGATAAGGGAAACGATAAGTGAGAAGCAAATCGTTCCATCGCTTCAAGACTGCTAGTGCTGAAACGGGTGACCCGATGAGTAGGTGGCTCTCTCAGTTTCTTGGCGTGGGCGGCTCTCCATAGATTCTAGAAGACTGGCTCGGTATTACACGATCTTCTGGAGGGTGCAATATCTGATTTGGACGTATTATGTTATTTCTAGCATGTGTCCAGAATAATAGTAAAATCCATTTCTTATTGGTGTTGAAAAATCTCTAGTTTCAAAAAGTTGGTTAACGAAATGAAGAAGATCGACGTTGTTTGGGTGGATATGACGGATATGACCCTCTAGACGTACTATGTACAATGGCGAAATAAAAATGGGGGAAAGGTCTAGAAGTCTAGACATCGACCCTATTTGAAGTCCCCTGAATTCATCCATGTTCAAACTCCATGTAAAGAAGATACGTATATTTCCTACTAGAGTTAAACGTTCGTTACAGGATTGTGGAGAAAGGT